TAAAGTTCTAGGCCGAAAACCTGATAACTTTCTACTAAACCCCTACTAGGAACTATACCATCTGTCTTGGAAAGACTAGGAGATCGAGCTTAAAAATCTACCTATCTTTATACTAGACTATATACTTTAAAAACGTTAGGAATAGCTCCTTAACCTATAGTAGATATTCGAGGGCGTACCTAAGCGATATTATAACGATCGTACTAAAATCCTTAGAGCTATTAGTTATATAGACTAAACCTATTAGTAGAGATAGTACTAATATACTAAGGAAAAGGGATTGACTACCCCTTAAAACCTTAAGGAGGATTAGCCCTATTTTAGGGACTAGATCCTAACCCTTATTAAGAGGGAACTCGATCTCTAGGCTTGCTAATTTAATTAGTAGACGTCTTATCTTAGTAAGATAGTTATATATACTATCGAAATTGCTTAATTAGCTATTAAAGAGCTTCTTTAATATAAGGAATTTAGTAGTGAATCCTTTTAGCTAATATTAGGTAGCTAAGGCTAGCTATGCTTAATAGGCTAATTTAGTATCTCCTAGCTAGAAAAGCAGGCTATCTTTATATAATAATTTAATAGATAATAGGGCGTCTCGATTTATCTAATTAATAGTTTTAAATTAATTAGATAGAATAGCTAGTTCGTTTTGCCCTATCTCGGAGATAGTAGGGCTAGATAATCTTCTAGGTCTTCTTCTTCCTAACTAAATCGTAGTATTCTATAATTAGGTAATCTTTAGTTAGGTAGTAAAGTAATTACTTATTTATAAGACTAGTATTAATTAGGAATCTAGCCTTACTAAATAGTAGGAAGCTTAGTATAGTTAAATCGAATAGCATCGATTAGTCTTTCTAAATCAAGAATAGCTTCGATTCGGATAGACTATATAATATATGTCGGATTTACAGGGTCGGCATAAATCCTTCGGCGTGCACAAGCAAGCAATTATACACGATCGGTCAAATCAGTATACGATCCGGCAAAGAATCGTATAGGTCAGGTCAAAGGTCGTACGATTCGGCTTAGAATCGGAAGTTAACTTATGATAGAAGAATGCTCCAACTTCATCACAATGATTAAACTTGATTCAACTAGCTATAGGAAACAGGCAGTATTTATAACTTTATGATATCACATCAATAGATCAGAATAGAATCGCATAGAAATCCAGAGAAATATAGAGTGTTGAAGCTCTTTCGTCATGTATAGAATCAGTCGTTGAAGATCATCGTCACGTGTACGTTCCGTCGCATTCTGTCAAGTTCGATAGCTCTTGGGGGCTTATACACATACTCATGTTGACAATATAATTTTCTTCTTCTTTAAGAGGATCGATATTATGTTTGCTAATTATTTTGAGTTAAAGAAACTTAATTAAATATTTGAAAAATGATTGTTTTTATTAAGAAAGTCGAGATTTCTTAGTGTTTCGTATAGAAAAGCGGACGCGACTACTAAAAATCAAGTATAAATTTTTAAAAGCAGGAAGTCGGAGGAGCTTTTTATTTTTCTTTAAGAGATAGAAGTTTCTCTTAGAGGTAAGGGGATTTTTGTTAAAGAGAGAAGATTAGAGAAGTAGTGTAAGCTAAATTGAAATAGAATCAATTCGGGCTTATAACCTATAAGCAAGCGATGCTACGCAGGTAGGTAAAAGAGGAAGAAGATTGAATAAGATAGATTAATCTTTCTTCCTCTAACGTAATCCACGGCCGAACGGATCACCACGCGTAAAATCGCATTAACCTATTTACCTACCATCTTCAATTAACTACTATGCCACTAATTCGCACTGAATCCTCCTAGAAATTAGCCAATCAAGAGGGCAAGATCTTATTAACCCTTAATGATATTAAAAATGGCCGCCTCAAATCTCTCCGCGCGGCCAGTAGGCTATACGAAATCTCCTACACTACACTATATGCGCGTGCTAATGGCCGAATCTCACGCGGTGATACACGCGCAAATGGCCATAAACTGACCCAATTGGAAGAGGATTCGCTTACCTAGTGGATTTCATCTATGGATTCGCGTGGTGCATCGCCTAGGCCAGCTACTATAGGAGAGATAGCCAATATCCTACTAGCGGCGCGTGGTAGCTAACCGTCGCCTACTGTTAGCTAGAATTAGCTATCAACGTTTATTAAACGTCGCGAAGAGCTTCGTATACGCTTCTCTAGGCGATACGACAACCAGCGCGTATTAAACGAAGACCCGAAGACCCTGCGAGCCTGGTTTACTACCGTACAAAGCGTGATTAACGAGAACAGTATACAAGCGGAGGATATCTATAACTTCGATGAGATAGGCTTTGTAATAGGCCTTATATCTTCGCAGAAAGTAGTCACTAGGGCTGAATACTACGGTCGGAGATCGATTCTATAGCTAGGCAATCGCGAATAGGTTACTGCGATCGAATCTATCTGCCCAGATAGCTATATCCTACTGCTATACGTAATCTTCAAGGGCAAAGTAGCTATCGTAGGGTGGTTTAACGATAATCTACCAAGAGATTGGCGAATCGAGGTCTCTACGAACGGCTAGACTACTAATAAGATTAGCCTACGCTGGCTAGAGAAGCACTTTATCCTATATACGAATTCGCGTGTGCACGGCCGGTATCGACTACTGATTCTTGACGGCTATAGTAGCTATCTTATACCCCTGTTCGACTAAATATACGCAGAAAACGATATTATACTACTTTGTATGCCTGCGCATTCGTCACATCTATTACAACCGCTAGATGTTAGCTGCTTTGCACTATTAAAGAGGGCATACGGCCGTTTCGTTAGCGATCTTGCGCGCCAGGGATATAACCATATCGATAAATTCGATTTCTTACAGGACTACTACCGCGCACGGCCAGAAGTATTCCAATCAGCCACTATCCAAAACAGCTTCGCAGCTACTGGCCTAGTACTAGTTAATGCAGAAAGAGTGCTTAATAAGCTTAATATCTCTCTGCGATCTCCGTCACCACCAAGCAGCCGGCCAAGCAGCAGATCTAGCGAATTCGTGCCAGAAACTCCTAAGACCGTGGCTCAGCTACACAAGCAATCTAGTATGATGAGGAATCTACTATATCGGCAGTCAAAAAGCCCTCCAAGCCTATTGAAATTGGTGGTAGATCGGATTATCAAGGGCCACTACCTATCGCTGCATACTCTCGCATTGCTTGCGCAGGATAATGCGAATTTACGCATAGCTAATGAGAAGATCGTCAAGAAGCGCGGTCGGTCAACTAAGCACATACCCTGCGAAGAGGGTTTGACCATTGAAGAGGCCCTACAGCTAGCTGCACAGCTAGATTTGCTAGTAGAAGAAGATGTGGTGGAATCGCATGCGGAGGTCGAATTGCCTAGTCAGCCAACCAGGCCAGCAGCAAGGGCTTCGCCTAGGTGTAGTGGGTGTAGGGAGCTTGGCCATAGGATCAATCATTGTAAGAATCGCTAGCAGTAGAAAATTCAATGCGTTTTGCTGGAGATAATCGATTTTGAAATGTTCGCATGGGAGGTGGTGATCCGTTCGGTCCGGTGATCCGTTCGGCCGTGGATTACGTTAGTTAAATAGGAAGGATAAGTTCAATTCGGCTTAGAATAAATCAAGAACATGAGATGAGAGAAAAGTAAAGTAGGACTAAAGCTTGGTTGATTGAATTGAATCGTCTTGTTACTAATGAACATTGAATATGATAATGAGATCTTGGTAGAGAAAGCAGGGCATATTTATAATCAATATTTTATGCAAACTTATCAAGCTTGTTTCTTGCATATAATCGATCCAGATAGATCTAGACGCATTCTAGATGCATAGTGATCTCATGCAGTAGCTATTTGATTAGTGGTTGCTTGATTGTACGATGTAATTGATCGTAATAATGATGTAGATCGCATGACTATGATGCGTCTGTTTATGCCTGATTATCCGATTGGATAATGATGATATAATAGCATAAAGCTTATAGAGATTCAGAACATCGTTCTGGCCGTAGAGTAATTCTTGTATAGGCCTTATGAATCTGGCTTGATATGCTGCCTGACGGCTTAGGCATCTTACCCTAGTTAACTATATCTGACACTATCTGACAGTATTACGCAATTGCAATTAACCCTCTCTAACTCTAATCGCTAACTAATGCTTATATAGGTATACGCTATACCCGTCACTTCGCTACGCTTACTCCCTACGCTAAGCTAATCGCTATTTGTTCGCTAATCCAGCCTAAGCTCGATACTACAAAAACCGAGTTTAGTTACCGCACTTACACCGATTACGAGACTATATTAAATAAGGAGAAGAATCTATAGGCTATCGTCGTTACTAGCGCAACTACCGTCTATACCGAGCAGGCTATTAAGGCTATTAAGCGTGGTCTATATATTCTTTACGAGAAGCCTATCTCTACTAGCCCCGAGATTGTAAGATTTCCCCTGGTTTTTCCTAACACATGATTCCTAGCAAGACAATATACACCCTGTACTAACCCTCCACAGTCCTAATAAGTCGTCGACGCCTACAACGCCTCCATCAAAAAGTTCCCCTCCTAGAAAGTCATCTACGGCTTCAGCCGCCGCTTCGACGCCTCCTACCGCGACGCACACTCCCGTATAGCTACCGGTAATATCGGCACGCTATCCGTCTTCCGATCATAGCCCTACGATAAGCTCGATCCTAGCGGTTTCTTCGTCGCCTACGCCGAGTTCTCGGGTAGTATGTTTATTAACTATAGTATTCACGATATCGATCTTGCGCTATAGTTCTTTAGCGAGGATACTAAGGTTAAGAGAGTAACTACTATTAGTATTACGGCTATATAGCCTGATCTGCGTAAGTATAATAATCGCGATAATACGCTTAGTATTATTAAGTTCTACGTGAGTGGTAGACCCTTCTTCGCCCCTTTGCTTCTGATTTTTCAATACGAATAACGATTCTAACCCGTGTCCTTTTTTTGATAATAGGGCGGCAAAATCGCCCAACTCTACTACTCCCGTATGATAGCCGCCGACCAAGAAGACTGCACCGAAATCTTCGGCACAGACGGCAAAATCGCCATCAACACCCAGCCCCAACTCAACCTCGTTAACCTATACGAGTCTACCGGTATCCGGCGGGAGATTCCCGCCGACTACTACGGGCGCTTCCGCGAGGCGTTTATTACCGAGGCGAATGAGTTTACTGCTTCTTGTCTGGATGATACTAAGCCTCCTTTGCAGTTGGACTCGGCTGTCAAGGCCGTTGCTATTGGATGTGCGCTGCAGGAGTCGCTGATTACGGGGAACTAGATCGAGTTCGATAAGAGTAGGAAGAGAGTTGAGGTTTCTCATCTGTAGGGATGGATTATATGAATGATGGCTTTTTAGGTTATGATTTGTGATGGTTTTCTTTGTATAGACTGCTTCGAGTGAGATGAATGAATATAGACTTTTGAGAATCTAGGACGATCGTCTTGTACCGAACAATATTGGCAAAGGTGAATGAGAGCATAGTTTCTATTTTGAGCGAAGGCTAAACCTGGTCAGAAAATGAAGAGAAATACGGCTGAAGGATTGAAAAATGTAACGTCGATTTGGGGGCGACTGGGGGCGACGGGGGGCGAAAGCCTATTTAGGTAATGAAGCACGTGGACAGCGCATGTGCGTTTGAATAAGCATTTGAGCCCTTCTAAGACAATGTATGTTTAGAGAAAAATGTACTGCTGTATTACGATCAATATCTGAGCTTCCATAGTAGGTATAGCTAGTGTAGTCAAAGCCCCGGTTGCTAAAATGACAAAGTTTCCCATGTGGTGGTTCCATACGAGCAAGCCAGCGAAAAGCTATTGGCCCCATTGTTGTCAGTGATTTCTTCTCGCATCTCTTCCAACAATAGTCTACGTCATCTCATATTGTTTTCTTCGAACTATATTAAGATCAAGTTGTGAGAAAGTTTGGACCCTCTTGGGGGCTACTAGATGACCTTTCGAACCCATATCTATGTTTCTTGTAGCCTTACGAGGTCTCAGCTCTCAAATTACACGCCCCGAAGAAATCAAGACCTATTGCTGTCAGTTCCACACAAATGTCAAATCTATTCTCATGCGATTTGGGGGCTTCTCGTTTCCCAAGACGATCTGCATAGCTATCAAGGACACTGCCCCCTATAACCTTGTGAATATTGAAACATGAAACAAGATCTAAGCCTTGCACTAACAGAAGAATGGTTATATAACCCTGTTCCTCTCTCGGAACATTACTCACTTTGTATTGCTTACTATTCTCTACTCATCATCTACCATTCCCCATCCCTACAGTGAAAATGAAATCCACACAACTCATCTTCCTCCTTTCCACCCTCACGGCTTTCACAACTGCCGAGTTCTGCCAATGGACAATGCAAAGAGTTTCAGACGATGATCCCAAGCCAGGGGCTTACAAGAATGCTGGCAAGGTTCTACTCAACCGGGACTGCGACCTCGGGGACTATAAACACAGCGTCGCTTCATTGGATCTGAACTCATGCATTGAGAACAGGGGTGGTAAGTTTGTTGCAGTGGACAAGTAAGTGATAAGCTCATGGTTCTCAAATCTCAGTACTTCTAGAAGAAACCAACTCTAATATGTTTTCTCATGCTAGTGGAAATGCCTTCTCCTCGTGTGACGTGTACACTTGTTCATTCGGCGACAACAACTCCATCGAATGCGGTGATTGTGGCCAGGCAAACGGAAAGATCTCGATTCCAATTGGTAGGTGGATTACTTTTCGACTCGGAGTTGATCGAAGTTTTTACCTTAACTTACACCGAATAGATGATGTTGCAAAGGCTGTTGGGAAGAATGGAGAAAATGCGGCATGCTTTACTCATACCGTCACTGCAACGACGTCAACCTATAGCATGGTTCCAACTGGCTCCCATTAATTGCGGGGCATTGCCAATCGTTCAAATATCTTATTTATAGATTGGATGCAGTGAACAGGAGAGGTAGTATGCCTGGTTAAGGAAAATAAAGGGCTGGGAAACAGTTTTTCCCCAATTGTTCATACTCCAGAATGGATAACTGCTTTTTGACATCAAACTCATACCTAAATTCCAGTACAGTAACATATATGGTCTGGCTCAGATTGCTTTTATCCGCTCGCACTCCCCACCTAGTTACGACTATCTCCTCAATATCTCTGGATTATCTATTGCTCGACATTTCGGGGATGATTTCCTATAAAGATACATCAGCAGGCTGCATACAAAATTAGCATTTAGTAGAACTCACATTGAAAAGTTTTGCTTTCTCCTCTATAGAGTCATCATGACCATGCTTCTCGAAGCTCTTCAGTGCGACCTGAAGTCGCCTCGACGACTGTGCATGGTCGCCTGAAGGGACGAGCCGTAGAACGAGATAACTCGATCGAGCGCTGTTTTACCGCTGCCGTCTTAGGTGGTTTCCCGCTGGAGGAAGGGGGAATCGGGTTAGTTTACCGGTTGGGATCCACCAGCCGCGCGGCTAGTGATTGTTCGATGAAGGGCTACTAAAGAACGAGGAAAGCCCACGATAAAAAAAGAGTGTCAACATTTGTAGAAAACAAATGTTTGCCTTAAGAGGCCTATGAACTACGGTCACCTAACCTTCCGTGGACAGATTCAGAACATCAGATCAACCCCGTATAGTGACGAGTGGCCTATTTTCTTTCTTCTCCACGTATACATGCTACGCGTTTTCGAACCATGACTTAACAGCATTGATTTTCGACCATAGGCATCATAAGTAAAGTCGGGATATACTATCAATCTGGTGGGAAGGCAGGAAAATCTTATGAGTAGTTGGCGTGTATCAGAATGTGGAACTTTTTGTAAATTCAGACAGACTTTCGTGAAAAACTAGCAACTTGGAAGGTAGGCTCGGAAGGAAATTCATAAGCAGTGCGAAGAACTAAAAAACTAAGCTAGGACAAACTAGCTGTCGTTAAGTTAAGCGTCGTGACCGGAGAGCCAATGCGGAAGCAATTAGGGCGACCTACTTCAAATTTCATCGTTTAGGCTATATTTGAATCCATATTTCGGTATCCCTGATCCACCAAGTAGGTCCGGAATTTAGCGTAGATCCCACCCCCTGTCCCGCGATCCTCACTACCCCGGCACGGTCACGGGTCTTGCTTGTCATTGCACGCTCTAGATTCACCATCTTCATATCTAATTCCTGGTCATACCAGCGGAAGATAAACATGACGTTATGATACTGACCCCGGTTAGCGTAGGCTGTTGCGTCGAATGATATTTGGTTGACGCATGTGTATGGTATTAGTTCAAAGACTACTGCACTACCTTCCACCCGCGGATAGGTTCGGGTAAATTTGTCAAAGTCGTCGTGGACCTCCTGCATGAGCTGGAGGTCCAACGGTGGGGTAAACGTCGTGCCGCTGATACTCTTACGGGTTCCGGGGGCGACGAACCAACCCAAGATAGTGTTCATCTTTGGGTACGGCATCTCATGTGTCTCGTTCCGGATAGACTTGAGGGCTAACAACGGTGCAAAGAAGGCTTCAGCCGCGATACTTGGCTCATTATATAATAGCAAGGCGACGATCACCGTCGACAGCGGGGCGCGGGGACGGGTGGTGAAGCCGAAGAATAGAGCCTCGTCACCTGTTGTTTGCGTATCAAACTGGTTTGCAAACTCAACTACAGCAGTGAGCTGCTCTACTGGCAAGTAGATAAAGCCACCAAAAACAGACGGCCGCTGAGGATGCGCCCGCATGACAGACTCAGTGACCACGCCAAAGCTCTGACCAGCGCCCCGTATAGCCTAGAAGAGATCCTGGTTTTCGTCAGTAGAGGCCATCATGATGCGGCCATCTGCAATGACTATCTTGACGCTGATCAGGTTATCGATAATCAGGCCGTGACACCCAGTGAGCCAGCCAAAACCGCCCCCAGAGTTGTACCCCCGACGCCGGCAGCGCTCGTCGTGCAGCCAACAACGGCTAACCCTTCCTTCGCTGCCGCTTGGTCAACCTCGTCCCAGGTTGCGCCGCCCTGAACCGCCACAGTTTGTGAGGTTAGATCGACTACGATACTGCGCATAATGGACAGGTTGATAACAATTCCCCCATGGGTTGAGGATGCGCCGCTCGTGCTGAAGCCTCCACCCTGGACCACGAAGGGAATATAGTGACAAGTCGCGAAGGTTATCACCAGTGAGATTTCGTGGGACGAAGTGACAATCACTACTGCACCCTATAGGAAGACGGGTCAGATAAGCGTATGACACAGGCATAATCAAGTTAGGAGTTAATCAACGCAAACCACAGGAAACGCTGGCTTACGGCTTCTTTCTCACTGGCCTCGCTCCATCTATTGATAAGCTCCGGATAGCCTTCCCGATCGGGGTGATGACAGTCGCCTCCGTGTCTTGGAGGTTCTGACGCAGCTGAATCGCACGTTTGTATGTTAAGAAGGGCTTGATGAAAGGGTTTCGGGCAGAAGTGATGAGGATGTATCCTGGTTGTAACGAGAGATCCTATACGGCTTTTACATATCGAACCTGCATAGCAAAGACGGGTTTTGAAGGTGTCTAGTTGATCTTAGCCAGTCGGAGATATCGAATATAGAGTAGGCGGTCACACGACTGTGGCCACGACTATGTCGTACGTTCAGAGTTTCGCCTTGTTAAGATTGATTGCGTCATAGCCGGCCCTTGTCCGTCGGCTGACGGCCAGATGTAAGATACTGCCACTTCCAGTTGCCAAACCGCCTCTTGCCGATAATATATCGAGTCTAGAATGGTCTGGACATACGAGGCGAGAATTTCGGAGCCGACAAACAAAGTCAAGTTCTTCAAGTGTCATAGGCTCAAATGCATCGTGTGGTGTGATGTTGCACAGCAGCCACCAACTCACCGACCGAGTTGGAGGTAAACCTAAATGTGCCAACTCTATTTCTCCTACTCGCTGGATCTACTCTTGAAATATGTCACGATTCCTCTTCAAGCTGTGTCTAGGTACCTCCTATAAGAGTGTCAAATTATTAGGTTCCTGATGGAGAATACCCATCATATTGGTTCTTTTCAGATATGAACTTTTCTCTAACCTAAATCCGCTTTCTGCAATGGCAGCCCTCGGGAGAAGATCTGGATGGGGTATTCCTCCCCCTTTCATGACCAAGAAGTGGAAGACAACCAAGAAGTGGAAGACACATATAGCAATCAACAACCATTCAGCGAGGAGATCGCGTTGCCGAAAACAAAGCATCATTGGAGGCAATCCGACAAAAGGAAGATACCACTCTCAATCAGCTGGAGTATAGAGCGGACAAATTCATCGTGAAGCAGGAAGATGACTCTTTGCCTGGATTAAATCATGAAAGCCAAAACGCTGAAAATAACGTCATTGGGATAGCAGCGCATTGTGCCCCTTGAGACCACCCATTAGCCTTGAAGACCCTTAAGAAGGGCATCATTTACTTCCTCTATCGATCTCGAGTCGATGTCACTAGTACTGGCACATGTGGAATTTCCGTCGTCGTAAGAACCTTTATTGTTTTCCGTCCTAGCCCACGCAGGTCAGCGCTAGATCAACAAGATGGTCCACACAGATTCGGCGAAAGGTTCCGACTAATGGTGCTTCCCAAAAAGGTCCTTCCACAATCTCCTCGCATAAAGGAGATGGGCTTTGTGGAAAAGGCTGGGATAACTCTGGAAGAATTTCAGGAAACATTTATCGCTAGGCTGAATTATGAGACTCAAACCCGCGCCTCAAGGACTATACCCGATGCAAGGCTGTTCGCGAGAGGCGTCTATTCCATAACTTCGGCACAACATGGCTCCTATCTGGCCTACTTGCTTATAGACCCTGAAATATTGGTCCTGTTCAGAAGGACTTCGGGCTTCAAGAGCAAGGAAGGTGGCTGGTTCACTCGAAGAATCCGAAGGTTTCCAGCCCACCATCTTTCAGTCTTCCTAACAACCCAAGGTATCCTAGAAGGTAAGTCGATCATTCTGACATCCAGCACCTCTCTTATTCCTCCTTAATAACCATACGCTAACTTAAAGGGTGTAGTTTTGATAAATTATTCGGTAACCACCGCTGGGTAGCGTTACAACCTAAATTGATTGACTATCCTAATGCCCAATTCCTCCTCATCGAGCAGTGTATCCGACAAGACTTCTCCGCTGTCCCTGGGGGCAGACATGAATCTATGGATACTCTGGATAAACAACTTGACGAACTGCGCCATTGGAGTGATGAGATGGAGAAGTCACAATTAGGTAAGCTTTCCTTTTGCGGATCTATAGCCGTGGGAAGGTATTAGACTAGCTAAACGTTCCCCATCAGGATTTGACTCGATTTACGGAGATCTGGGCCTGGAGGTTGATCACCATCTCAAGATCTCTACCGTGTGGGATCATCGATAGCCTTGTAATATTCATCTGTCCTCTAGGGGGTTTTATTATTCTTGGGTTACCGGCTACTTTTTGTTGCGTTCTTCTATGATTGTAAGAACAGGGATAATAGGGCTCGATGTGCATCGGCTCATTTGACGAAAGATGCCTTGTAGGAAGTATATCTCTTAGGAATTGCACCGAATGCTGGCTTCGGCTGAGCAAAGTTAGAATCATACCAGATCTACCCAACACCACACTAGAATAATATAACGCCATGTTCCAGAAATTGCGCACGCTGGTGATGCAATAGTCCCACCACTGCCTGCTATTCCAAGACGCACCAGTAGACATCGCGCTCGAGAATATTCGAGCTCACACTTTGCAAGCCCACTTTGAGCCACACTGTACGGCTAGGTTTCTGCATACGATATCTCCATCGGGTCTGGAAGATGGGAGGAGAAAATATCCTAGCCTTCACCATGAGAAATGCTCAAAGTCAACATCTATGTCATTCTACCCGATCAGTGGCTGCCTGTCGGGTCCGATCGCCCGAGAATCTACCTTCAAAATTCCTTGGGACGAAGCGAACGAGCAAAGGATAATGGTGACCTTCATTATAGGTTGCCACTCAATTCTCAGTCTAGCCCTGCTGCCGCATATTCCTCGAATGGTCTAGAAGCTATAAATACCGCCAGAGACAACCTGGCGAGTTATTCCCTCGAACATCTTTTCGTGCAGGTGTGTATCTACCTACGTGAAATTTCCCGAAACTCAATATGACCGCGAAAGCCGAAAAGATATCTGAACTTGTTTACCATATTATGCTTATGGTCGCCCCGGCGAAGGCTCCAAAAGGGCAGATTGAAAAGATATGCGTCCTAGGTACCTAGACTTCTGTTAGAAAAATCAAGGATGCTGCACATCGTGGGCTCTTCGACAGTGGATACGAGCGAGAATGGTTCTCGACCTTTGAGACAAAGCCCGAGGCGATGGAAGAACTCGCAGCCTCGGAGGGAACGGGGCTTGCAGTTTATGCCGTTGCGTGGGATGGTACGAAGTTCAGGCTTCGCGTGTCGACATCTCCGAATGACTTGGAGTTGACGACTGATAGTAAAGATGGCCGGGTTGTGATTCCACTTTATTACGTGGTACAGACCAATGTTCCCTATTGCACCCACGAACGGAAGCCTACTCATGATACCCATATTGAAGAGGTGTTCAAGTCCTATATAGACGCTCGGAAATTTGCAAGCACTTTGCTACTTTCGGAGAAGGATAGAATAAAAGCCTCCAGCTACCAGGAGTACACTGAGGCTGATATAAATGAAAGAGACTGTGAATTAGGGGAGAATGTTGTGGTGCACGCGGTAGGTGGCAATGAGGAGAATTATTTCGTTAGTGTTGTCACAGGTCAGGAGCTCGAAAGTGTACGACTTGAAGCATCGCTCAAAATCTGATACAATTTTTACTTGGTATTAGAGTGGTTGATCACATCCTCGGCGCAAGCCAAGACTAAGTCATACCTATACGCAGTGGCATGATTAAATGAGGCGAGCCACATAGTTTGGGTCACCCGTCGAACTTATCGAGTTCGAAAGGTAACGAGAGAAGAATGCAGCCGAGAGCTGTAAAACAAAAGTCATCGCCGGCCCCGAAAGTATAGTATGATGTGACCATGGTACTATGGCTTATCTCTCCCCGCGTTCGGTCTTCTAGGTTGGGTCCTTGCCATATGATGATGATGATGATAATGACTAGGCAATGGGTGGCAATCGAACCTGACTAACAATCTTGTATACAAGAGGCTGTTCGATCCCTGCTACCAAGCTTAATACTGCTAGTCTAAAAACGCATCACAATATGAATTGAGACATGCTGTCAATGAGTATAATCATCATCGGTGGGGCGGCCGGCGGAATGTCCGCTGCGCTTCGAGCGCGACGCCTAGATGAGAATGCATGCATTACATTGATTGAGCAAGGAGACTATCTAGGTTACGCCAACTCAGGTCTGCCGTCGTCAGTAGGGGGTGTGATTAAAACCGACACCCTTCTTATCCACCAGTCAGCGGCGGGCATAACGGAACGATTCAACATCGACGTGCGAGAACACACTGAGCTAGTAAGCATCGCAAAAGAGCGACATTTGATACAATTACGAGGGTCGAAAACGAACGAAACATATTGGTTGTCTTATAACAAACTGATTCTCGCGCAAGGTGCTTATCTCGAGCCCCCACAAGTGCCAGGCATTGAGAGCGAGAATGTTTTCCCGTTCCAGACTATGTTGGATCTTTATAAGATCAAGGATTATGTTTCTACACACTGTTGCCGATCAGCTGCGATTATTGGTGGCGGATATGTTGCTCTGAAGGCCGTTGAAACCCTGCACAATTTCGGACTCCAAATCAGCATCATACATTCCCAAGCTCGCGCTTTTCAGGACTTTGACTTTGATACGGCCAATGTGATAATGTCCGAGCTTATCAAAAATGGAATTCGGGTCTACCTAGATGCAAAGCTCCAGCGTATCGGCATAGGAGTTGTTAAAGACGGCTTTGTTGTTATACTAGCCAACGAATCTAGCATTCCTGCCGATCTTGTTATTATAGCGACCGATCTGACACCTCGAACGGAAATTGCTAGGGATTCAGGCCTCAAATGCAAAGATAGTGTTCTTGTCAACGAGTTCATGCAGACTAATGACCCTGACATTTATGCGGTCGGTGACATGACGGAGACAACCAACTCGGTCTCCCTAATGTCGAATCGTCTACCTCTTGGTGGTACTGCGAGTCTGCAAGGCCGGCTCGCAGCTGATCATATACTGAAACGTGTGACTCCTTATCGTGGCCATATAGGCATATATAGCTGCAAAGTCCACAGCTTAACTGCAGCTATGGTCGGACCATCGTTGGAGAAGCTCAGACAAGTCGGATATCATCCTCAGTTTGTGACGGTCCATGTTCCGGACCACGCTGGCTATTATCCTTCAGCCCAACAGATAACCCTGAGATTGACCTTTCAGCCCGGCAATGGAAATCTTCTAAATGCACAGATTGTTGGTCGAACAGGGGTAGATAAACGAATTGACGTGCTGTCCGTTGCATTACAGAGCGGCCTAACCGTTTTTGACCTGGAAAATCTGGAGCTCTCATATGCCCCTGAATATGGCTCGGCAAGAGATCCGGTGAACGTCTTGGGTATGGTCGCAGCTAACTTACTCAGAGGAGATCTACATACTGTCACGGCTGGTCAACTGGATGATCAGATCGATGACTGGCAGATCATAGATGTACGGTCTCCCGAAAGTTTTGCTCAAGGCCATATTCGGTCAGCAGTCAATATCCCTATCGATGCCCTGCGCCATAGTTTAGCTTCCATCAACAAGGGCCGACCTGTGGTGGTCTACTCTCGTGTTGGCTATCATGGCTACCTTGCCTACCGAACTCTGATTCAGTTAGGGTATAAAGTCTTCAATCTGGATGGAGGATTCAAATTATTCCTTGAGGGTGGGTCAAGAATCGGTCTTTTATCTAGGAAATAGGGTTGATATCATTTAAGTTGCTATCTTTGAATTTCCCGTACTGGGTTCGCCTTAATGGAGCTTTCTAGTACAACTCATACTTACCTTGAAGAAATTAACTACCATTTCATTGAAAATTCAACCCATTATGCTCTCAGTCAATAGTAACAGAGCAACCAGTTTAGGTAACATGCGATCTTATCCAAATATCCGACCTCACTTAGCATTCCTATCAACCTATAGCTCCCAAAACGCATATTCACAAAGAAAATATTCTATATCGCGAATACCAAGGCATCAGTCAGGAAGATTTAGACAAACATGTTGTAGCGCATCAATTCCGGGTTCTCCGTGATTCCAGATTCAGTTCTACTTACCTATTAAAATTACACAAGATACGTTAAACACGTTCAGTCATCAATCAGACAGGATAAAAACCCAAAAAGATACAACGGAACGAAGTGATGCCCTGCCAAAATGTTAGATCCCTGCTATATTCAGATTACCCAAGAGCATGGCCGAACTATCATACATAACCTTGATACATTAGCCAAAGGGAATTTGATCTATTGCGGAAAATGCTCACCTGGCGCATTGTAAACCGTGCCATGGTCTCTACACTCACTGGATGTATTTTACAAAGACTCAAACTCATGAATCCAGTCTCTAGTTCTTGATAAAGGGAGCCAGAACGGGAACAAAAATTCCAGCTCGATCTATCTCTAGGAGACATAGACAAGACGAAGGCACAAGACTCTAATGAGGCCTGACCAGGCTAACAAGGGCAAGCAGTAGACACTGGTCCTTGAGACATTCACAGGGAGATCCGATCAACAGGATAATATTCCCTTTATAGAACTTTATGAGCCTCTAGTAAAACCGCCTTCTAGCTGTGACAGGTCATGCGACTAAATTGGTCATGCGACACTCAGATCCTCGACCTCCCAGCATAGATTGCCAGTTAAAAATAGGACAGTAAATAAACATTTCGTCTCTTTCTTTTGTGCGGTGATGCTTGTACGGTAATTAATTCGCTTGGCTTCGACCAGAACCCCCCGAAAGACACGGGGTATGTCATTTGGCAGCCGCTTTAGCATGTTTCATTCTCTTCACGCTAAATGTTTTTAGATAAGGGAGATGATTTAAAGGATTGATTGTTGTATACAAATACTGAATGTGGCCCTCCTCGGCAGAGACATAGAAAGAAGCTAACTTGGCTATGGGTTGCACGGCTACCAAAACCTCGAAGTCTAACTACAAAACAGCGATACACTCGATCTCCACATCAGTATCTAGCGGCAATCTCTTCACAGAAACACATCTATCAGCCATGATTAGCCTAATTCAAAACCCTTCTCACAGTAGGGATTGGCAGCGAGTCTTTGCTTACGTTCGGGCAGGCTTAACATCACCCCAATAGAGCGTGTACACTGAGTTCATCTCCGCAAAATCATCCATGTCGGATAGGAAAACGTTCACCTTGACAACTCGTGTGATGTTTGACCCAGCCGCGTCGAGGATGTTTGATATGTTCTTAATACATTGATGCTGGTGACGGATTAGATTAGGTCGTCTGTGGCAAAGTGACGACAGACTTACAGTATGGGCTTTAATATCCCCATCAATAATCTTCCCTGTGTTTGCGTCCATGGGAACACAACCCGAGCAGTAAACCACACCATTGGCAATAATGGCCTGTGAGTAAATCCCGGGTAGGGGGGCGGTGCATTCTGAGTGAAAACCATCTCTTTTGCTGGCATGTTGGAAGACGTGCTTTCCATGACTGTGGGGTTGTTGCATAAATTGTCATGGGGTGAAGATGTTCAAATATTTTATATTTAATTTAGGGCCAAAGGTTGACACTGATTGCTGAACAAATTGTTATCTTCTTGTTCTGACTTATGCAAGCCGTTCCCCTTTTGTCAGCGATTTTGCTCCACACTGCCACGCTAACATCCATCCCACTTAACTCGTGGGGCTAGGGTGGGATGCCTGAAGCTGGGATGAGGTTGAAAGTAGGATAGGGCACTAATGATAGGTATAATTAAGCTGCTCGGTTTGTGAAAGCCGGGGCTGGATCAACTGAGTATCCCGCTAGTCCGCTGTCCATCTTCCCAAATAAACAAATGAGAGAACGATCATGCCTCTTGAGAGCACCACGCAGCCACCCTACCCCCTTCATGAATATGTCAAATTTCATGATAGATACATTATAAATAACCAGCAGGTCCACCGTCATCCAGTGGAGGCATTATGCACCAGCGGTCCGCTAATCCCAGGGGGGGGGGGGGTGGGACTTCTCACTGTGGGTCAAACTGAGGATATCTTTATTCAACGACGGGCTAGTTCTGGTCCGGATGTTATGGTCCGCGCCTTTACCCCGGCTGGAGGAATTCCACGCGGAGGATGGCCAGTGTTTCTGTATTTCAACGGTGGTTGCTGGGTTCTTGGGACGATCGAGACTGAAAACACTGTTTGTACCAACCTCTGCGTTCGAGCGAACTGTGTTGTCATTACTGTTGATTACTAGTTAGTATAAACCCTACAAGGTCTCCATCACATCCGAGTAATGATAGCGGGTGCTGAGCTTTTTCCAATAGCCTCGCACCAGAACATCCCTGGCCGGCTGCTGTGCATGATAGCTGGGAAGCATTTCAATGGTTAATCTCTGATGGAGCCTCTAAACTGTCCGTTAACCTGTCCAAGGCGGCTATTGGAGGGTCTCCAGCGGGCGGTAACCTCGCAGAGATTGTGCCCCAGAAAGCCCTCGCATTGTCACCGCCAGTCCATTTCACATCCCAGGATCTCTCTGCCCCTCTAACAATAACACAGCTGCGGTGAACAATAACAGTTCCTACGCATTGTACGAGTAGACGGCTGCGCTACCTGCAGAGAAGACGCTCTGGTATCGAAAGCAATACCTCCCTGATGAATTGGACTGGGTTCGCCCCGAAGCGAGCCCTCTATTCTACCAAGGTGATTGGTCACAACTACCGCGCGCATTGATTCTAGTCGCGGAGCTAGATGTCTTTCGCGCAGAGGGCGAAGAGTACGCAGAGAAGCTACGGGCTACTGGTGTTCCTGTGGATCTGCATGTTATGCTGGGAATGCCGCATCCTTTTCTCGCGATGAATGGCATGCTGGAGCAAGCCCGGAAGGCCATTAGTTTAATTTGTGACACGCTATCTCGAGCCTTTTGGAACAAATGAGCTGGAACTAGAACCGCAGCTATTTGACTCCATGCAAACAGCTTCCAGAACTGAGACTGTCTTCTGTGTTACTCGTCCTGTTAGGCTTTCTAAATCCATCAGAACAGATTCTCTAGGGCTATACCCACATTGCATTAACGGATCTATGAACATGCATGTTGAACAGTTTCTCTGTTCGAATATCTGTTGCCACTCGAAGAAGTGGGTAACATGAATAGTTCTTAATATAGATCTCTTTTTTGTTCGGGATTCATAGGTCAATCTCGTAGTAGCGCCAAAAGTTGCACGGTACGATCGTGGCAGACTTGGGACATTGCATGAATTCGAAAGCTCAATTTTATTTTGAAGGTATGGCTATCCTGCAAATTCGAATTTTGGATACCCCCGAGCATCCCCGGGATGAAACTTGAACATATGTCCGCCCTCATCATTTGGTTCCGGATTAGTCGTGCGATCTTTTCCACTCGCCATAAAGATGATATCATGTTCTTTGCCTCCCCATGTTGTGCAGGCTGGATTTTTGGCAGTCACTACGATGTCTTTCAGGTGCCTGCCTTCCGGTGTAAAGACCATGATTCGATGAGATGCGAACACGGCTATCCAAAGATTCCCATCGGAGCTATCTGAAATCAGTAAAGGGGTACTTTTCTATGTGAGTCGGGAGGGCAAGCAATGGGATTCTTACTCGACAACCATGCCATCTGGCTCGCCATATGATGAGCGCCTGTCAATGAGAAGTCGTTTGTTCGAAATTCGGCCTGATTCCAAGTCAAAGTCAAACGCGAAGACCATCATCGCAACCGAGTCATTGAAGTACACTGTCCTTGTTAGCGAGCTAGCCCGTCTCCACCAAGACAGCGACACCTACTGGTCGTATTATCCGGACTCCAAGCAAGCCCATTCCCGCAAACAATTCCCTCAGGAATCATCAAATGTAAACTACCATCCGGATCGTACCTCCACAGTCGGCCTCTGGGAGTTCCATAGCTAACCGGAAGTTGGTTAGGTCCAAATGCCATCGCCCGCTTATCAATCTCCGCCAGCCAAAACCGGCCCTTCGCATCAATGCCACCGTCATTGAAACGAAGCTCATCGCGTTGGTCAGTGGGGATAATTTCCTTCACAACCTCCAATTTTCCTGTTTCCTCGTCCATGAAGCATACTCCTTGGTAGTACGCGGCGATGTAACTGCTGGGGTGACTTTTGCGAAAGAATGCCACCGTCACGCTGTCTTCAAGGGGAATGATACGCGCCTCCCCGATGGCATCGCCGGTTTGGGGGTCTACCTTAAGGATGTATAGCTCTGGGGGCTCGGAGAGACAGTCCACCCAGTGCAAGGTTGAGTCGCTGGCTCGGTAAATCGGGGCTTCGCCGAGGACCATGGGCTTGGGGCAGTAATACCAGGCTTTTCCGCCGTCAATCGATTCAAGCGGTTCAAGTGGTTCAACCATTTTGGCTATGGACTTGGGTTCAGATTGGGTTTCAAAACAAGTACCAATATTATCTCTTTTGTATCAACGGTTTGCCGAGGAGGGTTAACAACAATATCTCCTAGCGGGGTACCAAGTGGAGGCACGTCTCAGCCCACGTATCCCACACAACCCGCGCCTTACGTGGGGTGGGATAGAGTGTAATCCCACGGAATCTGTGGATTATTACCACCCCCACCCAAATATCCCGGAAACCAATTCAGAGAGGGGTAGACGAATTCTCTTGCTGGTGTGGAGGGATTAATCTACTGTAGACGCGATCACCCCGCCGGAGATACCACCAAAAACACGATCGCAAAAAGAGAGAGTCTACCGGACCATTACCCACCCTCCACCAGCCAAAGCATCAATCACAATGTCAACAGTCTTCTTCATCACGGGCGCGGGAAGCGGCATCGGACGCGTCTTAGCACGGGAGCTCCTTCTCAAGGGCTACCGGGTATTCCTGACCGATTACAACAATGCTTTCCTCGAAGATACTTGCGTCGCACATCTCCCTTCTGTGGTTTCCTGTGACAAGCATGTGAATTTTCAGTGGGTGCAGATGAATGTCTGTGATGCCGAGCAAATCACCAAGGCAATTGCACAGTGTGTTCAGGCTTTTGGGAGTATCGATGTCCTAGTAAACAGTACTGGCTTTTCTCTTCCTTATTGTCCCTCGATCCTAACCTCCATTTGATTGGTAAAACAAGTCCAACTAACCACTCGTCGTGTAAATATAGACGCAGGGATCAATGTACGTATACTCTCTTGGGATTTTGCTTCTTCAAAGCCCACTGTAAACAGAATACTAAGAAACATCCAGAGTCAATACATGCGCGCAGGTGTCAGAATGGATCAAGTCCCGACATCCGATTTTGAGAAAATTATTTCAGTTAACCTGATCGGCACATACCGTGTTTCCCAGGCGGCAATCCCCTATCTTGAGCAATCCCCTGGCGGCGGCGTCATTGTCAACATGTCCAGCTGCCGGGCGACCCAGCAGAGCAAGCACGGAGAAGCCTATGCGGCTTCCAAGGCTGGTATCGAAGGTCTCAGCATGTCCATGGCCGTGAGTTTAGGGCCAAAGATAAGAGTGCATGTGGTGAGCCCGGGGATGGTGGATGTACGATGCGAGCGGAATGAGAGCCTGCTGCCGGACGTGCAGACACTTCGAGCTGATTTGAATCGAGATTTTCAAAGTGAGTATGCGCCAGCTTGGGGGGCAGGGAAAAGTGACGCCCTGAGCGAGGCTCACCCAGTGGGCAGAATTGGAAGAGGGGAAGATATCGCAAGGTATGTAATCCATCCCCACATCGCACGCGGGGAGGTCATATAGAATACGCTGATTCCATGAACTTTCGTCGGGTCAAACAGGTGGGTAGAATTTCTGGGTGTTTTGGAGGGTGGTTTCACGACAGGTGGGGTATGTATTCATAGTCTTTACTTATTAACCAGCTCCTTCAGTTCTGTACTGACTCAAGATAGACCTACTTAGTGGATGGGGGCTACTCAAAAGTGCTGTCGTACCCTAGCTAGTGGCCCTAGAAGATCTTTTGTAGTAAGAGAAGGCTGGATAGAATAATCTCACAATATTAACTTGAGTCACCAAAGGCTAGCTAGTATTGGCTGCATAATTACCTAGAGGTCGTTCAAATGACTAGCAATCTTCGAAGTGAAATTGACTAGCGTGGGAGCATGATGAGGGGTTGGATCCATAGACGTGGTTGGGGTATATAAAGCGCCGGATTCCCCGAATATCAGATGCATTCGCCAACCTTACGAGCCCCTTAGAAAACTTGCCAACAACATGCCAGAGACCAAAGTCATTCTGCTGGGCACTAGTCACCCCCACATCTTTCAACGCTTCAAGTATCTCCAGGAATCTGCCAACATCATACTGCTTGGCTATTACGATAGCGATGCCAATGTCGCCCAACGCATGCAGGAATACGCGGGATGTCCGTGTTATAGCGATCCCAAAAGTCTCATTGCTCTGCCATACGATGTTGCACTCATTCATGGGCGCGATCGTGAGAACTCAAGTTTAATCCGTTTGGCCCTGGATAGTGGGGCCAGAGGCATTTTCGTCGAAAAGCCAGGCGTCGCACAACCGTCAGAGTTCTACCCCCTGTCAAAGGAGATTCGCGAGCGGGGGACACTGTTGTCTTTGAGGTTGGCTGGGAACTTCATTACCTCGAAACTGTGGCCTTTGCACGACGAATCATCCGCGAGTCGCTGCTAGGGGCCGTCACATTGGCTCGGTTCCACGGCGGGTGTCCTGGCGGCGCGGGGGCGGAACCCTGGCAATCAGATCCAGAAAATCTCGGCGGCTTCTTTTACAGTCTGGGGGGTCATGTCGTCGAGATCGCGGTGGATCTTTTCGGCTTGCCCACGCAGGTGATCAGTTCGATTCGGAAGCTCCCTGTGCAAACGCCTCACAGAGGTTTCTCATGGGTGCCGGGGCTTTTTGACGGACGGCAGATGGATCCGTGGCACGCAATTGGAACACTGGTACATGAGGATATTGCGTCAGCGATTCTGGAGTACGAGCATTTCAACGTGCATTTAGACTTCTCGGCGTGGGAGGGGAGTCGGTATTTGAGAGACTGGAGCGTCGAGATCTATGGGGTTCAGGGGTCTATGCGATTGAACATAGATGGGCCAGGGAGTTGTCTATTGTTGAAAGAGAAGATGGGACAGTGGGTGTCTGGAAGAAATGAACTGTTTTCCAAGAGGGAGGTGAATTTAGCCGAGGCTTTCGAGAGGCAGATGGAGTCCTTCTTTGGCAGAGTGGAGAATGCTAGAACCGATGAGGAATTTTGCGATGAGAACATGGCGGAGAAGTTACTGAGGCTGTACAATGCTTTGTATGAGTCTGCTCGTCTTCGAAAATGGGTGTTCCTCCAGGAGAAAATGGTGATGCACATTTGAGTAGCAGTACCTAGCAAAAAGAAATCCCCTAATCAATAATATACTTCGGCATTTCGAAGCCAATATGGATCTTCCACATTTTCTCCCTTCCAGCAATCCATGGTACACATGGAATACCAAGAGTTTAACGATGTATTGAACTTCTTGGGCATTGTACCACTCTCTGTCAGAGCCAACAGAATCGTAACATTGGTGGTCAGGTTCGGCAATCGAACAGCCACGTTGTTTATCCCGCTGTTGGTCATCTCAGAACACCCGCTATAGGCGTTACAGGGATTTGTGTCGACGAGTTCAAGGTAGGCATTTGACGGTAGCATCAACGTGATATCCATCGTGATATCACCTTGGGTCAAAAATGCAGTACGATTGTCCGCACCAAGGCTTACGTTTGCAGTCGTATGCCAACTAGCAGCAATGTCCACGGCGTCGGGGGCAATGATTTCGTCTCGGACAAAGAACTGCGAATCATCGAGAACCGCCACCCCGCGCAGTACGCTGGTTGAGACATTGGCGTATGCCTCTGTTAGGTTCGCGATACCAAAGCGGCTGGATGAATCGAAACTACCCACTCGGATGAGGGAGTTATTTGCGGACGGAATCTGATTCGCAAAATGCAGTGCGGTCTGAGTTCGGTTCGAAATGCTCAGGGTATTCGCCCCTTCGGAACGACAGCGATAATAGGTCCAACGTCGCGGCGCAGTGAAGTAATTGGTGAGACTGTAACTGTCGGATCCCAAAAGCTCGGCCCATCGGTAGCCCTTGTAGTCTACGACGAAGGAGCCTGCGTCCAAGTGACCGTGAGAACGCCCATTATAGCCCCCGATAAACCCATAAAACCAGCCATCTGAGTTCTTCCATGAGGTGCGGTAAGTCATTCCCGCAACGTTCTCAAACTGGTTATAACGAGGTATGCCAGACAAGACATTGGTCGTATTCAGAGTGGCATTATAGAAGAGAAATGCCTGGAAGGTTGCTGCTTCAGCAGTAGTAAATTTCGACAGCATACCCTGTAACCATCCGGCCTGGTTAAATCGCGTCGCCCAATACCCAATACTCCACAAACTGTTCGCATTGGAAAAAGTCCACGCTCCGTCGGCCCAGCTGAACCCCCCTGTTTGACCAAATCCGTGTGTCAACCAAGCGCCTAGGTTTCCCATTCCTGGAAGACTTGAGATGCCAAGGTCGTTCCCGAGAGCACTGTCCAAAGAGCCCATCATCAAACCCAGGAATATGCCTGCATATGTTCCGTATGAATATCCCTCGACCCAGCCCCCATCTGGTGCATACTGCTGCAAGGAGACGTTTAATTTGGGCAAGGAGAAATCTATGACTTGGGTTGCAATAGTTGCATTGATATCTCCTATGGCCAGGGTACCAATTATCAAGCATCCATGCGTCACCTGTGCCCAGTTGTTTGTATGCTCACTCCAAGAGTTGATTGAGGAATTGAGAGCTGGCACAAAAGACTTTTCGGATATTGCTGCCTCAATCGTCTTACGCTGATTTTCGGTCAATTCATCATATACCCAGTCATAGCCCAAGGAGACCGTCATTGTGATATCTGCCGTGTTCAAGAAATTTGATGGGTCCCAGTCGGAGAGATTGGCTACCGTCAGGATTGTTTCAATAACCCATTCAGAATAAGCAGTGTCATTGGTCAGTCGGTACATGCCTGCTGTTGCACCGACATTCATTCGAATGGTACTAGACCAAGAGCTTGCTGATGATAGCGACAGGGGCGTTGCGATGGCAGTCACCGCTGTCTTCTTCAAATATCCGAGAACATCTTGATAGTACAAATCTGTTTCGTTCATTGATAGGACCGCTTGGACCCGTTCATCGGTGAACATCAATCGTGGATGAGATGGAAGACTCGAAAAGTCGATTGAGGCAGATGCGACCGAGGCGAACACCAACACCCCAGGATGAAAAAGCAGCATTTTGCCAAGCTATGAGTCAGATAATTGGAGTATTTTTGCAGCAGGTCCAAAAGCCCTTTTGGAGAAAAATATGACGACTTACATTCCCTTATCTACACTTCTACCTGTCTAATCTCCATACAATGGTCCGGCATCCCACATATCCCACAAGTTTAGAGGTAATGGTCAGACTAAAATCTGGAGTAGTATAGTTTTGGTTTACAGTACGCTATCGGCTTCCTGCTATGATAGCCTGTGTCTATCCCGTAAATTGCGTGGGATGAGGTGGTGCCGTCCGAGCGTCCGGTTGAGTGCGGAGCCCCAATGATATATAGCGGGAGTGGGTTGATCACCCCGAAGTCTCCGCACAGCACCAACCTTACACCTAGCATCAGGCACCCCACTACACCCAGAAAGCCAATCCATGATGGACAATCAAGAAAGCAAGGCTGCAGAAAACAGTATCCAGTCTGAAGAAGAGCAATGTAGGGTCTTCAGTCATGGTGATTCGAAGATCTGCTACACTCGTTACAATTCACCTTTCTGGCAGATTGTGATAGTCAGCTTCGTGGCATTTGGGTGAGATTTATCGAGCTTGACTTCTCCCCGTGTGCGCTAAAAAATGTGAATAGATGCCCCGGCATGTACAACGCTCTCTCTGGAATTGGAGGAGCCGGTCAGCTAGACACTACTACGTCCGCCAAGGGTCACATCGCCCTCGCGTCTGTGAGCGCAGTAGGAAACATTTTTGTCGCCCCTATTGTGACAAATATTTTGGGTCCAAAATGGACTATCTTCATCGGCGGACTGCCATACGTTCTCTATGCTGGATCTCTGTTGGCATATAACCACACCTCGAACCAGGGGTTTGTCATCGGTGCGAGTGCTATCCTGGGTGTTGGAGCATCGCTACTATGGATTGCCCAAGGTTCAATCATGACCGGCTATCCGTTGCCACAACAGCATGGCAGGATGATTGGAATTTTTTGGATTATTTTCAAGTAAGGTCCCTAAGAGGTTGTTGATTCCTCATTTTGTTAATGGCCGCTTAACAGCCTGGGTGGGTTCCTCGGATCCATGATATCCTTTGGGCTAAACTTCAGCTCTGAGAGTGGCACCGTCTCGGATGCGACGTACATTGCCTTTATGTGCATCATGGCTTTTGGTTGCCTCTGTGCACTTGCCCTACTTAACCCTTACACTGTCATTCGGGAGGATAACTCACGCGCCGCCGTTTCGAAAAAGCCTGGCGTGTGGGATGAATTTGTGGGGCTGCTCAAAGTCCTTCGAGATTGGAGAGTGGTGTGCCTCGTCCCCTTCTGGATGGCTGCCAACTGTGAGTTCCATTTTTTCCCCTTTGTCACGCCAGGATTGAAGAACAAAATTCCCTTCGTTCAATTCTAACCCAAGACACCCGGCATGTTCTAGATGCCTACAACTACCAGCAAAACACCTACAACGCCAAACTCTTTACCCTTCGCACGCGCAGTTTTAACGGCGGCATGTACTGGCTGGCGCAGATGGTGTCCAGTTATTTATTTGGCCTTTTCCTCGACAACTCGTACATGAACCGCCGCCAGCGAGGAATCTGGGGTTTCGTCATAAATGCGATCATCTCGATGGTGGTCTGGGGAGGCGGATTGGCTGCCCAGCTCAAGCGTGGCCCCAACAGCAACTATTACGCCCTCAACGAGATGGACTTGATCTCTTCCGGAGGCAAGTACGCCGGCCCATTTCTGTTGTACTTCTTTTATGGCAGCTTCGACGCCATCTGGCAAACGCTGGTCTACTGGACGATTGGGTATTTATCGCACGAGTCACCTGAACAGGCGGCACGGTATGTGGGGGCGTTCAAATGCGCCGAGGCGGTAGGCAGCGCGATTGCATCCAAGGTCAATTCAGAAAAGACGGACTACAACGTGGAATTTGCGGTGGACTGGGCATTTGTAGTGCTGGCTTTGGTCTGTGCGATCCCGTTCGTGTTGTCGATTCAAGACGCGCCTCCGCACGCCGGGCAGGAGACAGTTTACGTCCAGGCAGATAAAGGGGAGACAGTTGAATCGCGTGGCGACGTGAATGCTCGAAGTGCGTAGGTGGTACCGATCTGGGATTCGTGGTTGATAAGGGAGATCCAAGCCTCATAAACTCCCCTCAATGTGACACTATTTAGTTATTGGTGGGAAATATCCGCGCCTGATAACACTAGATAGTTTTTGCGGCCTCGGAACTAAGAGCAAAGACTTCGCTTAGAGTTTTATCTTTCGAGACTTCGACTCATTGGATCTAAGACACATTAGGCATAGCCCAGTGAGTGGAGTAAAAAGAGGGGAACCATCCAGCTTGGCCCCGCAATGTTTATGCAGCAGCCTATCGAATAGTTAAAGAAGATCATTCCCGTGAACTGGTGCGGCGGATATTGTTCATCCTTATCATCTACGAATAGCAGTAGAGAACCCCTTGGTCGCACGTATCACAGAAACAGGGCGCCAGTCTCTAGCATGGAAAGTCCACGAACGCGAACCCGGCGCCCCTTCATCTGTAAGGAACCCGGATGCGGGCGATCCTTTATTCGCCAGGAGCATCTTCAGCGGCATCGTCTCAATCGTAAGCAATTCCCTACACAAGATTTAGTTGGAGCTTGACGACAACTGGATCGATTGAACGTCGTACTTATGATATTATTTTGTAGACCAACCGACCGAAATATTCTCTTGCGATCTCTGTCCCAAGTCATTTGTCCGCCAGGATTTATATCGCCGACATAAGCTACGCCATGCGAGGGGCATGTTCTTCAGAAACACAGGAGGGGTGGTTCATCCGTCATCGTCCACCGGTTTGTCTCCATCGGATGAGCGAGCAGATTTATTACAAACATTCCAGAGTCCTCATGTTCATGTAATGCAGATAGAGGATGCCTGTGGGAACATACAGGACGAGACACTCGACTTGGAAAAGGTCGTCCCATCCCCACCTAAAGACACTGAACTGAATTCTTTCTGGGTCACAACCAGCCAGATCACCACCGATCAAGATGGTCTAGATTGGTTCTTTGAGCCTCTACAGGGCATCAGTGACCTGGCTAACTATCCCATTCCACAATTTGAACCTCAAGTAGCGATCCAGTTCCAGCTTCCTTCTCCGCCACACAACTCTGACCATCAAGCAACGATGAATGCTGCACACGGCGAGGGATTTAATCTTCTTATCGACACACATGCAGACCAAGACAATGACTGGACTTGTGCTCGATCCAACATGCTTGACTCACTCAGTCAGCTCGATATGAGAGTCTTGCAATCACCATTCTTTGAGGTCGATAGTCTGAAAATATTTTTCGACCTATTCTTCAAACACTACCACCCGCATTTTCCCATCATCCACCACGCGACGTTCTCAGTGGTAGCCTGTCATCCACTCCTCCTGGTTGCGATTCTAAATCTAGGTTCCGCGATGGCTTCGGATGAGATGCTCTTCCATCTCGGGCAGCAGGTGCATCATTCACTGCGGTTGACAATTTTTAACGTATGCCCTCAATCCAATCTCCCTCGTATGCCCATTGCTAGAACTAAAAATGGCTTGTAGAGTGGATTATTCGAGCCTCCAATCCCTCTCTGGTGCCTTCAAGCCCTCCTTCTGGTGCAAGCCTATGGTAAAATGATATCTTCAAGGAAGAACTACGAAATGGCACATATTTTCCATGGGACAATTCTCACTGTATATTCTTCCCACAGTCCCCATTATTCCTCTGGTAGTATGAGCTAACGGAGCTTCATCTTGCGGCAATAGATGATGAAGAGGGGAAGTATTTATTTGACAGCTTCCACTTCGCATGCCCCCGAACCAGATGAGCCCCCACAGGCGAGCTGGCGCCGCTGGATAAATGAAGAATCTTGGCGCCGAACAGCATTCTTTGCATTTGTGATGGACGCTCAGCATGCTTGTGTATTCGGCCACTCGCCCGTGCTCTCGGTGATCGATATGCGCATCGCACTTCCGTGCCTTGAATCAATATGGGAGTGTACTTCAGTCGAGGCCTGGCAGACGCTGAATCGACCAGAAATGGCCGCGTTGCTCTTTTTACCGACCCTCAAGTCTCTGCTGCGCGAGAATACGGTTCCGTCACATTGCAGCGAATATGCGCGATTCGTACTTCTGCATGGATTGATGAGCTTACAGACTCATCTTCAAGCTGGCTCCAAGCTAACGCTGGGGATCGAAGTGGGGAAACTACAAGCCTCGGCGAGGACCCATGATCTCCAGCAACCCGTCTGCCCCGGTAGCAGCAACAGTCGCAGCGCCCCTGTCTGGGCAAATACCATTGACGCGGCTCTTGACCTCTGGTCAACATCACTATTCTCCCTCCAGCCGTCGCTGTGTTTGGAAGCGGCTCGCACCTTGCACCGCGTTGCACAGATCACTCTGCATGTCAGTGTCCTCGACATCCACGCCCTCGCCATGGATCCTTATTTCCCGTTCGATCATTCGCGTCCCAATGTCGACCATGGGGGCTGCTTTTTCAACAGTAATACAACTAAAGCCATGACACGGCTTCATCGCTGGGTCACCACTGACTCCGCTCGCAAAGCTTGTCGGTACGCGCTTCTCCTGGTGCAGGAAACCATGTTCAATGGGAAGCGTTACTCAGCCCGCGAGGATAATGTCGCGCCACGACCATGGTGCTTGTATATTGCTGTTCTGGCTCTCTGGGTTTACGGCATTGTTACAGAGGGCCCTGTTTCGGACGTTGCAAATCCTACTGGGGCTGAGGATTACATGATTCGCATGACACGCACGATGCAGCAGGCCAGCCCGATAAAACCGACTGTCGGCGGGACAAATCAGATTACCGGCTTAATACGGGCCGTAAGGGACGCGTTGACGGGATGTCGATGGGAGTTATTGCAAGAGGCTCATCTGGTGCTTCGGCGCTTAGGGGGTGAGACTGTGCTTGACGCTGGGGGTGATAGCAAGACTCTTATTTAAACCGGGGACGGAATTGTATCCCATTGCGGTCTCAAGTCGGCCGTATAGGCCTATCAGACAGATTAGTACAGCTACTTGACAGCATAGCTTAATGACACACCGAGCGTGGTCACTATTTGGAATAGTGTCATTGAAGGGTTTGGGTTCTAGAGGACAGCTGGGAAAGACCATCGGGCAAAGTGAATGCTGTTGGCTATATAGCTTACAGCATCATTTATCTCAGTCAATCTATCCACGTCTAAGTTGTGTTAGTCCCTCGTGTATTTCATTGCACTTAGGATTAGGACATGCTTGGTCCCGACACATGCACAGCATATAAATGAAGTCTTTGGCTGCTAGAATCTCTCAAACAAACTTCGGGCGAGAAAGGGATCCCATAGATTGGAAAGACTGTCCATCCCTTTTGAGCTTGCCACGGCGTTCAGCATAAAACTTTGTTCAATTGTGTCTGCTTTGGTACTAATATGCTTCGGTGAAACTATACAGAGACATAACACAATTCTTGACGAGATCGCGGCGCTGAGACCGACAGTTTGACTCAACGACGGGATGTAGAAGTCGAAGCCTACAGCAGGACTGAGGCTTTTCATCACATCTTTAAATCTAGACTACATTACGCTCAGCAAGACAAAGTAGGGGTTTCTGAATATGCTAATTTCACCAGTAAGATGATTCGAGCCACCGGTAATTGGGAGCCAAAATGCTATAGAACTTGTGCATCGATATTTACTCTCACTCCATGAATTTCAGGCAGTTATTTACACCAATCTTCATGGGTTAATGAATGTCCTTGGCAATGAAGGATGGTAGCATTGCTGTCCTCTTGAGAAACTGTGCTTGGGTTCCAACAGAACCTTAAAGACGACAACAATTCCTCATTACTGACATGAAGACCAGTACTGGCCGCCAAAGACGCACTTGTACGGAGGCTGACACTGAGTAGGACCGGCATATCCATCACCGCCACACTGGCCCCATTGAGCAACGAGGTTCCCACCACTAGAAATGGGGCTGGAGCTTGACGCGGTTGTAGTTGTAGCAGTATTTGTGGTCGAAGTTGCAGTGGGAGAGCTGGAGAAACTGAGATCACTAACAACCTGACCAAGGAATCCTGTATTTGCATAGAGCTGCGACATGTCCCACATCATGACTCCCCCGAAGCTACTATACTGCTTGGAATAAGAGATAGCAGCCTGGAGCTGGGACCCACTGGTGTAACCGGCGCCTGCAGCACCGGTATTGGCTGGAATGCCTAAAAGTACCTTCACGTGAGGGTTTGGACTGTTCTTGGCCCAATTATCCCACACGCCAAAGTTAAAGGCGGACTGAGTAGAAGATCCAACTTGGAAGTTCGATGTCTCGCACCAGTTATTATAGAACTGCACCAGGATAAGATCGAAAGCCACAGCATCGAGTGTTGTGCCATCAGCAGCATCTGGGAAGACACACTGAGGTGCAGCGGAGAGATAGTATTTCTTGTCAACAGCAGCATCCATTAAGCTCCGAAGCTTAGCACCAAATGCCTCAAGATTGCTGACTGTTGACTCAAAATCGAAATCAAATCCGTCGACAACAGCATCTCCAAAAGGACGATCAACGTCGACACCAGTCATGGGGCCAAACATGTTCCACACTGTCTGTGCCGCAATTTGGGCATCAGTAGTAGACGACCAGCCTCCCTGAGTATACGTGGCACCTCCGAGTGACAGAAGAATTGTTTTACCGTAGGATTTTTGACAGGTTGTGATATCATTTCTAACCAGCATTAGAAAATGTCGGAATGGAATTAGAATTGACCTACGCAATCTGTGTACAGTTCAGGAGATTTGGGTTATCAGTAAATGTGGTGCAGTTGTTTCCCGCGTTGGCAAAGTTTGTAATAGGAGGAGTGATGCCGTTCATGAACGCAACGGGAATAATCTATTAATCCCGTTAGTTCCAAATTCGATTTATCTCTGTAGACCACAAAGATAGATTAATGCTCACATCGATTTCGGTGTCTGAAGGTAACCAATGTTTGCCATTTCAGTTACTATCCTTGACAAGCATCATGGTTCAGGGTCCTTTTTAAGACGTACTAGAGCAGTAATAGGCAAGATTCTGCTGAGCAAAGGGGCCGCTACCCTGACCATACGAATTCTGTCCTGAATACCACCATATTAATTTCAATTTTCATCAAATATGGTCAAATTGCGGTGGTAATTGTACCCCAGTACACTGCAATGTTGGAAGATGAGCTAGGATCAAACCCAGCGCAGACCATAGGGATGAGGGACAAGGCAAAGCCTAGGATATTCAGCAAGAAACGCATAGTCGAGAGATAAAAAGAATGACTGAATAGTGTGCTGTGATACGCTTTGAAAAGCAAAATGTTCGGGCAAGAATCCTTAACTCGTGTACAGCTGATAATGATTCGGAGGGTTTGCCATGCTTTATATATATGACCCGACCTTGAATACACCCTTGAATGCTAGCAAAAAAGGCAATTTCCAAAGCTTGTTCTCCAATGAGCTCCCGTATAGGCAGTAGTATGCCATGGAAGGTTCGACTGGTGAAATGTGACGTGGAAATCCTCTAGCGCCTCATAGTCTCGTTGCATCAGTAAGAAATACTGCAACAGGAACTCAACCGCAATGAGGGTTTTTGAGTTGACGCGACTGCGGGCATGGGAGACACTGTAGTAGAAACCACTCGGTCATGGATGGTAGTGTCAAATATCCATCAATATGCAACGCTCGAATGAAATGCATCACTGCAATCGCATGTAACATACGTATGGCAGGTAAAGCAAGCATGGTCGACTGAAGTTAGATACCAGCACTCAAGGGACACTTCTTAGCAAAATGCCCAGTTTACCACTGGAAGTAGGTGTTAAACCCAATAGGACGTTATCGTGTCCATGCAACAGTGCATTAAATCATATCTTTAAGGTGACATGCGAATGGAACTTAGTGGCTGAGGATATCAGGGGTATGCATTCCCTTCGCCGAGTATTGATAATGCCGCCAATGAAGTCTCAAATATTGAGATGTTGCATTCCGTCCTGCGTGACCATGAAACCTTTCCCTGGCCCTCTCGTTAATCTTTCCAACACATAGTCTCGTGTTTTATCACAGCACAGGTAGTTGCATCTGTCCCTCGTAACTCCATCGAGACAAGACTCCAGGTAGGGTGCAAGGTTTTATTAAATTGGGTCAATGTCACAAGCCCATTCTTTTTTCACTAACCTCGTTGAAAACGTCAGCCAATCAGCAATGAGAGATGACTGACCATGAAACAGAGTAGCGTGGCGGTGTCCCTGGTCATCTATGTACTGTATCGGCCACCGCAGTCAGCCCCGCTCGAGCGGCCCCAATGATTTTCCGTGCCAGTCTGAGATGCTACATCACTCGAAGGATGAGAATATGGAACATGAGCGCGTCACATAAGCTTCATTTGACTAGGACATCCGTCACTACCTAAAATATATGCAGGCGGTCCATCCATACAGAATACCTAACTATCGAACATCGGTGGTCACTTAAAACATACGCAGGAAAGGAAAGCAGCTAATTTCAGTGTCCTCCAGACTTGTTCTTCCTATTCTGCATTAGGATTTTCTTAATTAAAAGGTTTTGATATTACCAATAAACTTTGTCTAGTTAATTTCTAATTCAACAGGTTCACTTCAATTTATTTTCTCGATGTCGATGCGAACCGGCCAGATTAGCTAGTTACTGGGTCGGCCACAACATGAAACAGGCTTTAGGATTGCCTTTCTCGGTCCTACTCAGCCCACTCTCTACTCCATACAACCATCTATGACGGATAGGATAGGATCACTGCATATGTAATAAAATTATTCTGCTAGACTTCTTTCTTTTCTATAGAATTTGTAATGATGTTTTGTCATTTCCCTCCTAGCCCAGGCATGAATGAGATATCAGACTAGAACAATCAAGTCGAAGACCCCAAAAAATAGCACTGTATTTACTCTTTGCCAAGCAAGTACCTGGTGCCAACTTTTTCTCTTCTTTCTTTAAGGAATCACGGGCTATTGTCTATATGAGGAACGGTCGCACCTTCTCACGTCGGGTACATTAGATGATCAGATTGATCGCCCCAGCCTTTTGATGTATCATGTCCATATAAACTTGCTCCGTCTACAATCAGCAGAATTGATCGGTAGAGTGTAATGAATAGTTACCTTAACGTCACGCGGAACAAAGAGACTCTTCCTTAGACAGACATTGTGCTGTTACCCATTCAAGATGACTTCTATAGAGCTATCTAGAGCGGCATCAACTTGGTGTATATCGCTGAAGGGGAATAAGCGGGCACCGATACCCTCCAGGGCTATATTCAATACTCATAATGGTGAACTTGACATCACTCTAGTTAGTTGTTGTAATAGGGCCCCTGGCGGCGATGATCACGATTTCTATTTCTCAAACCATGGCTTAATACACTATATTGGTTCCATGTCTTCTGTCAATGAGCCCGTCGCTACGCAGTATTTCGCGACTGTTTTACAGTCTCCCTCTATGCCGAACGGGAGCTATATGATTTAGTAAGAAACTCAATAGCGTCAAGGTACTTCGCATGTGGCTGTGCTAACCCTGTCGACATAAATACCGTCAGCTTCTTAGAAGAACTTCATAGTGAGCACTTGCTTACCGAATCAAGGAAGCTAGATCGGGGGTTAGAAGGAGTTGATTGACAGATCGATCGTTGGTAAGAAGACTATAGCGCTTCACGCCCACAACGGGCTGTATTCTAAGCGAAGGCCGCGTGGTCTCAGGATTCCCTGATCGGGATAATGGCCTTGGCTATTTTCCTGTTTAATGGGAGCTCGGACTCCCCTTTTGCGATCTCCTGCTCGACGGTTAGTGATCGAGTCAAGATCGGGACGGAGGCCTGGGGTTGGCAAGTGGAGTGATGGGCGCGGTCGGGCCGAATCAGAGACCTACTTACAACCCGGGCAAACTTTTGCTTCCATACGGCTAGAATTTTGCATGACGCCACTTACGGGGTGAGGCTAGGAAGATCCAGTATAAGTAGAGTAATTCTTCAGGCAGCTTCCTCGTGTTGAGAGTCAAGCAACTTTATTCAGGATCCGACTGTAGCGAAAGGCATCATCGCGCGGTACGAGATGAGTATATAAAACGATGTTGGTACGTTGAGGTTTTTGATGGCGAATGCGAGACCAACGCATTTTGACATGCAAATGCTAAAGCATCAATGGCACGGCCATTTGGCTATGTGGACCCGAACTTTCCCAATCCTGGTGGACCAAATGATACCAGCACCATAATATACGGCTATACGCAATCTATCGCCATAGCAGCTTTTACTGCTGCATGGTTCTTTTTTCACTTTATCACTCACACTGTGCAAAACTGGAAATTGCGAAGCTGGTGGTGGATGACCTTCTCTACTGGCTTGGTGTTCGAGATCATCGGCTACATCGCGTGGAGTTTATCAGCCAAGAAGGACCCTTACAGCCTCATCTTCTTCGTCCTCAATTACTTTTTCATCGTGACGGCGCCGGTCATCTTTGCTGCGGGAATTTACACCGTTCTTTCAGCTCTTATTTCCCGACTAGGAAATATGTACTCCTTCCTCCGTCCAGCAGTCATCCTGGGATTTTTCATCAGTTCAGATGTGATTTCAACCATCGTCCAAATTGCTGGCGCCCGCCTGGTTGGCGTGAAAGAGTCTCGGCGACAAGATCCCACCACTGCAAACAACGTTCTTCTGGCAGGTCTTGCGTACCGGGTATTTGCTATGAGTATTTTTGTCCTGCTAATGTCGACATTCCAACTTCGAGCTCGCCTTGCAATCAAGGAGCATGGTCTACCAGTCTTTCGTCTGTCCTTGTCCATCTCAACGCTCGTGGTCTACATGCGCACTATCTTCCGTCTCATTGAGACGGCCGAAGGTCTAGGCGGGAAGTTATCAACACGTGAAGTCTATTTTGCAGGTCTCGAATTTGCCCCTATTGCGCTTGTGGCTCTTCTGTTTTGTATTTGGGATCCGGGTCGCTGACTTGGAACTAAAGCGTGCATCCACAACGAGAAGCTCCCTCTTAGAAGCAACTCGGGTGCCGCTGCGGCTAGTTTCTACTCATAGGAGGGTTTTGGGGTTAGTTTCGCAGTGAAAAACTGTATACTATGTCATAGGTACACCCGGATTTAATGTCATGTCAATTTGTAAGATCATACGACGACCGTTTGATAGATTAGATGCGGCATATGCCGAGTCTACGCCAGTAACATCAATTTCCTTTTCTCAAACATACGGAGTTCTTTCGACTTCAGAGTTGGCGCAATAAGCCTTGATTATATTGAGAGCAATATTATTTACTCAGGATGACACCCTTAATTACTGCGGATATAAATGAAATTTCCCACCGCGAAATAGTCATGAAAACTATTCATGATTAAAAAACCTATCGTCCTCTTGTCCTCGAACCCATTTCTCAGGTAACAATGCCTTCTTTCAAAATCCATCGTGTATGCTTTCATATGACATTCTCACACTGTTTGTCAATAATAAACCAATGGCATTCCCTGATTAGACAATGGATTCCCTAAATTAGGTTGCAAAGGGACTCTCTCACGAGAGCTGAGGGCACAAAGACCATTCTGCTTTTCTTTCATTCTGTGTGTGGAAATACTATATTTATTCAATATTTCTCGAGCATTGACTATAAGAACGTCAACTCCCGACTAGATCAGAGTCTTCATCCCTCAACAGTCTGGTTTACAAGCACATCTCCACCGTACTTGGTACATTTAAATTCCTCTGGCCAAAGATTACCTCCAAGTCCGCTAAACAACAGAAGTCAACATGCCATCTGTTGATCGAAGCACCTATGATATCTGGCTGGCAATATGCAAACACCGCAATCCCAGTGGTCCCATTCATTGGATGATTCTCATGGGTCATCCAGGAGCAGATCAATGCACGCGATTTCACAGTACTGGCTATCCAGGTAATTATGAGGTACACATAGAGGCTGGCAAGAGACTTGATAGCTGGAGCTTAGAGTCAAAGCATTTTATTTGCCGAATTCCGGGATCTTTTGGAGAAACAGTCTGGGATGAAGCTGAGGCTATTCCAGCGCAGAGCTGCCAATGCTGGGTGTCTTACCTGTTGTTGAGACTTGAGCGGCGTTATTTAGTTCCCTGTGGGACCTACGAACATTGGACTCGATTCCATATGACCTCCCGTCGTGAGGATAGGGGCCTTGGTTGTTTGTGTGGGTAAGTATATTCGGTTCATCTTTCATATTTCATAATCTCATTTGTTGAGTTTTCCAGTTTCCGACATGCTTGTCAAATGACATTCAAATCCTCTTTCATTGTTAAGTTGTCGACCGATCCGAGAGCCCTTGTCCCTTCGTAGTATTCCTCATGAGGACAGTATTTTTAATGTGGTTTTACTGAAAAATGAGATCTCGTATCACTACAAGCGCGGCGCTAGCGCACATGTCGTAAGTCGAAGAAATTCCTTCCACGGCTAATATAAGATATGGAACCCCTCGTACAGAGCGAGTGTCAAAGGAAGCCATTCCGAATATCAAAAAGAAAACAACTGCACATCTAGCGTTCCTGGACCGTATACTCATTTTTTAATCAGGGTCCCGGATATTCGGTTCAACCATATCTTGCATTGCAGTCATTAGTGGCATTACATGAGACTCATGGGGGTTCCTCTAGGTGGGAATAAAGTGTTTGGAGTCACTCTCCTGTTGGCTGAAAGACTCGGGGAACGCTGCAATCCCCCCGATGATACCGATTGCCATGAACAAGAGAGAGACAATAGACCAAATGACACCCCAGCATTGCGAAGAGCCTCCATATTTCCGAGCGAAGACGCTAGCGTCAGAGGAATTCACCTTGCGCAGAATGAGATCATCACACTGTGAGTTTTAAATATCAGCATCCGAGGTCTGACCGAACTTGATCATTGAAGGACTCACGATATCCCAGACGCTATAGAGGGCAGACATCACACCGATGAAGAGCTAGTGCGCAGGGGGTTAGATGCTAATGCTCGTCGCGCGCAGATTCACAGAGGATTCTCATGGGGATGTGTCCTGGGTTAAAGTACTCACCACTACCCATCTCAAGGCTTCACCGTGAGCAATGAACCAGCATGCCACTAACAGACCGACGGCCAGCAGAATCGTCATGATGGTCAACCAGTCTCTCCGAGCCCACCACAGAGTCAACAGAAAACAGACGCCGAGGACGATGCTGGCAATTTTGCTCGCCACAATATCAAATCCCGCAAAGATCAACAAGGCGCCGATGATGGATGAACCCAAATACCCTGCCGGCAGGGTAATGGCGCTGATACCGCCTTGCATATGGGTCACGCCGCCCTCGTGGGGATCAAGCGAGATGGACTTGACTTTTCCACCAGTACAGCATGAGGTGATGGCATGGCCAAACTCGTGAAAGGCGATTACCAGCATCTTCGTATGTTGTCAGATCTAGGCATCCACATTGATGGAAGGGCAGAAAGAGAGGGGGGGGCTGTTCTGGGGTTTCACTCACCTTGAACGGCCACAACGACCATCGAACATATGGTAAATTCCAGAGAAGTGCGATCACGACGACATAAACGGCCATAATTCCCAAGGTGACAGCCTGGGTATGGTTCACCGTCAGACTGCGCTTGACCAAGTGCGGGGCCATGTCCGCGGCCCGGGCACTGAGGGCTGAATACACCGCGGGCATGCTATGGAAACGGAAGACAGCGCTGAGAGAGACACCAGGAATCGAGGAGAGTACTGTATATTCCGAAATAAAGGGGTTTGGTATTCTGACCCAGCTCCTCTAGGTGCTTTTGATTTGATCTAGTAATGATCGAGAGTTGGAAAGTGGAAGTTTTTGTCCTTTTTGTTGTACGCGCGGAATGGGAGGACGCGCATGCCCTCGGTGTTTGGGGTGTGGACATTCCCAAAGAGGCATAGTAGCTGTGGCGCAGCCACTTTCCTCCTATTTTTCTATTTTTAGTGGCTCAGCCCTACCGTCTCGTAAGACCTGGCAGTAAACACAGCGGGGACAGAAAGTAAGTACAGTAAGTAAGTCCATTATGAGGACCCGCCGTGAGAGCATATTGAAGAACGGGAGTCGTCTAGGCTGTTTCTGTATCATATTCTGTGTCAATGATCCCATCTTACTAAGGTTCCCACTTGTCCTCTCTAGTACATCGTAAATCCCCCTGGCACGTGAGTAGGTATCACGTGATTTCCTGAGTAATTAATTGGTCATGCCAGTCAATAACTAGTTAGTTAGTTAACTATGGACTGAAACAATCGAGCGCGAGATTGTCGAGGATATGACTCTGAAGGTATTGGAGTACAAGTATCCACCAAAACGCTGCCAGCCTTTTAACCGATGACTGGGTCCATAGTGGAGTTCGAGGTTGTTCGCGGTTGTGTTCGGTCTATCCCCGGGATATCTAGACGTATATTTACATCTTCCATAGTTTAAGTACCGTACAGTGGAGTGCCTTGGAAATTTGGTATTTGCTTCTTACATCTTTACGATCAGTCTTCCATCTCCCTCCATGTTCAAGATGAACTACCTATAGGTACCTAAGAACCTAGCAAGAGCTTTGTTATCAAACGGAATGTTAATGGGTAGCTCGCTAGGTACTCCGTACCTACCTGCCTTTCGATGTTATCCCGCTTGAGGCCTCGGGTACCGGTGCAGACCGCCCTTGACTGGAACTGCCCATCGAATGACCATCACCACGCCGTTTTTCCATGTCCACACCTACCTGCCTCCAGGGCTTTAACCCTCGACCTTAGTGTCACAACTGTCTATCTCCCGGGCTGCCGCTCGGCAATGAAGTGGTCTAACAGCCCCTGGGCCTGACGGAGAGAATGCCCTCCCCTCCCTTGGGGATGGACGGACGGTCCAAACGCGACGCTGGAATGCGACCCTGATTTGTTTGGACCCCGCAAACCCCACCGGCTTTGGCATCAGAAATGAGAAAGATCAACAAGCGGGGGGAATGCCCCAGCGGTACGAGGTCTCATCCACCTCCACCTTCTCGCGTCCGACGATAATCCCGCTCGGGGATACCTTGCCAGGATCGAGTCGTCTCGGGAGACACTGTGATTAAAATGGTGATCCCCTTGATCTCGCCATCGAAGAAGGCCCCAGAAACACTATAACGCGACAGACCCCATCTCCCAGCGCATTTTGCCCTCTATTGATACTGAAGCTTCGATGAACCCTCGGACGACGGATTACGTCCTGCATTTATAGGCATGACAGTCATCTTGCCCATTGTGCTTACTCTGGCGGGGTGTATTGTCGCCCACCCGACCGGTCAGACTGGGAGCGATGACAAGCGCGATACTCCCGACTACCATGGCGATGCAGGAGTTCTCAAATATGTCAATCCATTGATCGGCACATATGGCACGACGCCCAATGGCAACGGAGGCATGATCCCGTCGGTCGCGCCGCCCTTCAGCATGACCCGCTGGACACCACAGACGCGGGAGAATTTCATCTCCCAAGTTCCCTACGGAGACAGCGACCGCCGGATACATGGGTTCCAAGCTACCCATCAGCCGGCCATTTGGATGGGAGAGGCGGGTCAGGTGGTTCTCACCCCAGGGCTGGGAGAGGTGCAGCCGCTCTTCCAGAACCGGGGATTGTCATTTCGCAAGGAAGATGAACAGAGCACGGCTTACATGTACGAAGTCTTGCTCGATGCGACACAACTTATGGATACGGACTGGAACGCCACGGCAGAGGTCGTTGGGGATGGTCCAGTTCCGGGGGAGCTGGTGCGGTACCAGAGACTGTGGAAGAAGGTATGCCCATCACCTCCATCTTGTCGAAGGCATCTTTGGAGCGTCGTGGGAACTGATCATTCCATCAAGGTGCGAACGGCAGAACGCGAAAGCGCGAGACACAGCCTGAGCCGTTGAGCAGCAATGCCTCTGATGAAGGTGCCTACCAGCACTCGATCCAGGTAAACATCATCGACCTCCGACCGCTAGCTCAAAGAGGATAATTGCTGACCGATTGGTTAAGGTTGCCCTCTCAGCAGATTCTCACGTCGGGCACCTCCGATTCGACTTTGCTCAGGGGAGCAAGATCCCCGAGAGCCAAAAGCTTCAGCCCTGGGTATTCGTCGAAGTTTCTCGACGGAACTGGACGGGTGACGTTCATATCGACGCTGGGCGCAGAGAGATATACGGATACAATACGGAGAGACAGGACTACCTCCTTGGTCCTAACCGTGCATCATCTTTCAAGGGATATTTTGTTTCCCGATTCTCCGAGCCTTTCGTGGAGATTGGGGTGAGCAATGGCAACCAAATCATCAAGCATGCGCACCAACGACACGGTAACTTCACAGGGGCCTATGTAAAATTCCAGAGAGACGTATCTCGCCTCGAGGTACGAACGGGAGTGTCATATGTCAGTGTTGAACAGGCACGCAAGAACTTGGACATCCAGATACCCGACGACACAACCTTTGAGAGTACCGTTGAAAACGTCAAGCAGGAGTGGCTCGAGAAACTTGGCCGCGTCACAATCGACGGGATTAATGATACTGATTCGGACCATGACCCTCGCACCGTCTGGTACACGGGCCTTTTCCACGCACTGCAGTATCCAAGTGACTTTTCGGAGCCGACCTCTGCAATGAAAAATGGTTCGCGTATCTTTTATTCGGGCTACACGGATCAGGTATACGAGGAAAATGATTCCTACTATCAGTCGTGGTCCATCTGGGACACGTACCGAGCAGAGCATTCCCTTCTCACACTTTTCGCCCCAGAGCGAGTGAACAGTATGATGCGCACATTGCTTCGCATCTTCGACTGGTCTGGATGGTTGCCAATGTGGGCTAACATGGTGGAGACGAATATTATGATTGCTACGAATGCCGATGTGGTGCTCGCCAATGCATTGCAACGTGGGTTCCGAGATTTCGATATCTCCAAGGCATGGGCTGCTGTCCAGAAAGATGCCTATACACAACCAGATGACGATACGAGCCTGCTATATTACGATCGAGAGCCAGGCACCTCGTACGAAGTACGAGCCGGACTCACCTCGTACATGAAGCAGGGGTGGGTGTCCAATGATGGCTGGGCCGAGTCTGCTAGTCGCACTCTGGACTATTCATTTAATGACCATGCCTGCTCTATCGTTGGTAGTCACGCCGGAGCTGATCAAGACGCTATCACAGCGCTTCGAGACCGAAGTCGCCATTACGCAAACCTCTGGAATAATGACACGCAGTTCATGCAGGCTCGCAATGGGAATGGGACATGGGCTAACAACACCTGGGGTTGGACCGAGGGCGATGACTGGGTGTATACATTTGATGTCATGCACGACGTCGAGGGACTTGCTCGCCTCTTTGGTGGTCGGGAGTCTATGCGTGACAAGCTTGATGCGCATTTCCAAGGCGGGCACAATGATCATACCAATGAGCCGAGTCATCACGTCCCCTATCTTTACTCCGTCCTTGGCTACCCCTCGCAAGCCGCCGAGGAGATCCGGAATATCGCTTGGACAAACTACAATGCCACCAGTGGTGGGCTCAGCGGGAATGAGGATCTCGGTCAAATGAGCGCATGGTATGTGTTTTCGGCCCTGGGCTTTTATCCGGTCAACCCGGCCAGCGACGAGTATGTGGTCGGCACTCCTTTCTTCGAGAAGATATCCATCCGCCTGCCATCGGAAGCCTCCACGGGAGGCGTCATGACCAACCAGCCCGAAAAGGTCCTCACCATTAGCGCACCCGGCGCACCTACCAAACCATATATCAAAAGCTTGAAAGTCGACGGGAAGCAAATATCCATGCCAATCCTGCGACATGGTCAGATCGTGCATGCAACGGAGATTGAGTTTGAGATGAGCGAGGTGCCTACAGCGTGGGGTGGGGAGCCCTCGTGGGAGAGTCAAACAGCGTAACGCTGGGTTCGGCTAAGATTCCTTGGAACATTAAGCATGCTTGGATATTACCTCCTGCCTCTCTAGTCCTTTATGACGCCATTCTAGCGACCGTAGAGTACTCCGTCGTCGGCCATACGCCGAGTGCCGGAAAGTGGAGAGCAGCCGACCCCCACAGTCAATTAGCCAGCCATTCAAGTGAATTCTTCACGATTAGCAATGTTGCATTGTTTGAGTAATCGATGGTTTCACCCTTCTTGCAAGCATCGTGATATCCCTATTCCTAGTTTGGAAATGGGTCGTGTTGGAAAGACCTCAGCCCAACAGTTCATACCGACCATGCTCCGAACACGGCTGCGTCTTGGAAACAGAACCGCTCACAACTACCCCAAGATACCTTCATCATGTCTCGCTGAACTGGGGACGGCAATTCCTGCAACAGGGCCGGTCAGCAGCTCTCCGAACGAAGACCGGAGACATCGACACGAGCCGAGCGTAGGCGACGAGAGTGGGGCTGGTGGCGCCGCCTGCGTGGTTTCACCAACCAACTACTCCGTACTCTCCTCACAACAAGCTGATCTTCATTTACAACCAGGCCCCGTCGGCTGAGTTGCTTCTCTTGTCGAGTCTCTGGTCAATTCTGCAGTCTCAGTCGGCAGCCTCGACTCGGGGTTATGACGTGCGGGTGTTGCTCAATCCGATTGTTGACATGCCGAGGGTGAGGACTTCAGTAGAGTCGCGCGTTTATATCACAGGTCCACCGCTGCGTGACCTGCTCTGAACCATACATACCGTCGCACGCACGATGCTGGGACTCTCCAAGGCATGGATCTGGGCGGCCATCGCGGTCGCGTCCATGCCGTGCTCTCTTGCAAGTCAGGCCCCGTTGGATCTTGGGAGTGGCTTCAACCTCCTAATTAATCAAAGCACCAATCATCTCGCGGTATCTCGTGGGGAGCAGATCATCTGGGAGACCATTGCCAATCAGCCTTTTCTCAGTGCTAGTGCGGGCTCCGACCAAGTCATCGGCTCGAGTGGTAACTTCAAAATCCACGAGGTCGACCGCAGCAAATGCACGGGACAGCGCATCAATCGCGTCGCCTCAAGGACATGGTCAGGTAGTGCGAATAAGCAAGCAGCTGTGATCCAAGGAGTCCTCACCGACTGCGGTGATCGTTCGGCCGCATTTTCTCTTGCACTTTGGGTGCCTGCCGAGTTCCCAGACCGCATCGCGTTTCATATCGACATCAACCCAGGCTCGTCCTCCAATGACCCCGAAACCAAACTGTTCCTGACCTACCGCTCCTCACCATCGGAAGATTTCTACGGTCTGGGTGCTCAGGCATCATTCGCTTCATTGAAGAATCAGTCGGTGCCGATATTTTCACGAGAACAAGGAGTGGGTCGTGGAGACCAGCCCACCACGCGTCTCGAGAGCGAAGCCAGTTTCTTTGCTGGAGGTGATCACTTCACCACCTATTCCGCAGTACCGCAGTACATTTCCTCTCAGTCGAGAGTGTTTCACTTGACAGAGGAAAGCACTGCCTACGCGAACTTTGATTTCCGCGATCTGAATGCGGTGACTGTGCGATATGCTGCACTAGACGTCGATGGCTACTTCATGCAGGCAAGCAATATGCTCAATGGCATTACGATGCTTACAGAATATACCGGTCGTATGCCCGAGCTTCCTACCTGGGTGGATTCAGGTGCCGTTCTTGGGATCCAGGGTGGCCAGGCCAAGGTGAACCGCATCGTCGAGAAAGGAATACAAAAGAACTGTCCCATCGCTGCAGTCTGGCTCCAGGATTGGTAAGTGCCACTGCAATACTTTGTACTGATTATTTATTGACCTCTGCTAGGTCTGGAACTCATACCCAGAGTGTGTCGTATATGAGTCTTAACATCTCCCGTCTGTGGTGGAACTGGGAGTACGATTCAGAGCTTTACCCTTCATGGCCGAAGTTTGTGCAAAACCTACGCAACCAGCACAATGTTCGCACTCTGTCCTATATCAATCCGTTCCTCGCCAACGTGAGCACCAAGCCGGATGGCTTCCGACGTGATCTTTTCTCAGAAGCCACCAAGGGAGGCTATATGATTCAGAACGCGACAACGAACGAGACATCGATCGTTTCTAGTGGTCCGGGCATCGAGGCCGGTATTCTGGATCTTACCAATCCTGCAGCTTGCTCATGGTTCCGGGATGTCTTGATTGATCAAGTATGGAGCGCGAATGTGTCGGGCTATATGGGCGACTTTGGTGAATACACCCCCGTGCCCTCGAAAACTCGCTTTGCCAATCGTAGCATCGACCCCCTGTTTTACCACAATGAATACCCCCGAGACTGGGCCAAGCTGCACCATTCCCTCACGAAGAGTGTCTCGAGCTTCTCAGATGCCATCATCTTCCACCGTTCTTCGTCGCTGGCGGCCAACCGCTACATGAACCTCTACTGGGCCGGTGACCAGAACACCAACTGGGGTATAAACGACGGCATTAAATCGTCAGTGACCGTCATGGGTCACATGGGCTTGTCTGGATACGCACATGGACATATGGAGGTTGGAGGGTATACCACGACCTGGGACAGCAATGGGATTGTCAATCGCTCCGCCGAGTTGCTGGGCCGCTGGGGAGAGCTGGCGGCCGTGTCCAGTGCCGTCTTCCGCTCGCACGAGGGAAATGTGCCCCAAGTGAATGCTCAGTTCTATACCAACTCATCGACGTATTCGTACCATGCCTACAACTCTCGAATGTTTGCCAGTCTGGCAGCCTATCGTCGCAAAATTCTGAACACAGAAAGCAAGAACCTGGGATGGCCTTTGCTGAGAATGCCCGTTATCTATCATCCCGATGATATCAAGGCGAAGGCAATCAGCTACGAGAGCTTTTTCCTGGGGGCTGACTTATACGTCGCGCCCGTTCTTGATCCAGGCCACAAGAGCGTGGAAGTCTATCTACCCGGCCAGAAAGAGTTGTACACTCATGTCTGGACGGGCCGGAAATATCACGGTAGTCAGACTATCAAGGTATCGGCACCTTATGGCAAGCCCGCGGTATTTGTTGTGGGACAGCCGAAGCATGATTATCTGAAGGACTTCCTTGAGTTCGTTCGGAAAGAGAATGGGACTGTCATCCACGTCTAAGCGAAGCCCCAGTCAGGCGTCCCATGTAACGAGATGGAAATACTGCAAAGCTACTGGTTATCAGCCATCTGGTCTAGTCTGAAAAATCTTGTAATAACAGCTGGTTGTGTACCGATTGATGAGATGAGTACGGAGTTTATGAGATGAAAATGTCCGATAGAGTTTGGTTCTGCACGTTTAGAATTCCACATCAGGCAAAATACCGATGAAAAGTTGGATTGCTGCAATCACCTTGTCCGTGCCACCGGGATCGACATACATAGAATGATACGTCAGTAATAACAGACCATTATTGGGGTTACATTTCCCCTCATGCATCCACGACACGCCACTAGAAGATTAATGGGCTACTTGCGTAGGCATTTTTTCTTTATCGATGCTTTATACAGATTGTTCTTAGCGAGCGTGTCTTTTGAGATGAACTTTTTCTCGCAGCTTAGAGGCATAGACTATCCTCACTTGCATAAAGAGATAGCACACTTCGACCCTGAAAATGAGGCTGTCACTTTCGAGATACCTTGTTTTGCCAGTTTTGGGCTATTTCTCTCTAACACGGCCTGCTCAAGCGAACTCTGACTGTGAGTCTTGAATAATTTGATTCCGTGCCTCGTCTATTAGGTGTTCTCTGATGATTGACTTTCAGAATAATAGTGGTACCTTTCGCATTTGAACCTCTCCCACTAGGGAGCATCAGTCCCAATGGATGGCTACGCACGGAGCTTGAGGCTTCTGCCGCGGGCTTAGGAGGACATCTGCATGACTTTTTCCGGTTCGTTGCAGATTCAACTTGGATAGGAGGCACATCGGAATACAGTGATTTGAACGAGGCTATGCCTTACTGGGTTAATGGCCTCGTTCCTCTTTCCTACACCTTACAAGACGAGAGGCTAAAAGCGCAGGTACACTCTGTCGTTGATACGATCTTGGATCGCATCCAGCCTGATGGCTGGATTGGACCGGAAACACTTGCCGGAGGCGGCCGCATGATCTGGGCTAGGACATTGCTATTCCTCGGGTTGACTAACCTCGTTGACGCAAATTCAACTTATGAAGTACCAGTGATCAATGCACTGCATCGGTTCAACGCTCTCATGAACTCCATGTTGAAACAAAACGGCACCGGAATGGTCTACCATGAGGGCGACAAACCGACCGCGGATGATTTTCTCTGGTTTCGTGCACGGGCTGAAGACATGATGGTCAGTTTGCAGTGGCTGATCGACTATCACCCAGGAAATCAAAGCGCACTTCTCAAGGAAAACATCGAAATGCTCCATAAGTTTGCCTACAAGTGGGAGGCTTGGTATACTGAAGGCAGCTATATCAAGGAAGACCTCTATGATCTACCACAGTCTGTTACAGATGATCAGTGGGCCTTTCTACACGGAGTCACCATTGCAGAAGGTAAGCAGTCAACCCGAATGTTGTTTGTAATGCTCTAACTCGGCCTTTTGTCCAAGGTCTCAAGTATGCAGCGGTTTTGCGACGCTCTACCTCAAATGATAGCCTCTTAACAACCGCAAAGAACGGGGTAGGTGACAACGAAGGAATTCAATGCCTTGTGGGTGCAACATCGTCTGACAGTTAATAGGTAGACTGGACTTTCCAGTATCACGGTTCAGCATCGGGTACAATTCTGGCCGACGAGCGAATTGATGGCCTGAATGCCTACTACGGCTCGGAACTATGCACGGACGTGGAGACCATCTATTCCCTCGCGTACAACTACTTCGCGATTGGTGATCCGGACTACGCCGATCGAGCTGAGCTCACTGCTTTCAATTCTCTGCCGGCTGCCATGTCAGGGGACTGGTGGAGCCACCAATACATGACGGAGCCGAATCAACCCTTCTCGAAGAATCTACCTGCTACGCCGTTCTTCGATGACAACACTCAGAGTCAGACGTTTGGTCTGGAGCCCAACTACCCTTGTTGTACAGTCAATCATCCACAGGGCTACCCCAAATTTACCATGTACAGTTTCCTTCGAAATGGCAAGACAGGCATCGTTCATGCATTGCTCAGCCCTGGCAAGGTCAACACCGAAGTCCAAGGCAAGCCGATTTCTGTCGACTGCCAGACAGATTACCCCTTCAACAGCAGCTTGTCTTATGTTGTAGGATGCCAGGACCCGTTCGAGTTCTACCTGCGTGTACCCAAATGGGCTACCAGTGCTACTGTGCAAATTGGGGATTCCGACATCCATGCACCGCCTGTGGATCGAAAATCAGGTCTGATCAAAATCAAAGTACCGTCTGGGACTACAAATATTCGATATGATTTAGGAATGGAACTTCAAACAGTCCCTCGCGCGAATGACACTGTTTCAGTCTACAGAGGGCCGCTGCTATATGCGTTCCATATTCACCACACCGTCACATCTGGACCGCCCAAGTTCTACAACAACCAGACGGATTATCCTGCTGGAACGTATCCTCCTCAGGCTCAGGATCATACCCTACTGAATTCTACTCAGTGGAATATCGCGATTGATCCAACAACCTTGGCATTCCACGAAGGCTCTGGACCGCTGCCCTCGCCAACGTTTGAAGATGGAAAGCTACCTGCGTACGTTACAGCTAAGGCTTGCCTTATTGATTGGCCCATGTTCCGGGGCGCCGTACCCGGGACTCCCATTCCGAAGAATGAGCGAAAGTGCCTTGGTGATGCGTTTGAGGCAATACTGCGGCCCTATGGAAGCGCCAAGCTACACATGTCTGATCTGCCCACGATCGATCTGTCGGAATAGCGAGAGAATATTATCTACAACCCAGCCTGGATACAGCAGTCTTGGTGCGGAAGTTAGTCATAATGTAGATTGAGAATAGCAATGTCATAATGGCAAACGTATAGGATTGGATAAACCTTTACGGACTGGTGATCTTCAGTTAGTACTGTGGTGTGTGTATAGCAGAACAATTTAAGAGTGAAAAGTAGAACCGGATGAGAGGAAATGCTCGCGTCTAAGAGCCAGTATTCTTAATAGGATCCTTCTCTGCGCCTTCAATTTGTTTCAAGAAAGCCTTCGCAGCTTCTGGGTCCGAGGCAAATATGTGCTCTGCAACCATCCGTCTCGGCGTCTCTCCCAGCCACTGGAATAGCGAGAAATCCTGGAACTTGTCCGCACGGAATATTTCGAGTACTTCCAGTGGCTCATCATCACTCAAATTCTCAATGAAGTGTCCCATATTGCGCGGAACAATGCCAACATCGCCAGCCATATAGTCAAATGTGCGGGCATTGCCCTCGGCGGCAAAGATGGTTACTCGGGCACGACCTTTCTTGAAGTAGCTCCATTCATCCGCATTGGGGTGCCAGTGCATCTCCCGAAGTGCACCGGGCTCAATTTCCAAGTGGGCTGCGGCCACAGTCTTTGAGATGGGGAAATTAGTGGAGTCTGTGATTCGCACGCGGCCCCCGGATGTATGAATCGGGTCCTGAGCATGCATGTGATGCGTGAAGCGAAGTTTGGATTGACGGAAGCCAGGCGGCTTCTCGTTGTCGATACTGTCTGGAATCGATCCTTTGAAGATGTACTTTTCCGAGGTCGGAATCGACTTGAATCTCTCAGGAGACAGGCGGAAATTTTCCGCTAGGACTGACTTTGACGTATGTGCTGGTTTGAAAGATGAGTCGGGGAACAGGCAATGTGGTGGTATTGCAAAGATCACTTACCCATCCAGTCCGTGAGTATAAAGGTAGACTCTTCAGAGAAATTGCCGTCGTCAAAGATAAGAAGGAATTCGGTACCATTGGGACTCAGTCCCTGCAGGGAGTGCGGATGTCCTGCTGGGAAGTACCACAGATCCCCAGCTTCAAGGTCATCCATGAAGCTGCCTCCATCAGGATCGAGCGCAGTGACCTAGTACGATGAACGAGTCAATTTCTGGGTCATTGTTTGGACACGAGTCCCCAAGACGTTGATATGGGGAATAGATAGTTCACGGACTCACCCTAACTCGACCTGCGAGGACATAGGCCCACTCAGCTTCGGTATGCCAGTGCAGTTCTCGGATTACGCCTTCATCCAAGCGCATGTTCACTCCTGCTAGCTCACGACTTGTGGGTAATTCACGGATCGTCGTCTGGCGCGTCCATCCGCCTTCCTGAGTGACTGGTCAGCCGCGAGATCATCAGGAAACACGGCAATTTTGTTCAATTGGATCGCGCGGTTACCTCGATGCGCGTATGCGAGTCGGCAAAGCTCCATCGCATATTGGACATACTGCCATGGTCAGTGCTGGGAGGGCGAACAAGATCGGGGTTCTGGCGCTCGCGATCTTTGTTTCGTGGGCCCTGGACGGTCGCTCCGTCGCCATTACGGAACGGTAGCGGTTCACGGTCCTCGCCGACCGAGTCAATCTTGTGGTCGAAGGGGTCTCGATGTCCGGGGCTAAAGGGGGGAGGACTACCAAACACGTCTTGGCGATTACTCGGTGGGATGCGCATCAATTGCTGCAGGGCATGATCGGGTGCAGGGCTGGCACAGGCTCCCAGGAGCAGCCCCAGGTGGGCCAGAGCCACGAATGGCGGAGATTGAACGTGCATGGTCGCAGGAGAGGATATCTCGAATCAAACAGAAGCACTCGGAGGACTCGATTGCCGTGGTTAGGAGGGTTCTTTCATTAGAAGATGCTCAAACAGAATCACGCCTTCGGTCTCGGGGGGAGTCGGCGCTGTTTAAAGTCGAGCACTTCCCCACTTTCTCCCCCCAGGACTCGGCGTCCAAGCGCATCCATGGCGTGTTGGAGTCGTGTTGATCCGACGTATCCGTTCAACTGGATCCTCCTGAGTCCTGGGTCTCCAATGGATTCAAAGCAAACGGGAATCTTCAAAGGACATCGCCCTCCCTCTTCGGTAGGGCTGAACGACGCCCTGCTCGTCCCCCGCAGGCCCACAGTGGATCCTCCCGAACAGCCCGAAGATCGTAATTATTGTGCAGCCTAGCGCGATGGTCTGCTTCTTCACCTGAGCTTTCTGTCTCTCGGTTAGCTCACCAAAGTCCGAATGGGGTCTGGGTATGACGGCAATCAGAGTGGGGGGAAGTGCGGAGAAGAAGAAAAAGAGAAACCAAAAGTCACCCAAAATCGCGGATGGGCCGCTTTTTCTCCGCACGAGAACTTTGACCAGTTCAACCTCCTCAACACAGCCCACAGCCACCCCCCCCCCCCCCCCCCCAAGGCCCACGTCCAAATCCCGTCATCTTTCTTCTACACTCCTTAAGTAGTTGACGGGCAACTTCAGCGCTTTGTGACCTGCGCAGCTCCAGTGCTAGATCCTCGAAGATTCGTAAGTAGCTCCAGAACGTTGAACCTTGCCCAGACTGCTAAGACAATTGCTAACGCATCTCCTAGTCGCCTTGACGGCCATTTAAAACACCTCATCAAGTCCTTCCTGGCTCCACCTATTTCGGAGCTTCAGCCAGCGTCCACCTTTGACGTTCACTCGCTGCCGATATGCCCTCCGAGACTGAGCCTCTCTTGGGCAATCAACACCCTCGCCAACCCTCGGTCGGGTTGCAGGGACTGTCGCGCTATTTCCGCGATGAGCTCGATCCCCGGCGAGGGGACCTGCTGCTCCTCTTTTGCTATATCATTACAGGTCTCCTTGACAGCTCGGCCGTGTTTATCTGGGGCTCTTTCGTGAGCATGCAGACCGGGAACACGGTGTACTTTGGTCTTGGTTTGGTCGGAACCGACGATGACCGATGGATCAAATCGGGAGTCTCGATTGCAGGCTTTTGCCTGGGATCTCTTTGTTTCGCAGCCTTCCATCGGACTTTCTCTGCGCGGCAACGTTGGGTCCTTTGCACATCCTTCCTGGCCCAATTGGCTTGTATCGCAGCCGCGGCCACCATTGTGACACTCTCTAGCCCATCTCGGGATGCTCCATTGAGCTGGCTAGTATTGGTTCCCCTGGCGTTAGTCGCATTCCAGAGCAGTGGCCAGGCGGTGGCCAGTCGCGTGCTCAAGTACAACGGCCTGACCAGTGTGGTTCTAACCAGTGTCTATTGTGACTTGTTCTCTCACCCCGATTTCCTGTCCCCCAAAGTCATTGGAAATGCCGAAGAGATGCGTCGCACGGGAGCCGTGATCTGTCTCTTATGTGGAGTTATCCTAGGAGGGCTGTGGGCCCACAGCTCAGTAGGCATGATGGGGGCGCTATGGACTGCGGCAGCTTTGAAAACAGCAATTGTGATCGCATGGCTGTTTTGGAAAAAGGAGGGACGTTTAGAAAGTTCATGATGGGCCCAGTTGGTCAGGGGGAAGCAGCTGCGTTGTATATACGTTGTCCCCTCACATCTAGTCTACAGTCATGTCACTTCTAAAAGGGATATCTATGTTTGCAAGTCCGTAAGGTTGGCCAGGCGACCCAAGTAAACCGATCAAAGGCGAACTTGAAACTGTGGATTGGTCCGAATGGCTGCGCCATATCGCGCAAAAAGCAAGGGCACCACGCACAGAGCTAAGGCAATGAATGCTAGGAGGGAGTTTCTTTATCCAAGGCCGACGGCGCTATACATTGACGGTCCTGCTAGAGGAAGCACAGAGCTCCGACTATGTTTTCTATCGCCTGCCTAAGGCACCACCACATCGGATCGGGTAACTCGGTGACTAATCCCCTTTGGGATTGGCTGCCAGTCATGTGACTGCAGCTCCAACTCCATTACCTTCATAGGGTCACGTGATCAGACATTGATTCAACCAGTCAGATCTCAGGAGTAACTTGCCCGATTGCTTGGACTACAACTACAGTCGATGACAAAGGGAACCTGGCGAGTATGACACTGAGATGGTCCATTCCCCATGATCTTTTCTAACCCGCCGAGGTACAAAATTCCAGTGATAATGGAAGCAAGCATAGAGCTAGCTATCAGTAACTACCTATATAGGCTCTATCCATATGTCAAAAAGAACCTGGGCCAGTACGAGACCAGGGTATGAATTTCATGCACTGCCGCTGCGAAGTGACATTGACGTGGATCTTAAACTATCTACGGACACGACCTAACCAATGGAAGAACCGAATAAACTCGCTGCCTAGCGCCAGCTTATTGGGGCGAGGAAGTAAGTGGTAGTAGTATGGACTTTATTTGGTAAATTATGACAACAAATGAAATAAATAGGCCTCTTAAAGACCAAGGCAGATGTAGGGAACTTATGCTAAACGTTAGGATTTAGTTTGACATGCCTCCTTTCCACACACATGAACTTCGCAGTCTGCGAAATGCCGCCAAAAATGCAATTATTGTCCAGGCGACATTAGCCACGCAGCAGGATTTGCCCTGGACCCTTAAAAATACATACTCTATGCAATTAGGAACGGGACCAGCCTCTGTACGTATCATTGGCATCAGTCTGGTCGCACTACCCCAGCTCCGCACTAGTAACTGATGTCCCCATATTTCCGCGGAGCAGTTTCCCTGGACAATGATCCAATCTGATATCAAAACACCCGCAGATAGCCGTGGGATACTGATGATTCAGCGACAGCTTTGGTATCGTTAACTACTTGCAGCTATCCAAGTTTTAAGCTTACAGGTGCTTTCGCAAAGATAGAATGCCAGCTTTGATACCTGGGGTAATAATAATAATAATAGGAACCAGCTCATACTAATACCTGGCTCCCTACGCGGGGAACAGAAAAGCAATCAAGTTAGTTGCCATCTTCGACGCGGACAAAAAAATACCGGTTCTTGGGTGGCGTAGTCAAGCCTTTGGTTGAACACAGACTCAGTTCACGCCCCCCAATATCAAGCCATGGCGTCGTTTAGCGCACCTGGTGCCGGCTTTCCGAAACCTTAATGATCAACCTCAACCTCAGCACGAACCATACAGGCCTCTGGAATTGACTTGACCGTAAAAGTAATTGTAAAATACGCTGCAAACAAAGTTGAGAGCAGCAAGGAGGACACAAAAGTTCGCTGAGTCTAGTTTTGAAAAGCGGGTTTGGTGGATTTAGGCCCACCCCCCCAAATAATGAAGTTCCACGCAACCATACTTGCCGGTCCCTTCCTCGCGAGGTGACATCGTCGTTGAAACCTGGATGATTATTAGAGCCCGACGCCATGCGACGCATATGATCAACAGGATGGATGTGCGCATAGGGGGCCCGAGGCTGCGACATTGCGTTCCCTCATCTCAGGCCCCCATCTTCTCGTGTTCCTGATTTCTTCTTCTTAACCTTTCTCGCTCTCTTCATCCAGACATTCAACCCCGATATTTCATACTTGGCAACCCTTTAAATAAACCCCTGACCTCTCAGATTCTTCTTAAAGATTGTTAGGTTTCTGGTTGGAACCTCTGATATCATGGTGCAGGCCTACCACGAACCAATCGACAGTGCCCGATCAAGGGAACGCGATGGTATTATAAAGGATGAGGAGAAAAGGCATATCGAGAATTGCAGTCTCGAATATGAAGATCCGTTCGGAAATGAGGAATTTGCGGAAGTCAGATATCGAACCTTGTACTGGTGGTACGAAAGGCATCAACTCATTTTGCCCGACGAAATACTTACTAACAACTCGGACTACATATATAGGCAATGCGGAATGAGTATGACGTCCCCTTGAAATTGTGCCAAATGGCCTCAGTCGACAGTACTGAGCTCCATCGATAGTCATGATCGCAGAAACAATCTCATTGGGAATCCTGTCGCTACCTTCCGCCGTGGCGACTCTCGGGCTAGTCCCGTCAGTTTCAAACAAGATAAAATTCGAGTGCCGGGCTCAAAGTAGCTAACATTTTTCTTAGGGCGGTTATCCTCATTGTCGGACTAGGACTGCTTGCAACTTACACAGGATACGTCATAGGCCAATTCAAACTCCGCTATCCACATGTCCATAGCATGGCCGACGCTGGGGAGGTGCTATTTGGGCGCGTCGGTCTGGCCCGCTTCGGAAGAGAGTTTCTGGGAACAGCACAGTTGCTCTTCCTTGTCTTTATCATGGGAAGCCATCTTCTCACATTTACCGTCATGATGAATACACTTACAAATCATGGCACCTGCTCAATCGTGTTTGGTGTTGTTGGTTTGGTGATTTCCTTCATCTTTGCACTTCCCAGAACCTTGAGAAAGGTTTCCTGGTTTTCGTTCGCATGTATCGTTTCCTGCTATCATCCGCTTTAAAATGCGTATGAGCTGACGATGAGTAGCCTTTGCAAGTATCCTAGCCGCCGTGCTCATCACGATGATTGCGATTGCTATACAGCGCCCCGGAAACGGTAAGGTAGATGCAACAACAAAGACCAGCCTTGCCAATGGGTTTCTAGCGGTGACCAACATTGTCTTTGCATACGGTTTGTCTTAAATACCCATCTTCTACAACAATTAATCCTGATCATGATAATCCACAGCTGGCCATGTTGCGTTCTTCGGGTTCATATCAGAGATGCAAACCCCGACAGACTACCCTAAGACTCTGTTCTTGCTCCAGGGAACCGACACGTGCATGTATGTTCTCGCTGCGGTAGTCATTTATTACTATGGGGGAAAAGATGTGAAGTCTCCTGCCCTCAGCTCTACCGCTCCCATCACGGCGAAGATTGCTTATGGAATTGCAATCCCTACGGTATGTTTGGCGCCGACCACGTGGATATTGAAAAAGCACTTACCTTATTTCGGTAGATCGTCATCGCAGGAGTGATTAATGGCCACGTTGCAGCCAAATACATCTATGTCCGTCTATTTCGTGGCACCGATCGCATGCACAAGAGAACTGTGTTCTCAATCGGATCTTGGGTAGCGATCATCTTAACATTGTGGATCATTGCATGGATCATCGCGGAGGCGATTCCAGTCTTCAACGAACTATTGAGTCTAATTGTAAGTGCCAAAATTCTGATTAGAGCGGGCGAAAATACTGACCCAAGTACTTATAGACTGCCCTTTTTGCAAGCTGGTTCACATGTAAGTGCCCCAAGGCCTCCAATGAAGAAAGCTAACAGATCTTTTCTCTAGATGGACTGAGTGGCATCTTCTGGTTGTTCCTGAATTGGGGACAGTACGGAAGATCGTGGCGGAACATTCTGCTCACGGTTATCAATTTGATTATCGTGGGAATCGGAGGTTGTCTGGTAAGCCGATAAGGATTCCTTGTCTCTTCTGCTATCGAAGAAACCGCGTGGCTGACAATTATGAAGTGTGTAATGGGTCTCTGGGTCTCTGGAAAAGCCATTCATGAAAATTCTAGCAGAGCTAGCTTCTCTTGCAGTGCAAACACCTAGGTCGGTGCTCACAAAGGCCTAGTTAGTTTAAGAGTTTGACTTAATCTACGCTATACCTGGCATCAAGATTGAACGCGATGCTAGTCCACAGGGATTCGGAAGTTGAGTTTGTGAATACATACAAGCATTAAAACAATATATCCTTCTCATTTTTCTCATATAAGGCAATCTCACCGATGGTTCGAATGCACCTATTAATCGTCCACATTTCCCTATACCTTGGCTATTCACACTGCAAAATACCCTAAGCGGGGTCGAATCTTTACTAAGGATTTTTGAATTTCTCTCAATGAAAGCCACCCAGCTTTCTCATTACATCCACTGAGAGAGGACAGACATAACCATTGTCAAAAATCTCCCTTCTCCGCCTGGTTATCCAGTATCGCCTGATCATGCGACTCAAACATAGACTCGCGCATGAACGGGCTTCGTCGACGGATGTCAGGACCCTTGAGGACTAGGACCACTGGCACAACTGAAAGAGCGACGCCAACAAACCCGAGCAACGAACCAGCCCATCCATAACCCAGCGTGTCGAAGAGCTCGAACGAGGCCAACGGTAGAAACGCACCGAACGTGTTGCGACCTAGAGATGCGACTAATAGAGCCGAAGCTGCATACTTCTCGTAGGCATCGGTTAAATAATTCACGACGGCCATGTAGATTGAATAAATTCCCACGCCAGTGCAACCGATTCCCAAGGTGGGCACAATCCAGTGGATAGATCCGTCACCCACGCTTCCCCATCCATACCAGAAGAGGCCTCAGGTGAAGAGCAAGCTGCCGGGAATGGAGGTATATAAACGGGCTTCTGGTATAGGGCGACCAGGATTTTCTCAGTTGTTACGAGCGGAGCGTAAGTAGATCCAGTCTTGGATTGGATTGACCACGGTGCCAATGACTGCGCCAACGGAAATTGCGAGTTGAACCAGACCAGTGGTGAAAGTTCCCCATCCATAATTATGACTGAATGTCTGCCCGACACTGGAGAAAAAGAGGAAGAGGATCCTCCACGCAAAGCTAACCCATAGAGTAAAGAACGTAACGACTGGCTCAGTCAGAAGCATTCTGGTAGGGCGCTCGAAGGAAATCTGAAGCAGCTTCCACACGCTTGTTGTGTCCAGCTCGCTTTCGGCGTATAGAGGACGACCAGTCTCTTGACGTAGACTTTTGGCTCGCTTTTTCAAAATGACATCGGCTCGCGTTTCGCGTAGTATCAACCAAAATACTGGGATAAGGGCGGCATTGTAGATGATCTGAATATAGAAAATCCTGGATTCTGTCAGCTTCGTTAAAGTCTGAACTAGGAAAGGACCCTTCTGACTTACCATCGCCATGGACTACTTTTGTGTATGGTTTGAATAGACGATCCGATGAATGGGCCCAAAGCAATTCCTACGACACTAGTAAATCCAAATAGCGACATGGGCAAGCTGCGCGCCCTATCGCCATACCAGACATCACTGATACTGCCCCCGACAATGTTGATGGAGACAGATGATGCCCCGCCACCAAAGAAGCGGGTAACGACCAAGGTAGCGAAATTCTGCGCAAAGGCTGACGGGAACAGGGAGACAACTAGGATGAAATAGGAGACAAAATATCCCGGCATGCGACCAGAAGAATCCGTAAGTGGCACAAAAATTAATGGCCAGAATGCAGCTCCCATATTCCAGGACGTTGTTGCCCATGCGAGGTTTGGGAACGGCTCATTCTGAACATGAAATTGCTGTTCCATCCATTTATTTCCAGCGCCATAGGATCCCGCGGGTAGTCCAGTTAGAATGGATCTATCGAAGGTTGTTAGCCTGCTTCTGTAGAATATGGAAATCGAGTTGAGGTTTTGTATTGAGACTGACATGAAACAGATAGTGAGGGTGGGGACCCATTTGTATTTGTTGCTCCAATTGAACCTATACCAATCAGTTTCCTTTTCACCACGCTCCCTAGCCTATCTAGTCCAGTAGGAAGTAGATCCGAGGACATACGGATTGTCAGGGTCATTAGGACCATCGCACGTGTGAATCTCAATATCCTTGTCGCCTCGTAGAGGATGACGACTAACATGTCCGATGTGAGTCTCGCGGTTAAAGAACGACCGAACCCTATCTCATAGTCAAGTTAGAGACTGAGACAACACCTGTGCAACAATGTGCATGAACCACGCTCATACCTGGACAAGAAACGATCATCAAAGTCATTGTGATGAAGGGTGCTTGTGGTTTTCACGGTCGATGATCGTTGAATGGGGTCATTATCAGGCTCTGCCGAGTCCTGAGCTCGAGGCACATCTTGGACAATATGGCTCTCCATCTTGAGATGGAACCCATATTGATTCCAATATCACAGGCGACTACCCTGAGATAATACTAAATATCAAAAAAGACCGCTGAGTCAACGACTAGTCGACCGTTCCTGCTTTGTGTCTGTCTATTCCGTCATTGTCAAGGGGTGGATCTATGATGATCTGAAGAGTGTTGAGATCGAAACAGCGCCAAATTGGTGAGGATGATGGGTTAGCTGGAATTGGAGCCATTGTGTTGAAATGATTATATTGTGCTCCGTGATAGCTAAACAAATGGTTAGGTTGGCCTTTTTCATGCATCTTGGAGGCTGGCGATCAGAGCAAAACTGTGTCCCTTTCAAGAAAGCCCTGCGTTGGAAAGAGATCTATGATCGACACGGCCTAGCACGGCCCACGTCGGAAGTGGGGCAAACAGCATTCAAGCTTGACCAGGCTGGATCTTGCGCGTGGTGATAAAAAATATCATTCAATTAGGGTTGCAATGCCACCATGACTTGAGCCGCTCAGTATCTAGAATTATGCTTTCCTTTCTGAAGCAATATACGGTACGCAATTACTGGAGAATTGGTTAGGCCAACAAGCGACTACTGTTAGGTCGTGGCTGTAGCAGGATGTAGCAGGAGGATGACATCATCGCCAATGGGGTGGTCGAGACAGTCATGACGTCACTCCTCCGAGAGGATCCGCTATGGCTTTCCTTGCAGATTCCTGTAGAGTTACTAGTCCTGGTCCTTTTCTCCACTTCCCAGTGGCATCAATAATACTCGTAAGCGCATACATAAACAGCTTCTACTGTAACAGCTTCCTAGTGCTTATGGATACGAAAATAAACGTTAGTCACACGCAGTGAGGGGCACAAACAAGGGCCAAGAGCACGGGCGCATAATGCACATGTTATCACCCGCCTATGACGAGCCAGTAAGCCCGATCCAAAGATGAATTCTTCGGTCATCAAGGTCGCGACCGAGTTCCAAACCGGCAAAAAAGAGGGGCATTGGGCGCATCTACATACGTAGCTGCTCTTTGCTAAGGAGGGGTGACGGGATGACTGACCTATCAGTCATACGTTTCTAATCCCTTTTGACCTTTCCAGGGTTTGCTTTTTTTTCTTGCGCTGTCCCTTTGTTGCTTTTACTATTTCTCCTGGCCCATCTCCCCCCCTTCGCAGTTCTAGTCTTTCCCACATCTTCATTCCATCTTCCCGACTCTCAATTACTACATACATCCTCTCAAAAAGGACCACTCGCTCCCATCAGACAACATGCCTATCCCAGTGCCCCAGTCCGATAGCCTGAAGGATCTTTTGAGCCTCAAGGGCAAGGTCGTGATTGTCACCGGTGCTTCCGGCCCTCGCGGTATGGGCATTGAGGCCGCTCGTGGCTGCGCCGAGATGGGCGCCGATCTGGCCATCACCTACGCCACCCGACCGGCGGGCGGCGAGAAGAATGCCAAGGAGCTGCAGGAGCAGTACGGTGTTAAGGTCAAGGCTTACAAGTGTGACGTGGGCAACTGGGAAAGCGTCGAGGGTCTAGTCAACAACGTCATTAAGGACTTTGGCAAGATCGATGCTTTCATCGCCAACGCCGGTCGTACTGCAGACAGCGGAATTCTCGACGGCTCCGTGAAGGACTGGGAAGAGGTTATTCAAACTGATTTGACCGGCACCTTCCACTGCGCCAAGGCCGTTGGCGCCCACTTCAAGGAGCGCGGCACTGGTAGCTTCGTCATTACATCCTCCATGTCCGGCCATATCGTCAACTTCCCCCAGGAGCAGACCTCCTATAATGTCGCTAAGGCTGGCTGCATCCATATGGCCCGCTCGCTCGCCAATGAGTGGCGTGACTTTGCCCGTGTCAACAGTATTTCCCCTGGATACATTGACACCGGTCTGTCCGACTTTGTCGAGCCGAAGATTCAGGACCTGTGGCTCTCTATGATCCCAATGGGCCGAAATGGTCAGGCTAAGGAGCTGAAGGGTGCTTACGTCTACCTGGTCAGCGATGCCAGTACCTACATGACTGGCAATGATTTGATTATCGACGGCGGATACTGCGTCCGGTAAATGCAATCTGTACATAAAATCTTTGGCGGGTTACTGGGTGCCATTGAGTCTTCAACATCTAACGAAACGAAACAATTGAAATACAAATGTTAAATTTGAATCAATACAGGTAGTCTCCAAGACTTCACTAGTACTATATCCGAAAAGAAGAGACAAAACAATGGCTGCGGTGAAAGAATAATAATCATCACAATATGGCTCCCCACGTACCCCGCATCAGCGACCTTCATCAGGAATCATTCTGACTGGCCCGCAAATGGACCCGCAATGGTGGCTGTAATCGGGGCGTTTTCCACAAAGATACCCGACCAAAACCAGTCCTCTGCAGCAGAGTCGGTGCCTCCATTGTCTAGCCGCAGCTCACCGACATGCCAATCGGCAGAGTTGGTCGAAGTCGATGCGCTAACACCAGTGACGACGGCAGTCAATGGATCAGAGCCGTTACTTGCCCACAACGAGACACTCTGTGCATCGAAGTCGATATCATAGGCGAAGTTGTACCAGTTACCAGCTTCAAGCTGTGTGGACCATTCTGTCGTTCCGCTCACACACCAACGAAGTGTGTTGTCCTCGCTGGCCGAGTCACCGCTCAGCAGACCGTACTTCAGCTCGGTAAAGTGACTCTACATGTGATACATCAGAAACTGTCCCAAGAAGGAATACGAATGTTGCAGATACCTCGAAGAACGCAATTTGGTGTTCGAACTTGGGATTGGGAGGATTTATATTGTTGGTCATCAATGAAAAATGGTAGAATAGGCGTCCGCTACCCAAATTCTCGGATGTTTGAGGGATGATTTCGCTGCGCTCCATGGTCTGGCCATTCCAAAACGAGGTTCCATCCTATCACGAGTGAGTAAACAAATTTAGCGGTCAAGAGGGACAACCTACAATGGATATTCGAATACCCTGGGCATCACTTGTATCCGCTGGGTTCTTAAAGTCTGAAGAAAGTCCAAGATAGTCAGAGGTATTCCCAGTGCCGTGAATGTACCACTGCCAAGGTGCAATCTGGTTGGACCAGGACCCTACGGATCGCATTGTCAGGACTAATCAATGAAAATATGGCAACATCCAACGCACATTCATCAAAGTTAGCCACTGAGGCTGAAGAATTGAAGATGCCACTCCACAACACGTCGCCGCATTGCACAGCGACAGGGAGGGAAATCATCCACGCAAAATGTTTCCTCATCATGTACCAAGCGGTTGCTGTATACCAATTGACAGTCGCTTAATGGAGAATTCGTAAGTAGTCGGCGATCTGGAGCATCCTGAATCCCTATATAAGCATTTATATTGATGCCCGGTTACCGCACTTGAAACGGAGCAAGTGACAAAATGTCCCAGGTAGGGTAGTTCGTAGGCAATAGGGACGTGGGAATCCATACCAAATACTTTGATTAAATAACGTTTACTGTCAGAAAGTTCTCACATTCGCCCTGATCGACATCGCCTGTTTCCAGATGGGGCACGGGCCGAGCAAGTTTCGGACCAGCAGCTAATTCTTATGAAACGTCACCTGAAGAAGCTTTGAAACGGCGCCAAGGGTAGCAATATTTTCGTCTCTCGTCTTTTGTTCCACCGTTCATTCAATTGACATTCTGAGAGATGACATAAAATACGAAGGGACTGGCAAGGTATAAGCCAGTCGAAATAAGGAAGGCTTGAATATCACCCAAGTGAGCTACCTCGTGGAATACCTTTCCTGGCGGACAACCGTACGTGTACAGGTATATGTATACTCTAGGCTGATATAATGTGTCAGAAATGTACTACTGGACTTGGGATATTATCTCTCGATAGTTTTATTGACACATGATATTTCCAAGTTGCCTTGAAACCTCTTTAGCGGTGATCAATGTTGATATCTCATTACTTGCCTGCTGTGGACACTCCAGGAGAGACGCAAACTCCCAAATCACCGGCCTGGCACCTGCTGGATGATCTCTTAAGGACCACTGAACGTACCATTGAAGGACCTTCTCTCCTCAGTCACTTGACAGCAGGCTGACTCACATATTCGATTTCCGACCTTTCCAGGGTTGCGAAACCCTTACCCATACTGGCATTGTAGATCCGTGTGTGAATTATTTGTAGTAAGCTATTACCGTTTGCCGCTTGCATGAGAATGGAGAATGGGGCCAATTGAGCAAGGGTAACCAATCCAAGATGAGTTAAATTGATATGAATTAGTTAATAGACAAGAAGGAGCGGAGTGTGCAATGACACGTTAGGGTGTCGTTGCTTATATAGTTAGGGTCAGGGGGTTGAAAGTCCCCGATTCTCGGAGTGTTGAGAGTCCCATAGTAAAAGAAAGAAATCACAACACGACAAACTAAACGGTCTCCGGTGTGACTTTCACACCCATGTTCCTCGACAGAGCCAATCCAGAATAACTCACACGAAAGCGACCGAATCACTGGTGCTTCTGCAGCTGGGTCATTCCACCTACCTGCTCATATTGTTCTATATACCAGGAGCATACCCCGTAAACTAGATCAGATGCAAGGAATATACAACAGCCCCATATCATGAATGGAGTTGCCAGGAATTCAAATTCCTCATGCCAATGCTGTACTCGGAGATAAAATTCAAGGACCGCAGTAAGGGAGCCAGTGAAACGCCAAAGCCTGCTAATTTCAGCCACAAGCCTCTTTAACTCTTCGTATGTAACAAGGTAAAAGAAGAGAGTACAAACCATAAACTAAAGGAGAACCCGCGCGTGCTTCCCCGTGTCAGAAGTTGGCATAGAGATCCAACACTCAAAGTAGCTTGTAGTATGACGCCTGTCATGACGCAGGCCTTGGCTTCTCCAATTTGCTTCGCAAGTCCCAAAAAGCAGGCTACTGACGTCCCGATCCCGACTGCATAGATTATCGGCAAATTGCGCCTTACAATGGGGGCGTGTTCCCACTCTCTAGAACCATATCGGATGGCAGTGTAAGTCACTGTGCTGTTGATAATAACGGCAAGTCGGAAAGCAGACTTTAATACCCAATTATTCGAGGGGTAGATGAACCCGAACGTGATTTCCCATGCTAGATTGAGGCATTGCGAGAACAGTGGCATCCCGTAAGAGTGATCCTGAACTGATCGTTGGATCATACCCAAGTAGACAATGGTCCAGGCAAAATTTGTATACACAGTACAAAACCAGTACGTATTCTTCCATTCTTGGAACTCGGAGGGGGCGTTTGAAAAATCCAAGCTCTCCATTATTTGGGTTGGGATTGGAAGACAACCGGCGGGGATATATTTACTACAACAAGAAAGGTTCCCTGTCATCTACTTATATAGCTGTAATATTCCAAGAGCTCTTAGCTGCAGTATTAAAGCATAATATGTAATATTCACAAGGTACAGTCCATCTAGTAAGTGGTTGAACGCATAAAACTCGAATTCGGCCTATGGGAGGCCTGTAAGCGAGTCTGGGTATCAAGCAATATTAGTCGTAGTATAATATACTCGGACTAGGACTAAGTGTTTTCCTTATATGGGAGCTTCTGTTTTAATGCTGTGTTGTTCTGGCTTCTGAGCGCACTATTCGTGCACTAGGGTTAAACTTATAACCGAATGGCATGAACCGGGAAAGAATGAGATATTAAAGCCCCTGGAGCTGTCCCTTGGATACTAGTAGTTTGCCGGAAGGACCCATACTAGCTAGCATACTTTAAAACAGGGCAGACTTGACTTCTTTTCTTTGAATCAAAGAGGTCTAGTAATCCATACACAAGTGTCCACGTATGCACTATGCAAAATTCTTTGTAAAACTAAGAAATTCAATAGCCAGCGTGCTATTGGGCATCTTATTAGCGGCCCGTTCAAAAATAATTTGAACTAGTGGAATCGAATGGAAAAGTAGTAATTGGCTGTACAGAAGGGCTCGCTTATATATTAGTAATCAAAATAATATTGTAGGTAACTAACTAACTAGTTAACTAAAAGTTAGCTTTAATATATGTCACTAGAATGACGACTCTACGTAGTAATTACGAATAAATAGTTGGGTGTGCCTGAAATTTAGTGAAAATGTAATATCGACTAATCTGATCGTACTCTAAATAAGCCAGGGGTTCTTTTTTAACTTTGGAAAGGGGCGGAATTCAAGTAAGTTGAACTCTGCCTCTGTTACCATCAAATATGTAGAGTTGGCAATTAAAGTATAACTAAAATCACTGTTCCAACTAGTGTATTCACTTAATGTGCAAGAATAATTTAGCAAATGCGATAAACAGTGAGCTGTGGTGGACACCTCAAGTAGGGTTAAGGAGGGATAATAAGGACTTTTACATATTACTGCGAGGCTAGTAAGGGTAAACAAAATTAGGATATGTGCGAGATATGTTCTCCATGAAGCTTAGTCTATTTCATGGCTTTGGAATACTATCTGCGGATTTAGCAGAGAGATCCAGTATGTAGAGGCGACTAAATCTTCCGAAGAGTTGAAAAAAGTTGAATAGAACCCAGGATATCCGCCGTATATTTGAAAATAGCTCTTAGAGATCGGTAAGCGTGCATGTATCTCGTGTGATTTTGCTAATCCTTTTCCTGTGCCTTACTTAATACGTCAAGGCCAAGCCCAGCCTTTGTTGCACCTAAAAAGAAAAAAGGAAAAGAAAAGAGAGGTAGCGAGAGCGACCTACAAAAATAGAGCCATACATTTAAATCCCACCAGCCATCTCTACCCCAGTCATCTAAATCCGGCAGTCTCTCTATACTTGACCAGCTTCTCAGTGGTCAAGCAATGTTCGGCGTGCCAGACTTTTGGTAGACGATGGTTGATGTGCGAGATACCGCAACGGCCCATCTTCGAGTTGCCGAAATTCAAAATTCTCACGGTCGCTATATCCTAGCCCATAGCGAAACTCACGGCCTCGTGGAAATTGCCCGCATCCTACGATCTATCTCTCGATCTTTCCGAATTCCTCAAAACAAAGTTCCAGATATATTGGTTCGCTTGTCTGTGCCATTGCTTGGTTTCAGTCAGAAATATCTAAAACAGAACTTGGGAATCCCATTCGATGTCGATAATCGTCCCAGCATGGATGAGTTGAGTATCGTCTACCGGCCTTGAAGGAAACATTGGTAGACCATTACGAGTGTTGGAAAAGTGCTCAAAATTGATCGGAATAGCGTCACTGGGCCGTTCTACAACGCTTGAACAAAGGCCCCTACATTGAGACCAGGTCTACTTGCATTAAAGTTTCTCAACTCAACCGCTTCTAACTTAATTCATGTCTTTACTGTTCCTCGAGATTTGTTCAGAATTCACATTGGTAGAATAATGTTAAGTAACGGAATAAGTACTGATTTTCGCACATCACCCATCGAAATAATCCCTGTCCAAATTAGGATACAATAATTCACCCAATATATCCTATCATGAGACTTTTGTATTGCTTATTCCGTAAAATTCATCATTACACATATGTCTTGTAGCTATGTTATTGTTCGCTTCTACGGCCAGCCCAGAAAAACTCCTTCGGCGCTAGCCCTCAGAGCTTCAATCGGAAATCTCGGGATTAAATCATTCGGCTCTGACTGGATTTTGCGGCGGTTCATTAGGTAATATGGTTAATTGCCCAAGGTATCGACCATCGAAAGTGCAAGGTATATACCTAAAGCCGAGTCGGACCAATTATTTGCCCGTTGTTCTTGCGAGACTATATTTCGGTATCGGCTTCTTTGACTCCAATTTGCCCGGGTTAGATGAATAATCAAATTTCAGCCAGTTCGTTAACTAGTTAACTATTGCCTCTTAGTTACGAGGCGTAAGCCGAGGTTAAATGTAGCATGGTATTCGGAGGTCAATAGCCGGTGTCTGCTGATGCGTCAAAATCCTCGGTCTGTGACTTAACTTCAACTATAAGATTCCAGTTTAATCAAGCTTTCTGAAAGAACAAGCATTGTTTGAAATATAATTATGCCTAGTACTACTCTTCTCAAAGCTGCCGGATATGGCTCGTTCCTCGTGGCCATCAAACATGCGGTTAGTTTCGAGTGAACTGTGAATGGTGCCGGCTATACTATGATCGAATTTCTCATTTTGTTTTCAGGTTACTGGAAAACAATTCCAGCGACTGCATCAGTTTCAGGAACTACCAAACATTGCGTATACATACAGCACGGTTGGTTGGTACCAAGGAAGTCATCATTGCTTGGTCTAGCTCTGCTTGGTATCTTCGCAGAGGAATCAGAACGAGCGGGCTTCTTACAGCCATGGCTGGTATACTACAAGCCTACGCAACACTACACTGATGCGCCTTTTTGGCTAAGTATTGGGTATTCTATATCCAGATACGAAAACACGGAAGATCAGTATTAGAGGTTAGTAACTTAAGCTGCCTATGTTAGTACCAATTCTCATACATGCTCCAGCTGTCTTTAGCATAGTAAATCCTAAGTAGCAAAACAAAGATAAATTACCAGTTTCGCATACTTAGACCGGTGTTCATTGGAACGTTGCTCTCTTTACCAACGGTTCTACTGTTTTCTGTGCAAATTCTGTGAAGGGCTAACAGCGGGAATGTCACCTATCTATTGCTGCATTGGCAGAGGCTACACCGGACTAGAAAACTCCGTTTATATAAAATTCTATGGTCCGAATTGAACAGATGATGCCCGAACGCTCTATTGGTCTGTGCTGCTCAAAGAATACAACGTGAGGGTATGTTTTCATTTCAACAAGATTATGATACAGCCCTCAAGACTGGGTCATAGGTGGATGCTTTTGCTTAACATAATTGAGCACGAAATAGCATCTTACTGGTCATCTTTCCGTATTTAGCCCGGGCTGTCCGCTGTCTGCAGACAGCTAAGGTTAATCTACAATGTAGTAAAGTAGACCGTGCCGGGATGCGCCTCAAGCCTACGACACGAAGTTTTCAGAATCTGACGCCAGACGTATACCGTACCGTGCTGACAGGCTCAAGAAGTGATTAGACAAGAAAAGTGTAGTATATTCCGAGATAAGTGGGGTGTCAGATCTCAACGGGCTTTAGTTCGACCACCTGATGGATCTCGGTCTTTGGCTAGTTCCGAAGAACAGACTACATATTTCTGCCGTGCCATCTCCGGGATCCATGTCGCACGACAGATTGCAAGTGACTGGGACTAACCGCTCCTGGTCAATTGACATGACCGCCAAGTTCAGCGCCAATATGAAACGACAACTGGCATCGTGTTATGATGGACAATCTGTGTTATTCTTGGCGGATGCCAAGACTTGAAGCCACTGATGGGCTGACGCGGTCTCTCGGAGCACAAGATGCCCGAGAGAATCCTCAATCTGCAGTCTTCATGATTGCGCCGCTGACTCTTCAGGACTCTCCTTTCGCATGCCGACAGCCAGATTCTTTGCAATGCACTCACACTCATTCGCCAGCCCCCCGATGATCCCTCTCCGTCTCGAGTAAGCTCAGGGGGCTCTGTTTATCCTCGCCCCACGCTTCGCCGTGTCCGGAACAGCCGTCGACACCCGGCGCCAAGCATCCTTCTATATTCTAACCTACATCAAGATGTGAATGATTGTGGAACAAAGGCACCAAGTGATCTTCAAAGGGTCTTGTGAGGTGTCCTCTCGACCATGATTTCGTCCTCTGGGATCCCGTCTGTCTCCAGAATGACGCGTCCGTTAAGTACATCAAGATCGCAAGGAGTGCCTTCAGCAAGTATAAAAAGGCAGTTGGGTCAACCGCGTCTGAAAATCCATCAGTATCGCGCATTAGAGCCCTTGATAACCTCTCTTTTCCATCATGGTTCAGCTGTTAAAGATTCTTGCCGTTGCTGCGGTTTGCTTGGCTGCGCCAGCAGTGGCTCACCCCGGCGAGAAGCACGATCCACATGTTGTTAAGCGAGAGATTCATGCTCGCGACACCATGGCTGCAGCAGCAAAACGCTCGCTCGGTGGCTGTGAAAATTCGCTTCACGCGCGGGAGTTGAACAAGGGCAGTGTCGCTCGTCGCGCCCGCACAGTAAATCAGCTTCGTGAGAAGCGTGGCATCACTGCAAGTAAGCATACCCCGCCGTATCTCCAAGCGGTTTAGAAGTCTGTCAAGTCTCACATATCGTCTTATAGACCCTCAAAAGTGGCGCCGTAACCTGGCCCAGCTCGAGAAGTGGGAGGCAATTGACCACAACAAGACCAACGTCCTCAATTACAGCCTGGCCACACCGGACTCAATCATCTTCTCGGCTAACACCAGCTGTATTCTGACTCCAACCATCACAGATGGCCCCTACTACGTCTGGGGTGAGGTGATGCGCCAGAATGTCAAGGAGGAGAAGTACTCGGACGGAGTGGATATTTTCCTGGAAGTGCAATACATCGACATCAACACCTGCCGGCCGGTGCCGGGAGCTTTGGTTGATATTTGGCAAGCCAATGCCACTGGTGTGTACAGGTCTGCCATCCTTTTTGAATTCATCTTACATTTTCTTTTCCTGGGGAGCCAGTCTGACCCAAAAGTAGTGGTATCTCGACGTCAGGCAACTACGCTGCTGACGGATGGGATTCGACTTATCTGCGTGGTATTCAACAAACCGACCGCGACGGTGTGGTCGAGTTCGAGACCATCTTCCCCGGTCACTATGACGGACGCGCGACTCACACTCACCTGTTGACCCATTTGAACGCTACTCTACTTCCCAACAAGACTCTCGAGGTGGGCACCGGCAGCGTGGCTCACATTGGCCAGCTTTTCTGGAACGAAGTACTACGCAGCGCGGTGGAGGATACTTACCCTTACAACACCAACACGCAGAGCATCACCACGAATGCTGACGACATGTGGAGCGTGTTGCAAGCGAACGGCGCCTATGACCCCTTCCCGGAGTATATCTACCTTGGTGACAATCTTGATGACGGTCTTTTCGCGTGGATCCAGATTGGCCTCAATGCCACTGCGGACTACACAGATAACTCGTACTACAGCATTGCCGCCTACCTGGAGGCCGATGGTGGCCACCAGAACAGCGACAGCGTCGTGGGCGGGGGAAGTGCTTCTAGCGGTACCAACCGCACCATGCCCTCCGGAATGGCCAGCCCCGGTGCCTCCGCATGAAGGAGTGGGCGTTGATGCGGCGTGGGTTTAATCCATGGATCCATGGGACTGTTTCCAGCCGAGGGACGATCCGCAAAAGTCAAACTTTCACGCGACAGTTGCTACCCAGCAAGGAGGGACGGAGAACGAATAACTCTCCTGCCTCTTGGAAAATTTCTAGAATACAGGGGTGTTTCTCCCTGGGGGAAACTAGAAGAATAGACCATAGAGCCATCCGTTCATTCGCAAGTCGAGAAGAGCTATAGAATATAGAGTTTGTTGAATTTCTACCCCTCGCTTGCTACATTTCTCCCCTGGCGGGCGCAGAACTACCCCATATTCCGCCCTATTTGATATATAATTTGATATACTATGTAGTACATCATTGTATTGGATAATCGCCTTCTCCAAATTTTCGGTCAAGCAGGATCCATGTCATTCACAAGGATCAGAGATCCAAGCACCTTCCTTCTCTTCCGTGCGTGTAAGGGGAGGAACAAACCTAACCTTAACTTCTGAAGTCTATGATCATTCCTGGACGTGGCGGCGCCATGTCGGGGCCAGTGCCGGAATAGACGCGCACGGAGCCACGGACAGCCAGGGAACACGTAGCTTTGTACAGAGTAGTAGGGCGATTGGTCGATCAGACTAGATGCACTGGAGGAAGATTTATCGGCATAATTCTCCTGGGCGGGACAAACAGAAGATGATCTTGGCCAGGCTGTGGATTCTGGCCATGGTACTTAACTACTTGTAACAATCGTATCCAGGACCATTAGTAGTACAGTATAGTAGTCCAGTACATCATTACATACAATGGACTACTTGAATCCTGCAGATCAGGTGATCCCCCATTGATATACGCTAGTCCAAAAATGGAAGGTAGTTCCTCTTTTTGGACATTAGGGCTAGGGCTCCTGGCCTTCTGGTGCTGAGGTAAGCCTGTTAGAGGTCCCTGCCAACCCGCAGCCGAGGCTCTGTCGATCTTTCGTCTTGTGGGAACGGGCCGAGTGTATGGCATGTGCTACAGAGTGAACAGAGCATTTGATGTGCTTGTGGACTCACAGCAAAGACAGAATTCAGACGAGAAGTATCAAACCCTCGCCTCGTGGAAATGTCTCAAGGCGGAGTACAACCGTGACGTCCCTCCTCTCCTTTTTGCAGGCCCCCGTTTCCCAGTTTCCAGCATCACCAGTGGTTCCCATCCCAGTTCCATACATACCGCCGGACCTCGGGAACACGGCTCCACGCTGACGGGGGAACTGCCTGGAATGGAGTCCAGGCAGCATGACTAACCACGCCACCACCCAATCACCGCGTAAACATGTGTGGATGCAGGACCGATGCGGCGGCTCCTTACCCGGCTGCAGACTCATCGCCGCTAAACCCAAGATCACCCAATGTGGCCTGGGCTTCTTGGCCGTCCACCATAGAGACTGGCCATATTGAACGACTATCGTGCTCTTGGTTAATTGGACCACCAGGCGCAGCGTGCTGGCCAGAAGGGTGGTCGAGGCCAATCCCAATGCTAATGTCAATGCTATTCCATACCACAAACGACAAGATAACCGTGGATCACAGTCTCGTCTAGACCCTGAAGAGCCACCTAATGAGGCACTTGTAACCCCGGGACCAAAACTCTTTCATGCCGCAAAGGCAACATCGCCCGGCTTAGTTCCCCGTCCACTACCGTACTCACCGCGCCTATCCGATGGAGGTGATCTTGGTCAACTCGCGTGCCGATCGACAAAAAATAGACTCGGCCCTAAGAGTCACTTCCCCCACTTGTACCAAGCGATGGTGTTACGCCCACCATGTGCGCCATGCAGGGGGGATGAGGAGAAGGAGAAGGGAAAGAGCAGATTGGGGCAGAAGTCCAGCACAGTGGGTTTCCCGTAAACTCGGCTCCAAAAGAAGGCGTAAAGTGGGGGTCTAGAGACTCGTGAAGGTTTTCATAGGAGATAATAGCCGGGCAATAGCGTGGAGATCTTCAGGGAATAAAACCACGAGGAACCCCGGCCTCATGATGGAGTTGCCACTTCTTCTCCCTCTTTCCAGCTGCTTGTGGGCTCGAACTTGCCCTGGTCGATTTCCTTCCTTCCAACCGCATCCTTGATGCGGATGGGACTCCACGACATCCGGATTCCTTCTTCCTGCCATGAGTGCCGCTGAAGAGAGCGCCTACAAGGCGGCCGTCCTGGCGGCCGTCCAGGACGATAGCCGCAGCAATGCCATTCTCATCGTCACCGCGGTCTTTCTCGGAATCTCCCTCAGCAGTGTCCTTCTGCGATGTTTTGTGCGAACCCGCGTGGTTCACGCCTTCGGATGGGATGATATCGTCATGCTATTCGCCATGGTAAGTGGTTCCCTGAAGCAATGCGCATATGGCGGTGCGCGATGCGCCGGAATTATGCGGTATGTTTGAACCGACTTGATCTGACCATGACTCTTTTGTTTAGGCATGGAATATGGCTTTTGCAATTTGTGGAATCCTGGGTGCCAAGTATGGCATGGGGCGGAGATTGTACTACTTTGTCGAGTACCCGGACAATCTAAAACGCGCGCTATTGGTATGTGCATGATGCCTTAATGTTCAAATTCCAGATTGGAGATTTGGCATTGGATGCGCGAGCAAGGCTGTCCAAGATTTGAAGCTAATAGTACAATTGCGCATCCAGTGCTGGTGGCTAGGCCAAGTCTTCTACGTGATCACATGTGTCCTTGCGAAAGTCTCCATTATCATCACCTTGTTGCGCATTACCGTTGATCGTCTCCATGCCTGGATCCTCTACGCCGCCATTTCTGTCGCCACTGCTGTCGGTCTGGTCTTCTTGTTTTTCACCATCTTCCAGTGTAGTCCAGTCACATACTTTTGGCACCAAGGATCATCCACAAGCCACGGAACCTGTGTCGACAAAAACACCCTCATTGCGATCGCGTACCTCTACAGTGTCGGTGCGGCCGTCACCGATCTCACCATTGGTCTCCTACCTGTGGCGTTGATCTGGAATTTGCGCATGAATCAAAGAACGAAGAGTGCCATCATCGGCATTCTAGGTATTGGGTGCATGTGAGTCTCTTGTCCTCTCGCCTCATGTCGATGTCCTCGAGCCACCGAGACTAACTAGCCCACTTCGAACAGCGCGAGTGCTGCGGTTATTATTCGCATTCCATTTGTTCACCACTACAAGGATACTGAATTTTTATGTATGGACTCAAGTTCCTAATGTCTAGCCAGCAGGCCTAACTAACCCGGTCAACAGACAACACATACCAGATCTCCATCTGGTCCAACGTCGAGGCAGGCCTCGGTATCACAGCCGGCTGTCTGACGACTCTGCGGCCGCTCATCCGATTCCTCCGCGACGGCTCCTCCGCCTCTCGCAGCCGCAATCGCACCCCCGGATCTTTTCCCTTATCCAGCAATGTGGCGCAAGGATACCGATCCTCACGTTCCAAGCACGACCGCAACGATTCGCATCAGCTATGGACGGGCAGCGAGAATGACGAATATCATGGCGTGACGACGACGATTATGGGTAGCGAACGGCCGAACCCGACCAGTAGCAGTGAGGAAGATCTCAACCCAAAGAACCAGCAGCGCCTTCCAACTGGATGGAAGGTCGAACGGTCCGTTCGGGTGTCTGTGCGCGACGATTCATGAATCCAGATCGAAGGACGAAATAATTAATTAATCTGTTTTAAAAGTACCCCGTCTGGTCCGTGGTACGACGGAATGCCCGCGGAGTACATTTACTTTGCCGGGATTAGTATCCTTCGGCATGTATAATTAGAGATACCATTGATCACGAACTGCAAAGAAAACAACCTGAACCTGTTCTCTCCATGCTTCATGGCTTATTCTCCTTTTCTTGTTCTACAGTATTATTCCACCTCCGTGAAGAACCAATCGGACCAATACTTCCTAACAAACCCCATTGTGTCCACAATTGAAACGCCTAATTGCCACGATTGGCTGCAGGGGGCCACCAGCACGGCCGCCGAGCAAGGCACGATCATCGCGGCGCTGGTGGGGGTCAGTTGTAAGCGAGATGATCCCCAAGCCGCCCCGAAGGGGCATCAAGTCGAGTGACGGGGCCGTTTCATCGTCGACGTTTCGTCTGGCTTAGCTTTCAAGTTTCTAGGCCTAGCAAATAAATCATCCTGTGTATAAGATTATTGTTTACATTGGGTCCCGAGATTAATCTTCCGTGACGAACGCCATGACCACGAGGCTGAATTCTAGACTGATAACGGCGTCGGCTGTCCCGAGGTTTACCCTGATGATCGCATTGACATTGAACTGATTGATTTATCTGCAGGCGAAGGGCTTGAGGCGTCGGAAGATTCCCAAGAAGGGCAGTCCGACACTTCGTGCATACTACGAAAATTATCGACTGTACCTAATGTACACTACTTGTACAGTACAGTACTGCATGTTGTGGGTAACGGTTCCATTCTCCTTCGCTAATGAAGCTCCACTTGGATTTGTACCTGGTACCTATTGTTAGCATATCTGTTATGTACAAGGCCTCGACGTACCGGCCATCTTTTGCCCAGTTCAGAGCCCTACCGGGCAGGGTCCTGTACAATTCTCTGCAGTGGATAATAATTGCCGACCGAGCTAATATTTCAACGTCATCAGCGAAACTACTATCGAAGAAACAAATCTTTGTGTATCGAGGATGCAGTGGTCGGGATTGGACTGGATTATTCTACCAAGACTGAGACTTATCCCGGTCTGCGTAAAGGACTCTACCAGAGAAAGAATAATAGTGGTATCATCGCCTCATCACTCATATTAGTTATGCCACCATTTAGTTGAACTAAAGACATATGACATAATAGGAGGAGAAAGTAACTAACAGAAGACAATATCATTCAAAGGGTGATATAGCTCCGCCGTTGGTTCACTCCTTCACCTCCTGGGTCGTCTCATTCCGCACAAGACCCTCTTGTGAGGGCGACACACCAACGGCATACGCGTCCACGGGCGTGGAAGAGAACTTGCGCGCCGGAACCTTGGTCGCAAAGAGAATGTCCAACTCGGCATAGGTACGCCCCTTGGGCTCAGGCAGGCGGAAGAAGGCCCAAGTGAAGGCGATCAAGGCCGTGCCACCCCAGAAGAAACCGGTCTTGCCAGACGCGTTCCAGGCAGTCGGGTTCATGAAATAAGGCTCCAGAACCTGCGAAATGACGTTCACGACCTGATACGCTGTTCGCGCTAGGCAAACGGTCAAGGGTCGCAGTCGTACGGAGGAAATTTCCGACACGATGGCGTATGCGATGGGGCCAACGGTCAACGAGTAGACGAACAGCCAGAGGAAGCAGAATGCGGCTTGTGCCCACATGCCCCCCGTGCTATGCGAGGCCGAGTTGATGATCGCGATGAGGAACAGCAGAGTGCAGAGGATACCCTGGCCCCAAACGTACAAAGTTCGGCGACCAAGGTAGGTGATCAGCCACCAGGACAGAGCAGTTCCCACAAAGGCTACGCCAGTACAGCCGACTCCCAGCTGGAATGCGCGACCATCATCCATGCCAGCCTGTTCGAAGAAATACGTGGGGGAATAGGCGAACGTGCTGCCAGACAGAATCTGACCGAAGAAGGCCACACAGCAGATTTCCGTGCGGCGCAAGTCAACACCCTTGAAGCAGTCCCAGTACGTGGTGCCAGCCTCAATCTCGGCCTCGAGTTTGGTCGTGTGGACCATCATGGCCAACTGGCCGTTGACTTGTTCCTCAGTCTTGTTCCCTCCCAGACGACGGATGCTGTGCTTAGCGTCCTCCAGACGATCGTTACGCACCAGGTACCAGGGGCTCTCGGGCGCCAGCCAGCACACGGCCATCAAAGGGACGGGCCAGATCCACTGCAAAGCGAATGGGATGCGGTACGACCATTGATCGGTCCGATCCACCAGTCCATAGAGTACACCAGATGCGATCAACTGGCCGATGGCCCAGCACATGTTGACAAAGATGGTAAGGTAACCACGGAGGTTGGTTGGGCAAACCTCCGAGGCATAGGCAGGTCCAATCGTCGCAAACACGCCCCAGGACAGACCACAGAGAATCTGACCAACGAGCAAGACGGCGGCAGAGTTAGCGAAAAAGACGACGAAGATGAACGCGGTCAGGAATCCCAGAGCGATGATCATGACCATGCGATAACCAAACTTGCTGGCAAAGTAGCCGTTGAGGAGGCCACCTAGAGATCGTTAGCAACGAAGTACAAACCCGACCACGGTTTCGTCTCGTCGAAAGATCAATGCAGTAACTCACCAAAGATGCAACCGACCGTACTAGCCATGTTCAATCCAGTCTGCCAAGGAGCCGACACCTGGTATCCATTCTTCTCGTCAACATACTGGCCGTACTTCTCCCGGAAGGTAGGATAGGCGAAGAAGTTGCCCATGAGAATGGTATCGTATCCCTCCATGATAATTGACATGGAGATCACGACAGACCATGCCACGGCCTTGCGGTTCTCTCGCAGGGCCTGGAAGAGGGTTTGCGCATGCTCATCATCGGTGGCCTGCTTTGCCTCGATGACCGCACCGATACCCAGGGTATCCTCCACGTGGTTGGCAGCCGACTTCTCCAAAGCAATCTCGGTCTGGGTTGCCATGTCGAGAGCTGGTGAGTGAGTCGATGATAAGTTCCAGAACACCGACACCGACACAATCCCGTAGGTCCGTAAATTCGTAAAATAAGTGGATCGTGGTCTCGGAAGAATCCCCCTAGCAATGGCATCGACAGGGACCATGTCTCGGTCTTATATAAATGGTCTTCCGCGGGTACATCTCACTCATGTGGTCTGCACATGCGGAGCTAGGATCCGGGGAATTGTGGAGAGAGCTGGGGAGCCAACCATGAGCCAGCTTCGAAAGCAATCAGGCTAAGGAGGGCAGCAGGGGCCAGGGTAAGCAATCACTACCAGCCAGTCGTACGACGTCGACAGATTGGCTAGCCCAGCCAAGGAATGGGAAAGCTGCCAGCGACTGCATTTTCGCACCTATCATCGGGTGGCAAGCATGGAGCTAGGTTGAATGAGGAGAAGGAAAGGAAGTAATTCACCCGAGAATGCGGGAGTGATAAGAATTAAGATCAACCGACTTTGCTCTTTCTGGGGTTAGCCAGATGGTTGGGAGGAGTCTGGGAGGAGTTGGCGTATTGGCCATGGAGAAGCCATGGAGAGGTCACGGGGTCGTGATTGGCCTCTCCACCTCATCTTCATCCCCCGCTATTCCTCTTGTGAGACGGCAGATACCCCGGACTCTCCATGAATCTCCCGAGTGGCATCAGCGATCGGGTAAAAAACAAAAGTCCATGAAGGCATTTCAACGGCCTTCAACTGACCAAAAGAAGATATGCAATTTCCCTACCGATTCCGAATGGTTTGAAGCGGCGTCGTCGTCTATCGGACCGCAGGCCGGCGACTTGACCTTGACCGATTGAGTCGCGACTCACCCTTCTTTAAAGGTGCCATTGGCCGCTTGTGGCGTGGCCATCGGGCCTTTCTTGGGCTTTGTTTTAGCCGCCGATCGGGAAGTTTAGCTTTACCGAGCTCGTTTATAGTCGACTCGAAGCTCACTACTTCCCGAGCGTGCCATGACGTGCCATGATTGGAGTTGACGGAGATGAGTGAAAGCTACGAGATACGAAGTGCAGACAATCCGAAGAAAAGGGGCTGAGCGGGGGACGAAATGAGTGAGTACAGAAAGGGGCAATGTTGCTGGGTTGTAAATTATTCCGATCATCCATGCTTCGCATACTCTCTTTCCTTAACCGCTCACACGCCGACCTCCAAGATCTGATACTCAACCATTCGCTCGTCATTCTCCAAACAGCATCGCCCATGGCCCACAAAGACAGTCGATTCTGTCCACTTGAACTGAGGAGCTATAGACATGATCAGTCTATCACCACGACCTCTCTGGAAGTCAATCAATCTCCCCATCTGAGATGCACTCTTCACCTACCACTTGTCTCAATCACAGGTCGTGTCCACCAATGATGATCACCAAACTCCGTGGATCGGGCATTCGGACCGCGAGCCATGAATCGTTTTGCTTTCTCATCTACCAACAGATACCCCGTGTACTGCACGGACACGCCCGATCCATCCGGAAGCTTGCCCTGAGTGCGAACATCAATGTGCGCAACTTGCGTGACCGGGTCAAACAGCACCCAGTCACTTCCACCGGGGACAAGCGTGGCATTCATGCCCTCGCCTCGTGTGTTGGGAACACCGAGGAAAAACCCGCCCTCCAGGGCAGTAATCTGTTTTTGGAAGCCAGCGGAATCCGAACCTAGATAGACACTGTCACGAGCAATACGTGCTCGAAGAGTGAAGACATGGGTCAATTTGGGTTCCATCGTTTCAAGCCGGAGCAGTTGATGGGGGAGGGTTTGAGGGGATTTGAAAACTTGTTCAGATTCATGCATAACCCAGAACAGGCTTCGAACTTTCGCACTCAGCCAGGCAAGGGCGCTCCGTATTTAGCTTAGCTTGCACTTGTTGCGCTTATCGAGATGCGTATACTACAGGCATGATTGGCCATGATGAACGGGGCTGGGCTGCACGGCGACGCAGAAGCATGCACGACCTGATTGCTCATTACTCCAACAATACTGGAGGTATTTTTGAGGGATTCAATTCAGAGACTATCGTTATCAGCCTCTGGAAGATCATTTGGAAAAAAGTGACGAGCTCGATACAGTTCGAGGGGGGATAATAACTCCAGAAATTCCAGTCCAGAATCACAACGCGGGTAACTCCAACACAGGCGCGCTTACGCTTCATCACGATTCATATCGGTCCATTGACCGTATCCGAATGTGTCCTTTTCACGTACTATCGATTCGAATTTGAGTTCCATACTCTCCAGTCCGTCTTTTCGTGTCTAATCCCACCAGGCGCAGGGACCAGAACGGTTTATGGTCGAGGCTGTTCACGTCCGAACCAGAATGACGAACTACCCAGTTAGTCTGGCCCTGAGATCCCAACAGAAATTCTTCGACCAGTTCACGTCTGTCGTATTGCGGATATACCTCGACTGACTCGGATTCTTTGGAGCCCAGTCCCCATTCCATCTCGCCCGTCATGGAGTTTCGGCGAATGCCAATCGCATGCCAGTCAAATGCGCCTACGCCTGCACCAGAGGGGACGAAGGCTTCCAATGTGTGCAGGGCGCCGTTGCAGCGGAATATGGTCTTCGCACTTTGCGGACTGTCCCCGATGGTAATCTACACGAACAATTGATTAATATCAGGTTCTCGCCACGACCACCAGCAAGCAACCCGATTTGGGAATCCAAGGGCACCGAAAGACATACAGATCCTCTTTCTATTCCTTTGTGCTCTGACGACCGTTTCACGTCGCATGTGGCCCAGTAGCCGTCAATGCTACAGGCTCCGTCAGATGCCGTCCCGTTCCGACATCCTGTGAGCTGAAATGACCAGGGCCCAGCAATATTCGTCTCATTATTCCACCCGGGAAGCGTCGAACAGCCATCAATCAGGGTATTAGTGACACTCCGTGGCTGCGCCTGCACTCCGATTGCGAGCGACAGCGCAGTCAAACCCATCGAGGGAAGTATCATAGCAACCAGACTGCAACCGTAAATTCCGGCAAAAGATGAAGAGATAGAGATGTTTCGGAGAACTACCAGTAACGAACTTCACTAATCATTAATAAATCAGTAATCAGGCTGCCTAGCTCGCTGACGGGTGTGCCTTGTAAGACTCCACCAAACCCGTCGCTTTCTCTCCACTTCCCCCACAGCCATCCTGCCATGCGCCTCGTTCCTATCGATTCCATTCAAGGAAAGATTGGCAATTGGCAGCCAATCGTATATATAGTTAGATCTTGAAGATCAATGTCAGCATGATCCGGGGGTGAGCTCGAATTGTCGCGTCGTGTTCATGCATCCATCTTCCGTAGCTATTATTGTCACCGCCAAACTGTTGTCGATCAATCTCTTGAGTGGCCCCCGCGTAAACGTCATTTCCGCCCGATGAGCCTTCGCAACGGACTATTTTAAGAATGAACCTTGCTCTATACCAGGCTGACATTTTCTGGCTTTACTACCTTAGAATAACTGACCAGATCCATGATCCCGCCAACCTTAACTTTCGATATACCTACCTGCCAAACAGAGCATCGCCTCTTCTAGGGCATTAGCTCGGGCATCAGTGAAAAATATATCTAGCCATCCATCTCGGTACAAAACACTAATCCATTGGGTGCAGCGAGAAAGGGCCTGACAGAAGAGCCTTAAATAGGTACCTACCTTAATGTTATTGTAAATCAACCGGGTGTTTTTGGGATGTCTTCAGACAATGCGCTATGTAGGAGGATAGGTGGAATGCGTTCAATGTCCATGTAGGTAGTTACATGAGCCCTGCAAATGAGGTACCTACAGGGCTCCATCATCCCTGCCGGAGTAGCTTCTCTATACCACGTCTCTATGGTCATCTCTCTATAGTGCTCATCATCATAATAACGTAAATCGTCCAAGATTCCCGTTTCGGGAAATTCTCCTCACCTATGACTCTCCAGCTAGTAAGCCCTCGGCCTCCTGTGCATCATCGGTGGTTCCTCTGTGAGAGATATGCCCGCCCGTGAGAGAGTCCGCCATGTTCAGAGCATCGCGCCGACCCTTTTCAGCATTCACCATCCAGACCAACGGGATGGGCAACACGACCAGCACGGCAATGAAGAAGAACCCCGACCGGACCGAGCCCGTTGCATCGATAAGCACGCCAACTATGGCGGGTCCGATGAACGAACTCCCCTTGTCAGTGGCCGCATACAGGGCATAGAACGCGGCCTCGCTACCAGGAGGAATCAGCAACCCGAAGAAAGATCGGCAGTAGGATGCCAGGCCTCCAGAGACAATCCCGTGGATGATACCAAGCGGGAAGATTTCCCATGGCCGTTGCAGGCCAATAACTCCCCATTTTTTCACAAAGGGAATGTATGCAAGCATCCCATACAGCGGAATGATCTCAAACAGGGCAATGCACAGGATGATGGTGTGGTTCGACTGCAACCCGAGTCGTCGAGAAACATGTGGCCAGAGGAATGCTCCCGCCATACCTGAAAGGGTGACGGTAATCGACAAGCAGCCGATTGCGGTTGTGCTCATCTGGAGCTCTGTACGCGCGAACAGGATCGCCGTGCCGGAGACGGTAGCCATGGCATCTGAGAGGAGGAACCAAGCGACGAGGAAGATGAGCACTTCTCGCAGCCGCACCGCGATTTTGACCGTCTGCCAGAGTGACTTCCACGCGAAGCCTACCAACCCTAGCCACACGCGCCAGCGCGTAGCTCCTGGGGTCGCGGAGGTATCCAGTGGAGGCCCGGGACGGTCACGCAGCCAGCGGCGAGTGACGAATGTAAATGCGCACCACCAAATTCCTACCAGCAGCAGCACAAATCGCAACGGCAGCGTCCCCGATGCCTTGGCGAGAGAGGTCTTGTTGAGGGCGATGAGCATGATAACGCTCAAAATTTGCACCAGGACAGCAGCACAGTATCCCAGACCTACTCCCTTGGACGAAATCTTGGTGGACAGCTGAAGCTCCGGCGAGGAGGATTTCGAGCTCTTCGACTTCAGTCCAGCTTCCGGAGACTCCGCGGCATGATTATCAGTATGCATTCCATCTAGACTATCACTGTCGTCCCAGGAATTCCATTCGCTCGGTTCATCGGCCCGATCCAGATTGGACAATTCCTCGCCGCGGTCTTGTTGGGAGCTTTGGATAGATGGATCGTTGGCGACTAGCACCGGGAGGAAAGAGTTGAGCACGACAAACGAGGACCCAAGACAGGTGACTCCAATAATTACGAGGATCGAACCGAGGACGAAGACTGAAGGTGCGATGAGGACGAAAAGCATGCTGGTCGCGGAGCCGATGAAGCCGAAGGACAGGAGCAACGTTTTGCGGTTGCGTTCTGCGAGACGAACCCGTAGGATTAGCTGGCTGTGCGTTCTCGCAGACTGAGGCCCTCAAGCCGAATGGTAGCACTACTATGCAATCATACCATAGTCGGCCAGGGCGCTGAACGAGATCAACGTCAACGCCTGGATCAGCACCGCCAACGAAAAAGTATACATGGCGAAGCTAGCCGTAGTGATGTGAAGTCCGAGAACTCCAACTATGCATTGCTCCTCTCCCTCGTTTTCGGGTGCCTGGGGTCCCCAGCAGGGTAAGTGGCTGGTTTGTAGGGTGCCATTCTCGCGAGCCAGCTGTTCGAGGGTCAAGGGCAGAAAGGATCCTGGCTTGAGCGGTTAGTACTCCGTATGCAGCTCAGGATAACCTGGGCCGTCTGCGAGATGACCAGGATAGCGGTCAACGTACCAACACCACACACCGCGAATACCTCTGCTGCAATACCGTAGGCATACCAGCCGAGTAATTCGCGGTGGCTGGTCGGGCTGGTGTCTTCGCCAGCATACCGTGGGGGGCGCTGTTGAAGTCCCTCATCGGGCGCAGGAGGGTTGAAGGCGGCACGAATCGACGCGAGCATGAAGGGAGAAAGGTGAAGAGTGGAAGAGCACAGCTGTCCATGCCTCCATGAACTCGACACTGCCAGTGTCCAGTGCCCAGTGCCCACAGGGCGACCGGATGCGGGCGGAAACCAAACCTGCAGAGGCTCTTTTGACTTTAAATGGCTGACTGGTTGACGGGCTGACGGTCGGGAAGACAATGCGGTCATCAAGTGGAGACTCTTTCAGGAACGCGAGTCCACTTTCTTGTTCCTCTCAACCCACCACCACCACACCACCGTCACCGCGCCCCGAGTTGCAAAAGATGTGAATTCCCGACGATTGGAAAAGAGTCTACCACGAGAACGGGGTTTACTGTACTCGAACGGAAGAAAAAAACAAAAATGCCCGGCTTGGCGCACTCGGTGCGACTGGCACCTGCCGGTCCCGGGCCGTTTCAGGCTTCGACAGGAATTGCAGGCAGGACCAGCGGGTTTCCTCGAAATTGAGCATCGCTCCTTTTCGTGCCTTCTTATTTCTTGTCTTTGCTATGCAATTAGACTGCAAACGTCTCTCCTGATTGTCTTGATCATCTTTCTCTGACTTCAAGATGGCGGTCGTTCTCAACTCCCTCCAGTTCGTCCTGGGCCGACTCCTCTATCCCATCCGAGGCCACGACTCACGCCAGATCATCTATGACCCGGCCTTCAAAGACATCACCAAACCGAACATGTCCCTCGAGAGTATAGAATGCGGCCCCTCTGGCTCGAAACTGCTTCCACATCACACGTGTCTGGCAGAAGACCGCATCGGTTGTTTGCCCAATCTACGCTGGACACCCCCAGAATGCAACGAGCCTGTCAAGGAATACCTCTTGATCTGTGAAGATATCGACATCCCAATCCCATGTCTCGTCATTCACCATGGGCTCTTCTGGGCTATTCCACCTTCAGCCAATACTGCAACCCCGGCCGATATCAAAGAGCAGGACGGCGCTGCCAAGTCCCGCCAAACTGCTGCCGGATGGCGGTTCATTCCAAACCCACTGGGGGCAGCATACGGGGGAGCTGGGGCTCCCTATGGTCATGGAAGTCACCGCTATGTCTATACTATTGTCGCGCTGAATGCCCCTCTAGAATTCCAACACCCCGAGAAGGTCACCAAGAACGACATTAAACATGCGATGGTCGGCAAGGTCATCGGCTGGGGCCAATGGGTTGGTACTTTTGAGCGCACATGGTCCTGATGACTGGGGAAGCCATTTGATTCTGTGAAGCGGGCGATGACTTCAATTAATATCTTCATCGGTATTTCGCTCTTCAGCGACCTGAGAAAATATCACACTCTTACGTGTTATCGCTGCGAGATTTAGCTTTCAGAAATCATTCATATTCAGCTCCAGCACATTTCTGTCGTCGATAGCCTCTTTCACAGCCACCCAGCAGAGTCAATTCAATAGCGGTACATTCTCACCATCACTCTCTATTATTTGCATCAATACCGCTAGTCGGCTGATAGTAGTCTCCACGGACAATTCACACGCCCGCAAAGTCGAAGTACTGTTGTGGGATGTCTGGCAGCTCTTCAACATCACCAGCAATATTCCCTTCAGACCCTCCATCAGCTGCACAAGTCTCACCAAATTTCGTCCCAAAACTGTTCGGACCAGTAGCCGAGACTCGCCTTCGTCAAGCTCGGTCTCTCCCAACATGACTTTGCTGCGAATACAGATGAATAGCGATGGTGGTTGCTCAAAGGCCAGCATTGCCGAGTCGAAAAACCCGAGCTGAGTCGAGATGTCGTATGCAGAGCACAGTGCCTCAAGGAGTGGTAGACATTTTTCTGATAAAGTAGGGAGTGCCACAATTGACGACTGTGGGGTCTTGACGCAGTCTTGACATTGGACCATCCTGCTCCCTTGAGTGCAGACTCGATGGATCAAGTCCAGGATGATTTCAACGTTTACAACGGCATGCATATTCTGAAGTTCTGACAAAATCTTCAACGCCTCTATGGAACATTGGCAAGCGCTTTCGAAAGTCATCTCAGCTTCACAGTCTTTCTCGGATAGCAGAGATCTTTGCGGATTTGATGCTATCCTCCCGCGGCTAGCGGAAGTTGTCGCGTCCGATGAGTCTAGGTTCGCCGAATGGAAAAATCCTTGCAGTCTGCTCTATAGCGTCACACTATCCGACAAGGTTCTTTTGGGCAACACACTTCCAGAGATAGGCCTCGGCTAGATGGGCGATACGCATCATCGAGATTACAGGCTGGCAGATATCTCCATGGATCATGGTTCGGTCCAATGCCTTGACTTTCAATGGAGGTGCGGCTCCACCCTCGTCTTTTGAGACTGAGGATTTTGCAGTCCCTGTAGTCTGATGCGCACAGTTGGTCACACTATGACACCCTAGAATGTGCGTTTCTTGGCACGAATGTACTAAATTGATATTGATATGACGGATGAATCCGCGCTAGGGCTTTCAGATATGCGGTTCACTAGCGCTTCTATTCCTCCATTTGGCGATCTAAACAGCAACTGCGCGGCGCAGATTCTGCTTGGTTCTGAAGTTGATACTTTTTAGGAAATCAATTACAGATTCTGGTTGCCCATCTACGGAATAGCAAAATCATCAGGAGAAATGAGTTCCTACTCAAAGCTAGACAAGCACCATATAACTCGCCCTTGGTGAATACACGATATGCATATATCAGGATGTCATTATGGTCTTCAAAACGTCCCCCGACGTCCTTAGATAACTGCCATCTTGATCTTCATCATGACTAACTGGAGTCTCCGATCTGTCTCCATAATCATCAATAACCGACCGCGGGAAAGCGCTGCCGTCAGATGTTGCTGCATGCAGACACGAATCCTCCGAACAGCCAACAAGAGCATCGATAACCGAGTCTGTAGCACTTGCCGGATAAAGCAGGCTTTTTCCTCGGCTGGCACCGGAAAATCTCCTACGAGCAAGGGGCACGCGTCGATATGTGACATGAAGCCGGCCCCAAGTTCCTTCTGTTTCCTCCCCCCTGCCGCTTTCCCCGACTCGGTCGATTCTTCATAACAACCAGCCCTGGATGGCGTCACTGCCGTATCAAGTAGGGTGAGAAGGCTATCGATTGCAACAATCACAATCATGAGCATATTGGCCTGATTCTCAGACTGAGAGCATATTTTGCACTGCAAAATGGCTTCTGTCTGAAGTACCAGCTCCTTCTGACAAGCCAATAAGCCATCTATGTTTGAGCAGCCACTGGCTCCAGATTTATCTCCAGATTTGACCAATTGGCCGATTACATGCTTGTAGCAGCTACAGCTCAGGGTCGATGGCCCTCCTGATCCCGCGAAAACATCCAGATTATCGGGGGAGTATGCCTCGCTGTCGTGACTGCCAGTAGGAGATTGGAAGCTGAAACAATGATCTGGTAGCTCCGTTAGAAGACCGGTTGGTGGAATTCGTTCAAAGCTCCACGGATCCTGGAAACACTGGAAATCAAGTCGAGGTGTTGTATCATAGACCCACGAAAGGGGCCCGGTATCTTTATGTCCCGACGTTTCTGCGTGACCGCCAGGCGTAGATTCATGACGGAAGGCGTTGAAATCTCTCTCCAAGCTCGTGTAGACTGACGAAAGAACCGGAGCTTGTGGCTGAGAAGATATACATACACCTGAAGGCTGGTATGTAACAGGAGGAGCACAATAAGGTAGAAAATCTGGGAGTGGATCAAACGGGTCTTCGATATCAACATCTGCATAGAGATACTCGGAAGCACCGTTGTCCAAAGCACCGTCGATGCGATTTGTTATCAGCTCCTGAAGCCAACTCTCAGACGATAAATCGACATCTAGTCCTATTCACCAGGTAAGCTATTCCGTCTCACCGGAGGCGAAATCGAATCTGAAGTACCTGGTTGATCTTCCGAGGTTTCAACCGCTAGGGCTGTCGGTAAACGATCCTCATCGATTTCCTTTTCGGCATTGCGGCCCGATCGAGCTCGTGAACTCGAAATCGGGTTAGGACCATGAGGACTCTTTCTCTTGCCAGGCTTCCGCGGTTTCTTCTCACTTTCCGATGGATCAGTAAGTTCGAGAACGGGGCTCTGACTTTGACTTTCCGAGCTGACTTTCTGATCTTTCTTCTTTGCCGGACGCCCGAGCCGCCGCGAAACACTATAGATACATTCTATCTTGTGCTTTTGACATCGACGACAGGAGGGCTTCTCGTGACTGCAACGGATTTTCGCTTGTTGACAAGCGTTACACGTTGATCGGACCTTAACGCTCTTGGTTAATTGCCCCATGTTGGCTTTGGATTAGATCTCTAGAATATGATTCAAGTGTTGGATCATCCATAAAATATAGGAATTCCTGTTCACGACCAGTGTGTTGGAAGCCCCGGGTTGTTACTTCTAGGTAGTGCCACCACATCGGGGACAGTTTATCTAAACACCCACACTCCTCCAGATTCGGACCCAGACTCAAACTCAACCAGTGGCATCTTTGTTGCGGCCTTGAAGGCTTATGCCTATCTCTCGGCTTCACGAGCAAAGTATATAGTCATGTGAAGTTACATCCGAGGTTCCCCTCCGTGATAAATAACCTCGTCCTACCTAAGTACCTTTCACGTCTCTATTGCGTGGTTTGCCGTGCTGGAGGAGTCTTGGGAGGAATCACAAGCGATCTTAATGTATAAAGGTCTTTCAAAGTTATTTCAGGTCACACCTCAGTATCGTTTTCGGATTTCAATTACGACTAGGTTAAAGAAGGGTCCTTCGGTCTAAAATGTTGATAGCCAGCTGGCTCTCAGATTTCCATTCTTCGAGTCCTTCGAATTGCTCATGACTTGTCCTGGTGATACCCATATAGCCTAACACCGTAAATGACCGGCATTGACTCGGATCGGTCGATATGAAATATAAGCCAAGATCACTACTCCTTGAATACACATAGCCTGGAAATGTAGACTCACGGCGTCAATAGTCTGTTAAAGGCACGCGCAATTTGAACGTACTCAATGTAGTTTTTGGTTTCCATTTTACACCCTGCACCGCTGATTCACTAACCGCCCTCTCCTTTATTCACAATAAAGTTGGACCAGGTTGACAATCCAACGATTTGAATGAGATCTGGGTCACGCTTGGAGATGGCAGCGGGTGTTCCTCATTACTTGATTTTCTCCGACCAAAGAAATAATTTATAGCGATAGGAGGATCTAAGCCAGACGCGAGCATAAATTTCCGAATATCAAAACCGCTGCGTGCTTCCATAGTCGCAGGAGGAATATTTTCAAAGCAATCAGGGAACTCGTAAGTGTGCGACTGATTGAAAAGGAGGAAAACATAGCGATGGTGCGTTCCTGGCGGTGGCTGTGGTGCGATGTAAGGCGCAGTATACGAAGAACTGTCATCTTCACCAGGTTTCAGGACGCTATGATTTCCATCTCCATTGCAATCAAACGTGAGATTTGATTGGTACCAATGTAATATGACTGTTTGAATTCTTGTTCCAGGGAGAACCACGTCTAGGTCTAGAGATAGGATCAAGTAGCGTGAATTGCAGTTCAGACCCACGGTGCCAATTTCTGGACGTGGACCAGTGTCTGAAAGCGTGTCAGTAAAGCACAACATCCTGACTTGGACTGTTTACCTTGCGTGTCGATGGTTGATCCAGGTTGAATCCAGTTCTGACTCGGATATCGAATATGTAACTGCTTGCCCTGGAGAGGGAAAAGTAGTGGAGAGAGTGTAGTGAAAGGCAGAGAAAGGCCAGCGAGAAAGTTAGACAATAACATGTTGACTTCCATCTGGGAATACACTGTTAGTTGTGGAGCTCGAAGAAGAACTGAAGATTTGCAGCAAAGATAAAACTTCCATTTATATATTCGGCATTATTTTGGGACTATGTCAACTCTTAGCCTCTATAACAAAACCAAAAATCACCGGCAGATTACAGATGTTGACCTGATTCAGTCTGTGCTCGGCGCCAATCCCAGCCCCTGAGGTACACAATGAACAAAAGAGAAGTGAACGCCATTAGAGCACCGGAGACGGCACAGTATGTCCACTGCGTCCCGATAATATTGATCAAGGGATTGACAGCGGCAGTTGTTCCAGCTCCCAAAAAGCAGCGAACGAGATTGTTGGCCGCCATTGCAGTCGCTGGGGTCGTGTAGTACAGGTCCGCGATCAACACGTTCATGATATTATAAGCCGCGGTGATACACAAACACGAGACAAATATCATGAGAAGAATTGCCCAGAACGGGAGTCTAAAAGTAAGAAATACCCCATATACAGTAATGGCGCTAGCTGCAAGTATCTGGCAGTTTCGGTCAGGTAAGAACAGCGAAAAGCACACCGGCAAGAGCGAGCTTACTGTCATGGGTAGACCAATCTGCAGTCGCGCCTTTTCTATAGGAAATGAAAGCAAGTGGTCCTTATGATCTTGCTCCAGCATGAGTCCCGCCTTAATACACCACCTTCGATAGTTCCAGTCGACTAAAATCCCATTGGCAGTTGCACTGAGCAGAGAACCTAAACCGGCAGGGATGTAGCAAAGGCCTACTTGCAAGTCGTTTAAGTTATAGAGCTTTGCAAATTGAGCTGGCATCGCAGCCGTCACAGCATAATAGCTGCCAAAAATGGCACCATTTGCGAGAAGCACCAACCCGACGGGACGTTGGAAAAGTAACCTGAGCGAGGGCCAGGGATTGGGGATGGAAATGTGTTGGTCCCGACAATTCGAGGATTGAAGAATGGGCCTTGGAATTGTTGATGATCGAGATTCCTTCACACAATCATAAAGCGGTCGATTCCAACCGGAAGGTGGAATGGACCCATCACCAACAATAACACGACATGTCTCAGGGAAGAAGAGTAGAAGTAATACAAAGAATATGCAGGCTATGATAGCCAAGAACCAGAATGTAGCTTGCCATCCCAGATATTGAGTCATTAAGCCCCCCACGATAGGACCTATTGAGGGCGCTAGGATATTTCCTAGAGATGTCAAACCCATGTAGGTTCCTCGTTCGGCAGATGTGATCATGTCGGCAGCCACGGCTGATGCAAGGGCCACGGTACCACTACTACCACAGCTCTGGATTGCACGGAGTACGAGTAGTGCAGGGAACGAGTGTTGCAGGGCAAGGGCAATATTGCCTAAAATATACACAACGAAGCATATGATGTATGCGGGTCGACGTCCTGCTTGGTCAGCTAAGGAGCCCATGAATGTAGGTGCGAGGCCTTGGCATATCTGAAGATTCACATTAAAATTCGCCAAGTGGGCGAGCTGAAGGTAGCTTACCATATACGTAGTGATAGTCAAGTTGATTTGCGAGGGACTAACATTCAAGTCTTTGGCGATGGAGTTGAGCGCTGGAAAATATATGTTGGCCGATAACGGTGAGAACGTCGATGCTATTGCAGCTGCTAAAATGATTAAGCGCTTCTGGGACTTTGTGAAGATGGAGTACGGCTTCTGGAAGACGGGACGAGGTAGCAATGGGGTCGTCTCAGTCCGCTCATTGTTATCACCGGCGTTTGTCTCTTGCCTAGCTGAATTGCTCATATCTGATTCTCGTACGGCCCTAAGAAGTTCAGAGAAGAGCGGAAGTTTTGACTAAAAAAATGCCAGATTTCTTCGCAGATCGTTATCTACTATTAACGGATTATATCTCGGGACAGCACTTGGCGATTTAAAGTTGCACTCATGGCTCAGCCTACAACCACACCAAAGCATCACATCTTGGCGGCAGGATTTGTCGGACCCGTTGTATTGCCCGTATAGATATGGGACGGTCGAAAAAGTTTCCCGCGTGTCACTGAGACTGTCAGTATAGAAGCCACCGACCTAATTTTGGTTCATTCCCTAGTTCTTACCCATATATTCTCGCCAGTGTGCCATGATTCCCATGATGCGATGAGCAAGCATAGCAGCTGGAATCATCTCAGGTTCGAAACCACTAAAACGAGGTTATGAACTTCAGCAGCTCTACTTGCAGCAACGGGGAGAGGGAACACTGACATGCTGGTAAACACAAAGTTGCCGTAAAAATCGGCGTTCGGGAACAGGCAACGGGAAACAAAATATTCATCCGTCGTAGCGGCAGCCTCAATGGCTTCGGCGACTTTGAAAAGGGGGTTAGATCCCGGAGCAAGATCTTTCAATATCTTCTTAATTGGATCTACACGGGGGTCAACCCTCTTGTATTCGCGATGCCCGTATCCGAATAGTTTTCGTTTCCCGGATTTGACTTGCTCCAGGAAGCCCGGAACATTTGCAGGGTCTCCAATCTCACACAGTGCATTTTGGGCAGACTCTGTTGCACCAAAGTGCAGCGGGCCATAGGCAGCTGTAATCGCAGATATGAGGCAAGATATGGGATCGGTTAGAGACGATGCTGTTACCAAGGTTGAGAATACTACCAGGGCCATGCCGTGGTCGGCATTGAGCATGGCGAAGTGGCGGAAACTGTGTAGCTTAACGGGATTTGGACTTCCAGTCGTAGAGTCAGCCAACCCTGCCAACGTGAATAAATTCTCGTAAAATGATCGATTCGCGGACGGGCGTTGCCAAGGGATGCCTAGCCGATGGCAGCGTGCAGCAGCAAATACCACAGCGTAACAGGCGACAGTTCGCAGAATCAATTGGTCAGTCCGGTCTAGATCGTCTTGGTAAAGAGTTGGATGCGACGAGGATGGCATAATATCAGGCATTGATGAGAGGTATGCAGTCAGACCGGCAAGTAGCAGTGGCAGCGAAGATGTTGTTCTTCTGGAAGGCAAGGTTCAGTGAAAGACAGACATAATCCGGGATAATTGATTCGCTTACGGAAGGATTTGGATAGACTGGTGGACTATTGGAGGAATATCGTCCATATACCGAGCGAGTTTTTCACTCAAATGAGTCCGTTGGCTGTCCGTTGGCAGGTTTCCCCAGAGTAAAAGATGGAACATGTCCTCAAAGTCCTTCTCCCACATCTGTTCCAATGTATAACCCCGGAATATCAGTGAGCCACGCTCATGGTCACTGCAAATTAGCCTCAGCTAACCTGATCAATGGTATCTCTGAAACAAACTCACGAAAAGCTGATCGCGGATTCAACCACCGATGTATTCTGGAGGCCGGGGTCATAGACCCGCAGACCTCGGGAGACCTGATCGGCACGGTCGGCTTCACCGGTAGGGGCTCGTATGCGTCGCAGATCGATGGCACGTATAGCATTTCGGCGAATGGGAATCTCGTACTTGACTCCAGTGCGCGAGTCCTGCACAAACAAGGCACCAGAAGACATGGTGGCAGCTAGACTAATCGATGAGAACAAGATTGAACTTCTGCAGATTAGTTAGTAGCAAGTCAGTGACAGCAGCTCCATTTTGATCCTTTTGATAATTTTGCGGCCTGTCAGCTTCGGAGCTCTTGAATGGCCTCTGAAATGAACTCTAGAAATGTGCCGTGAGATCTGTTCCACATGGAGTAGCCCTCTCGTACACCTCCAGTCAATCGAGGACAAATTTCCGGTTGATTGTAACAATATATCATATGTGGTAATTTGATCATTGAAGAATTGGATTTTCATATCTTTCGTAATCATAAAATCGAGAACCTTAAACTTCGTAGACAAAAGCCCCGCCCTGTATTCATTTCATCGTTTTCCTTCCATTCCCCTCCACTGCAAGCTCGTGGAATAAATCTACCAAAATTCCCCGGCATCAACAGTCCACATTTTACTGAGGCATGCCCTCGAATGGCTTGGCGAGATGCTCCTGGCAGAAGGGGAGCTTGCTCTGCGTCCAGATTTCGGTGTCCTGCAGGAAAGAAAAGAAAAATAATTAGCCCCACGCATCCCACGACTCATGCGGATCATCTCCGTCGCTAGGTGTCAACTCCAGAGGATCGACCAATACATACCGGCTTGAGAGTCTTCTTGATCTCAGTATCCAGAGTACCAGCCTTCAGAGCAATGATTTCGGGAGCCGCATCGGGGTCGTGGGCAATGGGTGAGCCACACTCGGAGCAGAAGATGCGGTGGACGGCTTTGCCGGAGCTGCCTTTGCCAGCCCAGCTCTTGGTGGGGCCGTTGATGGTTAGCTTGGCCTTGGGCACGACGGCAACCAGGGCTAGAGTTCAGTCAGGAATTGCTGAATTGCTTGAAAGATATCCAGGAAGGGAAACATACAGTAGGTGGAGCCACTCTGGCGCTGGCAGTCGTCGCAGTGGTCATAGCCGGTCAGGAGAGGGGCATCGACGTCGACGGTGTAGGTGACCGCCTTGCAAAGACAGTGTCCAGAGAGAGGCATGATGGGAATTGATTGGCTAGGATTTGGTGTAGAAGGGGAATTGATTCTCGCAAGGTGCTTAAGGGAAGAAGAAGAACCTTGGGAGCCCGTGGAGTATTTATAAAAGGTTCAAGAGCCACACTAGACGGCTAGAGCTAACCATGACAATTTGCAAAATCAGATTTACACTTGCATTGGTTCCTTTGACTAGCTTCCTAGTCTTCGTTGACCATCCGTCTTCTTCCTTCTCGTAGCTCCTTGGGCCTATTACTCGGACTGAATCCTTGACGAGCGGGGCTTCATTCATGGCTAGTGCTAAGGACGAGGGTTCCAAATCCTGCGTGTATTTGAGTATTCCTGCGCAAAGATCGGACTTGCAAGCCATTCGAGCTAATGGGGACTAATTAGGATGACATCATTGGTTCGTCGTCGACAATTCCAAATTCCAAAAGTCTCCTCCCAAAGCGTCCATGACAAATATCCCGCCCCGCTAAACAGACCCGCTGCCCCTCTTTATGGAACACCGCGATGGAAGATAATAAATATGCAGAAGTAAAGTACGATGCTTTATCTTTCCAGCGTTCCCTATTATTATACAGGTCCAATTGGCCCGAACACATCCCCTCTTCCCTCCCCCAGCGAGGATCCTAGGCTGATCCACCCCCAGCGGCCACCAGCCGCGCCACTAACTCGCTATGCGACTGTGATAGCGTCCGACGCACGAAAGACGTCGTTATGAATGGGCAGATCAGCTCAACCTCCTCCTGCAAGTAAAATACACTGGGCGGACCAGTTTCGCCTGCAAAAATCTTCCTGCGATGCACCGTCCAATAATCGTGGATATGTACCCCCAGAGGCGCATAAATATGTGTTCGGAGACCTTGTGGAGTGTCATGGAGGTACCCTCGATAATTGAGCTTGCCTTGAAGCAGACCGCACGGAAGATATGAAATTCGGTCCGTCAGTTCATACCATGCCCCGTCGCGTTCATCCTCGGGCGCATCGTCTGGCGTCGAGATGCGTTCATAATGGATGACTAGAGGATTCTGCTCGATCATCGCAGCGTGGTCGTGAAGGATCCTCAACACCGCCTCTTCAGAGAGTGTGTTGGGGAGCGGTGTTCGATTCGTAAATGTAGTCCTCTGCATCGTGACAAATTCGCGGGATCTAGGTGCAGTCGACAAGTCGAGCCGAGATTTCGAGTTCCTCGGAGCTCAACAGAGCTGGACCCTGAACGGGCTTTGGTGGGGGTGGGTCGGTACGGAGAGACGGCGGGCGATCGTCGAGATGCTAAAAGAATAATCCCAGCCCAATAGTGATTGGTCGAGGGACTGGACAGTAGGGATGTGATATACTCAGGGATGAGGATCAAGATACTGTAAGAACGGGCTGTCAACCAGGTCCACAGGCTGTAGTGTTTATATAGCTCCTTAGCAGAGATAGGGAAGTGGGGGAATGTTGTGGCGGAGTATCCCCAAAGATCAGGAGGACCTATTTTCAGCCTTCCGTGGCATGAAAATAAGCAAAAATAAGCAAAATCTAGTAAGCAAAAGTGTGTTGTCAAAATGTGTTGTTCTGTGCACCGCTGGGAACGGGACTAAAAATACATGGTGGGCACAGCCACGACTTTGCGGCGCCCGTTAATAATTGCTGCTTCAGGTACATGTTCCGTCTACGAGAGGGAACCTCTTAACAAGTACATATCTGGGGAAATATGCATCATAGTGGATAATCATTTAAATTTTGTGCAGTCCCGCGAAATACGGACATCAAACATATCTAATTAGGAGCATGTACCTGGAGATATCCTACACTATACATGTATATCAATAATAAGACTGTGGGCTAGTCTGTCGAAGATTCTCGAGTTTATCAGCAGCACTCTGCGCATCCTCCGTCAGTAATACGATCCTCGCCGACCCATGAGATCCCATCTCCCTGGACTGACCTGCATGTTTGCAGCCGTACTGTAGCTGGGGATCTGTCCTCCATAATACATACTCTCCACGCGCTGCGCCTCTCGGGCATCTTCCTTGGTTATATATGCCGGTACTTCCGTTGGCACTGCAGGAACATTATAGTAGTCATTGCGATTGGCGATGGAGCGCACTTGGGCGGAAACGGATCCCATACCGGGTGGTTTATTGAAGGCGCGACCCTGGAGCAGCTATTAACACCCGCTCGCTCATTTGTACAGTGGTGTAGTCTTGCATACCTCTGTTGATTGGACAATCCGTGCATCATCCTGTGTAATGAGGCTCTGTGGCTTACGGGACACTTCCTCGACTGTGCTGTCAAAATTCATCTGCTTCATAGCAATACTCTGTGCCGTGGCTACCTCCCGATCAGCAACCACCGAGATATCTTAGTACTCTCAAGAAACAACATACCTGCTGGTCCGCCCCGGACCGGCCCGCGTCCAGTCAATCGGTTCTCGACCTGCGAGATCGCCGAGACATCTTGGGCGGAAATCCGCTGCCCAGACTCAGCTGCCTGTTTGAGTTCGGCAACGGTGGGAAGATCTAGATTCATGATTGACAGCATGGGTTGAGATGCGTTATCAGCATAACTCCAAAACCGCGATGCTGGCATCTTCTCTTTATTCGAATATATAACATCTAGGGGCGAGTGATGTCATTTTGAAGGCATTGCCATGTTGCCTCGTGGTGGCGCTGCCACTCCGTTTAGCCTGAATTTGACATTGTGGGGAGAAGCACTTTGAGACTACCAATTGACATCAGTGATAAAATGGCATTCTTGAATGAATACTCTGAGCAATGGACATATTGATTTAATGGACCTCGGCTCTAGGGTTTACCCATGCTGGCTTCGAGGCAGTGCGTTGATTGTTATGTTCTCAGAATCATTTCGCGAGTAATTTGAGGGTTGGGAAGTTCATTTTGGGGCCCTGGAATTGGGAAAATCTAGCAAGCTTAGCCCTAACACTTAGGGATCCAGATTTTCTCTTCGGTCTCTTAAAATAGGTTATGCACACTTTGCCACAGACCGTAGCCCGGCAAAGTCCCATATATCTAGAACGCACAAAAGTGGCAATACTTGTATCGACTTAGAATGAAAACTATTCTACCAACCTCTTAGGCCTTGTCAGACAAATTGCAGGTCACATTCATAAGGAGAGTCTCGGTCATCCATAATTGGGTTCAATGGCGCCTATTGCTTGACATCTGGCCATGTATGCTAGATTTGGTCAGAAGATGAATTGGATTGTACGGCTATTACACACACTAAAAGTTCATCGGGCTATTGGAACAAACCTATAAACTATACCATGCTGCAGCTAGCCGTCAACTTCTTGATAACACCAAAGGATCCTCTACCTTGTGACGACGAGGAACCGAGGCAGTGATTGGCCGGAGGGAAAGTACCCCTTTAGGACGACGACTCGGATAGATACAGCATATCGACGCAGTATCCGATCAAACCAGAGGGGAAAGAGCCACGTCACTCGAGGCACGTTACACAATGGTTGTGTTCAGGAGCCGTTTTTGAGACCGTCTACCAGGTTGAGGTCGGCAGCATGCGGTGCTGCTGTGTACAGTTGACCAGGAACAGACAGACCACTGGTGTACGTCGACGGCCCCGGTGGTAGGACAGACATCCTCAGTGCGAGTGCTTCCCGGGGAAACCATCACAGATTCCGGGGGTGTTTCGACTGGTTCTTACCTGGTTAGAGGAAGTACTCGGGCAGTGTGATTACGGTTTGGTATTGTTATTCGGTCTGGTCACGGTCATTTTCATCTGTATATACTCACGTTCTGTAAGCCATGAATCATTGCCTGAGCAGTCAGGCTTGCAGAATCTATAAGATTCCGTTCCTACATCTCTGTCTGGTGAGCTCTGTCTCTTATATACTCGTATACTCGGAGGACTGCCGGTCGATCTGCACTGACCAGGCCGGTGCCGGGATTCTCCGCCTTGAGTCGCATGCCGGCACCGGCACCCACTACCACAACCGACCATCCTCCTCCCGTCTCCCGTCCACCACCGCCATCCCTCGATCCTCTCTGGCGCCAAGCCGGTTTCGCAGGTCCATACCTACTACTCGAACCTCTTCAGACCTTGTCCCTGTTCATGGAGACGTAAGAACTTCTCCCGAAACATCCTTCTGTCGCGCGAACATGCTAACATGCCTTCCCGAAGACCACTGAAAAAAGGAAAGAAGGCGTGCACTGAGTGCCGTCAGCAAAAGGTGGCTGCTCCTTGCTCCATATTCCGAACTAGTAGAACTGCCATGGCCAATCTAACACATATCAGGCAAAATGTGATGTCTACTTGGACCCAGATCAGCCCTGCACCCGATGCCGCAAGGTGAATGCGAACTGTGTCATCTCCGACCCCTTCAAGAGAGAGCACAAGCGCAAGTATGTATCCAGAGTGCAACTAGCGAAAGACACCACAGAATGAGGAGATATTCTTGAACAAGATCATAATGTTGATCACCATTTAGGCGGCTCTCCGAGCTGGAACGGGAATCGGAAAATCTGCGACGCAAGCTTCGGGCATCGCAGCCAGCAGATCTCAGTCCCCACCCCTCGCCGATCGCCCTCTTGACAGCGGCAGCAGAGATGGGCGCGCATTCAAGACCAGGAAGTCACTCGGTTTCTGGGTCCTCGCATACCCCGCTCGATTCGTATTCGCCGCACTTGTTGGCTCCAAATGGCCTCACGCACAGGACCCCGGCACCGGCACCGGTATTGGACGCGGCTGGCACGACCAAGCCCCGGAGCTTGAATGGGGTACAGGTGCAAGCAGAGGAAATTGATGACCTGTTTCGATTGTGAGATGATCCCACGCTCCACAAATCCTTTCTGATAATGTGCTATATTATATATCCCTGCTGACCCGATGATCAAAGATTCTTCCAGCACTATGCTCAATTCCTGCCCATCTTAGACCCCCAGACTTCACCAAATACCTACTATGCACAATCGCCCTTCCTATTCTGGACGATCATTGGAGCAGCATGTCGTTCATACTCTCGGAATCCTACATTGCTGACGGCATTGGCTCGAAGTGTAATAGAGATGGCATTCCTCTCGGCCTTGTCTGTCTCGCCACCCTGGCACACCATTCAAGCACTCCTGCTCCTCCTGACATGGCCTTTCCCCAAAGGTGATCATCCGGACGTGACATTCCCATTATGCGGGATCTTGCTTCACATCTCCATGCAAAATGGGCTGCATATCCCCATGTCGAGTCATGAGTTCTCACGGGTCAAGATCCCGGCACCATCCGAGGCGGACCTACTCCGTCGCTCTGAGCTGTGGGCACACACAGTTATCATGTATCAACGGTAGGTCCAGAAATGACGAATCTGCGTTCAACACAGACTAATTTCGTGGGTAGGGTCTGCGTGCTCAAGGGACAGTTACCCCGGGCCCTTATGAACCACGGCCAAGATCCCACATATCGACAGGTGTTGGTGGATAAGATTGCGCCGTGGATGGCGCTGAAAATTCGATGTCAAGAGGTTATTGCAAAATGCAGCGAGGCAGTTACCGAAAACGGCCTACGGTCCATGTCTCTCGATCAAGAGCGAGCGTTGGACATTCTCCTACGCACCTATGAAAGCCAGGTAGATGATCTGGAACTACGGGCTGTAACAGGTATGCTACTTTCTCTCAATGCTCTGGCCAGACACATTTCTGACCGTATCGTGTTGTAGATGATGAGAGGTTTGACACCGGCCTCTGCCGAATGGCCGTTCAAAGTTTCCATTTTTTCAAGAACCAAACTCTCGTCTCCAGTGGATGCTATCCACGGATTCTTGTCACGGCGTGCAGCTTGATTGACTACGTCCAGGTGCTTGCCGATCGATTTGGGTTCCTATCAATGGCCCCCGTTCACATTAGCTTTGCACTGTTCTTAGCTTCCTCATCCTTGCTGCGCATCTTAAAAAGCAGCGTGGCCTCTCAAGGCTTGGAAACCGGTCGCGCGCGAGCGTCCCTTTTCACAGCGATCAATCTGGCCAAGCAGATTTCCACCGACAGTGCCGATATAGCTGCCAAGACAGTGCTGGTTCTCAGTTCGATCTGGAATAGTAATAAAGCATTTCGCCGGGCCGACGGGTCGGATTATACGGCCCTGCGCATCCGCGGTCGCCTCGTGCTCAGTCCCATTCTCGATGCTGTCTGGTGGTGGCGGGATGAATTTGATCCCCAGTCGCGGGCCGTACGGTCGGTGGTGGAACCTGCTAACGGTATTGTCTATTCTCGTTCACGGTACCTTGCTACTGCTGATGGAGGCGTAGGTGGTGGATCAGATACCAACCCCGATCTTTCTGGCGGGATGATGGCGCCCTCCGGCGTGATCACTGACCAAAGTGCATTCCATCTGGATGAGCAATTCCTCGCCGATTTCGAATGGGCACTCGGCGACGAGGCGCTGTTCTCGCTGGATCCGACACCCTCGACATGGCCGTCGGCGAACAATCTTCTCTAAACGGAGTGGGCTGGCGGGGGGTATCAGAAAGAATTCATTGGCAAGACACCTTGATTCCTGTATGATTCCCGTGCTCTCTATTGCCCAGAAAATGATCTAACTTTGCCCAGCCTTCGAGCTTAGGTTGAGTCGGTCTCCGATGCGGGCTTCCGGATAGACTCTCTGCTATAGTACCCTGTATACTTCGTATGATGCACTTCCCTTGTTAGTTCCTCTAGATCCGTCCACGGATACGAGCCTTGGCATTGGCGATATGACTGAGATTAAACGAATGAGAGGCAACGTGCATTGGCCTCGAGATACGGTAAATAGCCTGGTATAGCCGGCGACCTGCTTGATTTGTTTAGATCTGGCGTTGATAAAGAGTACATGGAGGGTTGGACCCTGCATGAGCAATCAAACGAATCATGGTCGAGGGCTGACAGCAAGGAGCAGGGAACAGAGAAGCAGAGAAAAAATAAATAATAATCGCATTCCTGTTCTCGGAAGCATTACCGCGTCAGGGTTGTCGTGGTGTCTCGGATCCGCCACCACAGGGCGACTATGACCATTGGGGTAAGAGGATAAGCGTTCGAAGGTTGGGGGTGGGTTTTCTCGAGCCATCGCGCCAGACTAGCCAGTTGGACATTACAGTACAAGAAATCACCTCGGCAGGCCGTTCAGTTCGAAAAAGCTCGTCCAGGAAGACCACGAGTGATTCTTATTGTATGCGAGAAAAACCTCCGCCAATGGCAAGTGGCCGAGGGGCCCAATACGAGCATGAGTCACTTTAATTTGGACCGTAGATTCTTAAGGAGACGACAGCTCCCTCGGCCTCGGGGGGGGGGGTTCTGACGATTTTGTTTAATTGTCATCTCCATTGCATCCAGACTGATACTGATTGACTGATTGACTGAACAGAACTGGTTATCTCACCAAAAAACGGAGACTATTTTTGAGTGCCTGCAAAACGAGATTCATCCGCCAATCAGGATCCCGTGATTCCGTGCCTTTTTTCGCCTTCTCGCGACGTTGCCAAAAGTTCCAAGTCTGACAGTCGCACACTTTTCCACTCGCATCGGGGAGCCTTCCAAACAAGTCGCATGACTTGCGTCTCGAACTAACTCAGCCTTGAATTGTTGACAGCTGCATATGATGGCCGATGCCAGCCGGACCGTGCCAGCCTGCTATTTCCCCGCATTTCACCATTTCACCGGGGGCGGGTCGATCGTGTGTGTCTCGCGCAGCTCCAATTCCCCGGGCGAGTATCCCAAGGTTCATAGGGCAGGATGTACTTGTACTACTGCGTGGTGTTTCAAGCAAGGATCAGCAGGGATGACAATTGTGACACGAGTCCATCCTGGTCCTGGTTGGAGCATCCCCGGATCCTGCCTCTGAACCGGGCTACTCTGCCCAGTCAGTAAATCAGCACAATACTGGACATACTGTACCACCATCCCTTCTACGGCCATTCCACGCTCCAGGACGGAGGAGTGAGAAGCCAAGATCGACAGACGCTTGTCCTAGATGGGTCTGATATCTCACCATCCCGTTGCTGTCTTGCTGACCAGGCTTATCTCGGGCCGCAAGAGCATTTGCCAAGTCGAGCTCCCTTACAACTTCCTGCCTCGGTTGTATGTCTTCTTCCCGGTCGCATACTCTCCCTGTGGCTACGCCTTCCAATTTCCATCCACATTCCTGATCCGACGGAGGTGCGGACAACCAAAATGAACGTGGCACGCGGGACCAGAGCGGCTTTTTGCCCAGGGGGGCATGTTCGCCGGCCTGTGGCGCGGAGGGGGGTCCAACCAGATCACGGCCCAAGCCTTTTAGCACGGCCGCTAACAGGATAAGGGCGGCGCTAACTCCAACCAGCAACGCTCACTCTCTGCGGGGAGGCCCCTCTCCTCCCGAGATCCTCTCCCCAAGACTCCCAAGACTCCAAGACTCGCCCAGCCCAACTGTAACCGGCTTATCGCTAACAAGCTCGTGGCACGGCGGAAGTGGGAACGGGTGGACCTTGGCCAAAGGGAGAAACAACCCCCCCCCCAACCAGGCTAACCAGCACGTTATCAGTACATCTCCCTTGTTTTCCCCCCCCTCCAATCTCCACCCGGGATCTCCTTGCGGCCCACTTCGGGGATCTCCCCTCTCTATTGTCTTCGAACTCGGAACGAACCTGATCAGACCATCGTCCTCTAGTTTGCCGAGGAAGATTGTTGTGCCGTGGACGCGCCATGGTGGCTGCTTTGTTGCGTATTCCGTTGGCGGTTGCCGCGTGGGCGAAAGAATCTCCGGCCGCATTGGTCCTCGGCGCAGGCCGCATGGCCCCAGATTCAGCCATGTCGCCAATGTTTTCCAGGAAGGAAGTCAGCCTAAATGTCTTGGCGCTTGGAACTGGTGGATCGAAGCGGAAAGGTAACATTCCGCCGCCACCATCAGCTGCGCAGGAATAGGCAAGCAGGCCCGTGATAGCGATGGGAGAACCAGAGGCCCGGGGGAGAGGTGGAGGTCCAAGGGCATGGCATCGCATGGTTCTGACTGGTCCAAGGAGCAGTCAGATTAACAAAAAGGGGGGAAAGAAAAAGGAAAAAAAAAAAGCAAAGGCAAAAGCGAAACCAAGCAGAGCAAAGCAGATTGACAGGTCCATGGCCACGAGCACGGCCCCGAGTCCTGCATTCGGGACTTGTGCGACTTCCCTGGCTTTGACTGGCTTGGCTGGCTTGAGTGGCTTGATTGGATTCATTTCAATCCATTTGCATAGTTCCCAGTTGGCCTCGATTGGCTCCGGCTGGCGCTGGGTCGATACTGCTTAAATCCTTTGTGATTGACCTTCCTAATTCTACTTTCTTGCCTTTCTTGTGAATTTATTATGATTATTATTATTCTTCATTTTCGGGGCATTTTTTCAAGGTTCAGACCTCGTTTGCAGCTTCTCGAAGTATGGAATTGGCCAGTCTACTCACCCAACGCGACCTGAAACCAGCGATATCTCGGCGAACAAAGTCCCTGGTACTGTTGACTGATCACTCACTCAAAACAGAAACTCATGATCAAGTCCGTACGACACGCGTTGACTGTACACAATTCGATCGCTCACCAAATCCAGAAATCATCCGACGATTTGCCTCCTCGTGCGTTTAGTCTTTAAGTTCTTTTAGTCTTGCCTAGTGAGTGACTCTAGTCTCCCTTGCTCCTCCTTTGCCTGTGCACCACCAACCTCCATCCCCACTTCACTGGGAACTTTCCTCCTATCATCTTCTCTGCTTCACCCTCGTCGTCGCTTATTCCCCCCAAACTAGCGCTCTTGAGGTTACATCCATCCCCCAGCTTGGTCTCAGATATCATTCACCTCATTTACTGGAGGCGATAAGGCGGAATCCCGTCGGGGTCGACTGAGCTGTCAACAGCGTGAGAGAGAGAGAGAGCTTCGCGCTCCGCTTTAAAGCAAGTCGGAGATCACCAGACTGGTTTCCTTTTCTTTTCCCTCTTCCTCTTTCTCTTTTCATTCTCCTTCTCCTGCGTCAGCTCGGTAGAGCCTCTCTGGTCCCGGTTTCGATCGACGATCTGTGTGACCCTGCCCACCATGGAGAAGACCGATCCAAACATCGCCATCACCACCGGCGCCGAGGTCGACGAGACCGCGCCTAGTGATATGATCAACAAGTTGCGAAACTTGAAGGAGCACCATCACTGGGACCCTAACTTGCCCGATGATGTCGAGGATGAACTGGATGAGGCCCTGAACACGTCGGACAAGGGTGCCCAGGTTGGCCTCGCCCATGAGCTGTTGGACAATTCCATTTACCCGGAAGTGCGTGCTGCCGTCCCCAACATTGATGAGGGAGGCCACAGCAATACCCTCCGTGCTTGGGTCATTGGTATGCTCTTTGCAACCATCGGTTCCGCCCTGAACATGCTGTTCTCCATGCGTCAGCCCTACATTGTCATTCCCTCCTACATCGCCCAGGTCGTTGCCTACCCCGTCGGTAAGGCCTGGGAACGATTCATGCCGAACAAGAAGTTCAAGTTCTTCGGTATTGAGTGCAGCCTGAACCCGGGAGTCTTCAGCAAGAAGGAGCACGCGCTAGTGGTTATCATGGCGAACGCCACATTCGGCGGTGGCGCTGCCTATGCCACGGATGTCCTGCTGGCACAGCGCGCCTTCTATGGGCAGAACTTTGGCTGGGCTTTCGAAATCTTCATGTGTATTTCGACTCAGATGCTTGGTTTCGGTATGGCCGGCTTCTTCACCAAGTACTTGGTCCAGCCCGCTGCCATGATCTGGCCTTCCACCCTGATCAACACTGCTCTCTTCTCGGCTCTCCATGACCGTACCAAGCCCGACCCCCGCAAGGTGAGCGGCTGGAAGATTGGTCGGTACCGTCTGTTCCTGTACACCATGATCGGCTCGTTCTGCTGGTACTGGTTCCCCGGATACATTGCCCCCTTCCTGAGTGTGTTCGCCTGGGTGACCTGGATCAAGCCCCAGAACGTCGTGGTCAACCAGCTGTTCGGTGGCTGGACCGGTCTGTCTCTGATTCCCATGACCTTTGACTGGACTCAGATCTCCGGTTTCAACTTCAGTCCCCTGATTGCCCCCTGGTATGCCATGGCCAACACCTTGATCGGCATGGTTCTTTGGTTCTGGATTGTGACCCCAGCCATTCACTACTCTGGCTTGTTCTACTTCAAGTTCCTGCCTATCAGCGACTCGGGCAGCTACGACAACACTGGAGGCGCCTACAACGTCTCGAAGATTTTGACTCCCGATTTCACCTTTGACGCGGAGAAGTACAAGTCCTACTCCCCGCTTTTCCTTTCCACCACCTTCTCCCTTAGCTATGGTCTGTCCTTTGCTGGTATCATTGCCGTCATCCTGCACACTGTCCTGTTCCACGGCCCCGATCTCTACGCTCGGTTCCGCGCTGTCAACGGCACGGAGGAAGAGGATGTTCACAGCCGCCTCATGGCCCGCTTCAAGCCCGTTCCTCTTTGGTGGTATGGCGTCGTCACCCTGATCATGATCGGTATGGCTCTGGGTGTGACTCTGGGCTTCTCCACTCACCTGAGCTGGTGGGCATTCTTCATTTCTCTGATCATTGCGATTCTGTGGTTTGTGCCTCTCGGAATCGTCAAGGCCTCAACCAACATTGATATTGGTCTTAACGTCTTGACTGAATTCATCATCGGTTACATGCAGCCTGGTCGCCCCATGGCCATGATGCTGTTCAAGACCTATGGATACATGAGCATGTACCAGGGAATGTACTTTACTCAGGATTTGAAGCTCGGTACGTTCTAACGAACCTTTTTATTCCATGTTCCTTTTCCGGATTCAATCGGCTAACTTCACTTTGTTTCCTCCAGGTCACTACATGAAGATCCCTCCTCGTGTGACCTTTGCCGCGCAGATGGTCGCTGGTGTTTGGTCCTCGCTGGTGCAAATCGCCGTCATGAATTGGGCTCTGGGCGCCATCAAGGATGTCTGCAAAGCGCACCAGGCCAACCACTACACCTGTCCCAACGGTCGTGTCTTCTTTAACGCCTCCGTGATCTGGGGCGTGATCGGCCCTGCCCGCATCTTCTCCATTGGCCAACTCTACTCGCCCCTCATGTTCTTCTGGATCGCCGGTGCCGTCCTCCCCGTGGCCATCTACTTCGGTGCTCGTGCTCTCCCTCGCTCCCCCATCCGCTACCTCTCCGCGCCCCTGATCTTCAGCGGAGCCGGTCTCATTCCCCCCGCCACCCCGCTAAACTACCTCAGCTGGGGTATCGTGGGTTTCGTGTTCAACAAGTTCATCCGTGACCGCTTCCGCGGCTGGTGGATGCAATACAACTACGTTCTCTCAGCCGGCCTGGACGTCGGCCTCGCCCTGTGCACCATCCTCATCTTCCTCACCCTCAACCTCACCAGCACCAACTTCCCCTCCTGGTGGGGTACCGACATCGCCGCCAACACCATGGATGCGTCCGACACCGCGATCCAGGTTGTCTTGCCCGAGGGCCAGACCTTTGGACCGAAGACCTGGGCGTAAAGGTGAGTTGCCTCAAGATCCCGAGTACCTATGCCCGTTGCTTAGGTGGTCTCGGGATGTCCTGCAGGATGCGAATGCCCAGTGGCATTTGCGGGCGTGCACAACGCGATGGATCGATGCTTTTTATTTGGTCATTAATTAATGCATGCTTGCAATGAGATGATGATTAAATGACTGCCCCTTTCTTTTTTTGCGTGGGTATCGTAATATTCATAACAATTTAATACCTACCCTTCAATTCAATTGAATAATCATCAATGAGGTGTCTTTCTAGTAAAGTGTGTGCTTCCACGTAGGCGGGGCCATAGTATCCCACGTCTCCCATCAGCATGCTGATCAGGCTAGTTTCAACGAAGTCGAGAAGGTTCGATGAAAACTTTCGTGTCGTATTCATCTAGGAAGAAACAGTACAAAGACGTGAAAAGAAAGAAAGCGTAAATTTCCCAGAAACGTTCTGGATGCATCATATATACATAATCAATTTACCTCAATCGCAACTATCGTCAGACCGAAGCAGATATTCACAGTCCAAAAGAAAAAGAAAAAGGAAACGGAAAAGAAAAGAAAACATGGTTCTTCATCAGTGGTGGCAGCGAGCCCAGCACTTCCAGATACTCGCTGCACCCTTTTCACATGAATCATCGTAAGCGTGGTTTGGTCCAAAGACGTGAGATGATGATTTCCAGATCCCAATTGATCCGCCCTACCTCCCAACTAATCCCAGCTTCGCTTCCAACCCCTTTCCTGTTCAAAAGCACGTCACTCACGCAGGAGTACGACGACGCATACCAACCTGCAAAGCAAGAGGCTTACGCAAGAAACCTTCACGAGTCTCCATAGGACCATCCTGCTCAATCTGGAACTCGAAGAGGCGGAAGACAGTAGCGCCCATAACGAGAAGTTCCATTTCAGCAACGTTGCGACCAACACAGGCCCGGGGACCGTGGCTGAAGGGGATGAAAGCGGCCTTTTGACGAGGGGTCAGACGCTTGGGGCTCCAGCGCTCCGGAACGAACTGCTCAGCGTCAGGACCCCAGATTTCTTTGGACCGGTGGATGGTGTAGCTCGGTACGGAGAGGACATCGCCGGGGCCGAAGGTGTGACCGGAGATGATGATTGGGTCGGCGCCGGCGGGGATCTCGCGGGGTAGGCCCATGGCGGAGGTGGAGTGGATGCGCATGGTCTCCCAGATGACCCATTGCAGGTAGTCGATATCTTTGACCATGGCGTGGGTGGGGACGTCGATGTCCTTGGGAATGGCCTCGTCCAGGGTCTTGTGCAGCTTGTCGATGACGCCGGGGGTGCGCTGGCACCAGTACAGGATGGCGCAGGCAGTGTTGGAAGTAGTGTCGGAGCCAGCGATCAGTTGAGTGAGAGCCTCGGCGGTCAGTTCCTCGCGACCGAGAGTGTTGCCATGCTGGTCCTTGCCCTCCATGAGACGGGCGAGGAGGTCGACACGGGTGTTGTTGGCCATAACCTCAGGCTTGACACGCTCGTTGACACGGGCAATAGCAATACCAGCCAGGTTCTGGACAGCCTGCATACCCTCGGTGAAGAACTTGTCGGGGATGTACTTGGCGAAGGGGATCAACGAAGGCATGCAGCCCAGGGTAGCAGAGACTTCACCACGGCGGTTGAGAACCTCGACAGCCTGGACATACTTGGGCGGGTCATTCGGGTGCAGGCGCACCTCAGCAATGTCCTGGCCCTTCTCGAGCATGCCGAATGGAGCACCGAAAGCCAAGTCACCGATGATATCGAAAGCCAAGTAGTTGAACCAGTTGAGAGCGTCCAGGCTGGCGAAGCCAGTCTTGGGATTGGCCTGGAGATCGGCCAGCTTGCGCCACTGCTTCACGAACATCTCAATGTTGCCGTGGATGTACTGCTCGAACTGGCCAATGGACTTGGCGCTGAAAGTGTGCGAGACCGTCTTGCGCTTGCGAGTGTGCTCGGCACGGTCGCGCGTGTTGAAGAGACCACGGCGGATAGAGACAAACGCATCATAGAAGTCACTGATGATGATCAATTAGCATTGACAACTTGTTTGTATGTATCTGGCGACACCTTGGATGAGAATCGTATACTTACGCCTTTAGGAAGCCATTTCCGTGGCCGTAGACGGTGGTGATAGCCTCATCGTCGGCGATCGAGACATGGCGAGGAGCAATGCGCACCAGCTTGCCATACTTCTTGTGAGCGGCATCGACGGACAAGTACCGCTTCCCCTGGCGGGCCTGGATCAACAGCCAAAAGTTGGTGAAGGCTGCGAAGCTGGGAGAAGGGATATCCCGCAGCCGCGATCGCTGCAGGTAAGGCACCAGGAAATAGGCGACCACGATGCCCAGGAGGATAAAAGGCAAATTTTCCGTAGAGAACAGCATAACGAAGGGATATGCGGGGGGTGACAAGCTATGCAATGCAACCCGAAAAAACTTGGGGGAAAAAGGTCCGAAGCTCAAGCGGGAAAAGTGCGGCGTCAATCACGCTCAAGGCGGGGGGAGCAATGACGGTGGAGGGACCAGCAGCAAAAGAACCACAAGAAGTGTCGACACAGTCTCGTCCCGATGAATAGAGATATAGTTGTCGAGAGGACTAGAGACTGGAAGGAGAGAAGGAAGATCAGTCCATGCTGGCTCGCAACAGAGCTGGGGTCGAGTGTTATTTATGCAGTCAGCCAGCTGGAGAGCGTCGCATCATGATCCCCGAGGTCTAACCGGTCGACGGGAGTGGAAATCGGTATCTGGGGAGACGCCGCGAGTGGAGCCGTGGAGCGAGTAGTGCCGTTGCTGGCGTCCGAACCACCGCGTCTTCGGTTATTCCCCCAGAGCGGCCAGCAAATGTGCGGCCTGTCATTGGCAGCTGAGGCGACCCTTAGATCCCCGGCTGATTCATACCGGATTGCCGCTGTGTGATTCGATGGCATGGCGCAGGGCCTATAATAGGGCCAAGAGGTTTGGGAACTCTCAGTCTGTGGGGATTGTGGCGAAGGAGAAGATTGGAGGATTTTGGGAGAGTGTGGGGGATGGGAAGAGGCCCACGTGATGGCAGTCGTCGAGGAATGTTCTGCAGCGAAGAAGAGAAGGAGAAGAGAGCAGACATTCTCAAGACTCAAGGAGATCGTTCTAGACAGATCTGGCTGAGACAAGGTTGTCTACTGCACGAAGCAGTTCAATAGCCTATGATTGAATTGCTTGTAAACAATATTAGACACCATGCAGGGTATACTCGAATCACCATGCAGATGCTCATTATGCCTATATACACAGAGTATGCCATCATGTATGCAACGATGCTAATCCTCCTCTCGTTTCTGTCCTCTACCACTCGGCCGCAGGAAACAGTCCATTTCGCTTCTTCTCCCCCTCCCACCGCTCAATCCACGCCTTCATCTGATCCCGACTCTTCTGGCTGCCAACGTTCACCGTGGGAATCACCCGACCGATCCGCAGCGCACAGCAGAACATGGTCAACTCGCGAAACGAGCTATGCTCACTATACGGCACGCCGAAACAGGCACTCTCCCGCGTGCTTCCGCGCTGTGGGGTCAAATGCTGTGCCGTAAACGGAGTCCGCCAATGTTCGCCACGCAGCACCGTCGGCACGGGGGGTTGTCCAGCATGCGTCCGGCAGGTGGTCGGTACGACCAGCCAGTGGGCCGGAAGCCAACCACTCGGGAGAAATGGGGTTTCAAAGTGTCTAGGTAATCGGCCAGAGTGTCGGCCCGGATCTCAAACAGCGTTTGCATATGGACCTGCGCCTCCCGAGGGTCACTCGTCAGCAGCGCGGATAGCTCGGGGTCCTCCAGACAGGCACAGATTCGCTGTTTCTGGGGGTTGGCAAATATCTTTGATCCCAGCGCCTTTGCGATGCCCAGGCAGATTCGCTCCTTGCCAATGCTGTACGTGCCAATGACCACTAACAGGCGACCAGCATTGGACGAAGACCGCTCCGAGGCCGAATCACTTTTGGTTATCGACGAGAGAAACTTGCTCATAAGGCTACTACCAGCAGTGTTGCCAAGATCGCTTCCCACGCCGGATTCTTCATGGAGTCGAACGCAGAGTTCCGAGCATGCAGTAATCACATCCTCCTGGCTGGGAAAGGCGTACTTGGGGTTGAGATAGGTGGTATCCAAGTAACACGTATCGATTCGCTGTTGCCGCGGCTGGCCAGTGATCGGGTTGATAGGATCGGGTCGTAGTAGAGGATGTTCTACATGAGTAGGCGACGCTCGGAAATCGCCACAATGAAGAATGCGCTGCCGTCGAGCGTTAGGGCCGCTGCCAAAGTTCTTCTCAAAGAGAAACAACGAGCTTCCGGGACAATGGTTGGCAGGTATCATGGTGACCTGTACTCCCCCCGTGTCAGGCACTTCGGTCATCGTCTCAAAATCAAGGTCCACGATCCACTTGGGGTCCACGTGAAGTTGCTGTCGAACCAAGTTTCCCGTTGGCCGACTACAATAGATAGGACCATGGCACCACGATTTGGTCAGTCCGATATAATGATCGCTGTGGAAGTGGCTGAGGAAGTAGGCATTGCACCCCTCAACCGCGCCGTATCGAAAAGCATCCACACAGATCGAAAAGCCCGGCATGATCTTGTAGAATGGACAAGTTCGCTGGTAGGCCTGCTTCCCACGAGATAATACCTCGTTCGCAGCGGCGGCTGCCCAGGCTGTATCTTCGGCATTTCCTGCCATCATCTTGGAGAATGCGGATCGTGCGCCTGGAGCATTCTTAGAAAATGGGTCGCGTTGAGGGGGCCGAGCGATGGCAGCCCGTTCAAATCGTGTCAAACCTTTACCTGAATCATCGTCTTTCTTCACGTCTGACGTCTGGACTATCGGTACCGGATCTGGCGTGGTCGTTGCAGGCGTATTCGAGGTCTTGCCGTCCAGGCAATCGTTCACATGTACCGACAGCTCCGTCTCGTTGAATCCTGGCAGCGCTTTCTGGCATATCGGGCAAGTGTTCACTTCTTCAAACTCGGGTGCGAAATCAAGTGAATCATCAAAGTCGTAAGGTGTAATCATTTCACAGTCGGTCTGTTGTCTTTCTTCATTTTCTTGGTCGTCCCACGGTCTGTCCCGAAATTCCTCCCCTACAAGTTCATCGTCGTCTTCAACATCGTCAAAATTCGCGAGTCCATCATCGTTGGCATCATTCGTAGCGTCTCTTACCAGTGGTGTCAGCGGGGGCTGAGTGGCAAGAGGTTTTGTACCCGGTTCGTCGTCAAGGGAGGGGGGTTGATCGTTATAAGTCGTGTCGACTATTGTAGGCGAGGCCTCTTTCAGCTCTCGATATGCCTCCATGTCGTCTTCACTGTCCGACTCATCGATGAACGGTCCATTATCCGACTTTATGGCCGGGGCGGGTTTGACTGGCTTGGGCGCATCGCTTGCTTCCTCGCTCTCATTGGAGGTTTCAGGTGAATCCACCTTTTGACGCTTGATGGATTGCCCATTTTCATTGTACCGAGAACCCTCTGGTTCCATACAATCCTCATTCTCACCCCAGATGTCATCCGGTGTCCGTGGTCGAGCCCTCTCAGTCAAGTCGATCGTCACGGCCGTCCGTTCGACCTTTGCCAATCCCTTCTTGTCTTCCAGAAACAGACCCTCAGATTTATCACTTCTCGAACTGTTGCCATGTTGCAATTTTGGTGTTCCACGCCCACTGTTCGGGGATGCTGATGATCCAACAAACTGCGTGATGCGTGGCTGGCGTGATGTGGCCCCGGCTGGTGCGTCTGTCTTCTGGAAGAAATTCAAAATACTCCTGTTTCCCTTCGCCGAAGAGGTTTTTGTCGTTGACGCGGGGCCCTTGGATGGCGTGGACGCCTTTTTAGCGTACGATCCAGCCATCGCCCGCAGAGGAGTAGAGGCGAAACAGTGGGTAGGTTGAGGGGTTCAAGGTCAGGGATCGACGGTAGGGAAAATGAGGGCGAGCGACTCGTTAGGCGACAATTTCGAAGAGAAATGATGCTCCAATATGTACAGAATATTGTTCATTATCCACAACAAAAAACGGGATTGCTGGGTGCGCCACTCAATGCGTGCGAAGACGAACCGCGCGGGCGCTGCGACACGAAGTCACGTGAACACTACCAAGTCAAATGGGATATCAATTCCGTACAAAGCTACGAGCAACAACGAAAGGAAAAAGGACGTTCCAGAGCCCAGTGTTGGAGCTGGTTGGTTTCAAGTTATTTGACATCGTCGCCGTGAGCAACACAATGCTAGTAGAGCCTAGAGCCGTCCAACGATATCGCTTTTCGTAGCACACGGTCAAGCCCACTTAGATACAAGGCCTCCTTCTCCAAACGCCGTTCGTTCCCAGTGGAGCAGTGCCAACTCATAGATGAAACCATCTTCTCTTTGCGTGGAATAATTGCTCTGCATTTCCGCCATTGCGCCAGCTTTTTGTACATTTCAAGCCGCGCAGTTCGCTCCCCGTGTTCGCTTGTTTCGGGGGAACATCATAATATGAGAAAAAAACGTCAAGTCATAACGAGAATGGATATAGTGACTTTCAGAGCGTGGTGTAGGTATCGGGTGGGAGTTTACCGGGCCTTGCCAGCCTGGTTGGCAGCCTCTGCAGCATGGCAAGATATTAGTTAGCAAAATCCAACTTACACGAAAGCATTATCACGACAGGAATCCTCTGGAGAATCTCGCAACAGACAATACGGTTCCCAGAAGACATCCCGCGCTGCTATACCGGGGCAGATCCGGGCGCATCACTCACCTCGTCTTGTAGCATCCTCCAACAAACCAACATCAACCTCCGACCGCGGCAGCATCACATAGCGCACCACACTGCCACGAATGAACATGCTCTTGACAGAGGACAAGTGCGGGTACTTGTCCAGGTCCAACACTTCAATTTCATCCAATTTAATGTTCAGGTACTGATCGACCGACTTGAGGATTCCGCGAATGCGAATGTCATTCTTAAGCTCGATAGTAACCGTCTGATTGGTAAGGGTCTTGAAGAAACTGCAAAGGCCATAGTGTCAGTACTGAACGGTGTCGATCGAGGGCGCAATGGAGATCGGTAGTACCTGAAGAAAAGCATGATGGCGGGGTAAGGCGTGGAGTGAGTGGGTTGGTGTGTAGAGAAGAGAAATCGCGTATGTGGGAGCCAGCTTCAAGTGGCACTGCTGGGCTCGAGGTCGGATCGAGAGGTCGCAGGCAAAGTCGCTGAAGCTCGAAAGTGACCGGGCGGGTGATGCTGTGGAGGTCTGGAGCTGCGATGAGGAACGCTCACGTGATTAGGCTTTCCGGATCATTGAAGACGACAGAGGCCTCGTTCAGTCGCACACGACGAGATGGAAATGTGGAAATCTCAAAATTTGACCCATGGTGATTCATGATTTAAATGAAGCTTGTCCTACAATGGAGCTACTGTCTATCTTTTAAGTGTCTGGGGTACCCCATACCGAGTCAAAACGTGTATATATATTCCGCTGGCGAGACCTCCACGCTGCCAGGTCGATTCATGATCCAGACTTCGTCCTGAACAGGTACCAGCTCCTACCTACATTATAACCTTATGTACAGCGACACGTCAAACTCGATTGGCATCTCTCATCTCGCATTACATTAATTGGGCTGGCCACCCGGGCACAAATAGGTAAACTATCAACATGCATATCAACATCAACGTCCGCTTGAAACTCAGGTTGACCCGGCTCTCCGTTGCTGAATCATCTGTTTCACGCGCTTCGGCTTCATCGCCCATCCAGACAAGCAGGTCCAGCCTGCTCCGTTCTTTCTCCCCTCATCAAAAACCGCTCCCACTCCATCCAGCAGCTTGCCTCGCTCATGGCCCATTTCAGTCCGCAAGCGGACCAGCCACTGCTCCCACATCCAACCACCTAGAATCCCCGTGATACTGGCAATGTCGCCCGTGCTGCCGATGGGCCCCTGCACAGCTTCGTACTCTTCAATCCCACTCGGAACCCGTGGAGCCGGCGTCTCCCTTGGTGGCTGTGGCTGGATGCGTTCCGTGCCCATGGGCAGGAACATCCAGGCGCGCTTGATATTGACATAGCCACTTTGGCGCAAGCGAGCGAGGAAGGTCTTGGAAGCGATGGGGTCATACCCGCGTGTGCGAAGATTGAATGCAAATTCGACCGAAGACGCTGAGGCGTACGGCCCCGCGCGAGAGATCTCTGCATCCAACACCATGAACTCGAGATAGCCGCCTGGCTTGAGGCACCGGCGGCACTCTTTGAGCACCAAGCTGTATTCATCCCGGTCAAGCCCGGATGGACATTCGGTCTTCAACAGAGCATGCAGAGAGCGCGTGGTGATCACATCAAACTTGTTGTTACCAAACGGCAGCTCCCAGAGGCGCTCAACCGAGACCACGCGGTGGTTGGGCGGGCTCTTGATGGCGCTGTTGACAGTTTGTGTCTGATTAACGACCGAGTAGACCTTGGTGTGCGGGAACTCCAGTGCGGCATGCCAGCCCCATTCACAAGAAACATGACCACCGAGATTGAGGATGCGCACTGCGCGTGGCTTCTGTCCACCCTGGCTTTGAAGGGTCTTGCGGGTTCGAGTAGCTCGCTTCTCGACCGGGCTTGTCAGCATCTTGCCACCGTTCAGACATCGAAGCGCGTCCATGGCCCACATGGGTTGACAAAGCTGGGCCAGGACGAGCTGCTCCTTCTCAAGCTTGGCGAACTGCGCTTTCTCAGCCAAGACAGAGGTGATGATTGAGTTGCGGGGCGCTTGAGAGAATGGACCCTTGTACGCAGGCCTCTCTGGACGGACAATCTCGTATTTACCCATGAGACCATTGAGGTGCATATCCACCAACCCAAGTCGGAAGGACTGAATCGCATCGAAGCGCATGTTGCGGTGAAAGAAGCTGTCAGCTGTATTGGTCCGTTGTCGGATTGACTGGAACCCTCGCCAGTAGATGGAGTCCTTGCTGGCGGACAATGGTGGACGAGGACTGAGAGATTCGGGGACACCTTCGGCAAAGCGGACAGCCTTCTTTGGCGCTGCGTCGACTCCCTCTTCCGGTTTTGGCGACTTCTCTCCAGCATCAGAGTTTGCCTTTGAATCAATCTCGTTGATGGGATTGGTCTCATTCAGGGCGGCAAGGTAGGTTGCTTGGGCAGAGAGCCATACGCTGGTCCGGTCGAGACTTGCGGCGGCACGTTCCTGCAGCTCATTGTCATACAGCTCATCATACTCGTACACATTGCTGGCTTGGGTGATCTCCTGAACGGGCTCGAATGTCGCGCTCGTTGGGCTGTGACTGTCCTGCCGCGTGAGTGGTCTCGTGGGCGTATCGCATGGTACTCGAACGGCAGTAGGCGGGCCCTCCTCGTCACGGATCGCAGTGTCGGGATCCTCCTCTTGCACGCGGTCAGGCCAATCAATAACTTGCTCAACTACCTCACCTTGATCTCGAGAGAACGGGAGATCATAGAAGCCCTCGGCCACGGCGGTCGTTGGCGGGAGATTCTCATTTGGAATGGACCATGTGTGACGGGCACGCGGCGCCAACGAGGCAAAGAAGCCACCGGGCGATGGAATGCTCAGCTCACTGAAGCTGTACCCCGACAGGTCTGACGCTGGCGTGACTCCATCGGCACTCCGAGGACGGCTCTGTGAAGCAGGCTGGAGTTGCCACATCTCATCGTCTCCAGACGTTTCGGACCAGGTTTCAGGTGTGCGATCTAACGGGATGTGTTGGAGCATTGCAAGGGCACCATCCGGCAGATACAGCCCTTCATCCGAGGGAGTCGATCCCCGGGGTGGCTCTTCATAAGGCACCTCATTCTCGTATCCCAACGAGGATGTTGAAGCATTTTGCAGAGCTGTGGGGAGTGAGGGAAAATGCCCGAGGACATTTGGCCAGTCGCCCTGTGGGGGTTCAATGGTGAAAGAGACCGCTTGCAAGTCTGCATTGGTCTCGTCATCCCCAATATCCTCCGCGTCACTGCCACCAACATCAGGTCGAACATGGACATCGGACGCATCCCAGCTCGCATCCGGAAGCGAATGAGTATCTGGAGTAGCCAGCGCACTATTATTCGATTCCTGGTCTGATGAGTAACTCCCATCCAGCGACGGTGGAGCGTGAGGAGCCGGCACCGATCGACCGAGCATGGAGAGCGCCGCGGGAGAAACTGGAGGAAGCCTGGACGGAGGAGTCGGAGGGATGGGCGAACTCTTGCAGGTGCCCGTGAGAGAGGGCCAGCCCGTGGACGAGGGAATGTCGAGAGTGAGCCCGCTCCTGCTTTTGCGACTATCCCGACTGCCGGTTGAAGTGACCGAGTTCCTCGTGATTGGTGTTACCAAGCTCGAGCGCTGAGTCCCCGTCGCCGAGAAACAAGAGTCGCTGATCTCGGTGGAATTGTCATCGTCCATGTCATCGTCGTCCGTCGCATCGTACAGATCGTCGAATCCTTGCATCTGTTGCTGCCATTCGTGGTCCGAACAGGAGGAGGTTGTTCCAGCCGAGAGCGGCGACATCAACCGGGCTAATCGAGCATGAGTCGGTACTGATAGCCCGCTGGTCTTGAGCGTCAACTTTGGGCCGGCCAGGGTTGGTTTGGCGTGTGATGGGCTACCGGCGCCCTTGTCTGCAAACTGCGACTCTCGAGTATCTTCCATTATGGTATTAAGCACCGTGCCCCGGCCCTGCCGAGGAGGCGGACATCGCGTAGTTGAAAGGCGGAGTGTGTCAGCCATCGTTCCTCCTGTACCCTTTTCCACTGCTCGATGCTGGTGTTATTTCGTGGTAAATTCGAATATCAAGAGCGTTAGGGTGTTCTCCAGTAACACGACGTTCTATGGGTATCTCAACGTAGTAATAAGAAAAGGCATCGACACCGATCAACGGGTCGGTCTACGATCAGATCAGATCAGTGAGGATATCACGAGAATTGAAATGCGAATAGCAAGGAAAACAGAAACACGGGGAAAATATACTCGCCACAGCTACCAGAGCATGAGGCCAGACAGGACAGAAAGGAAAGAAAAGAAAGCGAGATGACGAAATAACGGACGCGAGCGAGGACGCTCCGCCATGACCAGGGACTATATACCATGTATATCCTCAGTCCCATCTATTATGCCAGCCTTGTCCCGGGCGCCTATCCGCTCTGGGGGATGTGCACTGAAAACACTAATCCCTGTGCCCAGCCCATGTTGCAAAGTCAGTCGTCGAGCTACTGCAAGATTGAGCACGACCGATCCACCAGTCCCTGGTCGACGAGAGTGGATGGATGCAGCTCATTGGTGACTTGGGAAATGGGCGCGTCGCCCAGCAACAATATCTGACCCAGTCTTGCACACTGAACTTGACGACAATGGCCCTCACGAGGACTCACGAGGAGAGAAATTCCATGATGGATGCTTGGCGAAACCAATCAGCATTTGCTCGAGTTGTGACGAACCGCTGGCGGGTAGCAGGGGGACCAGCGAAGGAGCCAGTCATTGGCTGTCTGTACGCGCCGGGCTGGCTAAACTTAGCATTCATTAAGAGGTCCAACTCCTGCAGCCTATCCCCCTTCCGGTGTGATTAACGGGCATTTGGAACCCCCCCCGCATCGGCCCGTGCGACCCTGATTTACCGTTGATATCACACTAATCACCGCAAAAAAGCACGGTAACATCACCCGTTCGAGCATAATCCTGCGCAGAAAGCAGGATAATTAATCCTGCATGATACAAAGTCTCGAGGACTGGAGTAATGATCATCGGACTCTGACCAGCATCAAAAGAGGGGTAAGTGATGCCAATTTGTCCAAGACCAGCCCTTCTGCAGCAACCAGAGCTGCAGCAGTCGGCTGGATTAATTTTAGAACTTTGATTAATTGAACCTAATTTACTGCACAGTTACATCCATGATCACCACCTGAAAGGATAGTGATAGTGCCATTCGAGTCGACCTATCAGGGCAAGAACAGCAGGTAGAACTACAGTAGAACGAAGGGAATAGCTGCCTGATCTGGTCGGCCTGAAGAACTGCTTGAGTACCCCCCACGGACGAGGACCCAATTCAGGCATTTCGACTCGACATGCCACTTTCAAAATTCAATAGTGCCGAGCCCGTTGACTCATTCGAAGACTCATGCATAGAGAATCAAACTGCACGCGAAATTTGAATTAAAAAGGGTTGTGTAGGTATGAGAGCCTCTGAGGGCAGGGCCTCGACTGTGAATCTACTGACGGATACAACTGTCCTCCAAAGGAGGTATAGGAAGTTGGGGTGACATTCTATTTGGACAGTACCCAAGCACATACCGCTCGAAATGAATCATTGCTCCAAATATATGGAATGGAGAGAAGCTGAAGACTTTCATGGTACAGTATGCTTTCTTACAACTCTCGATTTTACTTGAGTATGAATATCAATACATAGACTGTCTAGGAGTCAACCTAAATGATGGCGGCTCTGGCTATACATACCTCCAATAACTGGCACATCTGAGATATGAGCCTACAATGGAATAAAATGTCTCTCTACACCTCTCGCACAAATCCAGAAGCAACGAGGGGTCTCACATGGGCATAACCCTTCATCTCAATTGGTTAGCTTTAGTATATAGTCTCGATCTCTGTTACATCATTCCTGCCTGACAGAAGTCCTGCCCTAATATGTGATCCGTAGGTCCCACTTTTCCAATCAGGCGAACTGCCGAGACAACCCACGACGCTGGGACGATTCATGTAGCGCCTGCCGAAGTCTGACATGAGGGGTGGCCGATGCTTCTTACACGTCGTGGGGCCGCGACATGGATTTCCACTTTGCCAGGGAGATGTTATCGGAACGGGACAGTTCTCGAAATTGGGAGAATATTCTAATATGAGCCGATGATGGCTAGATTGTGAGGCCATTGTTGTACAAGGAGTGTATTTCAAGTACTAGAGAAACTCCTTTACATTATTATCATCATCGAGTGAGATCTTGTACTGCATCTCTGTACTGGGGTATGTACTACGATGTTGACAATCTTATCGCACGACCCCCTCCATGACAGGTTACCCCTCCTTCTGTGGCGTGGTCCGCTGCGTACCTCAGCGCCTAATAGCGCCGTCAGATGAGAAGGGTATCGCTGGCGAGCAACGGGAGAGGCAGTCCTTCTTTAACACCAGTCAAACCGGGGGTTGACACTATTAGTGCTGTGTAATACTGTACTGAGGACGGGCCCGTCCGGGTCGGATCACAGTGCGCCGCGGGGGCCACAGACTGGCACTGGAGAACGGTGCTTCCCCCACTCTGTGATTATTCTGACGGCTATTGAAGTAGCCATGTTGGGTCGATCCATCGCATCTGAATACTGTACTGTCCCGATGGCCAGTCCTAGGAAGATGGTTCATCCGGCTATTTCTTTGCCTGGCTTGTCATTTGCCCGGGCGCCGATGCCGAAGAGAGTATCTGGCTGGTTTGCTTGTGAATACAGGGTCGAAACTGGCAATGACAAAGACCTCGGAATCGAACCAGCGGATGGTAGTTGTCTATACCCTAGGTCAATTGTTCAGGATTGCAAAGGCTTTTATAGAGTCTCTGTTGGTTCGCTCGTCTCGTTGGGATCAGGATGGACCAGACCTCTTCTCTTGTACATTGACCGTTCTCTCGTTGGACCCAAGCCACGGGCTAAACATCTCCAACTCCACGGTGATTGGTGGATGAAGGCGCCCAGCAAGTTCGGAAGGAGCTTCGAGAATCCCCAAATAACCTTAAGATCGGAATCCAGTTGACAACCCCTGTCCGCCTGTCCGAGCTCCAGGTCAGCCGACTTGGTTGAATTTGCTAACGTAAGTTAGTTCCTACCAGTCGTCTTACTGTATCGGTCCTCCGTACTCCGTTGGGGGGAATGGCATCGGAATGACCCGATCAGGTAATCCAGCAGATCCCTATTGATTTGTCAGGAGTTGCCCTTCCACTTCAGAAGTACGGAGAACAGGCTGCGACTCCATCGTGAGAGCTGGACACGTTTGAGTTCTGGGCTCTGAGTGGATAACCCCAGTGTGGACTAGTGCGAGCAGAAGAGGGTCCCGATTGCAGTGAAGATCGAAGATTGGCCGGCCCACGTGAGACGCGGAGCCCTTATCGGGGGCCGTTTGCATCATCGCGAAGACTTTTGTTTTGGGGAGAGGATACCTCGAAGCTGGAGAGAAGATGGATTCGGGTTTCTAGGAGAATTGAAAATTGCGCAGAGCATCTGTCGTGGTTATCACGTCCAAACCAAATCAAGAAACACAAACAAGAAACAGGCCGCAAGCTCTTGACGGGGACAACCCATCTTTCGGTGAACCTGGTATATCCACCTTTGGGTCGCCACTCGGCCTGATGTCAACTAAACACGAGAGAGCAAGAAGAAGAGAACTGGAAGGGGAGAAGAGTAGTAGTCATTGGCTTTCAACGGTAGATCAAGCTAGAACTAAGCTAGTCAATCCAATTGGGACCGTCGACTTGTTTTTTTTAGTATCCGGCCCTTTCCCCCTCCCTTCCTTTCCCCTCACCTTCCATTCTTTTTCTTCTTTACTCTTCTTCTTCTTCTTCTTCTTCCTCCTCCTCCTCTCCATCCTCCTCCCCAAACCTCTCACAATGACGCCGCCCGCTATCATTGCCCCTTCTATTCTCAGCGCCAACTTCGCCAACCTCGGCCATGATTGCGCCACCAAGATGGAGGAGGGCGCCGACTGGCTCCATGTCGACATCATGGATGGCCACTTCGTCCCCAATATGACCATCGGATGCCCGGTCGTCTCCCAGATCCGCGGCTGTGTTGACCGACCACTCGAGCCCGGCTCCAAGGGCACCTTCGACTGCCACATGATGATCATGGAGGTAGGTCTCGTCTCGTCCGAGAAGCTTTTCCCAATCGCGCGATCTAAAAAAGAAGCTCCCGCTGATCGCCTCTTTTCTTCCCCTCGCGGTTACAGCCTCACAAATGGGTAAAAGAGTTCCAAAAGGCCGGCTGCGACCTCTACTGCTTCCACTACGAGGCAGCCGTGTCCTCCGTCGCCGCGACCGATCCCACCGATAAGACCACTACAGAACGTACCAGTCCGCGCGCATTGATCAGGTACATCCACGAGGAAGGTATGCAAGCCGGTATTGCAATCAAGCCGGATACCCCGGTCGACGTCCTCTGGGACATTCTCGACAATCCCGAACAAACCGAGCGCCCCGATGTGAGTCGATCCCGAGTCCTCTCCTCTCCGCAGCAAGCCAGCAAGCTTTCCCCCGGACTACACCCGCCCGCAGCAAAGTTCCAGTTTTGCACGCGCACACCTCCCCGGAACTGATCGCTCCCCTTCTAAAATCTAAAATCACGGTGTCACACTAACGGCAGCTTTTCCCGGCAGATGGTCCTCGTCATGACAGTACACCCTGGGTTCGGCGGACAGAAATTCATGGCCTCCGAGCTGCCCAAGGTCTCCGCCCTTCGTGCCCGGTATCCCGATTTGAACATCGAAGTCGACGGTGGTCTCGGCCTGGGCACAATTGATCAGGCGGCCGACGCAGGCGCCAACGTGATCGTGGCCGGGTCAGCTATTTTCGGTGCGGCGGATCCAGCCGACGTCATCCTCAAGCTGCGTGAGGCGGTTCAGAAGCGACGCGGCCAGTCTTCGGCATAGACAATAGAGCAAACTGGCTGACCGACCGATTGACCCGATCCGAAAATTTCTCATTTCATACTCGACCACGATCTGTCAGCTGGCAGTCATTTCTCGCTCAGTGGGAAACGAAGCGGAATTCCACAGCCTCTACGATTTTCACTACCATTTCACAAAAGGGGTTTACGGTGTTTGTTTTCTCTTGACTTGCGCGACGCGATCTTTGCACGGGGGTCTTTTTCATTGGACAGTCCTTTGCGAGTTTATGTTTCATGGAGGGGTCTCATTTTGTCCTATTGAGGGATTCAGTTTATGCACTGTTGTAATGATGAGCTATGAATGGCATTTGACATACTTATACCTTGCTCAAAATGCCCAATCTGATTGGTTGCATTGACTACGAAGGCAAGCTATGCTACAGCTGAACTCTACGACCAAGATTTACATAAGGTTGCAGGAAGCGATGGGGCATTGCTTGACTATGACAGGAATGGCAACTGGTATCTTAAACACTGATGACAAGAATCGACGTGGGCAAAAAGGGGGACACTCTTCTGTACAGATTCATCAATGATCGTAAACAGCGTAAACTCCTACTCCTTGGCGGTCTCCTCCACAGACTTGGTGTCTTGCGCCGGAGTAGAAGGCTCCTCCTTGGACTCGGAAGGGTCATCCTTCTTCTCCTCGACCTCCTTCTCCTCAGCCTTCACATCCTTCTTTTTCTCCTCCTCCTCCTCCTCCGCACTAGGCACCTCCTCAATACTCTCATCCGGCGATCTCTCCTTCGCCTCCTTCCTCAACGCATCCAACCCGCCAACAGGCCCCTCCGCCGAAATCGACTGCCGAATCTCCGTCACAACCTTATCCTTATCCGCATTATCACTGGCCGCAATAATCGACCCGCGATGATGCTGCACAAGCCCCAATTCCTCCGCATTCTCCACGCGGAAGTTCGCCGATGACACGGCCGCAACCTCGGGGACGAGAGGGGGTCGCTTGGGTCCAGTAGGCGAGTCGGGGGCGATGTCGGGGAGTTCGGGGGCGACGGAGCCGCGGTGCGCTTTGGAGGGGGAGGAGGATTGGAGTCGAGGGTCTTCTTCCTTCTTAGACTCTTCTTTCTTCTCGTCGGCCTTGCTTTTGGCCTTGCTGGCGGCTTCGGAGCTTGCCAGGCGGAGGGCCAGGACGGCCTGTTCGTCCTTTTTGTCTTCGGGCTTGGGGGTCGCGGGCGGGCTTTGGATTTTGATGGTGGAGGGTTTGGGGGTGGTGGGTTCGGGTTGTTTGGGTGCTGGCGCGGGGGATTCGGTCACTGGGGCAGGATGGCTGGTCGCTGGCATGCCGTCCAGATCTTGGACGCTGTTGACGATCATGCGCAGTTCACCGAATTCATTCCACTCTTCGATTTCCTCCAGGTCCTGCAGGAGATATGTCAGTGCTGCTGCAACAGAGGGGGGGGGAGAGGGGCAGGGGCTACATACTCCGACGATATTTCCATACTTCACAAGACCGGGCAGCTTCTTGCCCTTGGATCGGCGACCCCAGAGTTTACGGGCAACCTCGTCCGTGGCTACATCGATAGCGCGGAAGGGCAGTTTATTAGCCTTGAGGATAGTTTCGATACGGGCGGTTGCGGTGACGATGTGCGAGGACCCCGCCGTTAGGGAGGTGTAGAGATAAAGGGTCGAGTCGGACATGGTAGGTAGATAAGGGGGGTGGTAGAGTAGCTGACTAGGTAGATGGTGAAGAGGGAAGAGAAGAGAAAGTTAAAAGGCAGAGCTCTATAGGAAGGGCAAATAGGGGCTCCAAAAAGGAGTTGAATGAATTTGAACGAAACACGCTTCGCTGGAAACCCCCGAACGGTTGGTTTGTTTGGGCCTGCTTGGGCCGATGACGTGGGTGGTCACGTGATTATATAATCGTCACAGGGACAAGCACGACCCAAATGAGTGAAGTGGAATATACAATGATAGTCTACTAGGAGAATAGGACCCTAGTACTTCCTACAAGAGAACAAGATAACATCCCTAGACGTATATACTACAGGAAGAACATAGGCAAAATGTGTAGTGATACAAGCCCTGCAATGCCAGCATGTTCTCTCCCCCAGCTCCCTCATAGTCGCCGCCCGTGGCAACTTGACATCAACCCGGTCCTCTACGCGGGTCTGTACGGTCCAAACTATCCCGACTCTCCACTAATATTATACTGGATGATTAGACCCGATCGGTGGGAAGGCTTGGTTGCGGTCTTGAACCAGTTCGTGTGGCCATAGGACGGAGATGTAGGCACGGTAAGCTAGAGATTAGCATATACAGTCTTTAGCAGGACTAGCTGCGGTCGTAGATATTGATGATTCCAGATATCGAGGGTTATGGAATGGTTCAAGAGGACCGAGAGGTTGATCAGTTTGTGTGCTAGCGGGACTGCGTCGATGTCTTGGTTAGTTAGATTCTTGTCTGCGATTTCTTGATTGTCTAAACGTCTCAGACTTTTAGTGACTGATCAAGTAAGAGCCTTATGAGGAAGCGTGAGACAGAGGAGTTAGGTATAGCTTTGTCTGCCGCCTAGCATAGCTTAGACAACGAGTATGTCTAATTCGAATCGAATAGGTACTTGGACTATCGTCTATCTATTGGTGATCTAGTGTCTGTCGCAAGCTCGATTAGGAGCTATCTCTTGCTAGTCTCTAAGAGACAGTAAGAGAGGGTATATGAACAAGTCAGGCTCTCGAGATCATTGGCCACATCTATTCACTCACTTCTATCCATAGCAAGACCTTCCCCACGCAAACAACCACGCGGCCATGGTATGACCATGACCCCATGATACTTCCGACTGTTGGGGAGCTTTGAAATCCGCCTGCCACGACGAAAAGCCCTGCAGCAGCCACAGCATGCATCTCCTCCCACCCTAGGTAATGAGGCTGAGAGTCCGCATCCTCTGGGATCCCACTGCTTAAAGATGCAGGTAGAGGCCCAATAAAGAGACACAGGATCGCATCGCTCGTGATGCACCCTCTGCGCCTCAATCAGGAGAGGCAGGAGAGCTGCATCGCCGGGTCTGGATGGTAGATGTAGATAGAGCACAAGACATTGATCATGACATCGCTTTGGCACTGCTATGATGAAGGCAATGGAGGTTCATGGGTCATGCAATATTGGGCCCCGACAGCCTAACTCTCACCGCAAGTCTGGGGAAGGGCTTATTGGAGAGGGTGTGGGCGTTATAGCACGGATCGCTAAGGGAGTGGTTGGAACTTGGCGAGTCGGAAGGGAAGCGCTCCGGCAAGGTTGACACGGGCGCATCGGGGGGTTGTGCATCGAAGTTTGTCACTAGGAAAAGAGGTAACTAACTTAGAAGCGTGGACTGTGGAGATGTATAGGTAATCATAGCTTATAGGGAGTCGTCAGGCCGGGATCGCACGATGCCAAAAGATAAGACGATAAGACTGGCGTCGCTGCACAACAATTTGTCAAGGCCAATCATCCCATCGCCATTCCCTTCACCCCTAACATCAAACTCGACACATCGTCCTCCAAATATTAAATGACGAAATCAAGTAAAGTCCCTCCAGCTTGAAACCGTACTTCTGTCCTTGACTCCTGCATGAGAAACCTGTAGGTGTGTCGAGCCTGAAACTCTAAGCCACGTCTCTTCCCAACGGATCATCATCTTCTCGGCGTCGAAAATGAAACTCCCTATCGAGTTACTATAATTGCACACCTGTAGGATGGCAAATACTATTGTCAGCACTGTACCCCGTACCCGTGGAGCATATACAGCATGATACATCAGATTGCACTGACAATACTGCGATTTGACTGATCGTACAAAGTCACGGGCTCACCATGGGACTGTACCGTAGTCAGAACATTACTACCTTAACTAGTAGGAGGATAGTCGTAGTACTCCAGACTACTAGCAGTGCAGAGCACAGTCATCATTTCACGACTAGTTAGTTAGTTAGTTAGTTAGTTAGTTAGTTAGTTAGCTAACCTTACGACTAAATTAGGGAGATCGGCGCCATCACTGCAAAACCCGGGTGAAAGTCATGTCGATCAGGGCCCTTGCCCCCTGGGTGATGGTTCAATGAGGCATACATCAGACATGGTCATGCATACTCAATCACCTATAATCAGATCAGCCATTGAGAGTTCTGAAACGCGGCGGCAACCGCGTTTTGGAGGTCACCGAATCCTTCAAGATAGCGGGCCGCGGGGATTCCGCGGGAGGGATCGCATCAGAGAATAAATATACACAATGCATATATGTACAGTGAATACTACTGTAATCAATAGCTATCAATTATCGGGGACCACAGAATCCGTGGAGACGCTGAAGAGTGAATCTCCACGGAAATTTAAAAAGAGCCCGCGTGCGATAATCGTCACTAGTGTAGTGACCATCCTGGCTTAAACCTCGCCGTTTGCCCCTGAATGGACCAACAGGGGACCCCCTCCATATACACCACTATCAAGACACAGTACTTGGAACATCGTATAGAACTCTACAAGCCAGAAATGATAGTTGTATCCCAAGTGGACAATTCAAAAAGAACAAAAAGCGGATTGTATACAAATATGCAAGTCAACCAACCATGTGGAAGTACACACCCTCGAGCCATGGTTCGCTGGCGGGAATCGCGGACACTGACCATGGTTCCCCTATCCACTGGCCAACTACATCACTGCTGTAACAACACCTATCTTACCGCGTGGGTAAGTGTACTCTCCCTCGAACAGTCCATGATGATCTGACTGGCCTCTTTCGAGTCTCTCCCCACACCCGATCCAACTCTCACGCGGTTTAGGCTTGGATTTGGGCGTGGGCATTGGGTGCTGGGCACCGCCCTGGGTCACCGGGGCCCGACTGGTGCTCCCGGTTGCAGATGGACGACAACGTGGCAAGCGTTGAACCGGGGAGAGATCTCGTTTCTTACCTCGCTAGCTTACTAGTTCTCTATCCTTGCCCTTTTCTTCTTTTTCTAGTTTTTGTTCCTCGTCGCAGGCTAAGTGGAGGAGTGGGTAGAGAGCAGGCAACTTGTAGGAAGTGGGCATGCTGTGTCTGGAGCACCCGCCGTAGGCGCAACGGAATGGGATGGTTTTTGTGTTATGGTGTTTATGCTGTCAAAGAAGAAAGAGGGTACTTGGATATAGTTTCTGCGTTGGATAATTGGAGAACTATGGAGTAGTGTGGGTATAAACCACGACTTAGTCGGGTAGGAAACAGAAACTACTAATCTAGTAGCTACCGTTACTGTTACTATGTACGGAGTACTGTCGAGCAGATTCAATGATCATCGACACTTGAACGTTCGAGAACGAGCCTCTTTTCCCATCCTTTGCACCCCTTCAAACCCGACCAAACAGTGCCTCTCTCACTGTTCCAGCTTCTAACCATCCCCCGTGTCATCTCCTTGTCCTGCACACGGGCCATGCCTCGGGGCAATCCGGTTCGCTGCCTCACTTTCCCCAGTGGCTCTCCTCCTCGCAATGGCCCTCCACATTGCAGCTGCACTCTCGACCAACCAGACCAGCCACTTTGACTGCCATTCATTAGTATTGCAGACAGACAGCATGACCACTTTGGTCCGCCATCGACTGAGGCTGTGTTGATCCTCCCCCCTGGGCCCGATCAGGAGTCCAATCGATCGATGGCATGGATACTTGTTCGCTAGTGCTAGCACTAGTAGTCTAGTAGTACTGGCTATAGAAAGATGATGGATTAACTGGTCCCAGTATGGCGTATGGAGGACAGGACTGACAGGAGAATCAACCGGCGGGTCCAGGCCGTTGGAAACGGGAAGAGATTGTCGGTGGTTGACGGAGCAGAGAAGGAGAACACGCGGTATCATGACTATACAATGGTTACTTGTAGTGCCTTCCATCGTGAAGTCGTTGATCACCTACACCTTCAGAGAAACTATACTCAGTTCTACACTCCGTCCTCGCGATACTCTCGAGTGTATCGCAGAGTGAACTATGCTCGGGTTAACCATCCCCATCTTCCTGTACTCTTCTATCGCGCCCTCGTATCCTCGTGGTTCTGATCTTCCCTGATTCGCATCCTCCTTTTCCCTCTTCTTCCTCTCTTCCTCTTCCAGATTCAGGACTTTTGTCGTTCCGAGTTAACCTCTGCCAAATCTCCTACTTCCCTTAATCTTTCTTTTTTTTTTCTTTTTCCCTTTTCGCTCTCTTCTTCCTTCACATCTCTTCGGCTGCCCAATTCAACAACACACGTTTTCTCGATTCTATAACTCCGTCCCTTTTCTCATCCACCACTGGATCGTTTCGATCCTTCTTGTATTGCTCGTTCCCCCGAGACCCCACCCCGCGACCATTTTGGTGATAAGATCCTTCTCTCTTCTGGTATGCTGGTAACCTTTTTCTTTTCTCCCCGCCATTCAACATCCATATACTTCTTCATTTTTAACCCTTTTTTCACCGTGCTAACGCTGCGATCAGTCTATTTTTCTCGCCCTCTCTTTTTACCTCCACCCTTTGTGATCGGGTCTTTTTATCTACTCCTGTCTCTACTCTACTGATCCCACAGGTTCATCCTCGGCCGAGGTGACCCATTCCCTCCCTCTTCTGGTCCACCATGGCTCTACATCCAGTCGACGACGATGAACAGCTGTTCACCCGGGCCATGACCTCCTACCGCGAAGCATTTTTGGTTCGACATGCCCACCTCCCGGAACCCCAACGCCATCAGCTTTGGAAACAGCATCTCAACCAGTTCATCCCGGCCATCGAGGACGACTCCACCTCGACACCAGCTCTGCCTCGAACGGGGCATTCGGGAACCTCGGGGAAACGATCTCGACAGGATGCGACTCCACGGACCCTCCCTGCTGCAGCCGAAGCTGCCTCTTCTACTTCTTCTGGTTTTGGTTTTGGTTCTGGTTCTGGTTCTGGTTCTGGTTCTGGTTCTGGTCCTCCGCAGGCAAAACGGCGAGCCACCGTATGTGTGACCTTGGTTACTTGCTCCCGCCTCCTCTCTATCCTCCCTCCTTCTCCACTCCCCTCTATCCATCCACCTCCCGTCACTGGATTGACAAATGGCAGACCCCGGATCTCCCCGTGGCCGCCGACCTCCGACGCACCATCTCCCAGACTTCTCCAGCGGAGACGTCCCGGAGGGGTGCATCGCTGTCGGGGCAGGGATCTTACCGACACGCCCCCGTGAAGACCCCCGTGGGAGGCAGGGAAGCGATGGCTTTGGGAATGGTTCGTTCCCAAAGCCAACAAACCCCCGTCTCTTACTGGCATCCGCCAGCCGGAACGGCCATGGGGAAACGACAATCCTTCGGCCCGACCCGGACACCACCGCAGCAGCAACCCCGACTGGACCACGTGAATGAGATGGTCAATGAATACTCGCCATCCGAGTTTACGAAACACTTGGATGACCCCGAGAACGGCATCAACCAGGCCCCGCTCTATGGCTCTGGCTCTGGCGCTCCCTCTGGTGCTGCAACCGCCCTACCGACCGCCAACACCACTTCTGCATTGACTCTTGGGCTGGCGAATCTTGGATCAAATGGACCGGCCTCTCTTTCAATTCCGCACACTGGACAGCCATCTCCCATGGCCGATGCCTCTCCTGCTGGCGCCGTTGAGATGACCCGGAGCGGAACCACCGACACTATCATCGGCAACTTCAACAACTTTGGCTTCGATCAGGCTGCATCGCATGGGGATCTGGAACCAGCGTACCCCATTCCCCCGGAGTGGGTGCCCACATCCACCTCCGGACTCCCTTACCAAGATTCCTTTCCTTCTTCCATGTATCCTGACCTAGATCCTGGTGCATCCTTCCCATTCTCCTACCCTTCCTATCCTTCCTCCTTCTCCACATCTGCCCCATCAGCAACACCTTTCCGGCCACCACTAGTGCCAGCCACGCTGAATCCCACAGCGGCCAGTACGCTCTCCCCACCACAAGCAGTCGACATGAAGCCGTCCACTTCAACCGAAAGCAATTCGTCCACAACGGCAGCTCCATCCCGTGCCGCCCGCCGTACACAAGAACAAATCGCCCACGCCGCACGGCCCATTGCGCCCAAGCGCGAATCCCACGGCGACATCCACCTCCAACCAGATCCCACCGACCCCAATCGCATGATCCGCATCTCCTCCGCAGACGGTACCACCAAGGAAGTCGCCGCAATCCCCAAGGCCTCCGTGCAGCGGCCCCCACGCCCAAAAACGTACTGCCACTTGTGCAACGACCAGCCAGAGGGTTTCCACGGGGAACACGAGCTCCGTCGACACATTGACCGGGTGCACGCGCAGGTGCGCAAAGTCTGGGTGTGCGTCGACATCTCCCCCGACAAGACGTTCCTCGCCAACTGCAAAGCCTGCCGGAATGGCAAGCGGTATGGCGCGAACTACAACGCGGCCGCGCACCTGCGCCGCACGCACTTTAACCCGTGTCAGCGTGGCCGTGGGGGCCGGGGCAAGGATAGTGAGAAACGCGGCGGCAAGGGTGGCGGCAATCAACCGCCAATGGAGACGCTGAGGCTCTGGATGCGGGAGACGATTGAAAGGGCTGATGAGCACTCGGTTGACAGCTTTGCGGCTGAGGGGTTGGAGGAGGATGCTAGTAGTGTGCCGACAGACTGCAAGAGCAGGACGATCACGCCCGGAGTGGGAGACGCAAGTGGGCCGATGAATATGGGCATGGGCATCGGTATGGGTATGGGGATGAGCATGGGGAGCTCATATGGGATGGACCCGACGCGCATGCATGGCCATAACCTCGGTAACAGCCACGAGTACGAGGCGTTCTCGGGGATGTCGGCCAGTTTCGACCTCGATGCCACGCTGGAGACTCCATTCTATGTGGACAGCCAGCAGATGCCGGCAGAGATGGAGACCTATGTCATGTGAGCGATCGTAGTCTCCTTCCCCCGTTTTCTTATCGACAGTGTTTTTGTATTTTTCTGAGTTGAGGGCTGTATGATTTATTTGCATTCTGCCTGTGTGGGCTGTATATGGATTTGGGACTGGAGGACTTGGAATTGGAATTGGATATATGGCATTTGGGGATCTGGATTGGTCTGGATCGAGGAGTTTGTTTTCGGCGTCCACCAGGCTTTGGTTGTTTGGTTGCCGAGAGCCCCCGTTTCAGCTTTCACAGGCTGGCGCCTAACGAGACCACCACCACCAGCGGCCTGGTTTTGGTGTCTAGTCTGCCGAAGGCTGTTTGGGTTGGCGCCTGGAATTCTTGTACCTTTTTTTTTCTTTCTTTTTTTTTTGACTTTGGCGTGTCCGAGTTTATTTTTGTTTCTGACTTTGTTCTGAAGCTTGGTTCTGCTGATGATTGGGGGCCGTGGGGGTTGTCTCTGTTGGTACTTGGGGCCAAGTACTGTACAGACTCCCAAACCCCAGTAACTATCGACCCTGCATGGCCCCCCGGGTACTGACACGATTGATGATAAGGACAGGCACCGCAAGGAACCTGTAGCTAATGACCTCTTTCCATAATGAATGACATGAGCATACATACTCTCTACCTTGCCGCTAGTACGGCGCCCTGTAGACAAGTGGATATTCTACAGTTGGGGCTGGTGTGGCACAGGGTTGCACCCAGAAATAGGCCAGTCCGGTACTGTATACGGAGTGCTATTATGTATAATGGTCAAGGTAAAGAAAAAGGAAAACAAAAAGCCACAGGCAGCAGCAATACACAGTACAAAAATACCAATGTACCAACTTATCATACCAAAAATACAGGCGGTGAAGAACAGCTAAGCCGAGCACACAAGGCTGATCTTCCGGTTCGCCCGCGCACGAGCACGGTGACTGGTCAGACGCTGATAGAGTGGGGCTCGACCGTGTCTATCCACTTACCGTAGGGCCAGGATCTGACTGGTTGTGACACGGTGGCTGGAGTGTAGGGCGTGTTGGTTCCAATCAGATGCTGGACTCGTGTGGAGGGGTGGAGCTGCGAGGTGTGGCTGACTGGGTTAGGGGATGGTAGGGCTGGCGAGCGACGGAGGTGTGAGGAGGAGGAGGAGTGGCTGAGGAGGGAGTTGGTATTGGGTATTACGGGCGTTATACGGTGTATGGATGACGGTTAGTACATATGCAACTACGGATACTCGAGGTTATATCTAGCGAAGGAGGAAGAACTCGGTGTAGGGCTGTTGTTGGCAAGGGTGTGAATTAAGGATAGTGAATGATGGTTATAGAATGAAAATCTCTTCTCGGAGTGCGGTTTAAGAAGTAAATCGTAGTGCATTACTTATTACTATAAGTACAAGAGTTTCCTTCTTGCTCCTCTCCATTCTAGGCATCTTCTTTCATCCCGCTTTCTAGAAGCCCGTTCCTTCAATCCATGTCTCTGCTGGAATTATCCTTGCCAGAATCAGGGACTTGGTGGAGTGATGTAGCATGCCGTCTCCATATCCATAGTCTATATTCCATACAGTAGTACGAGTCTACTACTGTAGAGTCACCGGCTCAGCCCTGTCCCTCTCCTGCCAAGCACCTGCAGTCCCCACGGACAAAGGTACTTCCCATACAGACCGTACTCCGTACATACCGCAAGTATACCGCGCCAATACATAAGCCCAAGCTCCGAAACTCTGTGAACTACCTCGTTCCTCTTTCCTCTCTCTCGCCCGTCGCTCGCAAGTTAAATCCCGCCTGCCACCAACCGCTGAACGGAGCGTCCACTCGGTAAACTTTTGTCTCCTCCTCCTCCTCTCCTCCTCTTGTCCTCGTCATCCTTTCCTCTCTCCCCTTCCCCTTCTGCAGACAATAATCACCCACTTTCAACCTACCCACTCCCCTTCCAAACACCCCCCTGAGGCCGTTACTGCCTTGGCTCACCCCTCGTCGCTGCGACAAGCTTTAGACACCCGAGGCCCATCTTGATCCGTTCGATAACGTCGGTGAGTGCTTTCGCTCGGCTCATTCATCCTCGCCCGCTTTCTCGCAATATCCAAGGCCTCGTCCAGTCCAGCCCTACCACTCTGCCTCGGTCGCGACCTGTCAACTTCAGCCGCACTCATTGTCGTCGCACTACCCGAAAGCTCGCCGCTGACTAGTCCTCGTCGATTTTCCAGATCCAAACCCACCCACCATGTCGTACCAGCAGCAACAGCACCAGTACCCTCCCAATGCGTGAGTCTCCCATTACCTTCTTCTCCTGGCCATTCGATGCCGTCGCCCAGTGTCAACTCGCCGGGACATCATACCACCGCTGGATCGCGTCGATGACGGAGTGCATGTGGAAGATGTGATCGAGAAGTGCTGGGACATTTCTTTGGGCTGTTCGGATTCTGATGTGCATCGAATATAGTTACCAGCAGCCCGGCTACGGTCCTCCCCCCGGCGAGTACGGATATCCTCAGCAGGGCTATCCTCCCCCAGGGTTACCCCCAGCAGGGCTACGGTGGCCCCCCTCCTCCCGGCGGTGTACGTCTTCTTTTCCCCAATCCCCCGGGAATTATACACTGATGAATACCTTTCAGATGCAATACCAGCAGCCCCAGCCTCAGCCGCAACAGAAGAGCAGCAGTAACCAGGGCTGCCTCGGCGCTTGGTAAGTCGAGATGCCCACCTCCACCGCCAACGTCCCGCTAACCATATATTCCCCATTACAGCTTGGCCACTCTGTGCTGTTGCTTCGTCTGCGAAGAGGGCTGCGAGTGCTGCGCCGACTGCATCGAGTGCTGTGAGATGTGCTAAACACCCTGACCTATGACCTCGACGATACTCTTGTTTTTCCCATCTTCTTCATGGCGTTTGAATCCTAAAGACTCGCTCGGCAGGGTTCTAGGATTGATTCTACCCCCCAATCGTTGGATCTTTGGATCGCAAATATTCTCTTTGTGTCAAATTAAGCCTCTCTCAAGTGATGTCTTTGCGGGACGTTGTATCTTTGAACCGATGTTTTTATTTTTTTCGAGTTTCAAATTTTAGCTAATCTGATTGTTTCTGGATCGCTCGGATTGCCAGCGACTACGTCTTTATGTATGGTATGACATCTGTTGCGCTTGATTTGACCAGAGGAATGGAGATAGGGATCTAGTACGTGCGGCTCCGTTTGTATGTCCAGCAACATCATAGCGTGGTAACAGTATAAAATGACAGCCGGTAGGTATGCTCAATGATCGGGTTGGCCGTCCTGCACTACAAGCAATGGGCGTCACAACGGCGCTTCGCTCTGAGGTAAATCCCACTGAGCTGGGGTTATCCATTGGCGACATGGGAGATCGTGTCTGCAGCTAGGCGCCCAGCCATGCTGTCAGTTAGGGACCAGCTGCTTGGAACTTGATCTGGCGCTTACAACTCCTCTCCGTCCACATCTTGTTTCATAATCACTTATAATTAGACAGTATCCTGTTATCCCACTATTTCAACCTGATGTTCGACTGTATAGGTTGTGTTTAGTGTTTGTTGACTCAGGCAACCATAATGAACGACAACATCAGACCTAACCCTCTCGACACAAATGGTCTGTGTCTCTTATCCCTCGACGGTGGAGGAGTTAGAGGACTATCAACCCTCTACATCCTGCGGGATATCATGCTCCAGCTGAGCCTCGAGCGCGGGTCCCAGACTATCCTAAAACCCTGCGATGTATTTGATCTAATCGGAGGTACCAGCACAGGAGGGTACGCCCGTCCCCAAAAGCCAACATACCGTGTGCCACTGACCTGAGCTATGTACAAACATCTAGACTAATTGCAATAATGCTCGGGCGATTGGAGATGAGCATCGACGGATGTATACTAGCATACACCCAACTTATCAACTCTGTTTTTGGCGAAAAGGTGAACAGCATCCCAGTGGACTGGTCAGGAAATATTCGGCCCCAATACGACAGCCGGAAGCTCAAGGCAGCCATTGAAAATGTCATTGAAGAAGCTGGTGCAGCACCTAATGACCTACTGGACGATGGTGCTCATCGCAATTGTCGAGTCTTTGTCTGTACCACAGCCAAGGATACTCTCCAGATTACTCGGCTACGAAGCTACCCCGTGCTGAACGAGGATACTTTGCCAGCGACAATCTGCGAGGCAGCCCTTGCTACCTCCGCAGCAACCGGGTATTTCGAGTGCGCGACAATCGGAAATCGGCAATTCGTGGATGGTGCCTTCGGCGCCAACAACCCCGTAGAAGAAGTCGAGGAAGAAGCAGCTGATATCTGGTGTACAACTAACCGCGACATCAAGCCTCTGGTCAAATGCTTCCTGTCCGTTGGCACCGGGTGTCCTCAGAAAATGCCCATTGACGACAACATGATCAAGTTTCTATCGAAGACACTTGTCAGAATGGCTACGAAGCCGGAAAGTACGGAACGGCGATTTATGGCTCGGTGGAGTAATGAACTCAGACGGAAGCGTATCTTTCGATTCAATGTTGATCAGGGTCTTCAGGGTGTTCATATGACTGAGTTTGAGAAGCGGAGTTTGATAGAGTCCGCAACGCATGACTATTTGCACCATGCGACTCAGAAAGATCGGATTCGAGAATGCGTTCTCAATTTGGCTGGTAAAGAGGGTGGGTATTACTGTACCACTTCTTTTCTTGTTGTCATTAAGGAAGGCTAATGGGATAACAGGGAAAACGGACCTAGACTTCGATATGACCATGCGGGTAAGTTGATTCATTTTACTTGGAGCTGCTTGTAATAGACTAACAAAACCGTGGTAGGAACACGAAGCCCGAGCCTTCAGAATACAATTCCTTAAAAACACGCACTCCGGAATTGATCCATTGCTAGCAGAAGGATCTCCGTGCTGGGTAGTCCCCTTCGAGCGAAACTCTAGATTTGTCGACCGGGAACTCCTCGGAAAAGTCAAACGAAGTCTATTCTCTCATAATCATCCCGGGATAATTGGCATCTTCGGCCTTGGAGGCGTTGGTAAAACCCAGATTGCTCTGGAGCTGGCATATCAAACAAAAGAGATGTATCCTGATTGTACCGTTATCTGGCTTCCAGCGGTCGACATGGAAAGTCTCACCCAAGCTTATCTGGAGATTTCTCGTCAGCTGGGAATTGGCCAGTTTGACACCGACAAAGAGGACGTGAAAAGAATTGTCCAAAAGCATCTAAGTCAGCCACAGAGTGACCGATGGCTGATGATCATTGACAACGCTGATGACATCGATATGTGGAGCGATGGTGTCCCTGATTGTACTACTTCTGGCCTTCGAAGCTTCCTACCCAAGAGCGATCAAGGGACTATCCTCTTTACTACGAGAAGTACACGGGTCGCTCAGTATCTCGCTCCAAGAAACATGATTGAGATTCCAGAGATGGACGAGCAAAAAGCTTTAAAAGTTCTACGCAATTCCCTTTTCAACAAGAACCATCTCGAAGATGACCACGGCGCGCGCAGACTTCTTGAACGGCTGACCTTCCTACCATTAGCGATTGTCCAAGCGGCTTCATTCATAAACGAAAACCAAACAGATATTGCAAGCTACGTCAGGCTACTCGACGGACAAGGGGAGGACGCCATTAATCTTCTGAGCGAGGAATTTGAGGACGAGGGCCGGTATAGAAGTACTCGCAATCCAGTCGCCACTACCTGGCTCACCTCCTTTACGCAAATACGAAAGACCAACCCACTTGCTGCTGACTGTCTGGCGTTTATGTCATGTGTGAATGCAAAGGACATTCCTACCTGTCTTCTGCCTGTATCAGAAGGTATTGAACGAGAGAAAGCCATCGGGGTTCTCAGTTCCTATTCGTTCGTCCGTACGTCACAAGCTGGTACACGGCTCGATATGCATCGACTGGTGCATCTCGCAACCAAGAATTGGCTTCGATCGGTAGACTCACCACAGAACTGGCAGGCGCTTTCCCTCAAAGTTGTAGCTCGCCAATTTCCATTTGCCGATACTATCCACCGAAGCGATTGGCGTGCTGCAGTACCTCACGCTCTCCAAGTCCTGCTGTTAACACCGGATGAAGTTTATACTGCGGATAGAGCTCACTTGATGCATGTGGTTGGTTCCTGTCACGCCCTGGATGGAAGATACCGGGAAGCCGAAAAGATGTTTTTGCATTCAGGGGAAATATCCGAGAGGCTATTTGGTGCGGCCGACTGTCGCACCCTCAGGATTCGCAGTTCCTTAGCATACACGTATCAGGCGATGGACCACCTGGGGAAATCGATCAAGATATTCGAGGACGTTTTAGAACAGCACAAAAACGTTTCAGGTCTCGATAACCAAGACGCAGTGGATGTCATGAGCAAATTAACCAGCTCATATCGACTATCTGGAAACCTGCAAGGCGCAGAAGAACTCTGTGACAAAGTTGTGAGATATAATCTCGAGACAATGGGCCCTGAATCTCAAAGCACCCTGGATGCAATCTTCAACATGACCTTGATCTATTACGCCCAGGGCCGACTTTCCGATGCAGAGAAACTGGCACAGCAGTCCTTGACCATAATGAAAAGGCTTCTTGGACTAGACCATCCACACACAATCTCTGCCACGACAAGTCTGGCGGACATATACATGGAGAGCTGGAGACTCAAAGAGGCCGAGGCATTATATTTAGATGGTCTGGAGAGAGGTCGGCGGGTCAATGGGCCAGATCATCCAAGCACAACACGCGATCTTTACCAGCTGGCCTGGCTGGCAAAACTACAAGGAAGACATGCCGAAGCTATTTCTTTGATGAGAGAGTGTTCTGAACTGAACGCGCGCGTGTTGGGCACAGATCATTACCAAACCGTTCAGACTTTTCAGACCCTCGAAAGCTGGACGACCACGAAGTAAGTATTCTCGGGTTATTGTCATCATGTAAAACTGTTTATCGTTGATCCGTGCTAACATTATTTGCTATGATCCGATAGAAATCTTTCTGTGCGTTTCAGATCTCGATTTAGCACGATGGAACGGTCGGCAATGATGCTCCAAAGACGGAAGCATTATCCTCGGGTGAAGGTCCTAGGTGGTCTGTATACAGTCCGGCGGGAGCCAAAGGACAATTCGCTTGTTCGCGAGGTTGTCAGGGCTGTCAAGGATATGCCTGTGAGCAAGCACGTATCGAGTGATGAGGTTACCAGGTGGAAAGCAGACAAGAAAAGAGTGGATTCAAGGAAAAGTGGGCACGTCCCCCAGGTTACAGCACCGCCCTGCACTCAGTGATATCGAATTAGCTACTGCTAGTATGAGTTTCTTTAACATATGGAGCATTTAATTTTCATTAATGCAGTATTCGAGTCATTCTCCTGCTGTTGCCCATTTGACCCCTCAACCCCGCCAAGATATCCCCATACTCCGATACCATGTCCATTCTTAGCACTTTGCCAAGGGACCAAAAAGTGGAGGCTCTGCAGTGGGGGATGCGGAGAAAATATGTGGATTTCCCCGTCAATCACAACCGGCGGTTGAAAGGTTCAGTGCCAGGACCCTGCCATGGCGTTAACGAAAATAACCGTCAGGTACACTGGCAGCCAATAGGTCTACCATGGCGCACAACTTGCCGCAACCACAGTCATTTCTGAGATCCCCCTGGATCCCGGCGCTTGTACTGTACCGTTGTCCCTGCAGGCTACTGCAGATATATGAAATCGACATTCCCCGCCCAGGGATCACGGCGTTAGCGTCCTGCACGAGTTGTGCCCACAATTCCCCCGTCTTTGAGTCTAGAGGGGTTAGGCTTTTGGCCAGTGCACTCCCCATGGAATTTTACCCCATTCGGACATGCAACATCGGCAATTGGAGAGGCTGGCTCGATTTGTTGGCATTGGAAGAGGAAAGGATCGACTTCGACTCTAAGACCTCTGATCCTGCCCTCAAGAAGGATGAGGGGTGACCGGAGAAGAGTGCGAGGGGGGTTTCACTCGGTTAAATGAATTCGCTGAAGGGACTGTACAGACATAAATAGTTGAAGCGATCTCCCTGCTGTTGCTTCAGGAATCCAGGGTCAGATCTGGATAGGATCAACGATTTGCATCTGCTAGCTGTACAGGACAGCAGCAAAAATGTTAGCAGGATATCTTCTTGTGCCATTGTTGGCATCTTATGCCTCGGCCGTGCAGATCTCTGTTGCTAAGTCCGGTGGTAATGTCACTACTGGCTTGCAGTATGGTGCAATGGAAGAGGTATGTCCTGGAACACTGGCTTAGAATGATATACATTCTTACCAACGATTTCTTGTAGGAAATCAACCACTGTGGTGAAGGTGGTCTTTACGCCGAGTTGATCCGCAACCGAGCCTTCCAGGGAAGCACCACATACCCTTCCAACTTGGATGCTTGGTCTGCTGTGGGTGGATCGACACTGTCGCTCCAAAATCTCAGCAACCCGCTTTCCTCCGCTCTCCCAACTTCCGTTCGGGTTGAGGGTAAAGGCACCTCGGGCCTGTCCAATGTTGGCTTCTGGGGCATTGATGTTCGGCCTCAGAAGTACTCCGGCTCCTTCTACGTCAAGGGTTCATACAAGGGCTCTTTCACTGCCTCTCTGCAGTCAGCCAATGGCGAAGTCTTTGCTATTGCTCAAGTCGCCTCGAAGAGTGTTGCAAATGAGTGGGTGCAGCATGAATTTACGCTCACTCCCAAGAAGAAGGCTTCCAGCACCAGCAACACCTTTGTTCTGACTTTCGATGCTTCTGTAAGACATGAAAAGATGAAAGAATTGAGTACCATGTACTGACTCTACGCAGAAGGCATCTGGTGGCTCTCTCGACTTCAACTTGATCAGCTTGTTCCCGCCTACCTGGAACGATCGTCCGAATGGCATGCGCCGTGATCTGATGCAGGCTTTGAAAGACTTGGGTCCTGTAAGTTTTTTCATGGTAGCGAAACTCTTGCTATACGCAAATGCTGACTTGATAGAAATTCCTCCGTTTCCCCGGTGGAAACAACCTCGAAGGACAGAGCATTGAGGGTCGCTGGAAGTGGAACGAGACTATTGGTCCCTTGACCCAACGTCCTGGCCGTGCTACCACTTGGGGCTATGAAGAGACCAGTGGTATGGGCTTGGTTGAGTACATGGAGTGGTGTGATGACATTGGCATGGAGCCCAGTAAGTATATGATGATCAAGACTATATCTCGCGTTGACTTTACTGACAACAAATTCAAGTCCTTGCCGTCTGGGCTGGTCTCGGTCTGAACCATGAAGTTGTTCCCGAGGCCGACATTGGTATTTACGTTCAAGATGCCCTCGACGAGATTGAATTCTTGACTGGCTCTGTTGACACCAAGTATGGTGCTCTACGAGCCAAGTACGGCCACCCCGAGCCATGGACTATTCGTTATGTTGAGGTCGGCAACGAGGATAACCTCAGCGGCGGCGCTGGCTCCTACAGCTCTTACCGCTTCCAGGCATTCTATGATGCTATTTCCAAGAAATATCCCAGCATTCAAGTCCTGGCTTCCACCATTGACATGACCCTTCCCGGAAACGCTGGTGGTGATTACCATCTGTACGATATCCCAGACAACTTCATCAGCAAGTTCGGCATGTTCGACAGCTACAGCGCCGCTCATCCAATTTTGCTTGGTATGTGTGAACCATGACAGTGGATTGAGCTAGAGCTAATAAAATAATACTACAGGTGAGATCGCTGTTACCGAGTACAACAATGGCGTGGGCATTGACTGGAGCGACACTCACTTCACCTTGTACCCCTTCTGGCTTGGCTCAGTCGCTGAGGCAGTCTTCCTCTTGGGAGCGGAGCGTAACGCTGACAAGATTATCGGAACAACCTATGTGAGCCATGACCTTGTGTTATATTCAAGTCTCAAGACTAATGACGTACCAGGCCCCATACTTGATGAACCTTGACAGCTATGAGTGGTCTCCCACCATGCTCTCCTTCAACTCCAACCCCGACGACACCGCAAAGTCCACTAGCTGGCATGTCTATAACGTAAGTATATCTTAACACTTCAAGAGATAAAACACCCGACCAGAACTGACGGACATCGAAATAGCTGTTCAACTCCAACCACATGACCAACACTCTCCCCGCTACCTCCGACGGCAACTTCGGTCCCCTCTACTACGCGACCGGCCTCAACAACAAGACCAACTCGCACATCTTCAAGGCTGCCGTGTACAACAGTACCGCTGATGTCCCCGTCTCTCTGACCTTTGAGGGCGTTGGCCGAGGCGCTTCCGCCGACCTCACCATTCTGAGTGCGCCCAGCGACGTCTCCATGAATGCAGTTGGTGGTGCCAACATTGTGCAAAGCCAGACCACCAAGATCAAGGCTGGCAAGCAGGGCGTTTTCAGCTTCAACCTGCCAAATCTGAGCGTTGCGGTGCTCACCACCAACTAAAGAAGATTCACCTTCTTATCTAGAGACGGTTAGAAATACAGACGATGTGTGATGGTATCTGTGGAATTCTCGGGAAAACTGTGGGGCCCAGAATCAACGAAGAAAGATTTCCAGTCTGAGATGTAACAAGCCTGCAAAAAATTCAGTCGATGTGAGGTACAACTATAGTGCTTATCGCCAAGTCTGTGGCTTAGATTAAATAGTGCAACTGAGGGTCCGCTAGGAACTTTTTCTCCATCTACTTAGTTATATCATTCTATCTTCTGACACCATCTATATAACACCTGCCAATTCGAGTCTCTCAAATTACATCGGCTATAAAGCCAGAGCCCGAGTCCACCGTTGCGTCGCATAAAGAGCAAACGCGGGTTGGCTCGCGCGACCCATGCTGGATGGCGCTTACCAACCAACTCACCGAGCAGCGAGATTTACATAGCTCACCTCACCGTCAGAGCCGAGTTGAATCCCACGGAGTATTCAAAGGCGTTCGGGCTAATCCCCACCGGTGCGTTCCAGCCCCTTCCCACGAGTGAAGAGGGCCGCGATGGTCGCTATACCTCCGAACGAAGCAGATGCCGCGAAGCACAGCCGGATACCGCGGTAGTAAACTAACCTAACGGCGAGTTGTGCGTCTGGTGGTAAATCATGAATTGCCGAGACTGAATGACGGATCTCGTCAATGACCTAGAAATGATAGATGAATGTGGTCAGCTGGGTCTACTCATGGCACGTCCATTTCAGCTCGCATATGAGGATGTACTTTCCATTCGTCTGGTATTCCACTCAAGGCCTCCCCGAGGCCTGAGCTCAATGTGTTCTGAATAATTGCCGATGTGACGGCGACGCCCCAAACGGTGCCCAGAGAGCGGATGAGGTATACGGTCGAAGCAGAGACGGCGTGATCTTATACGGTATGTTAGCTTGTGGTCTTGGGAGGTAATAAAAACAGAACCAGATGCTTACCGGAGTGATCGAATGCAGCGAGGAATGTGAATAGAATACCGGGGTAAACGATGCCTTGTCCGAGGTTGGCGGGGATGATATAGGCGTAGTACTTCCATTCCGAGTCATGGAATCGCAGGAGCGTGACTAGCAGATTTCCAATAAACATCAAGGCTGCGCCGGCACGTACGAGATGGGCGAGCTTTCCCCATCGCGACATTACAACGCCAGAAATGAGACCACCTAGTGGAGTGGCGAGAGACGGAATAGCCAGACGAGCACCAGCCTTCGTAGGGCTGTCGAGAAGAATGACCTGGAAAAGCAGGGGGAGAGTGAAGAGAAACTGTGGTTTTTGCGTCAATGTCCGAGTACACTCTATCATTGGGGAGGGATGTTTTTGAGGGATGTTTTCTTACAGCGTATGCGGCCATACCCACGCAGATATTCGCAATTTGAGTCGAAACTGGATGAAGTCCTTGCAGCATCTTCAATGGGATAAGTGGGGCAGCCGTTGTGGTGGCCTCAACGGCAAAGAAAGCCACCAAAAATACCAAGCTGGCGACAAGTGACAGTATAACCCAGATATTACTCCATGGGAGCTCATTACCTCCAAGACTCAGTCCCACGAGCTGACTTGACAGAGCCAAAACGAGAAGTAGGGAGCCAAGCAGATCGATTTGCTGCCAAAGACCTTTGGACTGTTGTTCGGAAGCATGGTCCTCTTTTGCAGGAAACTTGAGCACAAAGTAACCCAAGACGAGAGCAGCCAGTGAGACCGGAACTTGAAGCAAGAAGCACCAGCGCCACCCGATGGTGTCCACGATACTGCCGCCGAATGATGCACCGCAAATAGCACCGAACCCGTACGAGACATTCTGGACAACCTGGTACATGCCACGTTGACGGAAGGGAATGAGATCGGAGTTAATGATAGTTGCTAGAATTCGCGTTAGACGCAATTCTCGATTCCAGGAGAAGGACTGCTGTTGTTACGCACCCATGGTCATCAACCCGCCTCCTCCAATGCCAGTAAGCGCACGCATGATGTTGAGAAAGACCACATCTCGTGCCACGGCACATCCCAGACACCCAATCATGAAAGAGATCGTGGCAGTAAAGAAGCAAGCACGACGTCCAAGCAAGTCAGAGAACCGCCCGTAGAGCGGCTGAAAAGCGGTGCTTGTAATGAGGTACGAGGTAGTCAGCCAGGATGCCGTGTTGGCCGCGTTGAATTCTGAGCTGATGACCGCGTAAGTCGAGGCAGTAATTGTGCCGTCGAATCCACCGAGAAAGACGTTAGACATTATTGCTATTTCAAGAGATAGTTAGCGCCGTTTTCGGCCATATTACTGGGTTGATGTACAAACCCAGCTGTATCGGGAGGAAGCCTGGTGGCGGCTTCCAAGTTGTAACTGGGCTACTCGAGCGCAGCAGAGGTTGGGTTTCATCTTGTACAGGCATAGCTGCTGAATCATGAATTGACTCTGATACACTATGTGCAACGATCATGGTCCTCGTCTGTTCGCTATTACGCACGGATGAGGGGGTCAAAATTAAACAGTTGAGGGATCAAAAGGGTGAAGTAGCGAATTCTCCTGTTGATAGTCAACAAAAGAATGGCACTACGTAATCAAAGAGTATATAGGAACTGTACAGAGTCACAAGACCAGACGTGAAAAGGTTTTCAAGACGCTCTGACCTGGCTAACCGGGATCGTCAGAGCCAAGAAAGACTGCCGAGATCGCAGGGACTCGGGCACTCTTTCGGGAAGCGCCGTGGGGCAAGCACGACATCTGACGGGGTCTTTGCACGATTCATGCGAAGATTCCGGTATTTGACAGTTTGCATTACAGTATCAATCCAGTCTTGTCACTCTTTCATTCCCATTCTTGAAAAGAAACTGTATAACGTTGTATAGGCCGTATAGACAGGATATTGTCTAGCGGGTGGGGCCTTCCTGTCGCGACTGTCGCCGCTTTTACAGGGGCGCTCAAGCTCGCTTAGGCGCTTGCTCAATTCTACTCAAGAAGCAAAAGCGGCGAGAGGACCGTTACTAGAAAGGAGGGGGATCGCCAGGAATTGCGACATAGTCCGAAATATTATGTACTGGTTTAATTAACTCTTTGCTATGAGGGGTCAGATCACCAATGACGTTGATCAAGTCTATATAAACCCCGCCTTCTCGGCCGACTTCTCGACCGACTTCTCGACAACCCTTTCAATCTACAAACAAACCCATTCTGCGTGCTATATCACTTCTTCAACGGCAATTTCGAGCGTCATCGACGACTCCTAACCAGTGCAGAATACCAAGCTAAGGTTAATGTACCCTTCGCTGCACATGATGGACTGCATCATGGAAACTGATCGCTGGACTAGTCTACTTTTACCACCATGAAGGTCCTCAAGGCCGCCATCGGTGCCGCAATGCTACTCCCCTTAGCAGCGGCAGATTGGCAATTCAAGTCTCGAACAGACCTTGCCCCGCCACGGCTGAACATCACTATCGCAGCAACTGCGGATGTCGAAAAGGGCTACCTCTTCGTGGCCCCCTTCGCGGGTCAATGGGCTGAACCTCAATTCCATGGCCCGCGTCAGGAAGGCCCGTACATTTTCCGTGATGACGGCGAACTAGTCTGGTCTGGATATAGCTACTACTCCATCTGGGCGGCTAACTTCCAAGCTGCCCGGTGGAAAGGCCAGGATGTGCTGTTCAGCTTTGAAGGTGACCATAATCCGGCCTATGGACATGGCCATGGCCATGCGACTATTCTGAATCAGCATTATGAGACTGTTCGCGAACTGCGTGCTGGTAATCATAAGCTTATGGATAAGCATGAGTTTCATGTTATCGATGAGAAGACGGCTCTGATTCAGGTTTATCAGCCTGTCCCCATCGACCTGACTCAGTGGGGTGGCAGCTCGGAGCAACAGTGGATTGTGGATGCCATCTTCCAGGGTACATTCCATTATTGAATTGATTTTAGTATTTAGGATCTAACCCTTATATTTGTATAGAATTGGATATTGCTACTGGTGAACTGCTCTTCGAGTGGTCGAGTCTTGAGCATGTCAGTCCGGACGGTATGTCTCTATCAATTCCTTTGTCCACTGACTTCATTCTGTTACATCACACCCATACTTACCATTTACTGTTTATTAAGAGGCCGTCCTCCCTCTACACCCTGGCCAGGCAGGCGCAGGCTACAACTCTTCTGATGCGTGGGACTACTTCCACATCAACTCAGTCGACAAAGATGCCGATGGCAACTACCTGGTCTCTGCCCGCGATGCCTGTGCCGTTCACAAGATCAACGGGACCACCGGCGAGATCATCTGGCGCCTAGGTGGTCTACGGTCAGACTTTGACCTGGGCCCCAACGTCCGTTTCTGCTTCCAGCACCACGCGCGGTTCCTCTCTCAAGACGGCGATGAGGAGATCATCTCACTCTTCGACAACTCCGCCCATGGGACAGAGAACCACCGCGGCCACGAAGTCCACACACACCCGTTCTCGCAGGGTAAGATCATCTCAGTCAACACGGCTACCTGGACTGCACGGACCGTTCAGGCGTTCCAGCCACCCGACGGACTCTTGGCCAAGTCGCAAGGTAGCACCCAAATCTTGCCCAACGGCAATGCGCTCGTCAATTGGGGCTCTGAAGGTGCGATGACCGAATTCCGACCGGACGGTACCCCCGTATTCCACGCCTACATGGACTCGGGGCTCCTTGGCGAAGGCGTCCAGAACTATCGTGCCTTCCGGTACAACTGGACCGGTCTCCCGACCGAAGAGCCCGCGATCGTCGCGCAAAAGACATCTTCGGGTACAACCGTGTATGTCTCGTGGAACGGGGACACTGAGACAACCGTGTGGCGATTCTACGCTGTCACCGATCGGTATGGATCACGATCCTACTTGGGTGAGGCACCACGTCGGGGCTTCGAGACCGAGTTTGTCTTTCGTGGGCATGAGTATGCACAAGTCTCCGCGGAAGCTGTCTCAGATACCGGTCGCATTTTGAGAAGTACCAAGGCTGTGTCTCTCCAGGAGGAAGTGTCGCCTCTCATTGGGGGTGATTATGGCGGTCGCTTGGCTGCGTCGCGACAGGTTGTGCTGCACGCCTGAATCTGACTGAAGGGTAGAAACAGTTGAGGATGATGTGGCCTAAGTGGTAGAGTTAGTGGACGAGGAGGGGGACGCGGTAAGCGGCTGAAGATAGGGGTTAGGTAGGTAGAGAGTAGAAGTATATAGGGGAATAGGAGAATAAGACGAGAAAAATTATCGGAGGCTATTATGTTGTGCATGGACCCTTCCCTGTAGACAAAACTAAGAAAGTGTAAAAAGGCGACAGAGTACGAAGTACAGTATTATTATTCTGTCCACATTCGATCCTGTAATAATAGAAGTGACTGATAATCGAGTCTAATCCTGCCAGTCACACTGAGCGTGGTTCATCCTTCTGGAATGTATAATTATCATGATCCACGTGTTGCCACATGGTTATCTCGTCGAGGTATCGTGACGGAGAATTTGCTTTTTGTAGTTCCCTTTGTTTCAAATCTGTAGATTAATAATCTTACTTAATACGGTGGTGACCCGCTACTCAGACCCCCAAAAAGAAGAACAGAATGCAAGTCAGACTCATCATCGAGTTCTCGAGCAGTGGCACTCGGATGGAAACTTCCCGAGAAGCCTAATTGTGCAACCTGGCCATGAATCATGTTTTGAGATCAGCCAGTTCGATTCCTTGCGTCAGCCGTGAACGATGGAAATTCCTCGTAACCTCGTGAACTCCTCCAACCAGTCGCTGTAACCCCCGCGTCACCCTCCGGAAGCTATCCCAAATGGGCTAATGCTCTCCACGGGTCCGGGGAGATAATACGACAAATACGCATCCAATCAGCATCGCCAGCGCGTTGCAGTTTGATGCTCGGTTATATCACCCGCTGCAGCTGAGTTCTGGACAGCAATTTCTTCCGTGGTAAGGCGGCCGATGGAGCCATAATAATCCATAATCGTAATCATCATGTTTGTAATTGCCTTGGCTTCGCAGGATGCGATCTGCTACATCCTGATTAGTCCATGTACCGTACCTCGTAGCGAGTTCCTGAGAGAAAAGGTATTCTATACTTGTCCTCCCGGTGGAGCATCCGCCAACTTGGAAGTAGACGCTACAACGCTCCAGGCGCGCAAGGCCACCCAGGATCGTCTTGGATTCCGACTCCGAATCAGTCGTAGCTCTCACAGCTCGCGATGGCCCTGAAAGGGCCTCCGGAAACGCCCTCTTCCGATATCCGAACGGGCAGCGCACTTGCCGAAAAGCGTAATCACCATTGCGATTGCGACCCTCCATCATCGCGTGTCTTTCTCTCTTCCCTTTTCCCTTCTTCCTTCCTTTCATCACCCTGCTCGACCCGAGTCTCGTCCCTTTTCCAATGCGATTGTAATTCCCTCTGCAATGGCGTCACCACAGCCTCCCGCATCCTTCGGGGCCGGTGCTGTGTCACAGACAACGGCGCGTATGATGAACCAACGCCTCGAGGATTCCATGACTGAGGAAGGTTCACAAAAGGATAGTGGCGATGTCGACGACTCTGCGACTCCCGTCACGGCCGATGATATCGAAGAGACGCGACACAAGGAAATCACGGCCCTTGCTCGGACCTTCTCTCAGCTGTCCAACAAGGCCTATTCAGAAAAGGGTGGACTCCATGATGAGGGCATCAACACTTTCCTGGAAACAGAGCAGGACCCTGAACTCAACCCTAATGATCTGGATAATTTCAACTCGCGCAAGTGGGCCAAGAACTTTCTCCAGATGACCTCGCGTGATCCGGACCGGTACCCGCGTCGCACAGCAGGTGTCTCGTTCCGCAATCTGAATGTGTTTGGGTATGGCACAGCGGCTGATTACCAGACCAACTTTGGCAATGCCTGGCTGAAGATGATGAGCTGGGTCCAGGGCCAGCTGGGTCTGCGTGAGAAGAAGCGTATCGATATTCTGAGAAACTTTGAAGGAATCGTGCATGAGGGTGAGATGCTGGTGGTTCTAGGTCGTCCTGGCAGGTAAGTTAGAGTCAGGCTCTATTGCAGTAGGGGGCCCTATACTAAGATGTTTATAGTGGGTGCTCCACGTTCTTGCGAACCATCGCTGGTGAAACTCATGGTCTGTTCCTCGCAGAAGGCTCTGATATTGAATATGAGGGAATCTCATGGGATCACATGCATGGAAGATTCCGTGGTGAAGTGATCTACCAGGCTGAGACGGAGATCCACTTCCCTATGCTCACAGCCGGAGAAACCCTCCTGTTTGCTGCCCAGGCTCGCGCCCCGAACAATCGCCTTCCAGGAGTCAGCCGTGATCAGTATGCGGAGCACATGCGTGATGTCGTGATGGCCATGCTTGGCCTGTCCCACACCATGAATACCAAAGTCGGTAATGAGTTCATTCGTGGTGTGTCCGGAGGTGAGCGCAAGCGCGTGAGTATTGCCGAGACCACACTTTGCGGAAGTCCCCTCCAGTGCTGGGACAACAGTACGCGTGGTCTAGATAGCTCGACGGCCCTGGAATTTGTCAAGAACATCCGCCTGTCCACGGAATACAGCGGATCCACTGCGGTTGTGGCAATCTACCAGGCCAGTCAGTCCATCTACGACATTTTCGACAAAGCTATCGTCCTCTATGAGGGCCGCCAAATTTACTTTGGCAGAGCTGACGATGCTCGGCGCTTCTTCATCGACATGGGTTTCTACTGCCCTGATCGACAAACCACTGCAGACTTTTTGACATCTCTCACTAGTCCATCGGAGCGACGAGTTCGAGATGGCTTCGAAAGCTTTGTGCCACGAACTCCCGATGAGTTTGCGGCCCGCTGGCGAGATAGCTCTGAGCGGAAACAGCTTTTACAGGAGATTCAAGACAGCCGTGATCACCACCCAGTTGATGGAGAAAAGTTTGATAGCTTCAACCGTTCCCGTGCTGCAGAGAAGGCAAAGGGTACTCGTGCCCAATCGCCTTACACTCTCTCATATGCCATGCAGGTTAAGCTTTGCCTGTGGCGTGGATTCCTGCGGCTCAAAGGTGATATGAGCATGACCATCGCATCGGTCATCGGTAATACCATCATGGGTATTATTATCTCCACTGTTTTCATCGACTTGCCGAGCAATACCGGTAGCTTCTTCCAGCGCGGTGCCCTGCTCTTCTTCGCTATCCTCTTGAATGCATTCGCTAGCTCCTGGAAATTCTGACCCTCTGGCAACAACGGCCCATCGTTGAGAAGCATTACAAGTATGCGCTGTACCACCCCTCGGCCGAGGCGATCAGCTCGTACATTGTGGAGATGCCATCCAAGGTGATGGTCGCCGTCACGTTCAACATCATCATCTACTTTATTCCACATCTCCGTCGCACGGCAGGCCACTACTTCGTCTTTTTCCTCTTCTCTTTCACCACCACTCTCGTGATGTCGAACCTCTTCCGCACGATCGGTGCAAGTTCTCGCTCCATGGCCCAGGCAATGGTTCCCTCTTCGATCTTCATGATGATCCTGGTCATCTACACCGGCTTTACGATTCCCGTCAGAGATATGCATCCGTGGTTCCGGTGGCTCAATTACCTAAATCCAATTGCTGTAAGAAGAACCCAGTGGATCTCTTGTCCAAAGATATGATTTACTAATATGTTTAGTACGCTTTCGAATCCCTCATGATCAACGAGTTCAGTGGGCGACGGTTCCCTTGCACAGACTACGTTCCTGGCGGTCCCCTCTATGCAAATGCCCCCCTCAGCTCCAAGATTTGCTCGCAGAAAGGTGCAGTGGCTGGTCAGGATTACATCGACGGTGATGCCTACATCAATACCACCTTCCACTACTACAAGGAGCACTTGTGGCGAAACTTCGGTATTCTTTGTGGCTTTTTCTTCGCCTTCCTCATTGCCTACATTATCTCCAGCGAGTACATTCGTGCTGCGCCATCTAAGGGTGAGATCTTGGTCTTCCCTCGTGGCAAGATTCCAGCATATGCGAAGAAGACTCGCCAAGAGAACGACCCTGAAGAAGCGGCACAAGGAGAGAAGCAACAGGTTGTGGGAGAAGCTCAGGGTCTCGCTGTTCAAAGTGCCGCTCTCGCGAAGCAAACTGCAGTCTTCCACTGGGAGAATGTCTGCTATGATATCAAGATCAAGGGAAAGCCGCGACGTATTCTCGACAGTGTGGATGGATGGGTGAAGCCGGGAACTCTAACTGCACTGATGGGTGTGACTGGTGCTGGTAAGACTTCGCTACTGGATGTACTGGCGAACCGAATTACCATGGGTGTCATTACCGGCGAGATGCTGGTAGACGGTCGTCCTCGCGATGACTCCTTCCAACGAAAGACAGGATACGTTCAACAGCAAGATTTACACCTTGAGACCAGCACTGTTCGTGAGGCCCTCATTTTCAGTGCCCTTCTTCGCCAGCCACACAGCGTTCCGCGCCAGGAGAAACTGGCCTATGTGGAAGAGGTCATCCGAATGCTGGAGATGGAGGCTTACGCAGAAGCTGTTGTAGGCGTCCTAGGCACTGGACTCAACGTGGAACAACGCAAACGCTTGACTATCGGGGTGGAGCTCGCTGCTAAGCCAGACCTGCTACTCTTCTTTGATGAGCCCACCTCGGGTCTTGACAGTCAAACCGCCTGGTCGATCTGCAGCCTGATGCGGAAACTGGCAGACCATGGACAAGCCGTTCTATGTACCATTCACCAGCCCTCCGCCATGCTTATGCAGGAGTTTGATCGCTTGCTGTTCTTGGCCAAAGGTGGCCGCACTGTGTACTTTGGAGATCTCGGCACGAACATGGAGACCTTGATCAAGTACTTCGAAGACAAGGGGTCGATCAAGTGTCCCGAAAATGCCAATCCCGCCGAATGGATGCTCGAGGTCATCGGTGCTGCACCCGGATCTCATGCAGATCGTGACTGGGCAGAAGTGTGGACGGAGAGCCCCGAGCGTGCGCAAGTGCGACAAGTTCTGGCAGAGATGAAAGCCGAGCTATCACAGAAACCGCTGCCCGAAGCGACGGGTGGATATGGAGAGTTTGCTACACCGATTTGGTACCAGTTCCTCGTTTGCATCCAGCGTATGTTCCAGCAGTACTACCGCAGCCCTGGATATCTGTATTCGAAGACAGCCATGTGTGTCTTCCCGGTATGTATCCTTGACCCGATTAAATTTTGACCGTATTTTTGATTTTGCTGACATTTCCCTCAGCCAATCTTTATCGGTTTTACGTTCTGGAAGATGCCCAACAGTCTCCAAGGGTTGCAGAATCAGATGTTTGCCATCTTCATGCTGCTGATCATCTTCCCAAATCTGGTTCAACAGATGATGCCAAGCTTCGTGACCCAGCGAGCATTGTATGAGGTGCGCGAACGGCCCTCCAAGGCATACTCGTGGAAGGCATTCATGCTGGCCAGTATCTTTGTGGAACTTCCCTGGAACATCATTATGTCGATACCCGTGTACTTCTCCTGGTACTATCCGATCGGTCTTTACCGTAATGCACCACCTGGCCAGACGACAGCACGAGGTGGCACAATGTTCCTGCTAATTCTCATCTTCTTGATGTTCGCCTCGACCTTCAGTTCGATGATGATTGCAGGAATCGAGCAGCCCGAGACTGGTAGTAACCTGGCACAGTTGTTGTTCTCTCTGTGCTTGGTGTTCAACGGGTAAGTGCTCTGGCGGGGGTTTCCCCGACTGTGGTTATCCTTAGTTACTAATCTAATACAATTCCTACAGTGTCCTGGCGAGTCCGTCGGCGTTACCACGCTTCTGGATCTTCATGTACCGGGTCTCGCCGTTCACGTATCTCGTCTCGGCCGTGCTCTCTACAGGGCTGTCAGGTGGAACCGCTGAATGCTCCAGCATTGAGCTTCTCAAGGTTGACCCGCCCAGTGGTCAGAACTGCTCTTCTTATCTTGATCAGTACGTCGACATGTTCCAGGCGAACTTGCTGAATCCGGATGCGACCACGGGCTGTGAAATCTGCTCGATCCGGTCCACTGATGCCTTCCTGGCTCAGTTGAGCATCAAGTTCTCCGACCACTGGCGCAACGTAGGGTTGCTCTTTGTGTACGTGGGCTTCAACATCGTGATGGCCCTGTTCCTGTACTGGCTGATTCGCGTGCCAAAGAAATGGTCGCGGAAGATGAAGACGGAGTGAGGTGATGGTGGAAGACAACTAATCTCCACTCTGAAAGAAACAAGACTTCTCCCAGTAATAATGTTATGGGAGAAAGATGGATTTGCTAAACGGATAGGATAATTGTTATGTTAAAGGGAAGCATATCTTAGATGCAGGATTCATGGCAAATACACCTTACAGAATTCAGATTCCATCACTATTATCTCTTGTTTCTGATACCATAGGAGTGGATACTCCACCCCGTGTGAAGTACTTCAGAATATCTCGGTTAGCTCTCAGGGGGCTGCTAGGGTGATCTTGGTAATTCTATGTCACCCAGGTCGATCAGATTTAATTTTCGCCATGGCCTACATCTCCAGGTTTTAGTGAAAGAGAAAGCAAGAAGATATTACAGTCGTTTTTTCGTGCCATGCAAAGCACTTTTCTTACTCTCCTAGGGCTTCTGCCTGTTCTTATCAATGCTCAGTTGTCGGGATCTGTCGGGCCTCTCGTTGACTATACAACAAAAGCCCAGAATAAGACATGCGATGTTACCAATTACGGTGCCGTCGCTGATGGAGAGACTGATATTGCCCATGCTCTCCTGAGTGCATGGGCCGATTGCGCTACTGGGGGTTTGGTTTATATTCCCCCTGGAGAGTATTCGATGAAAACCGCCATTGCGCTCAAACATGGACAGTCAACCGCGATACAGCTCGATGGTATCATAACTCGAGGTGCAGATCTGGCGTACCAGATGATTCTGGTCCGCGACACAAGTGATTTCGAGTTTTTCAGCGGCAATTCCAAAGGTGCCATCCAGAGGTATGGATATGAATATCTCTAGTCGGGAAATTACGGTGTTCGCTTCTTCCGTTTCCAAGATGTGGTAGACTTCTCCGTTCATGGTTTTGCTGCTATTGACTCACCATCTTACTACTTCGTCTTTGATACCTGCAGCAATGGTGAAATTTATAACATCCTTGTGCGTGGCGTAGTCGTTGGAATGACCGACGCTTTCGATACCTGAGAGAACAAGATTTGGGTCCATGATGTTGAAGTCACCAATGGAGATGAATGTGTCACGATCGAGTCTCCTGCCACGAACATGTTGATCGAAAATATCTATTGCAATCTCAGTGGTGGGACCGCTATCGGATCACTCGGTACCATGACAAACATCAGCAACATCCATTATCGGAATCTCTACATGAATTCAGCAGACGCGTGCTACTTGAAAACAAACAACGGCAATGGCACCGTCAGTAACATCATTTGGGAAGACCTGATTGTCCACGGTGGTCCATATCCGCTTACCATGAACGAGGCGTGGGGCGCCGATTCCGGTTCTACTGGTGTCCAGCTTCGGAATTTCACATTCAAGGTTCGTCAGAATTCCCTTTGCCAATTTAATTGCTGCCATTTTAGGTGTACTCTAATGAACTTCGCGTTACTAGAATTGGCATGGCGAGAATTCCGCAAACAGTCGCCTAACAATTCGCCTCGAGTGTGATTCCGATGTTCCTTGCTACGATATCACAGTGGATAATGTCAATCTGTGGACTGATGATGGCGACTACGTCTACTGGAGCTGCCAAAACGCGTATGGATCTGGTGCTTGTCTCGCTGAAGCCGACAGCAACGCCGCTCTTGCGACATACACTACCGTTGTAACCGTTACTGCCACTCCGTATGTACAGATTGCATGTGGTTTTCTGGGGCCAAGACTGACTTTGACAATGAATGATAGATCACATTCTGCCCCTACGATGGCGGGCGACTTAACGGCTGCTCCTCCTTCGGACTCCCCATTCACCATTCCGCCGATGCCAACCAGCTTCTACCCAGGAGCGACTCTAGTATCTACGCTTTTGAGCCTAAGTGCTGCGGGAGGCCTGTGAACTTTCTGAAATGATTTAGTAGCATCTTGAGAAAATTCCGTGCAATCTCCTAGTCAGCCGCAGTCCTTGTCAGTCACGGAATATTACTAGTTACGTGGTCCTAAATGAAAAATCAGAACTAGACAGGTTCGATTCGTACAGGCTTTCCGAGACATGTTATCATAGACGAAAAGGCTAGTACTAGTGCTTTTTATATGAGGCCTTCGGATGGTACAGCGCCAAACTACTCAGGCTTAGTGACTGGACTACAACGATGATGTAGTAATCACTGAGTGAGTTCAAGGCGTGTTCGGTCTTACTCAGTGCTGAAAAAGAGGCGAGGAGTGAACATGAAAGGGGAAAGGAAAAGCCAAGAATTGCTATGCATATTTTGGGGATATTTGGAGCTTCGTGAGGCTAACCTGTTTCAACGGGGCCGAGGAGATGAATATTATAACATTTTTGTCATTCTCGATTGGCCTCGGTGAGTTGGTACAATTTTCCTAGCGATCGTTTATCAATGTAGGGCTTTAAAAGCATCGATCGTGGAGGCCAGACTAGCGACGCTAAACGAGTTACCCACTCCGTAGCTATATCAGCCTCAAGGCGCGTACGCGCTAATCGCCTACCTAACATACAAAGTGCAAGGAACAATTCACCTGATTAATGATAGTAATCAAAACGGGGGAACTGTTCTCCATCTCGTCTACTCTACTTTACTGGCGAAGTACCGTACATGGTAGCTGTACATATGTAGGGTTGTGTGTACTGTACTGTACGCGTGGCATCAGCTGGCCTCTGCGCCGGTCAGAAACTAAACTGACTCGAACAGTGTTCTAGAACCAGAAGAACTGGATACAGAAGAGTGTTTTAAGGAGCTAGGGGAGAGCATGGGGTGGTCCACCGTCCGTTGGGCTTAGGGCTGTACTCAAGGGCTACTGGGGAAGCCTATCGGATTTGAGTAGCTAGCTCATTACGGAATGATGGGGGACAGTGAGTTGGGAATATGGACTGTTACGAAGGACGAGTCACAATGGAGTACTGTAGTGGTACGGAGCACTGTGGGTAAATACTTGATGAGCTGGGGCCAAGTGTGGAGGGTCTAGCAAGCTAGCGTCCGGGAAAACCGGGGCTTTGGTTGGGGTCCAAAAGATGATAAGAATCGGAATTAATACTGTGTACTCCGTATGCGAGGGGTAATTAGTCCCGCTGATTTTTATCGGTTAGGTGTGTGTCAGAGTTGAAAAGTGGACATTGTGGATTGCTCGTTTGTATTTTCCGTGCATGGCTTTAATCAGTGGATCATTCGAGGGCTGTTATAGACTACAGATCTCCGACGAATCCGGAATGGAATATATGGAAAGATCCAGGTTTTCTATACAGTTTCCACGGTCGCAGACTTCCTGTACACGCATGTAGGGAGGGACAGGAGAACGAGCAAGTCACCGTCAGTTAACTCCGTCTCTGCTCCGAAGAAGACGCTCAAAGTCCGTCTCTCGACTCCATGGTTATACCAGCCTACCAAGTTGACAGATAATGTAATATTATTCTATGTGTGTATACTACTCTAGTATCAGCTGGCATTTAGCTTCTTCTTTATGTTCTAACTAATTCCATTCGTCGACCTCCCTCGATGTTGTCAAGATTGTACCATTTTAGCCCCATCGGATGCGGTAGTCGTGACTAACTTGTAGTTGGTTAGCTCGTCCACTAATTGAAGTTACTTGACAGTAATTTTACTGGAGTCTTGGGCTCGCAGTTGTTGCCCAGTTGAGGTCTCCTCTTCAGCCCCATTTGTTGCCCTCGTTTCCTGCTCAGCATCTGGTTGATTCGCTGGCTTATCTGGTCGAGTCTCGCCATTACAACGGTTCGAACTAGTCCTCGTTTGAATCTTTACCGACTCCCACTACTGCGATGATCCGCGATTGTCCTTTCTGCCTTTTTCCTCGTTTTTCTCCAACTCAAACTCCACTTGGACCCACGCCCTTCCGCCTTTTTCCCTCTCTGGGTACTTTGCCCTCGACTTGAGGCTTGTTGAGGCTCATCCCGGCCCCACTGGCCAACCGAGCTCTTGGTTGATGGGCCGGAAGTTGAATTGACATGTTCTTACCGTTGCTAATTCCCTTTATTAGTCCTGGGATACCGATGCAACGCAGCTGGGCCCGGGGCTCTGGTTCTGGCTCTGGTTCTGGACGGAGCTCGTCAGAACCCGAGAGAGGGAGAAGAGACCACTTAATGCCCATCGAGGAATCGATTCTTCGTGTACTTTTTATTTATACCCTGGTCCATTCCCCCGCCGCTTCTCCAAGCCCATGTTTCCTTTCCCTGCACGATTGAATCCTTTGTTCCTGGCTTCGTGTTAAATCTCTCTTGATCTCTTTCTCCCATTTTTCGTCGGCTTCTCCTCCCGGCTCTATAGCGTCCAGTGAGAATGGATTCTTATCCCCCATTCACGGAATTCCCCCACATTCTCCCCATCTCGGGCGTTTCCTCCCAGCAGTACGACGCCTATGATCATTCTCTCCCATCCGACCATGCCTTTGTAACGCGGGCCTCGCAGTTCCAATTCCACTTGACTTCTCCATTTGACCAGACCAAGGCCCGCGATGCATCATCAGTTACGCAACCTTGGTGGAAGGATGACGACCCCTCAATCAGCATGAACTATATCGCCCCGGAATTCCCAGTCTCTGCGGATCGGTTCTCCCCATGGAACAGTGAAATCTCTACGATTTCAGACCCTCAAAGTCCGCGGAGTAGTAATGGGGGAAGCCTACCGGGTATGAATTGCATCGCATCCTCCCATTACTATCACGACGACCTTCCCATGACCACTACCAACGAGCAAGCTGGCTATCCTGCTCCCGACAGTCTCGTCAACATCGACACGACAACTTTTCTCTCCAAACCTGGTGTCTTCGAAGTTCAGCCCGACCATCGCTCATCATTTGAAACCGACTTGGATCCGTGGTCCGGCAGCCAGTCAGACCGCAATGGGACGCCTGAACAGCAGTGGCCGTCTCCACTTCCAATCGAGACCATGTCATTGCCTCAACCTCAAAGGCGGGCTAAACCCCGTCCAGCCCCCAAATCTCGCGTGCGCAAAACAAATGAAATTCGGTCAACGTCAACAACAATTCGCACCGGACGCCGCCGTGCTGCTACGTGTACTAATAATGGCGAGAATGGGGTGCCTCGAATTTTCGTCTGCAGCTTCGCGCCATATGGGTGCCATAGCACATTCGTTTCCAAAAAACGAATGGAAACGACATGTTACCTCCCAGCACCTCAAACTAGGCTTCTATCGTTGCGACGTGGGAAAATGCAGCATTCACAGCCACGCCTCTACATCCAACGCGTTTCTCCCAGCCTCCAAATCGCCCCGATCCCGCACTTGCAGTCCACCCCCGGGCCAACCTAATGACTTCAACCGCAAAGATCTCTTCACCCAGCACCAGCGGCGCATGCACGCGCCATGGCTGCAAGCAGGCCAGCGCCGCATCCCGACAGACGCCGAGCATACCGAATTCGAGGCCGGCCTCGAAGAAGTTCGGCAACGCTGTTGGCACGGTCTACGCACGCTGCCGCAGAGGAGCCATTGTGGGTTTTGCAAAGAGATCTTTTCCGGGGAAGGGAGCTGGGATGCACGGATGGAGCATGTGGGACGGCACTTTGAGCGCGAGGAGCGACAGGCGCTGGGGCATGAGGAGGAGGATCTGGCATTACGGGCGTGGGGACTTCGTGAGGGCATTCTAACTATTGTGGGCGAGGGACGTTGCCGGTTAGCATCTTTGGTGGAGAACGAATTATAGATATGCCAGGCTTCTTGGATCTTTTCTTTGGGGTCTCGCGTGACCATTTTGGGCTGCAAGTCCGGAGTGGCGTGTCAGCACATGGCGCTTAAGGTTTGGCCTTGACTATTTCGCGCGGCGTTGGACGACTAGACTTGACTCTGAACGAGTCGGGCTTTTTCATTTTGGCCTGGTTTATGTGAATCTCTCCACCTTGTTTATTTGATCGTACAAGAGACAGTCGATCAAAAATACAAAGTCTCTACTATAATCTCATGACCCATACCAACAAACAACAACCTCCAAGTCATCTGCAATTACTCGCTGGTACAAAACATTCTCCATGTGGGGGGCTGATCTTCAGACCGTCTAGATGGATCTGATTTGGCTCTCGTTATCCCCGTATAAGTACTTGGCATACAGGGCCACACCGATTTTACGAAGCAAAGCTTAGGCTAGACCTTAGCTCGTGGGAAATCTAGGCACCTGATAATCAGATCGCTTAATTGCTCAGAACGATAGCACTCAGAATCTTTAGTGAGATGACCTCATGAATGCCAGAGAACTCGAAATCTACGAGTAGAATTCGACAGTGACATGTCGTTCTCGCTAGAGCTGATCGACAACGCCTATCTAGGAGCGCGGAGGACTGTCATCCTTACTAACAATATCACCCTTCTCATGGCACCAGAATACAAATCCACGACTTTGAGACCAAACAGATCTCCAGAGGTAAAGTGAGACTAGCCTTGGATATACAGTAAATAGCACTCTACCTGCAAAAAGGATAAACCAGGAATTAACCGGCCATGAATACGAACTAACCATTCGGAGTGCCCGGTACTCTCCCCAGCCACATGGAACCATGACGACCATATACATATCGACTTGCGTGCCAAACCACTTAAAAGAAAGCTCGATAGCCGTTTACCCGGTAGGGTATGACTCTGCCAAACTCACTTAGAATTCTAGCACTTGATAAGATATTCTACACAGCTGGTGAGCGAACCGGGGACCAGTAGCCGCTAGAGAATATACTCAAGATACTGTACCTTTGATGGTATCCTATTCCATCTTTTAGCTTCGACGCCAAAGGAAAGCCAAGTAGGCTTGGACCCGGGGATCCGGCACCTAACCATAATAGTAGAAAGCAGAGCAATGTCCTGAAAGAATTTAGTGTCGCTACATGCAGTATAGAGGGGTCGACGTTATTTCGGCAATTTTGCATCCAAGCCGCATTCAGTGAGCATGTTGTATACAGTATCATGACGATTGTTATTGTCGCCATCAAGTGGAAAGATGGTTCAGGGTGCAGTAGTGAACGTGAGTACAAGTCAAACAAAGAATAAGCTAACTACAAGGAAACTAGACTGAGCTTCCAGGTAGGCAAAGCCTTTTTTGTCTATTTCGGGCAATTCGGACGAAAATTCCGGACGAAAATTCCGGACGGTCGGGCTTTGAAGCGGATTATTGACCTCAGAGTAGTCAACGATCCTAAACGCGATAGAACAGATTTGTGGTAATGCACGGAACGAATGCCGTGTTAACTTCATCTCAGAAATGTGGGGAGAATTCATTGTTCGAGATCTGACCAATTCCAAATCATTGCCCGTTAAGCTTGTTTGGTTGACCGAGACGATCACGATTCATAAGTCCTCGAGTGGATACAATGCCACACCTCATTGATATGACTCAATTCGACTCACTCGACTTTCTCAATTGTAAAATCTCCCACTAATGCCGAGTTCACCAAACGCTGATCTTAGCTCCGTAAGTTGCGCTTGACTCGCGTGCATGCTCGCTAACCAGTCCCGTTCATCAAAGCAGATCTTGGACGAGGGGGCTGTGTTTATAGTTGTTTCATGACCCGAGTACTACTCCGCCCATTTGCGTTGTACTGACTGTGCTGTGCCTAACGTCACTTATAGGAGGTGGCCGCGTTCGCGCGGCACTACTGTACTTGGTGTGAGTGAGTGGGACGATGCCGGTGGAGATGGAATTACGTGGATGATTCGGTGCCGAGAGAGTGGAATTTGGCCCCCATCGCACTCCTTACCGTGTTAAAACACGAGTCAGATTTTCTTGAATTAATTTCGCTCTCGAGGAATGATTTTCTTGGCCTTTACTTTTCGCTTTTTGTCATGCTGGGCTTTTCGCAAGATCTCGGAACTAGAAGAGGTGGGATGCATCGATCTTCAATGTTCTGATGCCAAGGAAGGGAGAAAGCGATGATCGAAATTGATGTTCGTAAACCAGCATCGTGATGAAAAAGAAAGTATTGTGCCGAGATGAGCGGATCGGTGGAAATAAATGCTCAAGAGTAGTGCAACAGTGAAGAGCCACGTCCCCCGTAGGGAGGCATTTCTGTAGCTCAGTAGTGGGCAAAGAACGGAGGAAGCAATGAAGAACACAAACTGGAGAAGCATACTTCAAGTGTTCTCATGCTATAATAGTGTGACTGAGTGATATCTGAGCCAACTTTGTAAGCCCTAAGGGCCGCAATCTGAGATCGCTCATCCCCCATGGTCCGATGTCAAAATAAACCATATAGGGCTGAGGCTATCCCCCAGGAGCACAGTCAAGTCTCCTACCTTAAACACGATAAACTTATCATTACCACGCATAAAGTACCCAGTTAACTCCACAACGGCGCAACTACAGGGAATATCAGCCAGTGACGAACTTGACGTTCGCCAACAAGGCTCTAAGGCGTGTCCCCGCTTGGTCGTGAACGTTACCCTTTTCGGATAGCTTGAGTTCATGAGAATGGACGACTCAGCAGGCAACTGTCAGGGAAGACGGTCGAAAGTTAAGAAATCCTGATGGGTATTTCACAGTGGAAATGGTGGGCATGTGGCTCTGATGAGCGCGGGACCCTGCATCGGACGCTTGGACGACTGTCTAATTTCTTTTTCTGACCTATCTAGACAGCCCTATGGCCCTCAAATGCGGCGGTCATACTGGCTGTAAAGTGCTGCCATTCAATGCCAGACTGGTCCCATGACGGGTGCTGTCACATGAGAAAGTCGTGTTTGAATTGGCATTGCGACTTTATCAGCTGCATGTCAGTCAACGCTGGAATCTCTCTGGAAACGGAATGAAATGAGCATCTATGGTGCATACTACCTGGAGTTGGAATGATCAAACTGCTACGTTAGTCAGTCTCTCAGTTGGGCTTATTGATCGCCGAGGAATATACCAGGAGTCCACAGCATCAAATATTGCTCTAGATATCCACATCGACAGTGAGATCGTGATGCCCCTTGGCCTGAATCTTCAGGTCGCCAATTCCTCCCTCCTCTAGCATGGCTGACTCGCTTTCATTGATGAAAACACTTTTTCAATCAGAGAATGGCAGATGTTCAATCCTCCAACATGCTTGAAAGGCTATCATCCTTGTGGTCAGTACACCGTGCTCACAATGTCCTAAGGCGCACTGAGAGCGTGACAACTTTTGGTGGGAAACCGGCCTCAAACGTAATCAAATCAGATGTTAATACAGTGACAAAAAATAGTTATGCTCAAGTACGCTACTACATCATAGTTTTCTTGCGTTGTCTTTATCAATCTCTTTGCTCATATCGCCGACGTGTGTCGAAAATTCGGCCGACATATCCCAAACCAGAACTCGGAGCCGACCTCGGCCATAATGCCTCGGAGTTCAACGCCACATTCACAATTTCACGATCTGTAGATGTTGCTCATGCTAGATACATTGAACGTCTTGAGATATGATGTATGGACTCAATTACGGATCGATGAACTACTTTGCTTCTTATATAGCAGACGGAGGCTTCTTCAAAGGCCCAAACTCCCAGCATATTTACTGCTACCAACAGCTCGGTGCACACAATTACTCGGAACATGGACCTCTATCAACATGACCCACCATTGAATCGGATCACATCCGTATGCGCCTTGGACAGTGTTAAATCCGATGTCAATACGAACATTCTCGGAACCCCCACCGGAAGTTTTGGACATTTAAACAGCAATCAGCATGTTTAGACATCCCTTCCGCTCCCGCCGAATCGTGATTCTCTTCAGTCTTTGCTTAATTCCACTTGGCATCCCCTTCCATTCCTCCCTTCCCTTTGGATACATCAAACACAAAGCTACAACAATGGCATCTCACTCAATGGCTGATACTTTCGCCAAGCGAGCCACGCAGCTCCGCGAGTACATCTTCTCTCAACCAACCAGCACCTTCGAGAACAACCCCTGGGCCGTGGCAAATGCTATTGACGAGTTCGCTGAAAGCCAAGGCCGCATGATGATCTTTAAAAAGGCAAAGCTGGATGTAGCGCAAGCACAGCTTGTAGCTCAACAGCCTGCACCACGCACGATCCTTGAGTTTGGCACCTTTGTGGGGAAATCAGCCGTGGCCTGGGGTGCTGTTCTACGCGATATTCACGGCGAGAATGTGCCGGAAGACGTGAATGTGTATACTTTTGAGGTTGATCCGCTGATGGTCTCTCTTTCACGAGACTTGATCAAACTTGCCGGTCTCCAAGACGTGGTGCATGTCCTCGAGGGTCCTGCGTCCGAGTCACTGAAGAAGCTCCATGCCGAGGGAAAAGTGGCCAGTGTAGATATGGCATTCTTCGACCACTGGGAGGAGTTCTATCTGCCAGATCTGCAGTTGATTGAAGACTTGAAGCTGTTCCGAGTTGGATCTCTGGCTATTGCGGATAACACTGATTTCCCTGGGGCGCCGGATTATTTGAAGTATGTCAAGGCTGGAGGGAGGGGAGTCGCTGGGTCTGTTAAGTATGAGAGTCAGTCATTTACGACGGAGAGCCAACCGAGTAAACCAGTGAGTACTTCTGCTTTTTTGTCATTCAGTTTAGAGTATTGGCTAATCTATGTGTGCAGAGTATTGTTGAGGTCAGCAATGTGGTGGCTATCTAGTAGATTGCCCGTTGATAGCTGGCTTCACTAAGGAGATTCCTTTTTACTGCTTGTGTTCTGGGATAATATGATTTTTACAATAGAATTGCATCACTCCTCAATAATAGTTGGCCGTATCTCGTGAATACCTCAGAAGCACGTGCTCCAGAAGTGACCGATTCATTATTCAATACCATATTGCAGACCGTAAAATGACACTGGGAATGTTCATAGTATGAAATATAGTATCTACCTGGAATACTCCTGGTTTGAACGATATAGATATGCAATCATCGAAAATACAGATGTCGGCAAAATACGTCGTTCTTAGGTGTAAAATCCGTATCTCGCTCAAGTACCTAGTCTTCTATCCGACCAAGCTACATAGAAATGCAAAGTAACAAATATCTGTGGCCATAGCCTTATAGTAACGCTTGTCACCAGAGTGGTATCAGTTGCTGTGATCTAGTTAACCTTGGGAGACCTACCCATAGTTTCCTAGGCGACTCCCACCTAACTACTGACCGCGAATAAGCCACCCGCGGGCAGGCTAATAGTTAAGTGACTCATTTGCTCGGCTCACTTTCTTAACTTCTTGCTGGCACACTCGATGCCCCTTCTAATACCATTACTCCAGAATGTGAGGGAAAGGAATGACTCTCGCCCGTCCAGTCATCGGCGTTTTTCGTCTTACGCTGCCCTTTCCTCGATTAAAGTGCACATCAGCCTAGCATTAACGAAGCCACAGCGCAGACTCGTGGCTTTAGGCATGAAGACGGGCTTATGATGTTTATCCCCACAGGATCTTTCACGAGAGCTTGAGAACCATATCGCAAATGCGATTCCTTCTATGGTTGGAAGGTGGTAAAAGGGTATACGTCGGTCATAGACTTTACCGCCGGATAACTATTAGCTTAGTAGGAGGGGAAGAGGATACAAAGACGGCGGATGCTTTTGATTATGACAATTTCCTTTATCGTTTCTTTTCACCGCTCTGACTTTGCGGGCGGCTTCCTTTGGATTATTGCTGTCCATCTACATAAAATTTGCCTTCTATAAGCTATAAGCGGGCGTGAACCTACAAGCCCTCTACAGAACTTTTAGGGCATGTGTATCCGAATTGGACTTCAAGTAGCAATAGTTGGCAAGAATAGCTCTGCGGTACTTTGCCTTGTTGGTGCAGTAGCGCTCATCAGGACGACTGGGTCTCTCAGGGAAATACAAAAAGCAGGACGGGTCGTGTTTGTCGAGAATTAAGATTTCTTTGACATTTGGTCAATGTCCACGCCGATTGGATTGTTTCAGCTGCAGTAGAACTCAAAAAAAAATTCCAGTGGTGTCAAGACTGGAACAAGCATGATTCTAGAGCTAACCCAAACGAGGTGCATACCTAGTTAGTGCGGCTGGGTGGGCTACGAGGGGTAATTCAGTCAGGACATCTCTGCCTTCGCATTCTTACTCAACCGAACCGATGTCAAACAATTTCCTCACCATACTTACCACCTCGTACTGTATAGATAGCCACAAGGGGCGGCTTCGGCAATGTTCTCTGAGATGGCATCAGGAGACAGCCTCTCAGAGCTCTGGGAGACAGCGTGCAACAACTATGCCCAAGAAACAGGCACCCCGCTAACGTCGCCCGACTTCCCCAAAGTCAGCACACCGTCCGACCTCTCCAGCCATCTCGATTCAGAGAAGGAGCATTTCGCGGACTTCCGAATGAAGAAACGTCCCCTTTTCCACGCCATGCAAACTATTCTCACCCCGTTTGAGAATTTCGGCGATATCATCTCCGGCGCGGTTTCGATCGCATTTCCACCTGCGTCGACTATCATGGGGGCAATGCTCCTTCTCATCCGCTCTGCACGTCGGGTCAGCGATGCCTTTGATAGCGTCAATGCCCTGTTTGAAAAGTTAGGGTATTTCGCGCAGCGTTTAGATTCATACCGAGGTGTCCCGCTGAGTGAGGGGATGAAAAACATCATTGTGAAAGTCTTCGTGACATTCTTGAATGCTTGCGGGGTATCACAGAGCCTGCTGAGTCGGGGCGCATTCAGGGCGCGATTCTCGAAATGGGCAAGGAATGTGCTTGTTGAGGACACTTCAATCCAGGGACTCCTGGCTGAACTAGAGGCGTTGACAGGACTGGAACATAAGATGGTTTCTGCACACAACTTGACTCTTACAAGCCAGGCTTTGAAGAACACAGCAATCTTGCTTGAGAAAAGTGAGCTGGAGAACGATAAGGAGAGAATAAGCGCCTTGAAGGCGCTGTTGGGGCCTATCTCTGCTTCGGGGCAAGTATATTCGGCTATCAGTGAGAGTCGAATTCCAGGCTCTGGAAAGTGGGTTGAAGAGATGATCAGCGAATGGTGGGATGGCGGCGAGCCTTTGCTTTGGATCCATGGCGGTCCTGGCGTTGGAAAATCTTACTTGGCGTCAAAGATCATCGGTGATCTTGCGATCAAAAGCGACGCCGTTGTTGCATCTTTCTTCTTCAAGAACAATGATGTAGATCTGCGGTCTTTCAACAAAGCTTTACGAACTCTGGCGTGGCAGATCGTCGTGCTGCAGCCAAGTTTCGCGGTCTATGCCGAGGACTTTTGCTTGAAGGGAGATCCAGACAATACGTACGTTGTCTGGAACAAGCTCTTCCTGGACTATTTCGAGAAATCAGATGACACCGTTTGTTTGATCATCGATGGCATTGATGAGGCTGATTCAGACGAGCAAGAGATCTTCTTCAGTCTGCTTGAAAGAACATTCTCGGAGGAGATGGACAGAAAGCCACCACTACGAGTCGTCCTTCTGGGCCGGGATTCTGTACGCAGCATCATTGAAGAACACTCATTGGGATGGATCCATGACATTGAAATTACCCACAGCGAGAACAAAGATGATCTGCATGGATTCGTGTCTCAGAGGCTCCAAAAGTCCAAGCTGTTTCGCAATGCTTCAGACTTCCAAGACGAAGTCATCCAAGATATATGCGCACAGGCAGAAGGTCTTTGGGAATGGGCCAATCTTGTTATCAAGAACGTCATGCGCTGCAGAACGAAGGAGCAGATTCGCAAAGTCGTCAAGACCATGCCGAAGGGCATCAGTGCGATGCTGCACGAGGAGCTGCAGCGGCTTGGAAAAGAGTTATCAGCGTCCGATATGATGTCTGATGACGAAGGATCCCAGATTCAACAGCTCAATATCCTTCTTTCCTCCGTCACACTAGCGCAGAGACCTTTGACAGTGGAGCAACTGGATCTCGTTCTGGAGATCGTCCTCGGAGAAGAAGTCCTGAATCTGGAAGATGACCTGCTAAAGGTATACTCGTCGCTAGTTTCGCTGCGGGTGCCAGAAAATGACTATAATGAATATGACGATTCTACCGTTGTGACACTTCGGCACAGTTCCTTCTATGAATTCTTCGAATCGCCATCTATAGACGCTGGGTCCATTCATATCAACCGTGACCAGGGCGGGGCGAACTTCTTGTACGCGATAATTTACGCGCTAACGAATGTCGAGACACCTAAATCCTATAGATGGTTGGTTCACCTCAGAAGATACGCAAAGAAGTACCTCTCTTTGCATCTAGAATCAGTGGATCCCGAGAACGTTACGTCGAGTCGGCGAGATGACATCTCTTCTCTCCTCACGGAGCTCTTGACCAACGAATTGTGGCTGAGGTTCTGGTTAATTGATCCGATCTACGAACAGTCTTTCTCAAGATACACTTTCCACTCGTCTTCAAGGATCTCAGAGCTGGGGCGATATTGGTGGGGCTGTAATGATCGGGATACTGCAAATGAGGCGGCGGAGATGGTCTTCAAGTGGCTTACCCCTGCTCAGCAGAGAACTTTTGAAGAATTGGCAGGCGATGATGCATGTCCGTTTGCAGTTCTCTTTTCGTCTCTGGTTCGATTGTGTTCACGTCTTTGGCTTTCCCCTGAAGACATCAACGATGATGGACTGCCAGCGGCACTACCCACCCTACTGTGGTCGTACGCTGAAATAACAGCCACGCCTTCGAGTTCCGACGGAACATCGAAAAAGCTAAAGGACATTTCAATTGGTCTACGGTCTGCAGAAATTTTACAGACCGCGGAGTCGCAATGTCTCCAAAAGACAGCGATGTGGTACGCTCGTGTCGCACAGTCAATGCTCCAGCATGGAAATTCCCAAGATGCCCTTGTTCACTTTCACATTGCTCTAGATGAGCACGACAAAGCGCCTTCCTTGAGCGAGCAATCCATTTCTGTCATTCACAAGGACATGGCGCGCGCATATAGCGAGGTTGGAAAGTACAAAGAGGCATTAGAGCATTCTGATCTCGTACTATCGCCGGACAACAATCCCGAGGATCCTGGATATGACTTTCAAAGGTATCTAGGAAGCCTGCTTGACGAGGCGAACATGCTATACCGTGTCAAATCGACCGAGAAGGCTATCTCGACTGCGCTTCATGCCTGGGAACAGTTTGTTACGCTTACTGAGACACACGCATTCGGGGATCTTTGGCTCTCGTTTTTCGTTGTTTTCTCGGAACTACGTCAGCCTCAGCGCTTCCGATCTGTGTTAGACTTGGCCTTTGACCGGTCCGAGAAAATCCTCAATCCGATTATCGATGAGATTGAAGGGGATACTTTTACAATCTTCCTTATTGATGCCTTCGCCTCTCGCTTTGGGATCATGCACAGCGTTCTTCACTATGCTCTCACCCCGGAAGACACGGCACTTCTCGATCTCATCGCCTCGATCCCAGGAGTACTGAAAGGCGCAACTCCCGAATGGCTTAATCCGATCGTGTTGAAATTCTGGATTGCGTCAGTACTGTTTGACAAAGATCGGCCCCGTGAGGCCATTCAAATTTGGAATGAGATTGCTCTTGTCCCGGGAGAATCCGGGCACTCGTGGATTCAACCTTTCCAAACGCGGGCAATGAGTCGATTGGCGACTGCGTGTCTCTATTGGCCCCAGATCCCTTTCTATGGAAATAATCCTCCTGCATTTGTCGAGGATGATATCAACGAGGTCTCTTTGATCGTCTCGAGCTGGCTGCTTGATAACGGTGACATGGTCCATGCCCGACAACTTCTCAGTGAGGTTGTGAGAAGATGTATTGCTTTGTTATCAGACGATACACCCGCAAACGACATCGATGCCTTTGCCATACTCTTCAAGGTGTTTCTCATGATCGAGGACAGTGATGACGACCTCCGCGCTGCTTTATACCTGATCAAGGCCTGGGGCAAAGAATCGGATGACCCAGCACTAGGAGACGATGTGGTGGGAGTCGTTCAAACTGATGTGTCCAGTGTGTTGGAGAAAGTCCGTATTGTGGATGATAAGGCCCAGATGCAGGATGAGGATCCAGAGGATGACTGGGCAGCTCCATACGATGACTGGTTCACAACCGACCCTAGTACTCATTGCTCCACCTGCAAGGACGTAATCAGATCGCTCAACAGGTGGCACTTCTGCCGTTCCTGTCCCTTGACCGTGCTGTGTCACCGCTGTTACCGCGAGCTCCAGTCCAAGTCGGATCCTACGCAAGATCATCCTCGTGGCTTCGTGGGCAAGTGCAGTCCTCAGCACAAATTCTTCTATAGCGGTGAAGCCCTTGGACAAACTGGATACGTGCCGAAAGGTATGGTGCCCTTGGTTGGCACTGATGGTAAGCGGCAGGTGGTCTGGATTGATGAGTGGAAAGAAAAACTTGCGGAGAAGTGGGTAGGCGCTGGCACAGAACAGTTGAATCTCGACGATGGTGGCTTGTCGGCCGGGTGTATGCAGGTATTGCCCGAAGCGCAGAGAGATCGGTGGGGGAAGTTCTTCAAAGTATAGAGTCTTGTTAGATGCATGCAACTGTGGACACGGGCTATGACGGGAGTGCTTGAAAATGGTGAAGCAAATGAGAAACCTGCGAGATACCTAGTACGTCCTACTCAAGAGATATGCGCAAGGCATTCATTGGGCCCGGCTCGTCAATCATGGGCAACTCGATGCCTGACAAGTTGGGCAAGGGACGCGAGTGTGTTATTTCCGGAGCGGAAGCGGCTGCCCTGGATTCCTATGTTCACTATGGCTCCTGAGACTGAAGCTATGTCTTATTCTGGATTGAAAGCAAGTGTTGGGAACTCTTGAAGCGCTTCGGGCCTAAACGCTGTGCCTTACGTGATCAATTTCTGGCACTATCGTGTTAGGGATTGTTGACCTTGTCATTATGCTATCTTGGGTTTAGAATTTATAATCTTGGGTACCTCAAGGCTCCTCTCTCTATGTTCGCTTACTACCTTGGTAAACCTATAATTCTGAACCCGAATTCGTACACTCTAATCGCCTCGGTTTATCCAAGCGGTCGATCTGTTCAAGCGGACACCCTTGAAATGTTTTCAACCCTTACTTCGTCCATATTGACAAGTTGAGTCGGTTTGGCTCGGCGGTACCGTACGGTTCCCCCAAAAACTATGGATATGAAGAGGATGCCCGACTCCCCTTTACTTATTTAATTTCGAACAGCTGGATGTGAAATCTTTTTCACACACTTCAAAAGGTTTCGTCAATTTTGATAAATTCGGCCCCTCAAATTCAGGTGAACTTAATTGAATTCGCGGTATACACTATTCTCTCAATTAGTCAAAATTAATGAGCTGGATTCACCGTTTGAACAGGTCCTCCAGAAAGATCATCGGATTCTAAAGATCTCCTTTAGCACCAATTCGGATAGTCGGTCAAGACTCATAAAGAATTAGTTATGATTGTGAATTGAATATGAGATGATTCGTTCAAATCACCGTTTTCGTACAGTGTGTAGGTCAATTTAGGTGGTCAATTTAGGTGAATTCAAGTCTTCATTCAAGTGAATTCGTGTGATCGGGTCGGGTGGTCGATTCAGTCGGTTAATTATGATAGTCTATCAAAATTACCTACCTAAGCCTCGAACAAGAACTCTGTGGACCATCCAGACCAAGATTATCGAAGCCGAACTAAGTAGCTCTTCATAACTGGATGATTCCCGTCAGTCCGGCTTGAACCCGCGCGACCAGCTTCCAGTCCGGAGACTAGCGCCCCAATTAAACCGACTCCTCGCGACTCCAACATCCTGGACAATCCAAGGACCAACACGCGCCATGCGCATCTAACTTGCAATTGCACACTATTCCTCCCTATCCTCTTTATCTCCCATCCATCATCTGCAAGGCATGCTGCAGGCGCAGTAAACCTCCTTTCTTCCTCGCCCGGCCACGTTGTCCGGACCGCGGACACCCTTGACTCCGCCCATCATGTGTGTCCAAGCCATCATGCGATCTCGAATCCCAAATGTGCAACTAACATGCCTTCCTCCACCAGGACAGTCTTCTCCCTGATCATCATCAACAAGGCAGGTGGTTTGATCTACCAGCGCGAGTACCAGGCCGGTCTGCGCAGCCTCTCCACCAATGACTACCTCGTCCTCGCTGGTACCTTTCACGGGTATGACCCTCCACATAACCAATGCCCCTTGGACATCTCCACCTCGCTAGATGGTATCCCGATCGCTAACGAGTATTTGCGACACAGTGTCCACGCCATCACCCGCTCTATAACCCCCAAGCTCCCTCTCGCCCAGACCTCGCCCGCCCTCACATCCCCCAGCGGCAACGCGCCCGTCGGATTCAGCTATCCCAACCCTGGCGTCCCTGCGTCAGGTTTGGAGCATCTCGAGACCGAAAAGTTCCGATTGACTTGCTTCCAGACTCTGACGGGAACCAAGTTCCTGCTCTTCACGGACCCTATGACCGGCAATGTAGACACGATCATGAACAAGATCTACGAGCTATACGCCGACTACGTGATGAAGAACCCGTTCTACCAGTTGGAGATGCCGGTGCGGTGCGAGGCCTTTGATCGGCACTTGGGGGCTTGGTTGCGAGGGAGGACGTGAGTAGTCCGACGTGGGATTTCGTATAATACTGTTGGACCTTGAAGTGAAGGAGGGTGGAGCGCTGGATTGAATTGTGTGATGACCTTACGAACTAGACATTTCCTTCTTTTTATGTTTTCCCTTCTCATTGCTGTTTACTGTACTTGAGACTGGGACACCATCAAACCCGGCTTGTGCATAATACCAACCAACATCAACTAAATTAACATTTCCGTTCACACTCGGTAGACTGTGTCTGTCTACCTATATGACACATGGCAAGCAGAAGCGGGCGTCAGCTCTTTGAGTATACAGGGAACGAGAACATTAGAAGAAAACAGAAGTAAACGCCGGGTATGCATCATATATCACTTCCAGGGGAAGTCAGCATCTACGCAGTGTCCATCTTATCCTCATCCTTCTTGTCCTTGTTACCGCTTGACTCGCCCTGGCCCTCTTCGGGGATATTACCCAGCTCCGTCTTGCCCTCAGCCGCCTCACGGTCACGCTTCTCCTTTTCTTGCCGGTTCTTCTCCTCCTCCAAAGATAGCCGCAGTGCGAATGCCAGCTCAGGGTCGTTCTCCGCAGCATCCTCAAAGTTGAAACCACCCGCCTCTTCACCACCGCCGCCACCCGCACCACCGGCGGTAGCATTCTCACCGGCCAGGATGGGGGTTGCTTGGAGCTCCTCGCTCAGCAGATGGGGTCCTGGTGGAATGATGGCGAGGTAGGAGTTGTCACCGCTCGTCACATTATCCACAAAGGCTTCCAGCTTCTTGGTTTGGTCGGACTCCAGGTCACCGAATGCCACAACGTCAATCGAGACGTTGTTCTTCTTCATCTTCTTGGCCAGCTTCACGAGTGTCTTCTCATCCTCTTCGATCGGGGAGCAGGAGAAAACGATGATGCGTTGCCGTTGGGACTTCTCGGATCGGTGCTTGAGGGCCAGCTGGATCATCGCTCAGTTAGTGACCTGCATGACCGAGCCTCCCGTTTGGGGAGATCGTATTCACTTACACCAGCAACTTGAATACTAGAGCTCAGGTGCGACGTTCCGTGAATCTTTGTGTTGTGTAGACCAGCCAGAATGCTACCGAAATCCGTGGTGAAGGTGGATAGCACTTCGGGACCCTTGCCGCCCATGCTCATCAGACCGACAGCGGACTGAGGGTGTACGCGCATCTTGACGCTGTGGATGATGCTGACGGCATCAACTTGAGCTTGCCACCGGGTTGATCTGTAGATTGCAGAGGTTAGATGATGTCGAAGATGGCGAAAGGGCGAGGGTCTCACGTGTAGTCTCCATTGCGACTGCTTTCGCTGTTGTCGACACTGCGTGAGGGAGTTAGCACGGCGGTTCAAGCTCGGACAGACATCAACGACTAACATGATCATCGTGGCTTCGAGCGACATGATGGCGGAATATGGCGAGAAGGAATGGGAAAGGAGATTGAGGAGATTGACAAAGGTAGGCGTCGGCCAGGGACGGCGGTGATGACGATGAGGTGAAGCTATGGATTCTGCCTGGTATCTCCGCCCGTGATGTTGTTTGTTATGGCTCCGCGCCTCCACACTTACTCGATGTACCTCTCTTGCTCTCCATTCCAATCTTCAACACAAATCAGTCCCCCACAATGGCCACTTTGAAACGAAAAGCTCCTGAATTTATTGATGCACCAGATGCTACGCCTACGGGAAGACCAGTCAAGAAGCTGCGTCTCACCCAGAGCCAAAAGCAAGCGCTGATTGACAACCTCCAGCTTGAAAGTACGTCTACAGAAGGGATTTTAGATAATAGGCCAGTACTGACAACACTTCAGTCACCGAGCGTGCTCGTAAGCTTCGTGCTCAATATGCCCTGCAAGCAAATGACCTTCGCTCCCGCCTTGAACGACGCGTCAACCGTATTCCCATCTCTCTTCGCAAGGCCAACATGGGCGAGCTCCTCGAGAAACACTCGGCCCCGGCCCAGGCGACCTCACCCATTCGTAGAATCTCTCCAGCAAAGACCTCGCGCGCACCCATCTCCATTGACCAAGCACTCTCGCCATCCAGCACGCGTGACGGGCGGACCCGACGCAATAGGTACGATCGCTTACCTCTCTGTTCAATTGAGGCCGAACACTAACACCTTCCCAGCAATGAGGGACACTACTCTGACAAAGAGAACGCGCCGGCTGCTGGTACACCCGAAGGACTGAAGAACCCCAAACGCCGTGGCAAGGCTCCCGCCGTGGGCGGTGCATCACGCGTCGTATCGCAAGAGGTGCGAGGTCACGACAACCGAATCCTGTCCCCCAAGTCCCTCAACTCTCGAACATACCCACAATCCCCATTCCGTGCCTCCCCCGAAAAAGGACAGCCCTCATACATGTCCCGACCAACCTCGCCACTAAAGCCTTCCAGCCCTCTACGGGCCGCTGGACCTGGTACACGTCCACGTGGTGCTACCACGTCCACCGTCCGGGACCTCGCACAGTCCACACAAGCCAAGAAAACAACAGCCCGCTCTGCGACGGGTCCCCGGGCAGTCAAGTCTCCTCTCCCGCGGCCAGCCACCCGCCAGGGTGAACGCAAGAATAGTTTCTCGTCTACCACATCTTCAGGCACAACCGTCACGAAACCCACTCGTACTGGAACTGGTGCCAGGAAGGCAACAGCCGGGGCTTCCACAACTACAAAGAAACCCGCTGTTCCTAGAGCAAATGCTGCATCTCTGGCTGTCAAGAAGACCGCCACTTCTGCTACTGCGTCCACCGTGCGGAAGACTACCGCTCCAGCATCCACGATGGACGCCTCGTCTCGCGGGATGAGAGCACTTCGCAAGCGTGTATAGAGGAAGAATACATATGCATGCATCGGCGTAGCGGACGCATCTTGAATTGATGGCCGGGTTGTTTTATTCTAATTGATATTGTTTTTGAGCGTGGAGTATCGCCAATTACGGGCATGAGACTGTATTCGTGGTGTTGTATTCTGTTTTATCGTCATAATTGGTGTTTGTATTGGTTTGTTACGCTTTTTGCTCATGAGAGTTTCTTTCGGGCGTCGGATTTTATTCCATTTTGGCTGTTTAAGCCTTCCAACCTCCGGTTAGACTATCCATTTTCGTGATGAGTTGCCCGTTAGTCTGCTTTGCACAAGGTACATTTCGTAGTCCTCTCAAGGGTGCTATCGGATTGGTCATACATGAGGTGGTAGATAGGCCAGAGCGTCTGAAACTCATGATGTAAAGTTCAGCAATGGGGCCATCATTGCGTACCAAGGGGTAGATATCAACTCACAGAAGCTGCCTACGGATATATTTAGCTTGATCTAGGGCAGTATCACGAAATGCTTTACCACACGAATAGTTGAGTTTGCGGAAGGCATGATAAATATATCCAGGGCATACCCGAGATACGGTTGGAAGAACCTTATTCTAGTGTTATGAGCCTCATCCAGGCACCTCAGCATGTGTATGCCTATATATAGAGCAGCCATTCAAGCATGCTCTCTAATAATGGCCCAGCACTAGATCTCACTGGAGACCAAAAGAGCTAGAGCTATTATGCAAAGAACCCACAGAGTACAAAGTAGAAGCTACATTGAGATTTGAAATTCGAGACTCAGCACAGGTATCATTGATTGCAATCAAGCGGACCGCAGACGTCTGGAAGGGGTAGAAAAAAAAAGGAAGAGAAATTCACAAAAAAGACTCCATGGACCGATGCTAGATCACCAGATCTGGGAGAAGAAAGGAAAGAAGCAAAAGAGAAGGAAAAAAAAAACCGCGGAATGGGCATCATGAACCAAGGTAAAACCCGGAGCCTGGTTCAAGTCGAGAAGCGAAGCGAAAGAGATAATATGAAAAGAGCATAGACTGTAGAGAAACACGCCCATAGTGAACGAAAGCAAGGGGAAACATACATGGCTCCGACAGAGTGGGTGGGTCAGGTATGGATGGGTATGGAAAGAAAAGAGAAATGACGAAAAAAAGGACAGGTAGTGGACGATACATATGGTAGCATCCGCGGACTAAAGGGGGGGATGACGGACGGGGGTATGTAGGGAATAGGTACACCAAAGGTATCGGGACCAATGAGGGGATGATGATTCACTTTTGGGTGAGAATTTTGAATAATGTGAAATGTGAAGATGAGAGAACTCCGTCAACCAAACCTTTCAGTCGAGACGAGATGAATGGACATAGGATAAGGCAGTGATGAAAGGGAAGAGGAAAAAACGACCAGAAACGAAAAACGCTCAACACGCCCCCATAGAAATGAGAGAGAAGACAAGTACACCTTGGGCTGTCACAGATGGCGCCAGGTTGTGTGATGCAAATGATAGTCATCGAGGTTTGGTGTATCGATGACAGCTGTGCAGGAAGAAAAAGGACGAAGACGGGAAAATTCTAACCAGTGACTCCCATGGCACCGGCACTAGGTCGTGGACGGTAGGGGAGGCCTTGCTGCCCATCTGAACCAGGTTGGCTGCTGTTGCTATGGCTGCGTTCACGGTGATACGCAGCTTGAGGAGGCCCAAAGTCAAGACCAGCTTGGGGCTGGGCACTTGCTGAGTGGGAGTGAGCACTGGGTCCCGGAACGTGGCGAACTGAGCTCTGCATCTGCCAGGCGGTGTCCTGAGAAGGATCAGTTTCAATACGAGCCGAGGTCGGGGTGCTCGCATTCCGATGATTGTTGATAGTAAACGTCTCCCCGCCATTGTCCGGTCTCGTTGAGAGACTGCCTCGTGCAATGTCACCATATCGCTTCAAGATGTCCTTGGAAGTCACTTCAGAGTTCTCCTTGAAAAGAGTAGGATCACCCAGAACGGTTTGCAGATCCTCCGGAATCTGGCACGCAAAACATGTTAACTCAGTGTCTTTCCCTGGCACTTGGGAAGAAAGTGAGTACTTACCTCGCACATGGTATCATTGTATGTGATCAGTGCATTGACTGCTTCAATGGCCAGGAAACTCTCGTCCACGGTGCCGTTCTTGGTGTTGGGGTAAAGAATGTTAGGTGTGATGACAGTTGCCAGATTGTGGATATCCATCTTGCTGCCAGACTCCTCATCAATGTGCGAGAAGGATGATGTCCAGTTGAGGAAGGTGAACAGAACCTCCATCGTATCACGATGGGCTTTGGGAAGGAGACAGCACGTCAAATGTAGGACTCGCTTCTGCTTCTCGGAGTCGGATAGTTCTGCGAAGACATGTCAGCACTCAATTGCCACAAGTAATGTGTAGATACCAACTTACTTTGCGAAGCGACGAAAAGACGGTGCAGCTTGAAAGTCATCAACGGGTCTGGCATTTCGCGGAGGAACTTTTTCAAAAGTGCTGCGATTTGCACAGGACCCTCCTTCGTCATGTCGACCTGATCGTACTTTGTATCGATCAACTCGGCAAGTTCTTTGAGACGGCGAATGTTGCCATTCTTCCGGAAGACACCCTCAACCGACATGTCCATCTGGCGCATAGCGGAAACGGCATCATCTACGAGTGCTGGAATCCGCAAGGCGCCGGGGCCAACACCGTGCCCAGACTCGGTACCCTCCTTCTCGACCAGATAGTCGAGTGAAACTCCAAAGACTCCCTTCTTCTTGCCCTTTTTCTTTTCATCCTTGAAGGCGCGGCCGAATATGTTCCAGATGGTAGGCTTTCGAGATTCGATCAACGAGAGCAGCTCTTCCATACTGAACTGTCCGTCCAGCAACGGCTCCATAGACAAGACAGCAACGTGACGAACAATGAAGTATTCCAATGCCGTAAGTTCTGAGAAATAGCGCTTGCCACGGGTCGAAGACTCCACAAGCATTTCCAGCTGATTCTTGGACATCTCGCGTGCGTGTCCCGGCTTGTAAGTAGGCATTCCTTCCATGGTTCCCACGAGCTTAGAACCAGCATGTCGGTACGCGTTGGGCCGCTGCTCCTTAGCTTGTTCAGCTGCGACGATACGCGGAATATCGTCCAAAGTGAGGGCATCTTGAGCACCGAAAGTCAGATCTTTCACTGTTTCGCCATTCGCATCCCGTTCTTCGACGATCTGGAAGCCGGGTCCACGAGGGTCACCGCCATCGTAACCAGAAGAACCTGGCCTCACACTCCGGCCCTCCGGGCCATCGATGATTCGAGACGCGCGGGCTTTCTTGTATGTCGTTGACAGGGTGCGCTCATTACGGAGGGAACGCAAGCGACGCATCTCACCCACAGTCTGCTCCAGGGACGACTCTTCGAAGCCACCGCGAGCACCGCCACGGGCCATAGAAAGGGTATTAGATCGGCGAACATCACCGGGTTGCACACGGTAGCCATCCTTGTTCTCATTGCCCTCAACGTTGGGATCATCTGGAGTAACAGACGAGGTCAGAGATTGTGTGATGCTGGACTCAGGAGGAATAAAATAACTTACCAGATGTAGAAGGCAGGGTCCCACCAGCGCGAAGAACTGCCAGAAGCCGAGCAAGAGCAACTCTTAACAGGAAAACAAACTGCTGCAACTTGGTGACTTGGATGAATCCGGCTTGCGCATCCGGACCGAGGTTATGATGGTCAGCACATGCTGAGCAGAACGTGCGCTTTGCGCTCTCACTCCACAGTGCATCCGGAAGATCAAAAGTCAAGTCTTTCTCACACGATGAGCATGCCAGGTGAGGAGGTTTCAAGTGCCAGCGGTTTTCTCCGTGACGGACACATTCATCGTCAATGGGCTCCTTGCATGCGATACAGCAATCGGAAAGCTGGTCGGCTAGACCCTCAACGCCGGCATTTAGATCAATGGGCGCAGTCTCGTCCTCGGGTGGGGCGAGGGATTCTTGGTCGGCCAGATGTGCGAGGAAGTTGTGTAAGCCGTCCGGTGCAGACTTGTCTCGCTCAAGCTTCAAAGCACCCTGGAGACCGATCCTGATGAGAAGTTTGAGATAATGAGCCAGACCGGTCACTAGCGAAAGCAGCTCCTGGGTAACACCAAGCTTGCGAACACCGGCCTCTTGAGTCTTGGAGAGAAGAGCAAAGAATGCGACGATTTTCTTGCAAAGCAGTTTAGCTTCACGACCATATGATAGATCTGAAAAGGTTGAGGTTAGCAAGAAACAGGGGGCTGCGAAATCAAATGTCTCTCATCAAAGACCGAGACTTACCCTTGACGCCGTGAGATTTGATGTACACTGCCAGTTCGTCGACTGCGGCGAAGAGGATTTGAACGTGAGCAATGAATCGCTTAGCCACGATCACGCCATCGATGTATGCTCCATTGCTAACGTGTAGCAGCATGTCAGAGATACACGCGGCAGATGACTCTTCAAAAGTGGAGAGAGTGCTCCAGATGTTGTAGACCTTCTCTTCCATCGTATCCTCCTCTCGGCGGATGTTCTCGCGCTCCTCGGGGGTTGCATCGGCGTCGACAGGGGGCGGTTCCCAAGTCTGACCAGCGGGTGATAGCCGAACATTCCAAAACTTGTGGATCATGTAACACTCGGGGTGCCAGTGTTGGTTTTGGCCATTACGGAAGATCTCGACAAATTGCTTGAGAATGGCGGTATGACATCCATGGCACCGCTGTGCAAACTGGGTCGAATAGTGGAAATGGCAGTAGACCTTGCCCTCGTGTTCATAGTAGGAGTCCTGTGCACCGAAGACCGTTGGGCACACGGAGCAGGTGAAATGCTCAATGTGGTACTTGCGATCTAAGGCTGTAATGTAGGAGCCACGGAGAGCACCACCACACTCGTGGCACAGAAGGTTCAATCGCCGGAAATAGTCCGTCTCGCAGAGGGGAAATTGGCAGGATCCGTCATCCGAGTCAACGGGGAAGAACTTGGAGGCAACAATTTCACCACAATCCTATGGAAGAGATGGTGTGAGTCTTATGGGATCTCCAAGAATGGGAAGGGCACCGGGGGGGGGGGGAGAGGGGTGGGCTTTGTGCACGGAAGGACACCACGTACCTGGCACTTGAAACACTCCAGGTGGAATGTGCCACCCAATGCGCGCACAAACTGCCCCGTTAAGGGCTCGTTACACTTTTGACAGACACGGGAGGAGCCTGGAGACTTGTTGTGAGGTCGCCCATTTGGGCGCGATCTATCTCTCACATTAGATCGGTCCCGGAAACCCGGTTGATCGGGTTCAAGGCCCCGCGGGGACCGGTCTTCCGGGCTCAAAGGGCTGTGGTTTCCAGCGGTCCGGGTGGAAGGTGATTCGAATGGAATCAGACTATCCTCAGGGGAGGTAGGTGTGTTTTTCTGGTAGCTACTTCCATAGCCCGAGGTGTTGACGGTGGGGGTCGGCTTGCCTGCGACCAGGCTGGCCGGGAGTCCACCGGGGGGCATGATGGTCCCCCTTCACAGATGAAGGATAATGAGTTGTGGGCACGGTAGCACGGCAAATACAGCATGCACGTTAGGTGAGGGTATGACGGGTGATAAGTCGGGACCGGGGGGGAAAGGTGATGTTGATGTCTGTCGGTAAACACAACGAGATCGCGGGAAGGATACTGAAAGGATTCTAGCTCGTGCTATTTAATAGCAAGGGAATTGGTTAGAATCGGCCGCTTCTATCTGGTTGAGTTCTTTGAAGAGTGGATAGGTGGAACTCGAGTCCAGGGTCCAGGAACTTTCACTCACTCTTTGGCCATATAGGGACGACACGCGGGGAACAGGCGACGAGGGGTAGGGATTGAATAAAGGAGTGACAGCGCGCGCGACCGACCGGAGAAATCGCGGGGAAGGATTTCGGTAAGGTTGAAGCCGGGGAAGGAGAATCTTAAGCGCGCACAGGTCCGGACCACGACGCGGGGGTTGTGGTGGATGAGGAACAGGAGGCTGGGAGCTTGCGAGAGGAGCCGGCGCAGGCGACCGAAGCCACAACCATAGGAGGACGAGGGATGACGAGAGGGAGGATTGGCAAAGGGGTAGGACGGGCCCGAAGGATTAAAGATGTGAAGCCGGGGAGTCGAGGCGAGTCAAACGAGTTCGAGGGTAGGAAGAGGGGGGGGGGGGGTTATTGGTGAAAGGTAGGCGGGTGAAGAAGGAGATGATGGAGAAGGTTTTGGGTTGGGCATTATTTGTTGCCCCCTCTCTGCCTCCGAATCATTCGCGGGCATACCCTTTTGGCTGGTCTTGGGGCCTGGCAAACCCCCCCCCAAAACAGGGCCCGGGTCACGTGCAGCTACACCGCCTTGTTTCTGGTTTGGTCATACAAAACGACATCTTCCTAGTTGAATTAACTTAGTTAATATTAAATGATTGGATAAGCTAATCATTCTAAGTAACCTCCATAGTCCTGATTGACTTGAATCAACTACCAGTATGAATCCGAAAATGTATGTTTATTGACCCCCTATACATAGAGTATCTGGGTCTCGTATAGGGGCCTCTTACCTGGCCACTCCCGCTCGTACCTGGACCCACTTGAACTGAACCATCCTGGCTCCGTCCATGGCTCCTGTCGTTAGGCTTTTTATAGCATCAGTCTCACAGTGCCCTTGCGGTTTCAGCCGCTGTACGAGAAGAGTAGTGCACAGGTTCTCATATCTAACACAAACACATCGGGTACATTCACAGATCGTACAAGCAAAGTCTCCAACAATTTGATCAAGCCTCTTAATCTATTTTCTGAATTCTTGAAGGTCCACTATTCAGCCACGATCCACTGTCGCCCAGAAAATCCCAGGGTCAAAGCAAACACTAAAAGCCTAGGATGGACAGAAGAACAGATGAGTATGCTGGGGATCTAGCAACTGTAGTGTCACTCTATACCTTACCTGTTTCATACCTTCTGACTGACCTCCGAGTATTCTCCAGGCTAACGACAGACAATTGAATCAGAGATGGCGCCAGAAATTGATTGATCAAAGCAGATCCTGGTATCTCCCAGTCCTGATTCCAAGCCTCTTCATGTCTGCAACCAAAATTAGTACTAAGGCGGTCAACAAGGCGGTCGATTAAATGTCGTTAAATTCACAGCAGCATCACCCCCTTCCAATTATCCGCTTCGTGGAGCTACTACTGAGAGTCTCCTCTCCATAATGAATAACGTAATGGGCAAGGCCTTTTTGATAATTGATCCCTAGAACGAACGTCCTTAACAAGAAGGCCAATTCTATGAAAAAACATAGATCTTTATCCATCTACTAATGCAATAACCTGCACAAGAGATAGTCCGACGCTCCAAAAGGGCCGAAATGGAAAACCCCCAACCTGATGCATCGGGTAGCTGCCTCTTTAGACAGCCGTCACTTCTGACGCGAATCTATACCACGCGCTCTTTGTTTTTCTCCACCATCCACCCCTCTCATCAGCTTAATCTTCATCATCAACATTCCTCGTCGCTGAACCCTTCCCTCGATATCCTCTACGGGTACGCAGGTTTGCAAAATGGCAGACCAGTGTGCCCTCCGGCTGATGCGAGTAAGTAGAATCGACGCTCGAGATGTTCGGAGATGACGGCTAGCTCACGCAACCCGATACAGGAGCTGAAGCAGTTCTCGGAAAGTGACGATGTCGGTATGTTGTATTCGTCAGCGTCATAGCCAGACGACAAATTAACAGAGACTCCAGCCATCGACATCGAATACAAGGACACCAACATTCGTGAGCTCCATGCTCTCATCGTCGGACCACCAGAGACCCCATATGCTCTGGGATTCTACCAGGTAAGTCTTCGTCGAGAGAAGACCAGGTTGAAATGACCATGATTGACTGGGTGCTTCTTTTCTAGTTCTTGATCAAGATCCCTTCAGGTAAGTATCAGTCGGGTTGGCCCGTGTACCACTATCCCAAGACGAAAGATCACTGACATCAGATTTGCAGAATATCCCGAGAGACCACCCATCGTCACCTTGCAAACAACGAACTACGGGAGGACCCGTTTTGGTCCAAATCTCTATGCGACCGGGAAGGTCTGCCTGTAAGTACCCCTCCACTGGAATAGGATGACCGCGAGACAACTAAACTTATATACTTGAACAGATCAATCTTAGGGTAAGAGCGTTCCCATCATGCCGAGCTGAATGAATGGTAGTCGGGGCCAGTCATTAATCATCTCTATAGCACTTGGCGAGGGCAATCCAACGAGCAGTGGTCTCCGGTGCTGGGACTGGAAACGGTCCTCCGATCCATCCAGAGCCTTTTGGCATCCAAGCCCTACAATCTGGAGCCAGGCTTTGAGAACGACAATGATGAGGGTCGGATTGAGCTGTACAACGCCAAGGTAGGATGGTGCCCGTACATCAACACGATTTCCCATTAACAGAGGTGGCCTCGATTGCTAACTGAAGTCGTCAGATCCATCACGAGAACCTCCGTCTGACGGTCATCAGTCCTCTTGAAAAAGCCTATGGAATCAACCCTGCACCAGCGGGGCTGGAACCTAGCCAGGGAGCTTTTCTGGGTGCCGGGGCCGCGCACTCCAACCCATTCCTCGATACCTACAAGAGACGCTTCCTGTGGTATCTAGAGTCCTACAAGATGGCCATCCAGCAGGGTCTTGAGAACGAAAAAGCGCCAGTCGGCCACTCCTTCTACCATATGCCATTCGAGCACGAAGGCAACGTCATGGCAGGTAACTGGGACTACAAAGACCTGAAAACCCGCCTGGAGGTTCTCGAGAAGCGAATCATGAAGGAGACCAACGACTGGCCAATTCGAGGGTGCACCCTGGCACAGACGGATCATACACTGGCGGCAAGTCTTCGCGCACAACTTGCGCAGATTATGCACCATATTACCGAGCGTACAAAGGGGATGGTGGGTCTCGAGCTCGTGGATGACAACCCGTTCCTGTGGCGGCTCACATACTATGGGCGACCGATGACCCTGTATGACGGGGGTGTGCTGAAGATTAAAATCTTCATCAGCCCCAATCACCCCGCCGAACAGCCGCGAGTCATCCTCGAGACTCCGCTGTACCACGTTCGTGTCTCGTCGCAGAACGTGCTCATCTACCTCCCCCTCCGGGCAGATGAGATGGCCCGTCATGTCGACGGTATCCTCAATTCTCTGGAGGAAGACAAACCGCCCGTCAACCCGCTCATGACGGTCCACCCCGAAGCAAGTGCTTTGTGCTGGGGGTCGCAGGAGCAGCAGCGACAGTATAGTCGCAAGCTCCGCCGCTCAGTTGCGGCCACACTTGAGTAAGTTTGCAGCCTATCGCTCTTTCTTCTGTTATACTTTGAAGTCAAGATCAGTCGTGCTAACGAAGCTACCTACCTGATAGGAACCTGTGATCGGGAATGGGACGGTGAGAAGAAGATGGGTCACCTCTGGCTCAAGAATCATCAACCGGTCAGAGATACAATCCCCGGAGAATGAGAAGGGGATTACGTGTATGATTAGATGTCAAGCAGTTTAACCAAAACTACTTGCTGAGACCAGTGCTACTACTGGCTAAGACCGTTCGTCGTTGCTCACTCTGTAGTTCGGGTAAATTCGATGGGTAATATCCGTGTGATAACGCAGGAAAATCTTATCTCACGTGTCAGGTGATCTGACCCCCCGAAGCTCCCCCCAAAGTCCCCCTTTCCGCTCCAACCCTCATGTGCTACTCTGGAGTCAATTGATTCACCATCTCACAATACCATCACAATGTCTTCGAAACGGCACAATCTGGAATTGGGCAATGTGCTGGTGGTCGGAGGCTGCGGCTTCCTGGGGTGGCACATTGTCGATCACCTGCTGAACTTCCCCTCGGAGACGGATCCCAGCAGCGCACTGCCAAAGCCCCAAGGCGATGCGCGCTTCGAGTACCCGACCCTGGGCTCGCGATACCCCCAATACAAGGCTACAGTGTCGGTGGTGGACCTGCGCACGACGCACAACCGTCTTCCCGGCGCGACTTACTATGATGGCGATATCACTTCTGTCGAGTCGATGATGAAGGTGTTCAACGCCGTCAAGCCGGATTTGGTTATCCACACTGCGACGCCCTCTGTTCTCGACGGTAACAAGAAGCTCCTTCACAAGGTGAATGTGGAGGGAACCCGGACGCTACTGCAGGTTGCTGGCGGCGAGCACGGTGATTGGGGCGGCAAGTGCAAGGCGTTCGTCTACACTAGCTCTAGCTCCGTGGTGCACGATACGCAGAGTGACTTGAAGAACGTCAACGAGGAGTGGCCCCTGATCCGGGGTCGCCTGCAGAAGGAGTACTACTCCGAGACTAAGGTAAGCACCGCAGCCTCTCATCAAATTCCGCAAGTCGAAGCTCCGCCAATCGCTAACACACATTCTTCTCACTAGGCCGACGCTGAAGAGATCGTCCTGAAGTACAACCGCCAGTCCCCAACCAACATGGTGACCTGCGCCATCCGGCCCGCCGGTATCTACGGCGAGAAGGACACGACCGTGACATACAAGATCCTCGAGCACGGCTCGCAAGCCTCGCAGACCGTCCTGAAGATGCAACTCGGCGACAACGACAACCTGTTCGACTTCACCTACGTCGGCAACATCGCCTACGCACACATGCTGGCCGGCCACCGACTGCTGGCCACTTACGAGCGGTACGAGGCCGGCCAGGGCGGGCCCCTGGAGCACGAGCGCGTGGACGGCGAGGCCTTCAACATCACCAACGACTCGCCCGTCTACTTCTGGGACGTGACGCGCGCCATGTGGGCGCTGATCGGTCGGGTCGTCGAGCCTGACCAGGTCTGGGCGCTGCCAGAGGGTCTGCTTGAGGTGGTGGGCGGAATTGCGGAGAGCGTGCTCGGTCTGTTTGGCAAGACGCCGCGACTGACCCGTCGTGTTGTGCGGTACTCTTGCATGACACGGTACTTCTCTATTGAGAAGGCGAAGTACCGTCTCGAGTATCTGCCTATCGTCCCTGTGGACGAGGGCATTGCCCGGGCCGTGGGTTATGTAGTTGAGTCGCAGCGCCAGACGGAGGGCAAGAAGACGCTGTAAGGGGAGCGAAGGGATCGTGATGAAAAGAATTGTCTATACTGTAATAATATCCCGGGTATCAGATATCTGCCTAATGTCATTGATACCGTATATTTGAATGCTTTGCTCTTCCATTCATTCGTCTCCATATTGCTTTCAAGAGCAGGCCGATGTCAAGGTTTGCTACGGCTACGGTCTGATCTAGAAATTCAAGACCACATGTACTAATGAGAAAATAACTCCGAGCACGCAATTAAAGTTCGTGCAAAGAATGCCATTCAAGCCGATCCCATAACAAAGACAACCCATAAAACCCATCATAAAGCCCTAACAGAGCAAGGTATCATAAACATCAACCAAAAAACAGTGGACCCTCATCTCAAATCCTTATCCTCCTCATCCGACCCCCTCAAACTCCCATCCCCCTTTTTCTGCGCATGCACCTCCACCGCAGAAACATTATCCGTAACTTCCTGACCCTCATGCCTCGCAATTTCCACATCAAATGCAGCCCTACTATTGAAGATAGTCTCCATCTCTTCCAGACTTTTACCCTTGGTTTCCTTGACGAAGAACCAGACGATGATCGCCATGATTACGTCTAGCGCGGCGTAGAAGAGGAAGGTGTAGCTTCCCCAGGAGGATTGCATGTAGGGGGTTACGAGGGAGAAGAGGAAGTTGAAGAGCCATTGGGTGGCGACGGCGACCGAGCTGCCGACTTCTCGGATGCGGGAGGGGAAGATCTGGGGTTGTTAGTTGATACTCGTGCGAATCGGATGGGATAGAAGGTTGGAGGGTTGGAGAGGATGTGAGATGTTATGTAGGGGAGGATGATGACGTACCTCGGTGGTATAAGGCCACGGCAGCGGCCCCCAGCTAAACTGGTAGATGGAATTGGTAAGGAAGATCATGGCCACCGTCGCAATGCCCGCAGAAGTGACCTCTTGCTGAGGTTTGGGGGTGGTGTTGTTGACAATGGTGACGATGACGAAACACACCGACATGAGCAGAGCCGAAATCCACAGCGTGGGTTTACGTCCCCACATCTCCGAGAAGAAGAGGATATAGATACCCACAGTGATGAACTTCTCGGCACCGAAAAGGCCCGTGATGAGCAGGTTTCGGCTGGCATCGTTGCCGACTAGCAGCTTGAAGAATTGCGGGCCGAAGTATGCAAGGGCGGTCATGCCGGTGCATTGCTGGCCACAGAAGATGAACACAGCGAGGGCGAGACGGTAGCGATTCGCGGGCTCGAGGAGCTCGCGCTTCTTGAGGCCATCGGTGGCGCGGAGCTCCTCCATCAGGCCAGTGCGGATCTCGTTGAACTCGGCTCTGACCTCGGGGCCTGAAGAAGATCCGGAGAATTAGCATGCTATCTCGAATCTCGTAGAGGCTAAATATGCTTACCGTCGCTCGCACGCATCCAGGTTAGACTCTGCCAGGCCTCATCAAACCGTTCCTTCTTGGCCAGCCATCTCACACTCTCGGGCTGAGTGAACAGACCAAGGGCCAGGACAGTCGCTGGCACCAGCTGCAGACCAATCGGGATCTGCCACTGCGCGGACGAAACGGGCAGAGTCTGCTGCACCGCATAATCAATCCAGTAACTAATCATGACACCCAGTGCAAAGAGCCACTGAACACCAGAGCCCAACATTCCCCGGATCTCCTTGGGGGCCATCTCCGCGTTATACGACGGTACAACTGCAGTACCCCCGCCGAGGCCGAGACCCGAGACAAAACGGCCGATATAGAAACACACCAGGGAATGCGACGGGACGACCTGCAAAATGACGCCCACGCAGAAGATGAACATGGCCACCTGGACAGTCTTCTTGCGACCATAGCGCTCGGAGATGGGGAAGATGCAGAGCGCGGCAAGGAAAGCGCCGACATTCTGCAGACTGACCATGACTGCACTCACGGTGGTCTTGTCGTTGTATCTAAAGTCATCCTTGTAGGATTGGAAGGTGAGGATACCACCTGGAGCGAGGCATATTGACTTAGCAACCAGCCTGAGCGGTGTATTCGGAGTGGACTCGAGCTTCGAGCTCTCCATAATTATGGGAACTCACCCACAATGCCGGTATCATATCCAAACAAGAAACCCGCCGTGCAGACAAAGAAACCGAAGAAGTATGCCCGAAAAGCACCAAGTCTGGTCCCATTAAGGCGCGCCATGATGAAAGGCAAGATCCGTCGCACAGCAGTCAGTCCGCGAGCGTGCAGGGACCTCGACGAGGAAGAACAGAAAGAAAGAAGAATAAAGCAGATGTCAGATGCGACATCAGGACAACAAAAAACATCTGCTTATGAATCTTCCTCGTGAAACATGATCTCAACATTGTCGCTCGTTCAACTAGTTTAACTCAAAAACGATCGGGTCGGCTGTTTCTGGCCGGCCCAGCACGCAAGCGGCGCCCACTGATTTCGCCATAGCACGCCATGGGGGGACTAAGCAACCCCGACACTCGGGATTTCTGACGGTGCCAAGAAGGAGAGAATCGATCAGCATGAATCAATTCATATTGCATATTGACCCTCTTCTGTGTACGAGAAAAACCACTCTAGCCATCTACGATTGTGTATATGATCATTATCTCCCTTGTCTAGATAACCTCTCCATCTCCATCTCGATTGCGGTCGCAAAATGTGGAGCCGCAGCTTCTCCGCATTTGCCAAGCCCCACCCCAGACACCGACACTGCCAGACAGGAACTCCCGACTCGGCGTCAAAGAGCAGAGACAAGACTGACAGAAGGACTAGCTCTAAACTCAAAGGAACATATCCTCTCGGCTATCGGGTCTCGGCCAGTCGGCTCGATCGCCCCGGTATTCCTGCGTCGCCTCCATCACGTCAACCTTATTAACTCCGTCCAGAACCCCTTTACCATGACAGGCAAATGTAATTGTCTCCGCGGAGTGTCAGCTATAACTAGGGAGGATCAATCTCCAGGCATGTCCTCAGCTACGTCTAGGATTGCGCAATAGGAAATGTCTGACCTTTGATACGATATTGATATCCGCCACAGGGTACCATCAACCCTGGACCCTGTAAGCCCGTCGGCACTCGTCAGCCGCATGGCGCCAAACGTGGCTTTAGGTTTTGAGAGGCGAGGCTGTGGTCCAAATATCCTAGCTGGGCTGTTGAGTTACAACCCCTAGCATACAGTATGCATTTGAGATAACAACACCTCCACGATGTACATGGGTTGCTGCTATCAAAGACTAAGAATCATTGCCCGGCCGTTCTAGTTTATATCGATGAGTGAAAACCCTATCTTCGTCATCATCGGGCATCTGCCGAGAGGTATTTGCGGCTTGAACCTGTTAATACACAGACGAAGTAATGAAACGGGCAGGGAACATACCTCTCGATAGGAGGTGATTCCTTTCTTCTTCTCCAGGTACCACAGGGAAGAGGTTTATTGCTGATAAATCCGTCAGAAACAGGGTGAAGCAATGGCAGGGAACCAAATATCCGTTAGATTGTATACCTCGCTGCCCGAATGGGGAACTGCCAAATCTCTCATCTTCGGAACCTGAGCTTGCGTCCCGGAGGTAGTTTGCAGCACCTCTGAGAAGCTTCGCAACCCTGGCCCTCCTGGACTCGGGTTTGGTCTGCCTGTCTTCTTCCAAAGAAGAACTCACAGTCGAGGTATGTTCTCGAGGTTGAACCCGCTCCACCTTGCCACGGGATGATTTCCTATTATACTGGGGAGTAGGCCATATGCGCATTTTAATGCGTACTCCAGGTTCAACAACCGTACTCCACCCATCGGGAAAAATTACAGAGTCAGCCTCATCGACAATATCATACCTCGCGGCTTCGAATTCCGCCAGGATATCAGGGGCATATTGAAGATGTATGCGAATGGTGTCATTTAACCCCTTTATTGAGTGTCAAGGGTAATTAGTATCTGAATGGTTTGTTCAAGCGAGGACGGAGCTCATACCTGCCAAGTGGAGCATTGCTCAACAGGAAACTCAAATTGATTTTTCATCGGGTCGATGAATATGATATGCCTTGTGGGATTCTCCTTCGTGAAGCTTCTCCTGGGTGGTTCCCCGGATATTGGTTCTGGCATCGCATACCCACCAGCGATGATCGTGTACTTCCCCTTAGGTATGGGATCATCCGAATTTGCCCGAATCTCAATCCAGCCCTCACACGCCGAATGTTGCATGACCCATCTATAATTTGGAGATTCGTCTTGATCATTCACTCCTTGTCGTTCAGAATGGACGCGGGCATGCAGTGTTTCTTGTTCAGCGAGGAAGCGGGTACCTCGCCCGATACGGCTATGTGGTTTGCAAGTCGTGCAGAACATCGTGAATGGCATTTCAAACCATCCTTTGCTAACTTTGCGAATGTTGCTTGGATTACTTGGATTAAGAACCAAAGACGGTACTCCAGGCGTGTTCGAGAAGGACGTTATGTCTCCGTCATCACTTGTGTCCATTGGTTCATCACCACTGGAGCGCTTCTCACGGTCATCGTTCACACTCCGTTCTCGGATCCGCCGTTCGTGTTGATGCTTAGCTGCGCGCCGGGCATCCAACGGGCGAGGCTTACAGTCAACGCAGTTGTGCACATCCGGCACCCGCTTGTCTGGGTAATAACAGACGATGTGCTGCCACGTATCACACTCTTCGCAGTAGACCGTGTTACCATCATCATCATAGAACAAACATATGCATTTGATGGTGTAAATCTCTTCTTCGTCGGGCGCAATTGAGTCCGAGATCACCTTGTCGATGACGGGGGATCCGAGAGAAGCAGGGACAATTCCAGGACTTTCCGCATCTAAGTTGAACTGCTCATTTGTGTACTCATGAACTCGCTGCAGCGAGTCTTGGTCAGAATCAGAGTCTGTGTCAAACATCATTCCTCTTGTTGATTCCCGGTCGGATTGAGAAGCGTTGACTTCTGGCTGAGAGCGTGGTAGAGCAAATAACGCGAGTTCCTCCAAGTGCCTGGCAACGTGTCTTTCAAACTGCTTACCAGTTCCAACCGGTGACGAGCAAAGAGGGCAATTGAAGTAGCTTCCGGGGTCGTTGGGGACAGCATGTTGATTGTGCAAATGGAAATACCATTCACGGCGACTTTCGTAAAGACGATGTGGTGTTGAGCAATCTGAAAACACACAAATGTACGGCATGAGATCGTTGAAGACATGACGGGCCCATGCCTTTTCGCCCGAGATACTGATTATCACGAAGCAGTATGGGCATTCAAATGGAGTCCCATTGTCGGCCTCGGTGGGAGGCGGCGGTAGGACCATGCCCTCCTCACCGCTCAGCAAAGTCTGGGCATATGAAGTTTGAGAGATGAATGATTGAGAGTCAAACTCAACATGAGTTGTAGGCTTTTCGATAAAACTGGTTGCAACTGTGTCTGAGATGTTGGTCGAGACTGCATCAGATTGGTCCTCAATAGCTTGACCGAGGCCTTTCCCAAGTTTTATATGGTGTCGTTCGCGGTACCGAAGAATAGCTCTTCGCTGTGAGATAGCTAGTCCAAGGCAATCTAACACACTAGCCTCTGCTTGCGGATACTTGTTGAGCACATGTTGCCGATCGAAAGGTTCAAAGCCAGCAGCATCGGACCGCTTTGTTCCCCAGAGTCGGTCGTGCTGCGCGGGTCTGTAGGCGAAAATCAGCAGCCATCACATTTTCGAGGTCGTATGCTGGCAACCACCCACTTTCGAATGATCATTGATAACTGAAAGAGATTGCTGATCGTATCGTGAAGGTCTTGATAGATTATCTGAACCTCTGATTTTTCGCCCGCCTCATCCTCCGAATCTGAAAAATCCTCGGATACACTTTCCATCTGGAGCGCATCATGAAGATCCTGTATCACCCTTTGTAACCTTCTCAGAACTCGCAGAGTCTGGTCTTTGATATGAGATGCATCGCGGAGTCGATGGTCCAAGGAAGACTGGCCAACTTGGTGAGCACCTATATTGGCAGCCCAGACTCGCAAGCGTCCTAGCTCATCTTGCCAAAGTGTTTGCGGGACATCAGCGCTGTATACATTCAAATCATCGGAAGACGTGATGACTTTGAGCTCCTTGAGGCACGATATGGCAACAGATGAGATTCTGCTCATACTGTGAATCCCCGAAGGAGGATAGACTCCACGATCGCGGAGCTACCTCGGTGAGCAATGTGAACGACCTGACGATGACAGCACCGGAAGCGCTATGTATAGTTCCAGATCGTAAGCCTCAATCTAAGTATTGGACAAGCAAAAGAATAGGGAGTTGGTATTGAACAACGATGGGGAGTTCCGCATATTGTTTTCTGATCGCCAGGTAGCCGCTCTGAGGAGCCGAAGCTAAACTGACAGGGGGGTTTGCTGCGGGGTAGAGGGGTGATTGATACGAACTGATGCTCATCTTCTCTGCGATGAACATCAAGAATAACTTCGAACTTCCCCTTCGAGCTCGGAGACCTGATTGATTGACGCACAGCTTGATTAGCGCTTCAAATGGAGGCTGCTGGGTTTGTCCTTGCTGTCCTGCCTCTCCTCCTCAACCAGCTTGACAACTATGTGCAGGGCCTCGAAACCCTGAAGGGCTTTCGAGCCAAGCGATACAGGAGAGAACTGGACGGTTACTTGTCCAGTCTTGGGACACAGCAGGCGATATTTGTCAATACTCTTGAGCGGTCTCTGGATGGAGTCGTCGAATACCAAAATGAAGTAGACGATCTAATCAAGAACCCGTTGGGGAATTTCTGGAAGGAACCTACTTTGCAATCAAAGCTGAAAACGAAGATGGACCGAAATTATATTCCCTTCGAGAGGACCATGACGGAGATTCATGTTCTACTCGAAGATTTGTCGCGCCAGCTGGGCTGGGACAAGATAATGCCAGCGACGGTAGAGGTGCGTTGACATTGATCATCTTGATAGAGGTTTCGTCCTTCGTTGTGTCGCCACTCATGAATCTAACTCGAAACCTCTAGAAATACTGGAATAGCTCCTCTAATATTGAACGAGAAGTCAAAAAATTCCGTGACATCTTCTCGAAGAGTATCTATGCCGACCTGCTCAACCGAATCAACACCGCCAACACCCTTCTCAAGACACTAGTCGAACAGTCCGATTACCGAGACACGACTCGAAAACGGAGGCTATCAAATCACACATTGATCCGCTACCGGAAGTCCCGACGATCTGCATCTAGTCTACACAAAGCCATCATACGCGGCAAATGCTGGAAATGCCCCTGCAAACATCAGCATACTATCCATTTTGTGCTCAACGCTCCATCGCTAGACACCCTTGACCCGTTAGCGCAAGGTCGTGGGAACCCCCGATTCCGCATGATCTTTGCTCCTAATTTGCATATGGATACCTCAGTCTGGAAGTTTGGTCATGAAATCGAGACTGAGGCAGACATGATCACGTCCAGCATGGGGGTGCGTTATGTCTGTCAGTTAGCGGATCACACCAAAGATTTGAGTTTAAAACCAGCGAAAGGGAAAGCGCGGGTTCAGTTCTCCTCTGATACGATAATAACGAGCGATGAAGTGGTTCTAAGCAAGCCCAGTGGGAGTGATGTCCCGCCTCCAATCACGGATATCTGTCAGATACTGTCAAACAGCGAGATCAATCGGGATACTCAGACGGCATTGGGGTGGGTATCAGATGAGAACCACAGACATAACGTCTACTACGTGCGACAAGTTGCCGATTCTCTAAAGTCAAAATCACTCGAAGATCTTATCACAGCTTCTTCTACCTTCTCAGCTGGCCAGAGCAATGTGGGCCTTCTATTCAGTCAACGAGATCGTCTGCGGTTAGCAGTGGGCCTTGCATGTAGTGTCCTCGAGTTCCATGGAAGCTGGCTGCGAGACCACTGGACAGCTCGGGATATTAAGTTCATGCCCGAGTCCTCGACAGGTCTTGGTAGCCCATATATTCCGTGGAGTTTGGGAACTGAACCCGGTAATTCACAGGACCAGGCTAGCGTCCTGACAACAGCGCTTATCCGAAGCCAGATACTATTCCCTCTGGGTCTCGTTCTGGTAGAGCTTTCGCTATGTCAAGTGCTCGAGACACTAAGCACTCCTGGAGATGAAGACCCACACGAAGCCGTGGCGAATCTCAAAACCGCAGCGCGTGTGCTACCATCTGTTATGGAACGCAGTGGACCAGAATATGCAAAGGTCGTTGAGCATTGTCTGTTTTGGCACGGCAGCCAGGATACCAATTTGGAAAGCGACGCCATGCAAGAAAAGGTGTTTGAGTTGATCATCATGCCGTTGATGGAGAACTTGAGGAGCTTTGAGGATTGGTGGCAGCGGTATTGAGGAAGTTACAGGAGATGGGCCCTTGCCAAGGATTCTGATAAGTTGTTGGCAAGCTAGGGGTGTTACAGACGGGAGTGATGGTGGCTATGACGCGATCATTCAGTTCTCGCCAGTTCAGGATACAGTTTATGGGAACTGGCAAATGTTTGTGGGAAGGGAGATGTAAACGCTCCGGGGCAGTCGAGAAAGAAGGTATTTTGACATTCGTCAAATTGCGTGGGGTCAAGTAGTCGCATGTGGCAGAGAATGTAACATCGCTCCAGGGCATAGGGCATGTCGAAAATCGTCATTGGGTCGTCGGATGTCGCGTTGGGCCAGTTATACGCCGGAAGTAAATAAATAATTTTCATCAGAAAGGATGGTGTTGCTAGTAGTTCATTTTTCATGAAAATGATTCGTGCGTAATGATGCACAGAATATTTGCAATCAGATAGAGTTATAAAGGTCTATCTGCGTGGTCAGCTATGTACAACCTCGCATGAGTGGCACAAACAAAAACGCTGGAATTACCCCTAAAGAATATATCGCTACTTGTTCCAAAATGGTGTCGCATGGGTCCATTATATCCTGTCACAAGGAGAATGTTGCTTAGGGATATTGTCGTGTCAGGGCTGGGTGGCGATATTGCCGATTACCAAAAGGTGGTGAGCGGAAACCGTGGTTGCATGAGAATTGCATGGGTGGTGATGGGTCAAGTCGACAAAAAAGGGTTGCCTAGGTATTGGAAGTTGGTGAACACTGAGCTGGTTTCTGGAAGTGAGACGAATAAAGGGTAATAACATGGCGAGTGGGAGGTTGTTGCACTGGGTTGTTGCTGGCGCAGATTGGGTAGCGGGAGTGGTTTTGGATTATTGTGCGTGCGTGTCGCAATGGGAGAGGGCGGCCGTTAGTGGCATGATTACGCAGCAAGACCTTTGGCAGACTTTTCAGACTCCACGATCTCGCTCTCGGAGATATCGTCCGCAATGGCTTCGGTGACGGGGCCAGTGTAAACTGCACGGCCACGAATGTACCAGTAAACCATGGCGAAAAGTAGGACAGCCACGAGGTAGACACAGGCATAGTTCATCTGAATTCAAATTAGTAAACCAGAGAGAGATTGATGGGATTTTGATACATACGCCTTCCGCGGTGACCGGCATCGCAGTGGGGAGAACAAAAATGATGCTGACGAACAGAGTCCACAGACACGCCCAGATGTTGACAACGGTGCTGAAAGGACCCATGTGCCAGGGACCAGGCTGGAATTTGCCAAAGAACAGCTTGCACAGAATTGGAATGCAGTAGCTCCAGTCCAAGGCAATAGCACAGACCGTGAAAACACCAGCAATGGCTGTGTAAGAGCCAAGACCAATCAAGTTGATGGCGATGCAGAAGAAGACAGACATCCACACAGCGTAGAGGGGAGTTCCAGTCCAAGGAGCAATCTTAGTCCACACGTTGGAGAAAGGCAACAAGCGGTCGCGAGAGAAGGCGAAAACAGTTCGGCCGAGGGCCTGCATGGCAGTGAAGGTCACGAACTTGATGATGATCAGACCCGCAATCGTGAAGAACATACCACCGCCCTTGCCGAGGCTGTTATAGAAGATTTGGGCGACAGGCTGGGCCATGGGCGAGGAGAGGATTTCGTCAGGGTTGCCCATACAGAAGCAGAGCACAATGTTGAACAGGAAACCAGCGACATAGGTGAACAGCATGGCGAGAGAGATCGCCCAGGGAGCCTTGAGCTCGGGAGTGTTGATCTCCTCGGTAATGTGGGCAGTCGCATCGTAGTCGGTCATGGTCCAGCTGACAGACAGGAAACCGAACAACCAACTGAAGCCAACAGGTGTCCAGCCACTCTCCGACTTGACCTCGGTGAAGACGTAGCTCGCGCTATGCTTATCCTTGGTCAAGACTAGTAGGGCGATCGAACAAGCAACCAGAACGCAGACGTGGAAGATGACATAGGATTTAGTCATCTTCTCCATCCAATAGGTGGAAAGAGAGTTGACGACACCGGTGATGACGGTTAGCGCAGCCATCACGCCGACAGTGGTATTCGTCGTAATTTCATAGTTGAAGTCACGGCTCATGGACACAGCGGCCAGAAGCATTTGGGCGGCGCCATATTCGGATGACGCAACACCGGCCACCTGGCCGAGAAGGTTGAGCCAACCAGTGAACCTGTACCAATATGATTAGTACGATGACACCCAAAGAGCAACTTATGAAGGCGATTTTACCAGCTAATGGAGGGAACCCAGGCGTTGGGTGCGAGACGGGAGATAGTGAAGTATCTAGATGCCTGTCAGAACTAGACTTCCAATTGGATGATAACGCGGAAGACTTACAATCCTCCAGAAGTGGGATAAGCAGAAACCAGTTCGGCAACGGAGCACTAGAGCTGCTATCAGTCATATTCTCTCGGGAAAAGTCATTGGTAATTACTTACAGCAATGCACATGCACCCAAAACCAGAGACGAACCAACACCATACAACCGCACTACTGCCACCGGCGAGCAATGGGTACGACATGGTGGTCATGATGGTGGCAAAGAGACCACTAATGCTGACTGCGAACGAAAAGGTCGACAAGTACCCAAATTCTCTCTGGAAGACTGGGTTATAGCCGAACCGGGTGGCCAGTTCGGAGTCGTCTTGGGTGAGGTCGGCGACCGCGACTTTTCGGTGCTGGCCATCCGGGCCGACGATGTCGATTTGGCGACCTTCATGATGGCGCTGGCGAAGCTGGCTAGTTTCAGCAACCTCTTTGGTGTTCATGTCCGCCATGATTGTGGGTTACGATGAGGATATGGTCAAAGGCGCGAGAGAGATCCGCGTATAGATAAAGTAGAACGAGAAAGAAGCAAAAAAAGCGCAGAAAAAGCAAAGAAGATAAATAGTCGCGGCAAACCGACAGGCATTTCGCACTGGTCTGTCCGCCTGCGTGCCCTTTCCCGTCCGCAACGCCTCATTCGTCGCAATCAAGGCTTTAGTTTCCGGTAGCAGACCTCATTGGTGCTGGTAGGAATTGCCTGCCCACTTAGCGACCGATGCCATCCTGTTCACTCGTCAGCCACATGGTCAACCAGAAAGTTAACTAACCTTTAATAAGCGGGCAAGTGGACCCCCCGCTAAAAGCTTGAGAGATGCCGAGTCCGCTGATTGGTGACTGGTTATCGCTTGCTAGGACCTTCCCCATAGCGGCATGGCTTCATCTGGGTAGGTTTCAGAAACGAGCGCCTCAGGATGGCGGCGTTCCCCATGAGCCCTTCTCTTTGCGCCCCGAAAGTCTTTTCCTCGGAACGCCCGTGAAAGGGAAAGATGATCTCGTGAGAGGAGCAGTCGTAGTTGCGCGATGGCCATCATTCTGACAACGCTTGGCAACGAGCTGAAGTAACCGGATGGAGTAAGTAGGTTAACTATCTGCAATCACACAGTCAGCATTCATATGCGGTTGCACCTGCGATAGGAAACAATGTCTCAAAAGGGCAGTTTCTAGTCAAAATCTACTGATACATTCAAATTTCAATGATGCTTGTTTATTCCGACCGACAAATTGCTATCCAAATCCAATGACATCTGGAAATTGCACGTCCCCCGAGAATACCCGTCGAACACATTTCCAGTAGATATGATGAACAGACTCAACTTGCAATTGGTTGCACACCTCTCAACACGTCTGTCAAAAAGACCAGGCTCCGGACAATCACAGCAGGCGCTTCAGGAGGACCCGCAGGACCTTGTCTTGCTTTGCCCATTCACGGGGAATCAGTTTGGCCGATTTCTTAGAGTATTTGGCCAACTGGGAGACGTTGCAGAATCGTGTGGGCATTTCGTGAGTCTCCCAGCATTCAAGCAAGTCGATGATGTTCACGTAGATGCAGGAAAGGGCCTGTGCACATGACAAAAGGTAAATTAGATTGTGATCTCCGACCAATCAAGAGAACGACCCACCTTCTTGCACTGACGGATCGAGGTAAACTCATCGCCAAGGCCAACCTTTCGGCACATGACCTGCCAGGTCTCCAGGTTACTGATGCGGCTTCCGATGAGGCGGTTGTATTCATTCCCCATGCACCGGTTCCAGTTCTTCGTCCAGGTCTTGGAACCAGGGCGCCAATTGCGGGCCTTGCCTAGGCGCTTGAACTCGTTGCTGATTGGCGAATCCGGATTGCAGTCGAAGTCAGGGAACTGGTCGAAAAAGGAGACGACCTGGACAGCCATGATAACTGGTAGGTACACCGTGAGCGAATCTGCAATGACAGTTGACAGGTCAGTCAAATCTTGATGAAACATCCGACAAGGGCGAATCTGAAGATGCGTACGTTTGAGGTACAACGGCAGGAAACGACAGTATGCAGACGAAGCGTCCAGGAGATGTCACAGTTGACCGACGGGGAATATGACCGGGTGAGAAAGGAGGAAGAGAGAAAGAGGATGAGAGAGGTCGTAGCAAGGCAGAGCGAGAGATGCTTGTTCATGCAAACAAACTCGAGCCCGACGCACCTTCCAGCTTCACAATTAGGAAATAGCGGATGTTCCCTGTTTGTTGATTTTCCAGTCTCTATATACAGCAAGAACGACCTGGTCAAGACTGCCCACAATGAGCCAGCACTAAATTGATATAATGCGACGTCCATTTCCTGTGGTAACCTCTGATCTATATCCATGTCTGGAATATTCCACCTACACCCTTTGAGTCATAATGTTGTTCTTGACGGTGCTGCGGCTACTTGCATCAACCGTGTTTGCAGCCATTTGTGGGTGGTCATCATTGCCTCTCTGCACTCGACTTGGCAATGTCTTCATGATATGGCCACCACCCCCATGGGATGCGACTTACGACTATGTGGTCATTGGAGGCGGTACAGCAGGCGTCACAGTGGCTTCGCGCCTGGCCCAAGAGGGATTCCACGTTGCCCTTGTCGAGGCTGGAGGCTACTACGAGTGGTTGCATCCACTCTCCAAAATCCCGGGTGCGGCAACAATTGGAATTGGGGCTGACATCTCCACGGCATCCTCGGTGGACTGGAGGTTTGTTGCTGAGAAAGTCCCTGGAGCCAACTATCGGAATATTCATTATCCTCGAGGGAAGTGCATGGGAGGGTCGTAAGCGATGTGATGTCTTCCTTGTCTTCACAAGCATCGATCGCTAATCTGATACCTTCTAGATCAGCGTTGAACTTTATGATATATCAACGGTTGGTCTGCTACCACATGGGCGCCTGGCAAATTCTGATCGTTCTCACAGTCCCTCCAAAGGCGCAATGAATCAATGGGCCGAACTGGTGAACGATCCCAGCTATAAATTCGACAACATTTGGCCATATTTCAAACAGACTATAACCTTCACTGCCCCAACCTCTCGATCTGACAGTACCAGAACACCATACAACGGGTCGGCCTTTGAGGATTTTGGTGAGCCGCTGCAGGTTTCATATCCCCAGTATGCAATGCCTTTCTCCCGCTGGGTCCGCAGGGCGTTGACCGCAATTGGCATTCAAGAGGTTGAGGACTTCAACAGCGGTTCACTCATGGGGCACCAGTTCTGCTCCATGACCATTCGTCCAACGGACGCATCACGAAGTAGTTCGGAGACTGCCTTCCTTCAATCTCCCCAGGATTTGGAAACACTGTCTATCTACGAGAAGACACTGGCGAAAAAGATTTTATTTGATTGGGGAAATCGAGCTCACGGTGTGAGAGTCCACGGGATGTGGGATTACACATTATGGGCCACCCGTGAAGTCATTCTATCTGCAGGGGCCTTTCAGTCTCCCCAGCTGCTGATGTTGTCGGGAATCGGCCCTGAAAGTGTCCTTCAAGAGCACGGGATCAAGCCAATTGTGACTCTATCTGGAGTTGGGCAGAATATGTGGGATCATATCTTTTTCGGTCCATCCTATCGGGTTGCTGTTGATACATTCTCTCGGATGGCTCAGAATCCAGCTCGACTGGCCAGTCAGGTGGCAACTTATCTATTCTCTCATAATGGGATGTTGACGAACCCTTCGACGGACTATCTCGCGTTTGAGAAGCTTCCGGACCGGTCAAGGTATACACTGACTGACCAGGAAGAGGAAATTCTCTCTTGGTTTCCCAAGGATTGGCCCGAGATTGAGGTGAAATTTCTGTGAGCAATTGAGTTTTCAATGGAACTAACCTTTTGTCAGTATCTAGCAGCCTCTGCCTTTGTCGGAAATTTCTCAAATCCTTTTTTCCAGCAACCCCGTCATGGTCAATATGCCTCCATCATTGCTAGCATTGTTGCTCCAACATCTCGTGGCAATGTGACCCTTCGCTCTGGCAACGTGGCCGATCTCCCAGTGATCAATCCAAATTGGTTGGATACAGAGATAGATCAAAAATTGGCCGTGGCAGCATATAAACGGATGCGCGACATGTTTCGAACTTCAGCAATGAAGCCTATATTGCATGGGCCGGAGTACTTCCCAGGGCTTGAGTACCAAAGTGACGAGGAGATCTTAGAGCTCATTAAAAGCACGCTGATGACTATTTATCATGCATCTTGCACATGCAAGATGGGCACTCGGAATGATAGCATGGCTGTCGTCGATCATCAGGCGAGAGTTTTTGGTGTCACGGGGCTGCGGGTGGTGGATGCGAGCGCATTTCCATTACTTCCACCTGGTCATCCCCAGTCAGTGGTTTGTAAGTATTCCACCAATGTTAGAGAGAAGTGATTCTGATATTTTCCAGATATGCTTGCAGAGAAGATCGCAGCCGACATCATCGGGTCATAGCGGAACTAGAGAACTGAGAACTTGTCAAAGAATATGATTATGCAGGCCAAGCGGTCTTGTACGATATTGTTTGTGAAGAATCGAATCCTTAATGAATGAGTTCTCAAATTCCACCTATCACCACGTCTCTTCTAAATACATCTGGTTCAGCGTATCAAACATATTGTAATCACTCGGCAGGCAATCAGGCGAGAACGCAAAGCCATGACCACTGGCAAAAAGCTCTGCGGAGTTCGGAAGATTCTGAAGCAAATCCATATTAACCCCATCAAATGTAGGTCCAAATTGTTGACCCAGGACATTTTCAGCGTAAACAGGTATCTGATTTTCAGGCCAACGCGGAATAGGATCCTCGATAGTAAGGCTTTTCGGGTCAAAAAATGCATCAAACGCCTGGATGGGGATTATCCCAGATACCAATGCCTGATTCGAATCCATTGGCTGGGTTGCAATAGGACATGGAGGGGGGCAGTAATCGCTCGGTGGAGATGGTATATGCTGTCCAAAGCGATCACAGTAAACTTTCTCCAAGTTCCGACCTATGCGCTTTGCAATGTTCCAGGAAGTAGACAGCTCCCGTAGAACCTGGAAGAACAGCCCCGCTGCTGCATGCGGTGAGAGTGTTCGGACACTTTCTTCTGGGGGACTGGGTTTGCCATAGTTCTCCAGAGAACAACATTTCTCGATGATGATCAATGCTGCAGATAAAGTGCAGTACGTTGCCGTTACCGGGCTGAGTTTGAAACTGCCAAATGTCTGTCGGTATTTTTGGGCGACAGAGATCATTGATCGTATTGAAGCACAGCAGGCCGTTAGTGCCTTTTGAGACGTGGGGTTTTCTGGCGATGTTTCGTGTTGTTCGGAGGACTTGTTTGGTTCTTCGTTCTTTGGTGGTGGGTTACCGCTGAGGAAGGGGCCACATAGGAGGAGGAATGTGGTGTGATAGACCATGTAGAGGGTATAGGTATGGGCGAATCGTGACGGCCCGGATGGTCGTTCAATTTTCAGTTCGGAGGGTAGGTCGTAGTACCAAGTTTTGAGCTCGAGGACGCAAGAGTCGAAAAAGGCGGATCGATGATGGGCGTGGAGTAATGGCTTGGGAGACCACCTGGACGGACGAGTCAGGTTGAAAGTCATGAGCGGGAAGGGACAAAATTCGACTTACAGAGATAGAAGAATCTTCTCCAGAATCCGGCACAGATCAATCATAGCCCGGTGTAGCTGTACAACGGTTTTCTGTGATGCACCCCGTAGATTACCATCTGCGGATGGCAAGTGCATGTCAGAGACGCATTGGAGAAAGGGCTTTTTCACTGCGCCTTGAGACTCCTATTGAACACATGAGAATCACAGATGCATACACTTGATTAACCTCGCAAAGGACTCACCAACAACGTGCATACTCGCCCAGTATAACTAGCAGACAGCTTGTCATGACAGTACAGAGCCCAGTAAATCTGCCTCCGCAGCTCAATCTCGATGGCTGGAAGAGCTACGGCTCCCGCGAGAACTGCCGGGTCCATATTGAAACCCATGTCAAGAGCAAGGCGGTTGGCCATTCCTTGGTGAAGCCAACCTGCAGCGTCTGACCCCATTGCCTGGAATTTCTCACCGTTAACTTTCAAACGCTTTCTAGAGACTCCTTTAATCAGACTTACAATATAGACCGAGCCCATGATGGCTAGAGACTGAATTGTCGTAATCTTCGGCCATCGTAAATCATGTTGGACCAACTTTTCAGCCCTCTCAATGAACCTCTTGCCCGCTGTATTTGAATCAGTCGGATCGGATCGTACTTCAATTCGGTCGCAGTATCTTGAGCCTAACGCGAGAATGCATGTCAACAGCAAGGGGCTTGAATATCGACCGCCACCGCAGGCTAAACTGTCTCTAAAGAGTTTCTCATTCACCACTTGAAACCATGGCTGTTCCCATTCAAAGTACAGATCGATCAGGTGGGCTTGAAGTTCTTCTGAAATGCAGCTGTCACAAAGAGTATCCGTCTCAAGTTGAAGTTGGGAGTCATTTTCTTGCGATGGAATAGCGGAAGATTCTGAATCCGCAGTATAATATCCAGTGCAGTAGGCGTCGATTTTGCAAGCTTCCTCGCTGGGTGAATCTGCATCTTATCAGTATATTCTCGCACACGTTAATCGGTGAATGTTGGCGTACCGTTTCCTGTTGACCGAAATAGCAATCGACCACTAGACGGGCCAAAATATCTGACTTCACCATCTTGATCAAAGTTCAGAGACTCATCCAGGGTTAGTGCACCATCGAAGGTCAGACACAAATCGTCGACATTTGAAGCCGCTGCACCGCTAGAATCAGGTGGTTGGCCTGGGGAGTCATTCGTAGCCGACAACTGGGCGATCGAAGCATCTGTATCGATCCCATGGGCATGAAGGACACGCTCAAGGAGCTGAATCCGATTCCTCAGCATCACCACATATGACTTGGGAGCAGGCTGCCGCCCATCTTCCGCTGTGGAATACTGGCAGCGCACCCCTCGGTCCAGACACCGAGAACAAGTCGGGCGAGCCCCGTCACACTTTAAGACCAATCTAGTCAGACAGATTTCACAAATAGAGAGGTAAGGAGTGGATCTAATTAGACATTACCTTGGCTCTGCGACGACGACATTCCTCACAGGCTCTAGAGGTATACTTTCTCCCAGGCCGAGTACGTCGGGCGGCAGAGTCATCCACTGGCGCTTCGGGTGGCATTTCATCGAGATCCAATCAATTGACCAGGCCAGATGCTACTTTCTAGATGAAAACCTCCCCCCATAGGGCTAGAACTCGATGGCTGAATCGATGGAATGGATGGCAGGCTGGCATTACAAAGCAGAATGCCATGGTCGACACCTAAGAAAGGTGGCAACCAGTCCCGCTTTAGATACCTGAGGTATCATTTTATGCCTTGTTGCCTGAGACATCCAACCTGACCTCAAGACTATGGAAGCATTTAGCTATTAGGTTTCCTAGCGAGAGTTTAGTCGTAGTGAGCAGTGTGGAGCTAGTTAGTTAAGTATAGCAGTGGTATTACAGCGTTCCCAACGGTGTACGGTCATACAACCTGAAGTGCTTGGTTACGGATGTGAAACGGCATCGGATATTGAGCACCGAGGGAGCCCCGTTGCGTGGGATAAAACACAATGCGGCAATGAAAATGAGGAATCTCAACTCGAGATTGTCATGAATGCTACTTAGGTCTACTTCGAGCCTGTGATCTAACAAATCAAGGGTTCTGAGAGATTCAGGTCTAACTTGACCATACAAGCTCAATAGAAAAGCTGATCGCATGCCCCCGCTGAAAATATATCACGGCGCCCAAGACGCTAAGGAATCTTCGTCTGGCTCCGCCGGACAGCCCTGGAGAGAATGAATACTTTTCCAGATTTAGCGGGCAATCCACTTTACTGATCTGCTACTGTACATTTAAAATGTATTCGACCAGATACAGTAGGTGCAAAGGTAATTGGACAATACCCCGACCTTCATTAGTGGTCTAGTCACCTGTCTAGCTTAATCAGGAAAGTCTTGGCCTGCTCTTGGGATAACCCCCCTTGATTCGATTGGGGAATGCCTCTCCTGGAGGGCTGGAGGGGGATTTCCTCTTCTGACAAGGGCCCAAGGACCATGATGGTGGGTTCACCATCAGCCAGATTACGTCCTATCAGATAATCAGACCGTGGACAGAACGGAAACATACGGGAGATATTGCGTAGGTCCCTACGGTTGACAGTTGACCATCTAGCTTATCAGATGTGTTTCCCACGCCATACCCGACGGTTGCACTGGCACACATAGCCAGGATCGCCGGGTCCCTGGTGCACGGAATATACCGTTGGCCGGCCATTGGCACCAAGCACCAAGCTCGACAACTGCAATACGACATATCCTCCTCGCACCAGCATTGGCGTTATTCACACCCAGTACGTAATCGATCTTCCAGACAGAACTTGGCCCGTCCTCCTTCCTGCCAGGCCCGCTAATGCATTCCACGGCCCCGCGAGAGGGCATCGTTCCCGCCGATCACACGAGAGTCATGCAAGACGGCTGGGGGTGAGTCTGTCTGATTGGGCACTGGTCGACGGGTGCTTGGGAGGTGCGTGGAGCGCAAAGAGGGAAGCATAAAGTTTACTCGGGGAGTAAATCATCGCAAGTCCCAAGTTGGCTGGTCTGGGGTACAGCCAGTCATAATGAAGGAAGGAGGAACACCAGGACGGCGCTATCTCTTTGGTTTACCTCGGAGGAGGAGCATATTGGACCAGGCCAGGAGGCGGGTATTGGCGAGGATGAGATCATATTGGTATCCATGCGATGGTGCAGGTTAGGTAATGGCGCGCTTTGTATTGAATCCGCTGAAAAGAGTTTTGAGGCCCAACTTTTTGAGGTGAATCATCAGGTGATCATACCCCGCAAACCGGGGATCGGAGGATGAAGAAAAAACGGTGGAGACGCGGATCGACCACGGTCCACTGAAAGTCTGAAACCCTCCTCGAACATACTTGTTTGAAGATGTGCTCATCATGAATGAATAATCATCCCATGTCAGATGGCGGGTCAGGAATCGCAAGGATACCGGAGATCCTTTCCCAGTCCTCCTGATCGGCCAAAACTGCGGTCTCCCAGAGTCCCAGTAGTAGTACTGTAAGCGGAGTACTCCCATCCTAAACCGAGATGGATCACGACGAACCAGTCAGGAATCGCAGGATAATACACTTCTCATGCTTGTCGTGCCACTATCCGGCCAGTGTAACGGGGGTGCAGTCGGGTCCACCCCCAGTGCCGGGTTTCTCTTGTACATACTTTCTGCCTTTCTTGATCCCGAGCCGAACGGAGACATTGCAGGCAAATAGTCGATACAGTCATTCTGCACGGTCCACAGATCTCCAAGAAAAAAAATAGACCTCGTGCCTTGTGACGGAAGCCAGTCTCGTGTGTGTGGTGTGGGGGAGGTCAGAAAACGCCAGGAGTCGGCGGTGGCGTCCAGTGGGTTTCGGAGCGGTGATGGGGGGGGATTCTTTTTCCTTGTGCTGGTTTCTTTCTTTCTTTGGTTTTGCATGCTAGCGTGGGTACAATGCCAAAATGACCTCCCAATGGGCTGCACGGCATGAAGGGATCGGGGCTGGGCCATCTATTTTGGATTGGAGAGATGGAGGGCTTATGGAATAATGGGCTTTGGGGGTCTGTTCTGGCTGGAGGGCAGACCCCCAAGTGGTCGTAGTGAACAGGCTTGCGGGTAACTCGGGATTACGAGAGACACTAAAAGATGAGTCGATAGTCGCTGCGATGGTTAATAATTGGTTGAGTTTCTTTGCCCTTGTCCCTTCTCCTCGTTGTCTGCAAAGGGGGTACAAGGCAGGGATGATTGCATAGGTCGGATTGTTCCGAGTCACAAAGTACACACAGTACCCAGTACCCGGTACACAGTCCTGATACCATACGTACCTCCTATGCTACGCGGTGCGTTCCTAAGCGACAGATCACCAAATCTAGACGGGAGTCTGAACATATATCCAATCCAAACAAAAGTACCATACTTAGCCAGGAGCCTCCCACATCGTCGGATCCAGACTCGAAGCCATCGAGGACTAGCCTGGCAAAGCACATCAGCCCATCTGCAGGCGGGGAGGTCATGTACAGACAGCACCAGATTGGATCAATCCACGTCATGAGCAAGGGCGGTCGTCCACGCAGAGTTCATGATAGGGTTTCCCCCTCCTCTCTCTCTTAGCTTTTTTTTTTCTCGTAACACCAGAAGCATGGAAGGTCGACTGGTGTCGTATTCTGCTCGATGGTGGAGTTGATAGCATTTGTATGCGTGGTACAATATACGGTGCTAATTATAGAGCCAACCAGGAATAAAACTGTGCAAAGAATGGGAGAATTAGCAAGACTTCGACAGATAGCAAGTTCCTCTCGAGGGGACCTCGAGAGTCCCAAGTAGATCGTGGATGCTAGCGGGATACAGTCACTCACAAGAGGCCAAGGCCAGCAGTAGTAGTTGGGCGACCGTCAGTGCCTCAAGTTGTGGTCTTTTCTCGCCCAATCACCGTCCTCCCTCACGTCCACCCTCCTCCTCCTGCACACCCCCTCCCCAAGTCCCCAAGTAGTCCGCTCTCGTGGAGATATCTCCTCTTTTTTTTTTCGATTCCGTTTGACCTTCAAAGCCTGCACTCGTCTCCATTATTCCTCCCCTGATTTTGTCCTGTTACCTACTCTCTTGAGGCCCTTGGGTCAACCTCCAACTGGGGTTGACGTCGATGATCCTGCGCGTCGCCTGTCGCGCCCATTCCCCCCGCATAGACATCGGCTTCCGTCCTCCTCCGTCCTCACAACAAACTCGCGTGTCAACATCGCGCTCATCGAGCTAACCACGCTGAATTGGCGAGCCTGGGATCGTTCTGCAGTGGAATTAATCGACGGGCGATTCTTTCTGCTCGCGCACGCCATGGCCTGTTGAAGTCACGGATGAATCCATAGCCTCGTCTCTCCAAGAGCCACCCGCTCTGCCCACCAGCAGACGGTTCTGCTTGGCTCACCTCGACAACCACGACGAAATTCAGCTTCATCGAACTATTTCAACTCGTTCTTTCGTGAAATCCCCATCGCACGCCCTCATTCGAACGCTTTCACTGTTGGCGGCCCCTGTACATCTGTTGACCCTGGGAAGTCAGCATGGCCGACAATGGCTCTCCAACCCCCAGTTCCTCGCGCCGCCGGCCGTTACGGCCTTGCGGCAGGAGGCTCGGAATATCAACCCGGTCATGATGCGGACGCTAAGCGAAGACATACGCGAGGAGCGGGAAGACTTGAAGGAAGCTGCCGAGCAGACCTTGAACATCATCGTGGACCTCGACCTGGAGGGCCGCATCAAGTGGGTGAGCCCGTCGTGGAGACAAGTGGTCGGCTCCCCCCGAATCGGTCGAGGGCCGCATGATCTCGGAGCTACTAGTTGGCAATAAAAATGTCTTTCGCGACGCGATCGACGTCATGAAGGAAGATGACTCGCGTAGTCGATTCATTCGCTTCGCGGTGCAGATGGGACCCGACTCGGTCCTAAGATACGCGCCTGAACCGCGTCCCGTTGAGTCGGAGTATGTTACTGAGCGGGAAGAGAAAACGACCGAGGAAAATACTACGGATGAGAAGACGGAGCCTTCGCAGGTCGAAGGCGAGGATAACCATGATGTGCTGACCATGGAGGGTCAGGGTATCATGGTGTATGACCGAACGGATGACGAGGGCGGACATGTAGGTGTTATTTCGCATACTGCGAGTAACTTGAATGATATGCACATTGCTAACGACTATGCGTCTTCTAATAGGCGATGTGGATGCTCCGACCGCTCACCGAACCTCGCGAAGTGACCATCGATCTGCCACCTCAGCTCGTAGAGTCACTTGGTGTCGGTGCAGAAGTGCTGGCAAACTACCTGACCGAACTCGCAGAGGCCGCAGCGAACGAACCGGATCCCTCAAAACACCCTGCCCCGACGCCGGTTCTATGTCGCATTTGCGAACGCCAAATCACCCCGTGGTGGTTCGAGAAACACTCCGATCTTTGCCTGCAGGAACATCGGGCGGAGATGGATGTACAAATCGCACAGGAAAACCTCAACGAACACCGTCATGCGATCGTGAGAGTGCTGGATGCATTGGAGGCTCGACACGGAAGGCCGTTGATCGGCAGCGATGGTAGCGTCCTCCCTCTTGTCCAGCCAGAGTATAAAGGGTTACCTATTGGGCCATCGCCTGCCAGTTCGGCACCATCATCAGCGCCCGCCTCTGGTGTGAGCTCGGCGCCCGGGACACCACCTCGCTCACGCGACCATTCGGCCTCGGGCATCATCACCCCAGGACGGCCCCGGGCGTTCACTGTTCGACGACCGCTGGCTCGCATTGTCGAGCTGGTTCTCGATCTCTGCGACACCGCGTTGGAGATCAGTATGCCGGTGATCAAAGAGTCATCGCGCCCAGAGAATGGAGAGGAATTCAGGACTCTCTCGCCGCAATCTGAATCTCGAATTTCTCAGGTGCTTCAGTGGTCGTCCCCCAGTTCCAACACGTTGGAGCAGGAACAGGGTCTCGCTACCTTGGCTGGTGACACGGAAGAGATTGCAAAGGCGAAAGTGGATGCCGTTGTTCGTCATCGCAAGATCGTTGAGTATGCAGAGCGTATTCGGATCGAATATACCGTCTTGGTGGAGGAGTGCATTACGGCTGCATTGAGCAAGGCCGAGCGCATAGCTGCTGGTGAACTGAGTGATTCCTCTTGCTCCTCCGACGAAGAGGTATCGCCGGACAGCGCTTTTGCCAGTGATGCCGATGTCAGCACCGCTGGTGATAGGGATGAGTTGATGTACATCCCCATTCAAGAGCCACTGGCAAGGCAGCCGTTCCCTGCAGCTCCCACTCCACGCAAGCCCGCGACATCGGCTCTTACGATGTCTATGCGCAACTCTCCTGATCGTGCCCTCCTTGCCCAAGGCGAGAACAGATCGTCTTCTGTCGCGGTATCTACAGGGTCTAATAGCCCCTTGGAATGCCCGACTCCTCGATCCCACAGAAGTGCCGCTGGCCTGTTGGGCACCTCGCAGCCAACTCGACGAGGTCTTTCGCTGGCCGATATCGACGCGGGTGACAGTAGCGATAGCAGCATGCCGTCATCGTCTGCTTTCGCCAGCGCAATGCGAACGGATTCGCCTTCCTCTGAGAGGAGCTTTGACCGTAAACGTAGAAGCCTGGTGCTTCCGGGCCTGTCGAGTTCACCCCGTCGACAGCACTCTCCTGCTCGTGTCTCGGGCCCCCATTCCCCACTGCGAATGCCGAAGCCTCGACTTTCTCATGGCGCGGACAGTCTTCCCTCGCCTATCGTGTCTCCTTCTACGTATGCAAGTGAATTGGCACATCATCATCGTCACCACCGCCGCCAATCTTCGGCAACCTCGTCAGACGTGGCAAAACCTCCTCCGTCACCACGTCTGCCGTCTGTTAGCCAGCAACCTCGTCCTGCGCCGCCGTCCATCAAGGATTTTGAGATTATCAAACCTATTAGCAAAGGCGCCTTTGGCAGTGTGTATCTGTCCAAGAAGAAGTCAACCGGCGAATACTACGCTATCAAGGTGCTGAAGAAAGCAGACATGATTGCCAAAAATCAGGTCACCAATGTAAAAGCCGAGCGAGCGATCATGATGTGGCAGGGTGAAAGCGACTTTGTCGCCAAGCTCTACTGGACGTTTTCAAGCAAAGAATATCTCTATCTGGTTATGGAGTATTTGAATGGAGGTGATTGTGCTTCACTTGTCAAGATCTTGGGTGGTCTTCCCGAAGATTGGGCCAAAAAGTACATCGCGGAGGTGGTCCTCGGAGTCGAGCACTTGCACAACCGTGGGATTGTCCATCGCGATCTCAAACCGGATAACCTTCTGATTGACCAGACTGGGCACTTGAAACTCACAGACTTTGGTCTTTCCCGCATGGGCCTTGTTGGTCGTCAGAAGCGTGTCCTGAAGAGCCCCAATGAGCCTGCTCCTGATCTCCTCAAGCAAGGGCCTTTCACTCGGGCTATTTCCATTGCCTCGTCTCGATCGGCGTCGTTTGACTTCCAGGCCGCATCCTCGCCTGGTTCCACGCCGTTGATCACTCCAGATATGGCGGCGAATGTGCAGCCGTCTTACTTCAGTCTGAATCAGAGTGGCCTCAGCATGCAAAGCTCTCGCCGAGCGTCGGGCTGTCGCAGTGATAGTGCCGGTAGCGACAGCTTGAATGGTATGTTCCGAACCTTCTCTCTCAATGATGCTGGGAATGAACACAATGTGGTGTCCCCCAACGTGTGCTCCTCAAGTCTGGCAGAAGAGGAGGAGACGCAGAGCGACGCAGGCGAGTCTCCTCACCTTTATCCGCTCCAGCCAACATTCAGCAATCCTATGATGCACAACACGCCACCGCAGCAGAGTATGCTTCCGCCTGTCATGGCTCTGTTTGATCCTGAAGACCATGACCGCCGCTTTGTCGGCACCCCCGACTATCTGGCTCCCGAAACAATCAATGGCATTGGACAAGACGAAATCAGTGATTGGTGGTCTCTGGGCTGCATCATGTTCGAGTTCATTTTTGGATACCCGCCTTTCAATGCCCCAACTCCTGATCAAGTGTTTGAGAACATTCTTCAGAGAAACATCAACTGGCCTGATGACCCAGAGGAGTACACCACTCCCGAGGCGCTAGACCTAATGAACAAGCTGATGACCTTGAACCCACGTGAGCGCATTGGCGCTAATGTAGATGAAAAGTACCCCAATGGCGGTGCTGAGATCCGGCATCATCCCTGGTTCGCCGATATCAACTGGGATACCCTGTTAGAGGATAAAGCACAGTTCGTGCCCAACCTTGAGAACCCAGAGGATACAGAGTACTTTGATGCTCGAGGTGCAACGCTGCAAACCTTCGCAGAAGAAATGGAAGATGAGCCTTCGCCCCAGGGTCCAGCAACCACTGGATCCTATCCCGACCGACCCCATGACGCGCTGTTCAAAGTGCGTTCCCAGGTTAATTCCATGAAACGCCCGTTGATGCCTTTGCACATTCCCCCTCATGTACGCGATGCCCGGGATTCACGGAGCCGGAGGTTGAGCGAGCCTGCTCTGGCCGATGACTTTGGCAGCTTCAACTTTAAGAACCTTCCCATGCTCGAGAAAGCGAATAAAGATGTGATCCAAAAGATGCGACAGGAGGCCATGCAGGCGCAGCACCGTCAATCTACTTCGTCGTCATCGGTTGCTCAAACATCCTCGACGGCTTCGCAGCCTTCTTTGGAAGGTAGCCCGCTTCCAATGTCGTTGCAACGCACACTGTCCCAAACCAAGGGTAATAATCGACCCTCGTCGCCTTCCGGTCTCAGCCAGGCCAATTCATCGCCCAGCCGACCTTCCCAGCCATCGTCTCCGCTACTGGTTCAGTTTAGCACTGGCAGCAATCATGAAAGACGCAAGACTTCCGGATCTTCTTCGACTGCCTCACACCAGTCAAGCGGCACTTTCCAGTCCTCATCTGTGGACCAACCGCGAATGCCAAATCTTCGGCTTGGCTCGGTTGCATCGTCTCCTGTTAAGGCTAACCGAATCCCTGCACATTCGCCTGACAAGCACCCCTCAAGTCAACGGCATGGAAGTGCGCCTGCGAGTCGTGCTCGATCACAGACTATCGGATCGCAAGATGGAGTTGATTTCCCTGGCCTAAACAAGGAGCCCTTTGTTTCATCCCACCATAAGCGACGAAGTCAGCTTTTCGACATTTCACCTTCGTCGTCTGACAACGAAGATCCTCGGACCAAGGCCTTGCTCAAAGTCCAGCGTCGCCGCCAAAGCTCTCGTCGCCTGTCGCAATTCAATATTCAGGATGGCCCATTCTTCCGCCCGCTGGATATTCTTATCTGCGAAGACCACCCTGTGTCGCGTCTCGTCATGGAGCGCTTGTTCGAAAAGCTTCGTTGCCGAACTATCACGGTTACAAATGGCGCTGAAGCTATGCGATATGCACTGAGTGAAGTGCAGTTTGACATTATCATGACGGAGTTTAAGCTCCCGCAAGTCAATGGTGCCGATTTTGCGCGAATGGTGCGGGAGACTCGTAGCGCCAACAGACATACCCCAATCGTCGCGGTGACTGGTTACTTGAAGGATCTCCCCGAGACCCATTACTTTGATGCTCTCATTGAGAAGCCTCCCACACTTTCCAAGCTGACCGAAGCCCTCTGCAAATGGTGCATGTGGAAGCCACCACCAAAAGATTACAATCCTTCCACCCAAGCGCTTGCCGTGTCAATGCCAACTGGTCGCACGAACCCAATGTCAAATGATGATAGCCCTAGCTCGGCATCGTCTGGGTTCGTGCCACACCCTCCCAGCTCGTACAGAGGTTCTAGCCGCGATGATTCGGTGAGCAGCAGTGTTTTTGGCGACATGGAGTCTATCAAACAGGATGAAGTACCTGTGATCATCAGCCGGAACCATGATGACTGGGATCAGGGTCAAGGTGGACTTGGTATCTCCGAGGACGCTCATCCCGGCAGTCCCGATCCCAAGGCTGTCCCAGTCCCGCATCTACTCCATGCCGCCTCTGCCCCCGCCGCCATGGATGCCGGTGGTGCGTTGACGCCTCGGAAACAACGCTCTAGTGAAGCCATCCGCGCCAAACGAGAGTCCCTGGAGAAGAAGCGATATGAATGTGCCGAATCTGGTGATGACGAGGACGAAGAGCTTGGTCATTCGCAGTCTCGTCGCAGCCCACCGACTCGCAACCGCCGTCCTGGTTCCAAACTTGGTATCGAGATGATGCGTACGAATAGCCGCGGCAGCGTCGTCAGCGGAAGTGAAGAGCTTCTTAAGAAGGAGCGCGAAGCACTACGCAAGGCGGGCGAATCTGATACTGACGACGGCCCTCTGGGGTCCCCGGCGAGCACGAGTCTTGAAGAGCTGTTTGAGGGTATGAGCATTCCTGAGGAATCTGAATACGATGAGCCTCTTAGTCCTCGAGACTCGCCTCCTCAGCAGCAAGTGTCGCCTTCTCGCCGCCGCCCTTCTCTCACTCATCAGGATACCTCCATCTACTCTGGGCCGACGTCTCATCCGGTTGTTTCCAAGACTAGCTCGGAAGGGTTGAAGCAAGGTCAAACCACTCCGCCAGGGGATCTTGCCAAAGGTACCAATGCCGGTCTGGGCGTTACTCCCATTACCCCGGAGGTCAAGATCTTTGACAACGCATCGAACACAGAGGGTGGTTCAGGTGGTGATACCGATACTAGTCCCACGCCGGACGCCGAAGCTACGCCCCGTCCTTTGCACCCGTCTCCGAGCTTGGACGCCGAGGAGACTCCTCGCGCACTGGACCGGTACCGATCAAACATATCCTCCGCCTTCAAACGGTAGTTGGGAAGTCCTCTATCAGATTTACGACCTCACTTTTCTATTTCTACCCACGTTGCTTGCATCTCTCCATCTCCCCCACCTTTTACATTCGTGTAAACTCCTTTTTTTCTCATTTATTTTCCCCCGTTATGTCCAGTGGACCTGGCGAACCAAAGCAAAGTCGCACTTATCACGTCTCTTATGTCAATGTTGTTATTCCATCTGTTTGTTGGAGCAAGGTGTTCCGGATCAATGTCTATTGTCTTTGCCCTCACTTATCTCGATTTCCTTTTTACCTTTTATCATGTTGACTTCTCGCACAAGCCATGGCAGGGCGGAGTCATGGACAATTTCTCGAAAAAGGTCTAGTCCAGCGCGAAGACCCCTCCCATCCCCCCCCCCCAAATCCTCGGGTCTAGCCTGGACTGACATTTTCACTCCGCCTTGCTCTAGCTCTTGCTGTCTTGATTTTGCAGATTCATACTTGGCAATCCCTGCATTCCTGTCCGCTTATGTTCATGCATATCAGTGTCTCTGTTAGGTGTGCGAGTTGGCAAAAGTAGGAGCTCGGTTGCGGTTTTGACTGAATGGGCATGGCATGGCCGGCGCTCTGCAATGTTGTGTTCGTTGTATACTGGGTATAGTAGAAGATTGCATAGCGCGGTTTTGCAGGTTGTTCACGCAAAATTGAATTTACTTCTGCTGCTTCACTTTGTTTGAAGTTTGGATTTACAGTGCCCGGCCCGCAGCGTAATTGTTGGTTCAAGTGGAGATCCCGCCGCTAGCGAACTGTACCAGCCTAAAACGTCTAAAAGTCTAGCAATTGGCATTTTCGGATTTTTGATTACCTCTATTTGACGGAACAGCTAAGGTCTAACACGGTTAGTATAGACGACCCACTAGAACAATTATGCTGTGGGCAGTGCGGCACTGTAGGTTCATTGAAGAGTGTGGGGCTGGGTCTGGTGCTATCTTGGTACAGTAAGTAGGAGTTACACATGAAATGTAGGAAACTACTAAACTACTGCCGGTGAATTACTTGGCCTAAATCTGAGAGATGGTGAGGTTGAACTAGGCACGGGTCCTCTGGACCTGTAATTATATCGGACAGATACTTTGATTCTAGGAAATCTACGGAGTACATTTTGAAACTAGGCCATTTACTCTTTCAAGAAACCCGACAGGTACTTTTTCAACATCACGGCAAGTGCTGCCCGGTCTATTCAAACCACCGTCCACCTTAAGATGTCGACACTACACTCAGCCTATAATAGCACCTATTCCAAAGAAGGAAGACGACGTTCAGGAGATCGAGGAGGTGCCTATCGGAAAGGAATCTAGTTCATTAGCCGAAAACACCGGCACCAGCAGTACAGTCCGCCAGCACTCCATCCTTCGCAAGAGCATAAATACTGCTGCTACCCGCGCCCGTGGCCAGTTCACGCCACGAAAGCATATCGACTTCTCTCTCGGTATATCCGACATGTCCTCTAACGATATCATAGGCGACGTGTTTAAAGATCGTGATGTGCGCGTCGATGATGTCGTCCGCACCACAAATTGTAAGACTCAGGAACGCCGTATCCAAGAGGCCATGGAAAAAGAGCAGGGAGAGCGCTGTAGCCACGGTCTTTCATCACGCATGTCCTCGCGCCACCGCCGTCCTACATATTTGAGTTCCCCGTCACGCAGTCGCCCTTCAACCGAGGCTCCTAGCTTCACGAACCGCAATTCGTCGACTCGGAATCGCTTCTTCCGCCGCCGCCCCAGTGTCACCCATGACCGAGACGATTTGATGGAACAGGGACGTGTAGATTCACTTCTCCCAGCAGCCGTCGTGCAAGCTATGCAGGAGCAGCAGCAGCAACAATAACAACAACACGACCGACCGTATTAAAAGGTTCCAGAGCAAGCGGTTACGTCACGGTCGAATTTCTTGAACATATTTTCCAGCTATACTTTCCTTCTACTATACCTACCTCGGGATTGTTCTTATCCTTTTCCTTAGATACATACAAAGCTCCCGTATCATGCGTTCACGGACGTCTATAGTTTATAAGCATTTTGGCTTGGTTCGGCTTTGCATTTTTGTCACATATATCCCCATATTGGCCGTTTACATTCATTTTCTTGGAAATTCATTTTGCAGATTTAATCCTTGACCTAGTTCCTTTACGGTTTCCAACCGCATGGTTATTCTAGCATCCCGAGTGACTTTCACTGGCTCGAATCAGCTGTCTTCTTGTAGCTCCAGAAAGCCTGGGTGTCCACGCCGACATTCAAAACGTCCAAATTCCCAGCTACCATGATTCATAACTTGAATACACAACTCTGTACAATTTATTCCATTCACTCAATCCTCATCATTCAAACAACAAACGGCAATCCAATAGCCCAAGCAAATCCCCACGCCACCCACGAGTCCCAATCCATCGAAAGCGAACCGGCCGCCCCCGAACTCGTCGACGCCGCCGCCCCAGCAGAGGAAGACGAAGAAGGCGAACCAGTCGACATAACCTGCGAAGTCATCGACGGCGAGGATGAATGCATCTCAGTCATAGACGTAGATTTTGTTTCGCCGGTGCTGGATGTCGCACCGCCCGTCGCAGCACTAGTCGTCTTCGCTTCGCCTGTGCTGGTAGCATCTGTGGTCGCAGACATGCCAGTCGTCTTGATCGGGCCGCCGGGGTTATCGGATGTGATTATTGGGAGAGGGTTGCCAGTCAATCGGGCCGTGTCTAGGACACATGTCCCGTCTTTGCAAGTGTAGCCGGCTTGACAGGTACCGCAGGATGCGTCGGTGGTAGTACTCGCGCCGATTAACTGGCTACCCAGCATGAGGAGAGCGATAGTCCATGGAGCATGCATGATTGTGGTAGTAGTTTAGTAGTGGTATATTGTGGTAGAGGAAATAGTCGAGTTAAGTCGAGATTTAACGAGAACTCGTCAACGTATGAGAGCAATCTGGGCAGCGAAGCTACTTAATATACCCAACCTGCAACTTCCAAACCCTAAATCCCCTGAACTCGTCAGCAAGAAAATATGGCAATAGCGCTGGAGATCTATACGACCCTGCGGATCCACGCACCAGTCGTGCCGCGGGAAGGTGTTAGATCGCCGCCTCTCTCCCCGCATTTGTTCCCTGGTTTGTTTCCAATTGAGATCGCGGGGCCAATGATGTTGAATAATTGTGAATTCGATGTCCACACTACGTCGTGATCGACTCTGGGTGCACCGGTCGTCCGATGCGAGGTCCGGTTGTTGCTAAGCATTCACAAGCATTTTGAGTGGGGATGTGCGGATTTGGTGGTCTAGTTAGGCTGCATCAGGTTAATAGAGTGATTGATTGATTGATTGATTGATTGATTGATTGATTGAGGAATTGGTGGTTGGGGGTTTACGGGCTTGGCTTGCTTTGCCGTTTGGAGGATTTGGGCAGGTGAGACGCGGGATTGAGACGGTTTCTTGTTTTGTGATGTAATTCGGTCGTGAGTTTATTTCCTGTTGAATATGTACTTCTTTATACACGTCCCTGGATGTGTTGCTATCGTCTGTGCGAGGGATATGCAGAGGTCGCCTGCTTTTCCCTTCCTCAATGAGTCTAGTGGCAGTTAGTCGCAGAAGTGTAGGTACAAGAGGAGGGTGAGGTCTATATTCCTCTCGGTTAAAATTCGTTTGCTTCGGCGACTACTTGCAACAATAGTTGCGCAATGGGTATTCTCGAAAATGGTCTTTGACATACAATTAGCTCTGGCCGCTGAGTGGGATTGAAATCGAATTTTAACGCGAAAGCATTCTAGTTCCATTCCAGGCCCAGACTTCTTATCCCATATCTTTTGTACGCAAGATATACTTTTTTGATGCGTTTAGGTAAATATCTGACACCAAGGGCTTTTTCTCACGCTCAATTCTTCCTTCTGACTCTATTTTAATGCCTAATGGCTTGGATGATCAAGATTTCAAACCCACCGCAAGACCTCTGCCAAGACTCTAGAATTCAGGCGTCAACATTCTGTATACCTGCTTTTCTCAACGAAGATACGAGAAGAAGCTATGACTCCCATATTTGAGCCTCACGATCAGGCAGCTGAATAGATACCTACTCAACCTAAAGAAAGTGATGACGCTATCTCAACAATCCACCTCTATTGGCCATCTCCGACAAGGGTCGCAGGCATGCTCCCCGCTCCAGGGTTACTTGCGGTATAGAACCAATCCGCGCTCCGCCCCAGAATGCGATAAGCCACCCCGCGCAGTGAAGCTAATCCCACGAGGGATGCCCAGCCCGGGGACCCGTCGGAGCAAAGCTAACCTCTGTGTTGGCCAGCCTTGCGAAGGACGCCCTTTTGAAGCTGCTTTGCGACCGAGATTTCTCGCTTTCTGAACATTCACTCACCATTTCGCAGCCATGTCATGTCCAGCGGGTAGCGACAATGTTTTCGGACCGCGAGTACTTGAAGAGTGTCGCCCATTTGATTTCACCCTGCTTTTTGAAGATGCCATCTTCGCTGTTCTACCAGCAGGCACATTTTTGCTGCTGGCGGCTTGCCGTCTCCCATCACTGATTCGCGCGCCGATCAAAGTCACATCGCACCGGCTTGCGACGTGGAAACTGGTAGGTGACGCCCCGATCGTGAAACATACGTTGTGATCCCCGTAAAGTTAATCCGAACTAACTAGGGAACTCTCGCCGTGTTGTTGATATTCCACGTACTACACTTAGCTTTCCAGCAAGAAATCTCGTTTTTACACACCGATGCATCGCTGGCAGCGAGTGTTCTACAGCTGCTTGCCGTGGCTGCAGCTGCGTTGCTTTCATGGCTAGAAGATCAGCGCTCTGTCCGTCCATCGGATATTATGGTACTTTACTTCTTTATCGCCACCGTTCTCGCCATCCCTCGAGCACGTACCCTATGGCTGCTTTCGCCAGTTGTCCAATTACAGGCAATTTTGTGGACATTAGTTACCATCGCCACGGCATGCGTGCTGTGCCTAGAGTCAATCCATAAAACCCAACTTTTACGCTTGGCGTATCGACAGTCAAGCAAAGAGTATACTTCCAGCTTCTGGGTTCGTAGCTTTTTCATCTGGGTTCTTCCACTATTCCAGAGTGGTTTCTCCTCTATCCTCGCCCTTCATGACATGCCGGAAGTGGACCGTTCTTTACAAGGCGGGCCAGCAGAGGCCCGACTTCACAAAGCCTGGTCGAAGAGTAAGTGGTCATGGGTATATATTGATAAGATATTCGCTCAATAAGTCTTTTCCAGGTCAAAATACACAGAAATACAAACTGGTCCGAGTAACATTTCGTGCATATATGTGGCCATTCGTCAGTGCAGTTGTGCCTCGACTATGTCTGACGGTATTCAAGTTCTGCCAGCCTTTTCTTATTTCTGCGACCTTAGAATTCATCAGCGATTCGTCGACATCGGAAAACCGATACTACGGACCCGCTCTGGTGGGCGCGTTTGTATTGACGTATCTAGGGATGGCCGTACGTTGACATGCTCGCAACTGGTGTGACTTGACAGGACTGAACTTCTCGTCTAGATATCTACCGCTGCATATTGGCGCCAGACATTCCGCTTCAACACGACTATTCGAGCAGGCCTCATTTCGTTGATCTACAGACAGACAAGCAAGATGCACGCTGGCGAATTTAAATCGGAATCTTCCATCACTCTCATGGGAACAGATGTGGAGCGCATCGTAAGGCACTTCTGGAGTATCCATGAGGCGTGGGCGGGTCCAGTCGATGTGTCTATAGGTGTCTTCCTTCTGGCTCGCCAGTTGGGTGTTGCTTCCGTGATCCCTGCAGCCATTTCACTCAGTACGGCTTCACACCAAAAATCTTTGAATAAACGCTGATAATCTATTAGTTGTCGTTCTTGCGACCATCCCGGTTTCAAAAAGGTCTGGCACGGCTCAGAAACGGTGGATTGAACGAGTCCAGGCTCGCTTGAGTACCACCTCCAGCATGTTGAACGATATGAAATCTGTCAAGATGTTAGGCCTGGGCGAAAAGCTGTATGCTTGTGTTTCCAACCTACGTCAGGTGGAATTGCAAGTATCACAGAAATTCCGTGTCTTGCTGATCTGGCAGGTAGTTTTGTGTAGGTCTTCCTACCCATTCACGGAGACAAGCTACTGACCGAGAGCTTGAAACAGCCAATATGCCCGTAACATTTGCACCCTTTGCCACATTTGCCATATATGCGATCATCCAGGTCGTCAAGGGAGGCCAGTCCCTTCTGGCAAACCGAATGTTCACTTCACTATCGTTGATCTCACTGATGACGGACCCACTGCTCATTTTCATTCAGACACTTCCATCATTATGGGAGTCCGTGTCTTGTTTTAGTCGTATCGAGCAGTACTGCACCAAGGCACCAATGGAAATATCACCTGATGCTGCGAATACTAGCGACGAGATGGAGCTCTCCGCCCACCCGTCCTCTGGTACATCCTCGACATCTGTGATCGAGTTCCATAATGCCAGCTTTTCATGGACTCAAACTGGACAACATGCTCTTCATGGTATTAATTTTGCTGTTCAAAAGGGGCAAATCACTGCTGTAATTGGGTCAGTCGGGAGCGGCAAGACTACGCTCCTGGAAAGTTCACTGGGCGAAACAACACTAAGAGACGGGTCAATGTCACCATTCTCAACAAGCGTCGCGTATTGCCCACAAACACCATGGATTATGAATGATACGATTCGTCAAAACATTGTCGGACCGGCGAATTATGACCCAAAATGGTACAGCTTTGTGATCTGGGCTTGTGTCTTGGAGACCGACTTTGAAAACATTGCTGGAGGCGATTTGTCCAAGGCTGGAAGTTCAGGCATAACATTGAGTGGTGGTCAGAAACAAAGAATTGTAGGTCACTCACCAGCAGGTTATCCTGATCAACGTTTCTTGCGATATAGCTGACGTCTCCCAGTCATTGGCTCGAGCTGTGTATTCCCGAGCTCCGACATTGGTTCTTGATGATGTATTCAGTGGCCTCGACAACAAGTCTGTCGTTGCAATCATAACCCGTCTGATGGCATCAGATGGCCACTTCCGAAAATCTGGCAGAACAGTCATGCTCGCAACGCACAATCATCGCCTGTTACCACACGTTGACAAAATTGTGGTTCTTGATAATGGTACGCTACGTAAGATTGGATCTTACGAGGAAGTGCAGCCCGATTTGCCACAGGACCATCACAACGATGACAGCGACGATTCTTCCAGCCAGGAAATTACAGAGGTTTCAAAGCAAATGCCCTGGAGCCATCTTGATAGGGTACTGAGTCAGGTAGAAGAAGAATCAGTTGAGATCAATAACGCGCGCCGTGACGGAAAATGGTCCGTCTATTCTTATTATTTCAAATCTGCCGGATGGACCATCATGATTATGTTAGTTGCAGCTATCTGTATCTGCGGATTCACGGATAGGTTTTCGAGTGAGTGAACGAGTACTTCTTTCTTCTGGCCGAGTGACTTTCTAACCTCTGAACAGCCATTTGGTTGCAACAGTGGTCCAATGCGAACGAGAGAAAATCCCAACCAACGTCCGGATAGGTATATCGGGATATATGCCTTGCTCATTGGGATTTCAATCTGTGGTCTTGTCTTTTCATGCTGGTCGGTGATTCCTACCCTAAATGTTTCGCCAGTGACTGATCGAGTCTCAACTTCTTTAGGGCCCTTTTCGTTCCTATCATCAGTAACACGGGCCGTAATATGCACTCTCACTTGCTAAAGGCCACTCTGAGGTACGAGCTTACGTTTTCCTCTAAAATATGATTGCTAAAAATAACAACTGACATTGTGATACCATCTAGTGCACCATTTAGCTTCTTCCAGAAGACTGACGCAGGTCTAACAACTAATAGGTGAGACTATCAGTTAAGACTTCGAGGAAAAGTGCAACTGATGTTTCCATAGATTCAGCCAAGACTTGGAGCTCGTCGACATGGACCTTCCTATCCAGGCAATCAATACCAACATGTGTAAGTGCACTGCCAAATCTATGCTTGACAAGAATGGGCTTGTCTAACATTGCTTTCAAGCATTTGCAAACTGTGTGGTCCAACTCATTTTACTATGCATTTTGGGTAAATACCTCACGATCACGGTTCCCGCCCTCGGTGTTATACTCTTCTTCGTGCAAAGTTACTACTTGCGGACCTCTCGTCAAGTACGTCTGCTCGATATCGAAGCAAAGTCTCCATTATTCACCCACTTCGTGGAAACCATGCAAGGCATCAATGTCATTCGAGCTATGCGATGGCAGACACCATTCCAAAATCATCTCCAAGAGCTGTTGAACCAATCGCAAAAGCCATTCTACATGCTATTCTGCATCCGGCAATGGCTGCAATTAGTCTTGGACTGTATCGTAATGGCACTCGCCGTTGTTCTCGTCTCGCTGGTGGTCTCTCTTAGGGGTCAATTCAGTGCAGGCTCGATTGGTGTTGCTCTCAACCTGATTCTCGTGTTCAATCAGGATCTTATGCAATTCATCAAGTCATGGACTGTTCTAGAGACTTCAATTGGAGCGGTCGCTCGTATTCAGGACTTTGTTGATAGTACCCCGTCAGAGGAACAACATCAGGGTGAATTGGCGGCTGTTCCACCCAACTGGCCCAACCGTGGACATTTGACCTTCGAACGTGTGACAGCTTCATATGGGTAGGCTATTGAAAGGAACAATTCTCCCCTCTTTAATATCAAACTAATTCCTTCGCATTCAGACCCGACTCTCCGCCAGTGTTGAACGAGATGTCGCTTACTATTGAGCCTGGTCAGAAAATTGCTGTCTGCGGTCCATCAGGCAGTGGCAAGACATCTCTCATTCTGGGACTGTTGCAAATGATTGAATTGCGAGATGGTAAGATTACCTTGGATGATATAGACCTCTCCACGCTGTCTTGCAGCACGGTACGCTCTCGAATCAACGTTGTACCCCAGGAACCTTTCTTCATGCCCGGAACATTGCGGTTCAATCTGGACCGACAACTCGAAGATAACCCCGTTCCTGACTCGACCCTTATTCGGGCACTCGAAGCAGTCGGACTCTGGAAGAAAGTGCGCGAAGACTGTGCTGGTGGTGGGGAGTTAGACCAGCCCCTGTCGATTTCGAATTGGTCAATGGGAGAACGACAGTTGCTCGCTCTTGCCAGAGCGTTGGTTATGAAGAGTTCAATTTTGGTTTTGGATGAAGCTATGAGCAGGTAATTCTTCCCATTTCGTACCTATATTTCGTTCGATTGTGCTAACGCGATCATGTTCTTGCTTTAGCGTGGACTGGGAGACCGAAGCCACAATGCAAGATATCATTGAGCGAGAATTTAGTTCCCATACAGTCATTTCTGTTATTCATCGGCTTCGCTATGTTGATCGCTATGATCGAGTTGCGCTCATGAAACGCGGCCGGCTAGTGGAATATGCTAGACCCGATGAGCTCCTAGCAGCGCCGTCCGAATTTGCGACTTTCTACCATGCGAAGAATGGCTCCCAGTGAAATTACAAGTTTTTAAACAGGCTTGGAACAAAACTTAGATTTACCTGAAAAATTACATCCATTTTGGTACAATATTTCACTTCTGGCCAAAAATGTCGCTCGCAGTTGATTGCGGCCACTCACTATAAACCCTTTACTCAAGGCAGAAAGTCTAGCATAATCCTGAATTTGACCAAGTCCAATAACTCTATCAGAATCTCAAATGTCCTGATTTCTGTTAAGTCACTTGCTAGGGCATGTATTTCGCCTATACAAGCTTATCCTACATCCCGAATTAGTTAGAATTGCTATTTACGAAGGGATCATAAAAGAAATTACATATTTATTAACTAAAATCCAGACCGTAGGAGACCCTCTACTCGATAGTCATCTCTTAAGATAATTAAACATAAGGTCATCTACAAGGAATAAAACAACGAGAGGAGAAAGAGGACTGAAAAGAGGACTGAAAAGAGGACTGAAAAGAGGACTGAAAAGAGGACTGAAAAGAGGACTGAAAAGAGGACTGAAAAGAGGACTGAAAAGAGGACTGAAAAGAGGACTGAAAAGAGGACTCGAAAGATGGCCAGCAACAAGAGAGACTATGGGCGAGATTTTTTGATTATTACGGTCATTACAAATCAGCCTGAATGGCCTAATTAGGATGCGTATAGGCGGATCTGTCGCAGTGTCAGGACGGTCAATAGAGTGGTCAAATAAGCAATAAAGGGTTTCTGGTGGCCGCAATCAGCCGCCAAAGTGGTGGTACTATACATCCTCTCAGCAATACTCCAGGTCGATTCCGGATGAATATAAACATTATCAACAAAGTACTTATAGTTCCAATAATCTGCCTGCGTGCCTTGGCCATCTACCGTAGCATTTTCCGAGAATTTCCACGTCCAGTAAGAACCACCGTGTGAGTACTTGTGGAATGCTGCAAGACCCACATTGAGGTTGCGCTCCCGTAGCGCGAAAGTGTTATTATAGACAGTTTGGATTGACCATTCGCCAACAAATGTGGGGAACTTTCCGTCTCCAGGAGTTGCCTTGGCATCAGAACAGATATATGACGGCACATTAGCAGAGGTAGTAGTGCGGCCCGCAAAGTAGTAGTTGTGCACATCAAAGACTAGGTTTGCGTTGCTGGAGAAATTGGCAGACCAGTAACTCTCACCCCTAAAGCTGCCCTGAAACATGACGGGGATCTTCTTATTCACTCTCCCAACGTGATCCAGCACGGCGTGAATGTACTTGAGAACCCAGGCTACGCCAGAGTCAGAGAGAGCAGCTGGAGTGCCGAAGGTGGAGAGATCTTCGTTATCAGCGGGCTCATTCATAGGCTCGAAGGTAAAAGACTCGGGGTAGCCAGATTCTTGAATAAAGGAGATAGCCGCATCGACGACTTGAATAGAGTAGTCAAAGTTGGTCTCATTATAGAACCAGTTCCAATGACCATCGGCCTCTCCAATGGTCAGACCATTAATACCACCAGGTAGGCCATGGATATCGAGGATAATGTGCATGTCGTACTTCTCAATTGCATAGGTAGCAATCTGTTTGAGATATGCCTTCTGGTTGCCAGAATAAAGTTGCGAGCCAGGGTACTTGATCCAAGCAGCGTATGTTGTCGGAATACGCAGCAGAGTCACACCAGCTCTGTCTGCATCATCAACGTCGGATGTTGTAATCCAGGTTGCGTAACGCATCTCCAGCACCGAGCCACACTGTGAGCCAAGATTCTCGTAGAGACCCCACTCATCTGCAGCTCCTCCAGAGTAGGTATCCCACCAGACGGTGTCGATAGTTGACTCCTGGACAAGCCAGCCACCAAGATTAACACCGTACGCCTTAAACGTCTTCCAGTCAACGTACTTGGTGTTCTGCGAGAGGCGTCCTGGGGCGCTCAAGGCCCCTTCAATGCCAATACAAGAGATGAAAAAGGCAGATCTCCAACGCATTATAGCTGGATTGAAGTTCCAGCAGTCAATAATACCACAGATATCCCCAGACTAAGGCAGGTGAAGCTGGAAACTGTTTATATCATATCGTATGCAATGGTATCAAGTCTACGCCTGTAGTCAATACAATAAACATCGTGGGAGTCTATCCGAAAGTGGACAGCAGATGTGTTTGCTAGGTTTTACGTGTAGCCTTGGCTAGGAGAATCTCTATCTCAATTACACTTAGCAAGCCAACCATAGTAATTTGGAGAATCCTTGCGGCGCAACCAGGAAAAGCCTGCAAGTGTCTCGACTGTCATTTGTTGACAACGTTGGAATCTATCCTCCACGGCTCATTTCCCAGGATATGACCCCTCCGTTTACCGCTCCAAGTTAGGCACACTTGACGCAAATCGCCGTATGCAGGATGAGTGTGGGGAAATTGCGGGGATAATCATCGGAACGAGACAACGGCAGATGCACGAGGTCTCCCGCATGCCCGAACGTTCATCAACCCGGGGTATGCCGTGCACTGGGCCAATCGTATGAGGCTTTCTGCGTTATTTTATTCAAAGTTAGTCCAAAGCTACGCTAGCGGCGTTCTCAAGCGCCGATTCGTCAGTCGCCGCTTTCCCCGCTTGCCGCAACGTAGTCGGGAAAGCGAGGATTCGGGCGCAAATCGCCCGAGGACTCCACTCTACGGAGATGCCGAAGTCGCTCGAATCGTTTAGTCTTGAATCGGCTGGTTGGGAATTCGAGGCTTGATTCGGGGTCTTTTGTATTCACACCTCCGGCAGCTGAACTCTGTCTAATTACCCAGTTTGAGATCCGTGTCAAGGTTGATCCCTGTTCACGATGGAGTTTTTACGCTGTGGCATTCATGGGTTTCATGAGGTTCTCGGCATCGATACCGACGAGCTACGCTTCTACTGGGTGCTGGCAAGCAGTGTCAAGAGTGCTGTTCAAGTTGCCTATCGCATCGTGCTGGTAAAAGACTCTAAGCTCCTTGAAGTAGCTGAACCGGATGTATCGAGACTTGCATGGGACTCTGGGCGTGTGGAGGGCAATGAGCAACGCAACGTTTTATGCAAGCCCTCCAATGGCTTCAAGTCTACCTGCAGCTATTTTTGGCAAGTCAGAGTCTGGGATAATGAGCAACAAGTTCACTATGGCCCAATTCAGCATTTCTTCACGGGCTATCCTCGATCTCGTCTACTGCCTCCATACAGCATGAACCAAACATACATGCCACACTCCAGTCTCATCTTCCGTACATGGTTCGAAGATGAGGCTAACAGATGGAAGGCTATCTGGATTGGTGATGGAGGCGACAAACCCATCTATCTCCGCAAGTCGTTCCAGCTAGCAAAACAGCCAACCCGCGCTATCCTCTTTGCTTCTGGCTTGGGCCATTTCAATATGAGTGTCAATGGCCAGCCGGCATCCAATCATCGCTTAGATCCCGGTTGGACCAACTACCACCGAAGAATACAGTTTACATCTTATGATGTGACCTCTCATCTGAGCCCTGGCGAGAACGTGTTGGGTGCTCATGTGGGCAATGGATTCTATGCTGGTGACAAGGGCGACGATCGCTTCTTCTGGCCAATGTATGAAGACAATACCTACGTTCGATATGGCAATGAGCTCTGCTTCTTTTGCGAGTTGCATCTCTTCTACGATGATGGGAGTCACGATACACTCATCTCTGATCCAACTTGGCGGGTACGGAAAAGTGCAACCACACTTGCCAACATCTATGCCTCGGAAACTCACGATCGCCGACTCTATCCCACCAACTGGGATACATCCAAGTTTGATGACAGTGACTGGGTTCCAGCTAAGCCCTTAACTGGTCCCCGAGGCCATATCTTCTACCAGACACAGCCGCCAGTGGTATTGCATGAGACCTTCCAGCCTGTGAGGACCTACAGTCCTGAAGATGGGGTTGTTTGCTTTGATCTTGGTCAAAATGCATCCACCATGGTACAGCTGCAACTTGAGGGTGCCTCCGGCTCCGAGGTTATTGTTAGATACTCCGAAACTGTCAAGGAAGACGGCACCGTACTCATGCCCGACCCTCTGTTCAAGGAATTCGAGACAGGTGTTTTCTCCAGAATATATCTCGCTGGTACTGGAAACCCTGAAATGTGGGAACCAGACTTCAGTTTTACTAGCGCTCGGTATATCCAGATTGAAGGTGTTTCATTGACTGCAGGAGAAGGCCTACCTGTCGTTCACTCCGCTATTGGTCGGCATATCTCGTCTGCTGCTCGGCGACTCGGCACTATGAAGACAGACAAGGAAGATGTGAATTCCCTTCTCAATGCTCTCTATTGGACTTTCAACAGCAATCTTTTCAGTTACCACACCGATTGTCCACAAATTGAGAAATTCGGTTGGCTGGAGGTCACTCATCTTCTTGCACCTGCAACACAATACGTTCGCGACATGGAGTCTCTTTACACCAAGATCCTTGACGATATCCTTGACACCCAAGAGCCCAATGGCCTTGTACCCACTATGGCGCCCGAGATCCGCTACATGTGCGGCCCGCTTCATGATACAATCAGCTGGGGTTGTGCTCTCTGCTTCCTGCCCGACATGTTGCTTCGGTACTACGGCTCTACACACGTCATTGCCAAAGTATATCCAGCTGCAGTGTGCTACATGGAATACATGAAGACGAAAGAGCGCCGTGGTGGTCTGATCGAACATGGTCTAGGTGATTGGGGCCGCGACATTGCCTTTGGTAATCACCAGGTTAACATCGAGACTGCCATTTACTATCGATGCCTCCAATGCGTCGAGATGATGGCTCGGGAGCTCGGCAAGGTTAACGAGGCAGAGAAGTTCAATCAATGGGCATCTCGGATCTACAAGGTCTACAATCAGCACCTCCTCGTGACAGATGATCCATCTCGTCCATACGTTTATTATACTTCATTGGACAACTATCCCGAACGGGATCGCACCGCCATCGGCCAAGCCATGGCATTGCAGTTTGGTCTAGTACCTGCCGAACACCAGAAGGATGTCATGGCCGCCTTCGTGGACGATTGCTCCGATGGGAGGATCCGAGCCGGTGAGATTGGTCTGCGCTTCCTTTTCAAAACCCTGGCGGATGCTAAGCGCCCCGATCTTGTCCTTCAAATGGCCCGACAGGAGGAGCACCCTTCATACATGCGCTTCCTTCGCCGTGGGGAGACAACACTTCTAGAGTTCTTCCAGGATGAATGCCGCAGCAAATGTCACGACATGCTCGGTACCATCTATGAATGGTTCTACGCTGCCGTGTTAGGATTGAAGCCTGTGGAGAATGCCTATCGCACCTTTGAGATCGATCCTCCTTATGAAGCGGAGTTTGATTACGTCGAGGGCACAGTGGATAGTCCGTTTGGTTTGATTGAAGTGAAGTTCCAGCGCGATACTAAGAGGGTCGTGACCCTTGACATTCGTGTTCCTTTTGGAACTACCGCTACTGTAAAGATTCCGACGAATATACAAGAGGTGGAAATCACCCGTGAAGGAGGTGTGAAGACTATGAGGGATGGTGAGCATTTGCAAGTTCAACATGGCAGTTACAAGATTGTCATACAATCACCCTGATGAGTAGTACAGTAATTACCATAGTATCTGAGAATGTTTTCTAGATTCTATAGAATGGAGATTAAAAGTTTCCACAATAGTGCCGTTTTTGTACAATTCTCTAGTGCAAATCTCATCACATCTGCCTCGCGCAGATACTGCATATTGACGACCGTGTATAGATGCGACCTCGGCGGTTTACGCGTCGCAAGGGGCAAACCAAAACATCGTACCAACGGGTCTCGCTGTAATTGACTGCGATAGCACGATATTCTCTCCCCAACCTTTCATCTTTCGCCTCGCTTCGATAATCGCACCCGATGAGTAGGTACCTAGTGGGGACAGGGTGAGACCGGGGCCCCGTCCCGTTGATTGGCCAGTATTCGGTGGCTTAAAACGCAAGACCTAATTGACTAATCCCCACTCAACAGGGCCGGTGCCAGCGGTGCGAGCTCCTACATCGGGTCATTCGAAAACGCAGGAGGCAAAAGGTCGAGTTTGCAGTCGGGATTGATCTATACCGAGAAGTGGAGTAAGATTCGCCAAACCTTGTCAGGATTTAGCACCATGCCCTTGCGCCGGGATTTCCGTTCCTTGTCCGAGCCGCGTCAACCCAACTGAACGCTAAACGATTCGAAGATTGGGGAGGCGCAAAACTTTAGCTGTCTCGCTTCTATCAGCCCCGCTGTACAGTACTTTGGAGTGATCGCTCGTGTGGAGTATATAATGTGCCCCGTAGGGAGAGAGACTGAGTGAAATTTTTCATGCAACATCTGGTTCAGAATCAGTGACTCTAAGTCCTCTCAATATGAAGCTTACTACCTTGTTGTCGGCCGTCTTCTTGGCCATTGGAGGTACGACTTAGTTTTATGAGTATGATTATCCGTTTGCATTATTCTAATAGCTTATCGCTGCAGGTTTCCTGTTCGGCTACGATAGTGGTATCATTACCTCCACTATTGGCCAGCCCGAGTTCATCAAGTACTTCTCCAACCCCAACGACAACACAACTGGCGGCGTGGTCTCGGCATTCCAGGGTGGTGCAATCCTAGGAACAATCATTAATGTCTTCACTGGTGATCGTCTTGGCCGAAAGCTCTCCGTCTTTGCCGGAGCATGTATCTCGATCTTTGGGTGTGCTCTGCAGGCGGGTGCGATCAACATGGTGATGCTCATCATCGGTCGATTCATTGCCGGAGTCGCAGTTGGCATGCTCACATCTGTTGTCCCGATGTATGCTGGTGAGATGGCCGAGGCCTCGTCACGTGGTATGATGTCAGGCTTGTTGCAGTGGATGTTGAGTTGGGGATTTCTAGTAGCCCAGTGGTTGGGTTATGGATGTTCATTCATCAACACACCCTTCCAATGTAAGAAACCCCTTCTTTTTGATATGAAAAGAATCCTTCCTCATTGACGTTTTTATATTACAGGGCGTTTCCCTCTGGCGTTCCAGTGCATACCAGGTATCATCTTGGCTTCGGGTGTATGGTTCCTGAATGAGTCCCCTCGTTGGTTGATGGAGAAAGACCGTCACGACGAGGCCCTTGCTACTCTCCAGAGATTACATGGTGATGGAACCCCTGAGAAGGATCAGTACATTGAGCTCGAGTTCCAGGAAATCCGCGAAACCATCGAGGCAGAGCGTGCATCCACCAAAATCACTTGGTCCTCGATCCTGACCAAGCCTACCTGGCGCCGTCGTCTTATTCTGGGCTGTGGAGTTCAAGCATTTGGTCCTCTCTCAGGTATAAATGTCGTCAATTACTTTGGGACACGAATTTATGCATCGTTGGGGTTCGATACACACACTACCCTGATGATCATTGGCATCTCCGGTGCCCTGTCCATCGTGTACTGCACCGGCGGTCTGTGGGCACTGGAACGAGTCGGACGAATCAAGCCTCTCATCATTGGCTCTGCCGGAATGGGCCTTGCACTAGTTTGCAATGCTGCCATGTCCCAGCACTACAATGAGCACAATACCAACCAGCTCCGGGCCATGGTTGCAATGAACTTTGTCTTCAGCTTCTTCTACACCTTCATCGGTATCATCTCATGGGTTTATCCTGCCGAGATTTTCCCTGTGGATATTCGCAACCAGGGTAATTCCCTTACGACTTTCACCAATTGGACCATTAACTTGGTTTTCGCACAGTTCTCGCCCACTGCGCTGACCAACATTGGTTTCCGATACTTCTATGTCTTCTTCGTGTTTAACATCATTGCCATGTTTTGCTACTACTTCTTCTTCCCGGAGACTAAGGGCAAGACTCTTGAACAGATGGATTTGCTTTTCGGAGATAGCAATGTCCTTCCAAGTGCTGACGAGAAGCAGGAGACTACCCTTGTGGAGCATGTGCAGTAGGCTTGCAGAGAGAAGATTGAAGCCGTCATGTTTGAAGGATGACTATTTGATATGACTGGCTTATTGATGTCTTGGAGGCTGTGTGTTAGGCGAGTAATTGAGGGCAGATACAGCTCTAGTATATTAGTCTGCATGAATAGTTAATGAATAGTTTGCTCTATTTCCTGAATCACCGGTCTTGCAGAAGCCAGGAAAGAAAGGGATGGAGGAATCTCCATCCTCATTTTATACTATATTTACATATGCAATTAGCCATGAGCGCTTTATTTAGTTTTCTTGAATACCAGGACTTGGGGTAATTTTATTCACAGTCAAAGAATATGTCTTCTAATATGTCTTTCTTTGCGTCTTTCAACGAGTATTACCATGTATGTTTCTCGTCAATTGAAATTAGTAAGTTCAGCTTGGTCGTATTATTCTGTAGTGTTTGGTTCCTTCTTACCCTTCTTTGTCTTGCTTAAACCTAGACTATATTATAGTAGACTTTTTTATGTAAGGGGAGAGAAGGGGCAGTTTTTAGGGATGAGCCCTATGTTAATTAATATGGGTTATGGTAATTTGAGAGAGGAAAAATCAGAAGGTTTTATATACTAGGATCTGGAAGACATAAGTAAAGATTTCTAGCACCGCCGATAATGTATTACTATCGTGACATAAGCAAACTCCCAAAGGATGTTCAACTCCTTCCTATGAATTTATACAGCGCCCTCTTTGAGGTCGGTAATATCAGGAGACCAATTCTTGAACTTGCGACAAGGCAGATTGCTCTCAAACATCGTATCAATCTCCAAAGCGGTCCGGCCCTTCATGTCAGGAACAGCCAACCACGTCACTGCAAAGGCCAGCAGACACAGTCCACCATAGACAAATCCAGTCTTTCCCTTGAGGTCTCCTGCGTCCGTGTTGTAGATATAAGGCAGCACAAGGTTGAAGACAACGTTCGAAAGCATGTAGCATAAGACACCGATACCTTGAGTCTTAGCACGGAGACGCAAATTCGATGCTTCACCAGCCACTGCGAAAGAGGCTGGCCAGGCTCCCATTCCACAAACCACGACTACTGCCATCATACAAGCTGCGGTATACCTGAGAATCATTGGAGTTAGCGAGAGACAACACAATACGCGCAGGTTAGTACTCACCAGATAACGATGTTACCTGACCAACATCCAGCAACTCCCATACTTGTCCACAAGGCAGTTGTGACTCCCAGCGTGATAAGCATTAGGCGTCGTCTTCCAAAACGACTCATAAGCCAGACACCGACCCCATTCGCTAAGAGACCTAGCACAATACCCAAGATAAGGACAATGATACTAGTACTCGAAGACATTCCAACTACCTGCATAAAGTAGCTGGCGCTGGCTAGAAGGGGCACACCAAAGAGACTCGGAATCACAAGTGCAAAGGACACGATTGCCGTTCTGCGACGATTAATTCCCTTGAAGCAGTCGAGATATGACAGCTCACGGGACAGTTGCTGCTCATGGACAATTGAGACACGCATCTGAGCAAGAAGAGGCGTCACATCAACATGCGAGCCGTGCAAAGATTTCATGGAGTTATGGGCTTTCTCATACTCCCCCTTCCGGATCAAATAAGATGGACTCTCGGGAAGAATAATCGCGAGCACGAAAGGTAGGACAGTGAAAATCCACTGTGTACCAAACGGCAAGAGATACGCAGCGGCAGACTTCTTTTTTTCGCAAGCAAAAATAACAGCAGCTCCGATGAGCTCTCCCAACAACATAAAAGTTGGCGAAAGTGCCATGGCAGAGCCACGCAGACTCGTTGGGACCGTCTCCGAGAGGTACGTCTGCGCTCCAGCCATAGCGCCTCCAACACCCCATCCCTGAATGAATCTTCCAACAAGAAACGCACCCCGACGGGAGTTCATTGCGGTCGGCAGATTCGAGCAGAATGCAATGGCAATGCCCACTGCACAAATGACACAGCTCCAAGCCAGCGACCATCGACGACCCAGACGATCTTGCATCCAGCCTGCTGCTGCTGCGCCGACCATGGAGCCAATGGGCGCCATTGCACTCCATACGGATAGCCATGCTGAAGGGATGATATAGGCGCCGTGGTATAGCTCTCCGAATTCACGTTTGAAGTACGGGACGGCCGTGATGGTTCCGAGAATAACGGTGTCATACCCCGTTAGGAGGAATGCAAGGGCAAGACCGAAGGAGTAGGCCACGATCTTGGGGTATCGGCGAATTTCTTGGAACAAGGGGGCGTTTTCGGTCGAAGAATGTGTGTGGTCGTCGACAGGAGTGCTTTCGAGAGCCTGGACCCTGTCTTGATCTGTCCTTGAAGGCTCTGATACGTCCATCTTGGCCTTCAAGAGAATGATGGATGGAACGCTGGGATGGGAGGAATCAATTGCGGATTAGTTCGTGGTATAAGGCAGGTCTTTGTATTTATGTTCGCCTAGCAGGCTCTCTTATCAGAACGTCTGCGCCACGAAGACGAACCACATGGATTGGGGTATGGGGTAGGTCTGGTAAAGCCAATAAAAAAGTGTTATAGGGATTCTCTTCGCCATTTTATCCGATGCCTTGTCACGCGTCTCGACAATGTGCCTCAATTGTACTCGTGGAAAACGCGGGGTGGAAGCAAGAAGTATGAGTCGAGCTTCTCGAGTGGAGACTCGCCTGCTTTTGGTTGCCGAAAGGGCCAATCGCGGACAGACTGCCCCTGGTGGACTCGCAACAGAGCGGGCGTTGATTGGCCCGATCGGCAACGAGAACAATCTCCGCTGCTCGCCTGGAGTCGCAAAGGGCATCGAATGTTCTTTCGAGCGTTGCATTCTGCAAAAAAGTAGGCGAACTGGTTCTTGATAAGAAGAACTTGGTGATTCGTACGTGTCCACTTGTGGAGCCGAGGTCGAATCTTGCAAATAGCCTGGCAACACAAGGCCAAATTTAAATAATGAGGGGGAACCCCGGAGAACGTATATATTCCCAAAAAACTTACGTCTTTAGAACATCATTGTTCATATCACACGCACCAACCACAGCATAATGGATCTTTCCCGAGTCATCAAGCCCTGGAAATTGTCACCTCCGAAGACTCTGGTCTTCGTGAACGCGACTATCATCGATCCCGTCGAAGGGCAATTGATCCAAAATGCCACTGTCAGGATATCTGGAGGAAAGATCGTCCAAATCGACACAACTGGCTCCGAGACTGCAAAGGAGGGTGTAAATGACAGCGAAATCCTCGATCTTAGCGGAAAGTACCTGTGCCCAGGCCTGATTGATTGCCATGTACACATTGCGGTGACTCCAGGCGAAGCAGATCTGCGGGCATACAAGGATATGACCGAGCGAATCAGTCTTCTCCGACAGCCACATGTCCTCAAGACCATGCTAGAGCGCGGATTCACCTCCATCCGAGACTGCGGTGGCGCCAGTCTTGCCGTGAAAGAGGCCATTGAGGAAGGCGTTGTACCAGGTCCTCGACTATTCATCGCTGGCTTTGCGCTCTCCCAGACTGGTGGACATGGTGATATGCGCGGTCCACACGAAGGTCAGCTCTGCTGCGGTGGATCAATTTCTGGTATTAGCAGGATTGTCGACGGACCAGCCGAGTGCTACAAATTCGCACGCGACGAACTTCGACAGGGAGCAGACTTCATCAAGATCATGGGCGGAGGCGGCGTGGCCAGTCCTACCGACCGCATCGAACATGTGCAGTTCTCAGACGAGGAGATCAAGGCCATCGTCACCGTTGCGCAGAATGCGGGAACATATGTGACCAGCCACAGCTACACACCCCGAGCCATTCAGCAAGCCATCAAGCTAGGTGTCCGCGGCATCGAACACGGTAACCTGATCGACTTGGAGACAGCGCAGCTGATGGCCGAGAAGGGGGCATTCCTCACGCCTACTCTCATCGCCCACGTCATGTCCAAGCAGATGAACTTCCTACCACCAGATGGCGCAGCCAAAAACGACGAAGTTCTCGAGAAGGGACTGCGAGCGATGAAAATGGCTGTTGACACCGGTGTCACCGTCTGTTTCGGCACTGATCTCCTAGGCCCGATGCATTTCGCTCAAAGCAAGGAGTTTTCCGTCCGTAGCAAGGTTCTGACCCCAATTCAGATCCTGCAGAGTGCTACTATCAATGCTGCTCGTCTTCTCATGCAAGAAGACCGACTGGGTCAGATCCGGGAAGGCTTTGCGGCGGATCTGCTGATTCTGGATGCAAACCCATTGGAGGATATCACGGTTCTGGACCGGAGTGAGCAAAGTATTCTTGGTGTTGTGAAGGATGGGAGAGTTATGACGTCCCGATGGGAAAAGCTGAGCACAGACGCATGAGTGACTATGAAGTTTACGATGTGAAAGACCTTTAGTGGCAGTTCAGTAGTTTGAATCAAGTGACCGAGGAAAATGTCTAGCTCAATATGCTTCGACTTTTTCTTTTTCGAAAAAAATTCTTTCTGAATGCCTTTCGAAAAGTTTTGATTGCTCGAGCAATATCTCTTCCATATTTGGATTTTTGTGTACGATTTATCAAATGATCTTTAGATTGCTGCCATGGTTGGGGTTTCAAATTACGGAATTCCACAGTAGTCAGTGAGAAACGCCTTACAAATGGATAGCATCAATTGAGAAGGCATTGGAATTTTGATCAGCATAAGTACATTTATGTGCAAGATGAAAGGCCCATGATTGAGTATTCGATAGACAATCTGGGATGAAACTATTAATACAAGCTATGAGTTGAGACCACCGATCAAAGCGAGGACAGAGACCATGGGAGGTCGGATGGCGTCGTAATTACAAGATGGACCGTATAGACAAATACGTCATCCAAGGCATACAGCCTGGGTGTAAAATGCATCGCAGGAAAATGGCAAGGTTCCTCCTGATCAGGCTTACGCCTGACTTCCCTTGTTTATGAATGAGAGACGAGGCGAACAACATTTAGTGGCTCTTCAAGCCGTCGTCTTCAGAATCCAGGGAATGGCGGGAGCTCCGGGAGCTGCGGGAGCTGCCAGCCAGTGGCAGGCCTGAGTCACCAAACTCACGGTACGCACGTTCTCGAGCAGCGGACTTGTCTTGGCGAATAGTAAGACAGTTGATGCCGAGAAAGGTGGTGATGCGGTTGATGACGAGCACAGCCCAGTGCATGTACACCACCAAGGCAAAGAGGAAGTACAGACGGAGGTACCAGACCTCCAACGAGTGGCTGAGAGCTGGCAGGCCAATGCGGGGCAAATTGGCCAAGATAGCACCGAAGACAAGAGGGCCCTGCAGAACGGTCCAGTAGGGGAAAGGCTGACGTAACAGATGGGCCAGGATGATCATGGTAGTCATACGACCAAACACAAAAGAGATGGTCCAGCAGAACAGAACCAGGTGGTTCTCGGTCAAGAGACAAGAGTAGGGGGAGAAAAGCCAGGCGACAGTGCACAGGCTGAATGCGATCATAGGAACCCATTCCTTCAGGAGGGGAGTGAAGGGCAGACCCTGCTTCTTGCGTGCAGCATAGACGTTGAGGACACAGCCGGGGAGGTGAGCTAGGAAGAATCCGCCGAGAAGGATTGGTACCCAAAGGTCTTTGACGGAGTTGTTGCCGAACAGCTGAGGGATATTAATGAGATCAGTGATGGGGCGCGTCCAGATCTCGGGTCCCCAAATTCCAGAGGCAAGCATAATGCTAATCGCAATCAGAAGTCCTTCAGTCGGACCATTGAAGTAGCCCAGGTACAGAGTGTGGGTGTGGTAAGTCTCCCAGGTTGAGAAGTACATGGCGAGGCAGGGCACCAGCGCAGTGTATGCACCAAGATGGGAAGCGCCGAAGCCCATAGCTGCAGTCTCCAATAGACTGGCCAAGGTGCAGTTCAACGAATCAATGCCGTGACTGTGTGTTCCGTTAGCAAGGTTTCCGTGGGTGGACGGATGGTGGTACGAACTCAAACAACTCTCCCAGCCCGCTGGAAGTCCCAGTTCTCCGTGCCTGTTTACCGTCGACATTGTCCAAGGTCGAATACCTGTACCTGGTCAGTTTGAGTTGCTGGCACCGAAGCCATAAATTTCTACTCACATCCACATGCCGATAGCGAAGCTAAAGTACAACCACCAAGGACCCTACATCATCAGACGATTAGCGGAGGCTCGGATTTTCTGAATTTGTTAAGCCTTACCGGTCCGATCATATCGGGCATGAAAATTTCAATCAGGAACACGTTGAACACAATGAACATGAAGCCAAGAAGGGTCACCATGTTGGGAGCAATCCACATGGGCAAAAGTTCGACAAAGGCATTCCACTGAAAACGATTTCAACGGGTCAGTTCACATATCCTGAATATGGCAAATGTATATTGGGCGATTTCCGTACGTAGTGCTTCAAGATATATCGCGAAATAAAGGACTTGTCAACGCTCGAGTACTTGTACGACTTCAGGGGCATCAAGGCATCGTCGGAAAGGGAATCTTGGGTCTCTGTAGACATGAACATGACGGATCAGTAATGTGTAATGAAGGATAAAACCTGACACTGTCTGCAGTCTCAACTCACCTTGGACCATCCGCCAAATCACGCTCATCTTGAGCGTTAGGACCGCGTCGCGTGAGCGCTCTCAGGGTACTTAAAGCGGGGTTGTAAACTATATCTTGACGCCTCGGCAGGAAGGCAGGTGTGCCCGAAACAGAACAAAAGACAGAGAGTCTGGCAACGTCCTGGCTATAACATTCGCAAGAAACAAAGGGGCTGCAACCAAAAAATAGTGAAGAAAAGACAAGTCAATGGAATGTCTCAAAAGAGGGATTTTCAGCCCGGAGATCACGTGCCGTGCTCCGCAAATGGAACGCGAGCCTACGATGCTCCACCACCGAAGTTGACTCGGTCAACGCAGATCGTCTGCTTCGTCTAGCAGCGCCCGTGTCCACCTTCTCCCCTACTTGTTTCAGACCCTGAATCCTGAATGCTTCTGGTTGTGACCTCCTTTGCCTTTGCGCCGACCGCCCCCAACTTGACTCCGTTCCGGCCCCCGCTAAGGCCTTCCTCTCATTGTTGATCTGGTCCGCCCAGTCGCTCATTCGCGCGCATTGCATCTCGATTCACGTCATCGCCGCCTCTTCCCGCTTGTCACTTTCTCTTCGACTATTATCGCACACTGGCGTTAGATGGACATGACATTTGGTGGCCCTCGCAGTGCCCTTCGCGCAGCTCGACAGTGAGGATCTTTCGTGATGCCGGGCGTCGTCGAGGTGCCGGCGGCGCCGCCGTTCAGACGTGATTTCAGTGTTGGGCAACAGAAGGTGGAACTGGAGATTGACTTTGCGAATAAGAGTCTGAAAGGTAGCACCGAAATCACCATCTATCCAAGCCGCGTTGATCTCCGCACAATCCACTTGAACTTTCGCCAGGGTGAAATTAAGCGCCTTACGGTCAATGGGAAAGCTGCGACATTGAAATATGTCGACCCATACGAAAGCCTTCACTTGTACGGCCCCCAGTACCACGAGCGCCTAACCCGGAAAGTCGATGGTCTCCTGAAAACCCCCCCCAGACCCCCAGCTCGAGATCCCAATCCCCAAGAGTGTGCACATCAGAGAATTGGACTCGCGGTCAACGGAAGCACGAGAGCGGATTGCCTTGCAGGGCGCCGGGGAAGATGTCGATGGACCGCCAGGGAGCAAAGCGCCAGAGAGCAATCTGCCTCAATTTTCGGCCGTTACCGTCCATATTGAGTTCGTGATCGATCGCGTTCGTGATGGGCTGCAGTTCGTCGGTGTTGATAGTGGAGATCGTCGCTACCCACACGCATTCACTACGAACTCCCTAGAGTCAAGTGTTGGATGCCCGTTGTTCCCTTGTGTGGACGACCCATCGTCGCGATGTGTCTGGGAGATCTCGATTTCGTGCCCTGCCACGCTGGGTGACATTTTCGACCGCAAGGCTACCAGTTCCAGCTCTCGATCAAAGTCCCAGAACCGTTACATTTCCGCGGACGATGGGGGATTAGATATGTCTGTTGTATGCTCCGGTGAACTGACGGACGATATCACTGACCCCAAAGACCCGACGAGGAAGACGGCCTCATTTGCGTGCTACAACCCTCTCTCTGCCCAGCAGATTGGCTTTGCGGTTGGGCCTTTCGAGTATGTCAATCTCGCAGACTTCCGTGAGAGTGACCAGGACGAGCAGTTGGGACAAAATGCGATTCCCGTACATGCGTTTTGTCTGCCGGGCCGGGCCGACGAAGTGCAAAACACGGGTTTTCCCATGGCCCAAGCGATCGATTTCTTCTCCCTATCCTATGGTTCATACCCATTCTCCAGCTACAAAATGTGCTTCGTGGACGATGTTGTGACAGACACCTTGCCCACCGCCGGAATGTCAATTTGTAGCAACCATCTTCTCTTCCCTGCCGACATCATCGATCCGATGTACGACTCAACCCGTGCCCTTGCACATGCTCTGGCATGCCAATGGAGTGGTATTAACATCATCCCCAATGAGCCCGCGGATACCTGGGTCACCGTCGGTGTGGCATGGTTCGTGACCGATACATTCATGAAGAAGCTGTGCGGGACCAACGAATATCGATACCGACTCAAGCAAGCTTCTGACAGGATTTGCGAGTTGGATTATGAGCGCCCTTCGATCTACGATATGGGCAATTTTTTAAAAATTGATCCATCGGAGTATCGATTCATTGCACTCAAGGCACCCTTGGTGTTGTTCATTCTTGACCGTCGGCTGACAAAGGCAAGTGGAAAAGCTACGATGTCTCGTATCATCTCTCGGCTTTTCCTCAACTCACGAATGGGTGATATTCCCAACGGCGCAGTGACCTCAGCTATGTTCCAAAGGTTATGTGAACGCTTCGGCCACGCAAAGTTGGATGTCTTCTTCCAGCAGTGGGTGTATGGCGCAGGGTGCCCACGCTTCCAAGCCACGCAGCGATTCAATAAGAAGAAGCTGGTGGTTGAAATGATGATCAGACAGGTTCAGGGTGACCAAACATCGGCCCGAGACCTCGAAAAAGATTCCTTCTTGCGAGATGTCAAGGAAGAGATTCGCCATGTTTATGCCGGGCCCATTCAGCCGGTTTTCACCGGATCAATGACCATTCGAATCCACGAGGCTGATGGTACTCCATACGAGCACATTGTTGAGATCAAAGAGGGCGTCACGAAATTCGATATCCCATATAATACCAAGTACAAGAGACTGAAGCGCAACAAGAAGCAACGTGAACGAGCGGTGGCATCTGGGGATGCCGAGACGCAAGAGGATGTTCTCTTGTACTGCCTTGGTGATGTCCTCCAGACAGAAGAGGAGACTCAGGCCTGGCGCCTTGCAGACTGGACCAAAGAAGACGAAGAACGAATGGGACAAGAGTCGTATGAGTGGATTCGTATGGATGCCGATTTTGAATGGATCTGCAGATTGTCTCTTGGCATGCCAGGATACATGTATCTGTCGCAGCTTCAGCAGGACCGTGATGTCGTTGCTCAGCTTGAGTCTCTTCAGTACATGGCAGCCCAGCGAGAGCATCCTTTGATTTCCACCATCTTTGCTCGCACACTCATGGACAGTCGATACTTCCATGGTATTCGTGTCACTGCAGCAAAGGCACTCATTAAACACGCAAAGGATGAAGTGGATTGGATTGGATTGTATCATCTGGAGACAGCATTCCAGGAGCTCTTTTGCTTACCCGGATCTCCGATGACACGATCAAATGACTTTTCCGACCGGGCGGCCTATATTCTTCAGCAGGTGATTCCCGATGCGATCTCGCAGGTACGCGACAACAGTGGCAAGACCCCTCTGCGGGTGAAGCGTTTCTTATTCGACAAGCTGAAGTTCAACGACAACTCAAATAATGAGGTAAGTCAAGCTATTAGTTGTTTGCGCATACTTCTGCTAAATGAATCTCGTGTAGTACTCGGATAACTTTTACGTAGCTTCTCTGATGCGGTCGCTCTGTCATGCAATGCTAGGGAGAACCGAGCCACGACCCGAGGATGAGTTGTCTCATTTCGATATGGAACGCGTCATCGAGGCCCAGGCTGAAGAACAGCTTGAAAAAGACGCCATCGCCGAATTCGATCGTTACCGGCGAATGGACGAATGGTCCAGCTCTTTCCAGAACCTTTACGCACGAGCTGCCTTGCAATGCCAGTTGCAACTGATGCAGGCCCACGTGCAGGAAGTTGATTTGATGCGCTTCGTTCCTTATACTCGTTCTGGAACGTACGACCTCCTTCGCGTTCAGGCATTTGAGTGTCTCGTTGATCTGGACATTGCTCAAAACCACGATCTCTTCCGCTGGCTCATCTTCACGATGACAAGTGACTCGTCGGCTTTTGTTCGTCATCATTGCCAACGGCTCTTCGGGCGGGCATTGGCGCAGGTTGCTTTTGGCCGACCTTCACAGGCCGAACCAGTTCAAACCGGGGGCTTGATCATCGAACAGGAATCATCCACCGAGGTCCGTCAAGCCGATCTTGCACGCCGACAAACGGTGCCCGGTGCCATTGAAGCTCTGAAGAGAGAAATGTCCGGAGAATCATCTCTGCGCGAATACATGTGGGCTGCGTGCAACTCGACCGCCATCGGAGTACACGAGCTTTCTGAGCTTATGGACGTGTGCAGCATTCTATTTGATCCTGTCACGACTAAAATCGCAAGGCTCAAATACCCTCGATTCTGGAAAGTCCAGCACATGGGCCACGGTCAACTCCGGTTCTACAAATCCAACCAAGTTCGCACCAGTCTGGGACCCTCCAAGGACGGCACCAAACGCAAGCGCGAGGAGCAGGGCATGCAACCCCCTGCTCCGCGGATTACATTCAAGCAATCCAAGACTGCCATCGCCCCCAGCACCCCATCCACACCCTCAGCCTTCCCCAAGATCACCATCCCAGCCAGCGTACCTCACGCGGCCACAAGTACACCAATCTCTGCAACTCCATCCACACCAGCAAGTGGCGGTGGGCTTAAATTGAAGCTCAAATTTGGGCAGAAGAAATGATCCGCTTCACATGTATTTGCACTTGCCTCCTCTTTATGTATTCTACCTTGACCTCTTTTTTCACCTGTGGACCCTATTTGTTTGTCGATTACGGAAGAAGGAAATTCCAAAGCATAGCTTCAGGCGCGACGGACGGTGACGCATTTGGCTTTAAAAGATAATACCACTTCATTTGTGCCTTACTCCTTGTTGCATTTTGGACATGCCGTGGCCCCAGCTAATCTAGGCTTTCTCAATGGAAGAGCCCCTATCACAGAGACATCTATCTCTTAGGCACTCGGAGACATCCAATTTCTCAAAGGAATGCCTCAGCAGATCTATCTGTAGAAAAAGAAGAAGAAAAGGTTTTGATTGTTCCCGTATGATCAACCGGCCCAGAAACTCCCAGTATCATTATGGTCTCTCTCTCTCCCGCAGCCAGCGGTCCTAGCCGCGTTCGTTGTTTGTGCGAAAATCAGAATCGTAGATTGTGCTAGTTGCGATGCGCTTATTTGTCGTTAATCCGCTCAAGGGCCTCGAGCATGACGACCGAGTTTCCGCGAATGACCTAGTGGAGGGGATATCAGAAAGCGCTCGAAGAGACTGCAAGGCCAGTACATACCACCATGCCGATAGAGACCTTCTCACCCCCGGTCTTTTCCTCGAAAGCCTCATCAAGGACAATGTTCATGAAGACCTGACAGCGTGAAGTTAGCCCTGCTGTCACTGATATCCCACATGCGCATTACCCCCAGTGGGGACTGAATCGGCCCGGTTTGCGCAGGCGACAGGCCGTATCAGGTACTGCGACTCGGCCACTGGGTATGAAACTAGGGATTGAACGTACATCGTAGCCACGGAGGATGCCAATGACTTTGCGGTTGCCGTTCAGTTGGCAGAAGACCCGCTTCTCCATATACTGCGACGAGCAATTTGGTCAGTAGTGGTCGATAAATAAATGACGCGACTGAAAATATTGCCACTCACCTTCTTCAATTCTGGCTGTGCTTGCGGCATCTTGGGCAAGCTGATGTCTGTTCTGCTGTTCGGCAGAGTTCGAAGATCGCGGTTGCTTTGGAGTTTGGGGGTTCGGAGAAAGGATGTTCCTGATAGGAGCGATAAGAGCTCGAGCAGCTTGCATCAACTTCGCCTTCCTGCAAGACAGTGGGGGTGATTCTTTTCTTTATACTTTCCACTTCTTCGCAGTACAGGTACAATGAGCTCGAAGTTTGCGAATCGAAGAAAGCCCCGGAAGGTTGGCGGAGAGGATTCAGAGGAGGAGGATGGCGGTGCAACATCAGGTGCGTCCATAATGTCTACATTTTTGGCCTGCGAGCACGAGCGCACCAGGACTAAAAAGCTAACTTCAGTGCATATAGAACCTGTTGTCAAACGACCGCTCAAGTCAAAAGCGAAGCCTAAATCCAAATTGAACCTCTCGTTTGGCCCAGACGAAACTTCCATGACCGAAGATGGAGGACAGGAAAGCGAGGTCGTTGTCCCAAAAAGACATGGCCTGGGCCGAAAAGCCGTGGAGCGAAGCACACTTCAACGTAACTTGACACCGTCAGGAGGATTAGAGACACATTCTGCGTGGGTTGGTCACGACCGAGATCGGCCCAGCTATAGCCGCGAATACCTGAAAGAGCTTCAGGAATCGACACCCTCAACTCCAAAGACCAGCACGGACGATGAGAGGGACAGAACGGTCGATGTGGCCGCCAAATTCGGCGAGTTAATGACCGTTTCGGGTCCATCGGCTATTCCAAGCGAAGCAGAAATCCGCGAAAAGAAGGCTCGGCGCGCGCGGCTGGCGTTGGAACACGGCGCCTCCAAAGAGGACGATTTCATCTCGCTTGAGGACAACATCGGCAGTGATGATGATTGGGACGCGATAGCACGAGGCGAAAAGATACCGGAGAAAGAAACGGATACGCGACTGGTTCACGACGATGAGGATTTCGCCGAAGGGTTTGATGAGTACGTGGAAGACGGAAAAATCTCACTTGGGCGGAAAGCAGAGCGTGAGCAACAGCGCAAACAGCGCGATGCGATGCGTGAGCTCATCGAAGAGGCCGAAGGGCTTTCTGACGAGGAAGATTCGGATATCGAAGAGAAAGCGGCATATGAGGCTACTCAGACGAAAGCCGCAATCGGCAGCGGTCGGGCTGATGGCATTGACAGGCCGCGCACGCCTCCGAAGATGACTTCGCTGCCCAAATTAGCTACCAGTCTCGAAAGGTTGCGTACGACTCTCGCATCGATGGAGACGGCCAAGACGCAGATGATCAGCAGAATGGAAGACCTGCGTAAGGAAAAAGAAGAAATCGCCATACGCGAGGTGGAGATCCAAGCCTTGATCAAAGAAGCTGGTGACAACTATGAGCGACTCAAGAAAGAAGCGGGCGTCGACTCTGCTGCCGATGCATCGGAAGGTGCGCTGGTGAAGCGTGGCCTCGAAAGCATCGGTGCTCCCATGGCAACGTCCGACTCCAGCTCCACAGAGCCATGATGCTTCGTGCCTGCCCTGTGATGTGCTATTTTATCACTCCCTTTTTGAAACATTATTGCTGGATTTTTCTCATGTGGAGTCAGTGCTGGACCCCTTTGATACCCCATGTTACTTGTCTTTTTCCTTAAAGAATCAATATCTTATTCAATATGGCACCATCTCGATTCTTTTCCATCTTCCGTCAGCCTTATAGGGTATCGAACCAAGAGAAGCAGTCACCGTAAGTCATCTTCACCATTTCCCGCCGAAGGGTCTGACATTCATCCAGTTCACGGTATCACGGTTTGCCTTGGATCGCTAGTCCAGTCAGCCAAGCAGAAGACGGTTTCCATTTCTACCGCCATTCCGATGCAACGCCCATGGAGCTCTTCTTTGACCTGTTTTTCGTGGCCAATCTCTCAACATTCACTGCTACCCATCAAATCAATAATGTCCATGGTAAGCCGCGCAGTTCAGTGTTGGCTCAAGAGCCATGCTGATCACAACTCAGCTTTATGTGCATACATAGAATTCCTTGGTGTTATTTGGTTCACTTGGCTACAAGTCACTTTATTCGATGTCCGTTTTGCTCGAGACTCTGTATTTGAGCGGGGATGCAAAGCCATTCAGCTCGGGGCGATGGTTGGCTTTGCATCAGCGGGATCGAGGTTCAGCACGACAGTTCGGGAAGAAAATGCCTGGGCATTTCAGTCTCTCACGTTGATTTTAGCTGGGAGTCGTGCACTGTTAGCCATCCAGTACACGGTCAACGTCAGCTTCCTCCGTCACTCTATGAGACCAGCTGCCAGGGGTGTCGCTTACACCGCACTTGTATTCTGGGCGGCAACACTCTTCTATGTTGCGGTATGTGAGTGAGCTTGTGCTCCTTTTACCCTCCACATCTCGGATAATCTATAGCATGCTCATTACTTGGCAGATGTACTTTGCCTTCTCCGGAAGGAATGGGCTTCGTGCTCGTGTCTGGTCCGTTTGGTTTGTTCTTTTCGGCGTTGAAATGTGGACGGTTACGTGGCTCTCCTTGGCGTACCCTGATATCGGCTTCAAAGATACCCACCTCAATACACGAATGGGCCTACTCACGCTGATCATCATCGGGGAGGGTGTTATTGCGATCACCCGGATTGTCAACAAGACGGTACGACCCGGTGGATGGACCAAGTGGTCGTTTGTTCACATTTTGGGAGTAACGACCAATGTGGTGAGTTCGGTATCGAGTGCACGCTTTGAGCTGGATAATCACTGATTGCACACAGTACCTTATCTGGCAGGGTTACTTCGACATCTCGCCCCGTCATCAACTTGGGAAGGTCAAGCAGCAATTATGGGCACAGTTACACTTTCCGTTTCATGTGGTGCTCATTCTACTTCTTGAAGGGTCACAGATTCTGGCACTTACGCTAGATGTGACCTTGAAGCTGAGGTATCTGGGAGAGACGCTTCTATTTGTATGCGAAAAGCCACGTCCCAGCACAGCCAGAGCGGTGGCGCTTATTCGAAGTACGATCGACGATATGGAAATCCCGTTCAGCCGGGGAGCTACACAAGAATGGGCCGCGATCTCCAGTCTCTTGGAAGCTCTGGCCGTACAACCACTGTGCCCCGATCGTGAAACCTTTGACTATGAATACACGGCGGACCTGTTCAACGATCTCACTGGCAACGTAACGGCGGCACTTTTCTCAAGCATGGAGATCTTACCCAGCAAAAAGGTCGACATCAGTCTCCTCACTAACCAACAGTTGCTTGAGATGTACATGAAACTTCTAGCCTTCGTGTATATTTATTTTTTCGTGGTTGCCAGCGTTTCCATGGGCCTCCTTGCCGCCTTTCAGGTGCTGTCTCGTCGACATGAAATCCATTTTCATCGGAATGTTTCAATGACTGTGCGCACGATTCTCGCAATATCCCTGGCCAGCCTTGTCTCATTCGCCAGCTACTTCCCATTAGCTTACTCGTTCATGACCTCGCCCATTATCCTGTACGCATTCACTTTGACACTTTTATGCGGTAAGTTCTCCTTCCCCGCGTCTGTTTCTGATCATTGAACCTGATTGGCCTAAGTGCTCTTGGTTGACCGACTTTTGGATTATTTGGCATCCCGGGTTGATGCAGGTGGCCGGCGGAACGGGGAAGCAACACCGAGCTTGAGTGTCCAGCCACTGCACCGGGGAGGGTAGAAATGGGGCCGATTCCTGCTGGAAAGGCCAGTCCAGATGAGTTTGTCTCGCAGTTGATGACAGAGAGGGAGAGCAGTCGACACTCTGGGGAGCTGGGCGCGATGCGGGACTAGCCTGGTTTATCATCCCTTCCCCGTAGTTAACCGGCTATGCAAATCATCTCGGCCGGCTATGGATGTTCTGCACCTGTCCTTTATGATTTGACCTACGGGTTGAACAATGCTGTGTGTTGGTATTGAGAGGGACTGGGGAGGATGATTGATGGGCGCAAAATGCGAATAGAATCCAACCGCCTCTAGTATCTTGCCAATCTCAGAAACATTCACCCATTGACATCAAGGATACAAAGTCCGAATTTACCGCAGGGAAGAATTTTCTTGGAGGTTCGAACCTAATAACTGGCGCTCCGCGACGGCTCATTCTCCGGATTGTAAGGAGCCCGGTATGTCATACTGCATATGCAGAAGTCATAGCTGAGAAACTTGAAGAGCAAATACCATAATTTCGCCTCAAAACTCCCGTCCACAGCCCCTTTCTCTCGGTTCTGTGTTACCTTCGACCTGTAGGGGTCTCACCTCACATCGACAAGATATGCTTTGGTATACGTATACTCATATCATATCCCAACTATAATCGAAATACTGATTCAATTCCAGCGGATGATGATTTCGACTGCCCTGCATCTCGGAATAAACCTGTATTTGCCTGACTTGGCCTCCATTCAACAGACATCTGCCATCCCCCAACTGTCTTTGTACTTGGTGAATTCAGCTTTGATTCAGATAGAGGTTACCGGGGTGAATTGTAGCCCGCAACAACATCAGGTCCAATAGCGAGATTAAGAAGAATAGTATTTTTCTGATCTACATATGCGGTCGAAACTCTCATCTCAATATCCATTTTGAATGCCGTAGCTGGAGAGCAAGGAACTCACATTTCTTGCATGATTTAGAGGGGAAGATGAAAGCTAGTTGAGTGATTCGAGAGCAAAAGGACGGTTCAGCTTGTGAGCTATCTCTAGATGGGCGTGCTTAGCTGCCATTCCCTTGGGCATAATGATGACCTTGACCGTTGGGCGTTCGCATCAACCCAGGCCGGTTCTCTATTATGCCGGTTCCAACGCCACCCAGCCCATCCCAAGTTCACTGAAAGAAGCTTCTTTGAAACAGGGCCAATCGCTGGGATGTGTTAGTTCGGGGTCGAAGTAGGCCTTCCAGAGATCTATGTGGCCACATTACGGAGGTCACCAAGCCTTTCCCTCCTTCTATCGATGGATACCCATATTTGCATGACTTGCCAAGAACTATAGGAAAGCCCGATATGTATCGCAAAACCGCGGAAATCAACGTATACCCCAAATTGTCCAAACTTGACTAGAGTATGTCCGGGTCATCTGATAGGAAGCACAGCTATACACCCAGTCGGTAGATCGCATCCCCGGAATAGAGATGTCACTTCCGCCTCCAGAGTATCTTGAGGGGATCCAGGCTGGAGATTTGACACCGGATTGCCCATATCTTTCTTGCTTTTTCTGACTGCCCTGATTGTTCCATCGCCCCATTCCCGATTGGATCGCTCCTAGCGAGCCCTATGCGGCTCTCCGTGCAGGATGGGACATTGTCAAATTGCCCACACCTGTGTCAGAAATGGATTTTGAGGTGAGCTCTCATCGTTGATATTTTTCTTAATGATATTAATAGCAGGCACTCCAACTGGGTCTGGTTGATCTGGTCCAGGGCCAATTACTAAAAGTACGAGCTGGGGCTGTCATGGTCCAACTGGAGATTAGAACCATTATGCCATGTACAAAATCCAAGTACCAGAGGACATTCTACAAAAGAGGACTAAGCTTTAGAGACTTTTCAAACACAGACTTGATAGTGCGCAAAAGAAAATGATACTTGAGCTCACTGAGACCTTTCATGCCAACCCCGTCGAAGACACAACTCGCCCCTCCCCCTACCCATCTACTTGTCTCAGGAGAACTCAGACACTGACACAATTCCATTCCAAGATCGAGGATAAGACAAGACACTGCATGAGAGAAAATATCTGAAACGAGCGGCAAGTGGATCTCCGCGGCAGTCGATCTAAGCCTCCGGGGATTTTCGTCCTGGCTAGGGACGAGAGTCATTTCGGCAATGAATACACCTGTTATTTGCCTCTGCTCTGCAAGATCTTGATTGTCCATAACGGTCTCGGCTCCGGAGAATTTCCAACGGGTTTCCATAGATGGGCCGGGCTGTGGGGATGAAACAAGCTTACCGTGATATCAAAACCGGGGATATTATTCATGCAAATGGCAAAAGGGGCATCTGCAGGTACCATACTATTAAAAGCAGGGAGGGACTGACATTTTTGGTCATATCGCACTCAGAGTCATCGTATATACCTCTCAGCCTATTCAGTACTACTAGGTTCCAAGGAGTACTGAGAGCTTTATGCAAGTCATAGCGACCGTCTTGCATACCGATCAAGCTCAATATACAAATTGCCGACAGATCTGAGACAGCATTGCATTCAACGGTCCAGCCGCCACTCCAAGGAATTTATAATGCAGGATCTGAACCTGCGGTGAGAACCTTGTTCACCCAGATTGCCACACTTGTCTCATTCGACAACTGCAAGTAATATCCATACACCTAACCTCCAGGGTTTGAGGCGTTCATGAGCAAGGTAAGTGATGATCAGTATATATACCGACAAAACCTCTACGGAGACGAGTAACTATGCTCATATATAAGTTATTTTTGCAGATTTTGCCAATTTTCTCGCTGCCCAACCGTTGCGCACTGACGATTCTGCGTCAAAGGACATCAAAAGAGACCCACGGATCAACGGTAGTCTACACGCCGCGACAACCCGTGTACAACCAACTCCTTCAATAAGCTAGCAATTGCGGTGAACCAAGGAGAGACTCCTGGAAAGGCGTGTACTTTCTCTGGACTCTATTTTCCACGCGCTTGAACATGACGGGCTTACTGGTCAGTCCTGTGGTTCCAGAGGCATGGCTTGGCCAGCAAAAAGACACCCCAGCCCTAAATTTTGGACTTAGCTCCAACAAACGCTTATCACGCGTGAATCTGGACGAGTTTCTTTTTATTAATGACTCCCCATTGCAAGCTCCTGGGAATTGCAATTCCACGCTCGAGGGTGCAAGCCGCGGGCACCACCACAAGCCTCCTCGTCAACAAAATAAACCAATCTGGGAAAGGGATATCACTGATACCCAGAAACAGGTCAATTCATCAACAACAACTGATTCCGATATGACCTTTATGCGTGTGTCTATGTACCATCACCATTTCACTAGGGGGAAATCCCTTCGACATGATCTCACAAATCCATCTACCCTTCAGAACCAACCCACTTCAAAAACATACCATTTGACAGCTCCTATCATGAAAACAACAAATTCCAGCAGTAGAATATCGGCCAGCAGCCAGTTTACTCCTGGCCATCTTGAGCTTTCTGAAAGCGCACTCGCCAGCATGAAGGTGGACGGATCTCAAGAGCTGTTTCAGTCAATGTCTGGAGCGGAACCCATCTGGGTGTCCCAGACTCCTCCATCTTTCGGCTCCGGGACTGAGAGCTCCCCATCCCTCTCTTCGTCGTTCGACTTCATGGATGCCCCCAAAGAAGAACCCACTCCTTACGGACTGCCCATGGTGGAAAGTGACTTTATGGCCAATCCACCCTACAAGCCTGTTATCCTTGAGACCAACGATGCACGCTTTATTGCAGATTCTCCAGTAGGGAGCAGCAATATCAACTCATCATTTCAGTGGCCAATGAGTACCGAGACTGACTCATGGCATCCTCATTATCACCTAGACAGGCTAGCATGGCCAGCTCCCACGACCTTGACATCCTCCTCATGGCCAATGCCCGGAAATATGGGTATGACCTTCCCCGATGCTGAGCCTATATCCCCCTACAACCTGGCCCACGGCAGTCTTTTTATCGCCAAAGAACAACCATTCCCACATTCCCTTGTCAGCACCGAGGCCAGATGAACTAGACTACGCCTCAGTTACGCCTCCAGGGATCGGCACCTCTCAACCCCAGCCGGTCAATAGTCTGCCAAGATACACTGGCCTACCCTCCATGCCGGATTGCAGCACATCATTCTCTACTCCGCCCTCCTCAACTATGCGCCTGGAACATCCACAAACCCAACATGAGAACCCAGCCATAAAAGCGAGTCTGCACTACAGCGATGCTCGAAACGCGCTGCTCATCCAATGGAAACGAGCTGGGCTATCTTACAAAGATATCAAGCGCATGGGCGGCTTCAAAGAAGCGGAGTCAACTCTTCGAGGGCGATTCCGAACTCTCACGAAGGCCAAAGAGCAGCGTGTGCGGAAACCCAAGTGGCTCAAGCGGGACGTGAGTATTCCTTTACCTCCATACAAACTGGGAGATGAGTCTAGACAGATCGAGTGGACGTCAAGCACCCAGATGAATGAAGCCCAAAGCTAACCCCCTTTCCTGCTGTTATGTAGATCCAACTCCTCTGCGAAGCAGTAGCTGCCTGTACAGGGCCAGCTTCGCCGTCTGGTACGGGGTACACATCCCTCGCACAAGCGAATATGACCATGGCGATGACTGGACAGCCACCGAAGGTATCGTGGAAGAAGGTGGCTCAGTATATCTGGAGCCACGGGGGATCGTATCAGTTTGGGAATGCGACCTGTAAAAAGAAGTGGTGTGACATAAATGGGATTAAGATTTGAGTGGTGAAGACGGTCTTTATTGTACTGGCTAAGAGGTGCTTCGAGGTTTGACATTTACGGCTTGTTTTGAAGAGGGTTCTACATATTAGTTTGGGCTTTCTTGACTTGGTTATCTCTGTTTGACTTTGCTTTGGTTGTGGATGGCGTTAGACAGGGCGTGTATTTTCATTGCTTGTGTCGAAAATCGAGTGTGCATTCTGTTTTGATTTCAAGATCTTCGTGATACACACGACAAGCATATTTCTGTTGTCAAACTACCCAGTTGACCAAATACTTGAAGATCCAGAAAGATCAAGGACGTGTTCAAGAGCTGCTAGAACCTCGTTAGTTCGTACCAAAGTGTGACATTTCCTTCCCGTGCCTCGCATGTGTGGCCAGTTAAATTAGGTATCAGCTCAAGATCTTACCTATCAATCTCAAGTATGGGCATGTCAAAAGGAGATGTTAAGTATTAGATATGACCCGATGTAAGAGAGCTGCACTTCCATGCTCAAGGTAGATAGTTATACACCTAAAACTTCGTACGTCATTCCTTCAGAGGCCCATCGATTTCTGATACAAGAGACCAGCCCAGATGTGATCCTAAGGACCACACCTCTTCGCACATATAAGACCTCCACAAAATCTGAAATGGTTAAACTTGCTACCCCCGTGAATCGAACCCCCAACCTTCGCGTTCCCTATATACCTCGCGACGATGCTCCATGACCACCCCACGATGCCGAAGTACATCACTTCGAGCAACTCTAAGCCGCACTCAATATACAATATCAGCCTCTACGCCCTTACAAATCTATTAAAAGGCCCTGTTAAAGAATATAAATTAATACACTAGTTTATTAAAAAAAATATATATAAAAAAGATCTTTATCCGCGAGGAGGTGCTGTCACCACCTCGCATGCCCACCCGCCCACTCTCCCCGGCTAGGGGATGTGCCCGGCCATCCATGGAGTCGTGCTCAACACTAGAGGCCTGTACCCATTCCTATATGTTTGCCCATTTCCAGGGCACACCTAAAGGTCAATCCCTGACGGGAGACCACTAGGCCATATGAGGGGGGAGAGTGACTTGAATACCTATTACGGGGGTATAACCCATGAAAATAGTTGTTGACTTGCCTCATTTAGCCGTGCTGGCACTTGAGCTTGACATGTTAAAATCCGGCTATGCCTGGCTCTCTCTTTTGCTGTAAACGACTTTTTAGTGTTACCAGAATTCGTCTCTCTGGAGGACGGAAAAGATGATTCTAAAATAGACTAGGGTTGTCGGTTCTCCAAGTGTAGAGGAACGTCTTTGTACTGTATATCTTAAATAACAAAATTTCACACACGGTTCAAACCCTTCCATATAAAATCAAAAACACCATTTCATGCCCACGCCCCAGTCAACAATATACAATACTCCAATCTCCAGCCCCAACTGCCTACAACAGCGCATGCCCCGTCCCCGGCACACCAACATCCCTCAATAACCTCCCCAAAACCTCCGGCTGAGCCCTAAGCACATCCCACTCCCCCTCCGCCTTGACCATCAACGTGCCGCCAAGAATAGTCCCATTCAACGAAACAACCCCCGGGTCCGCAATATCGCCCGCAGCAGCAATATCCACCGGCACACAGGCTGTCTCCGCGCGCCGCGGCGCAATCATCATAGTCTCCAGCGTCATCGCGAGGTTATAGCTTATCGCCGAGGGTCCGTGGCTAGGAATGCCAGGCAAGCCGTCTCGTAGATCGCGGCCCTGGACTGCGCCGACGGCGGCGCGGTACAACGCGATGTAGATTGCGTGGAGGGTGTCTGGGCTCGGGTTGGACGGGAGTGGGAGGGCGAAATGGGCGAATGGTAGGGAGGGGTGGGATTTGAAGGTTGAGTGGGTGTGTGGTTGGGCTGTTATGAGGTCGATGAGGGGGGTCCAGGACTCGGTGCCGGGTTGGTGCATTGCTTCTACGGGGAGGAATTGGAGGTGTCGGTGTGGTTGGCTGGCGCCGCTGTCTTCGCCGGAGTTGAAGAAGGCGAAGAGGCGGTTGGGGCTGGGAGTGGTTGAGCTGGACTTTGTGGATGGATTATCGCCCCAGGCGCGGAGGCACTCGTATGTTGCTTCGAGGTCGGCGGTTTCGAGGAGGTCTGTTTGTTCTTTCCAGGCCTTTGTGGCGAGAATGAAGTGATTTGGTATGACGGGGAATTTGTTGAGGACGAGGGCGTGTGTTGGACTTTGTGAAGGGAAGCTTGCGAGAAGCAACTCCGGGGAAGGGTTCTCGAATGGGTCTATTTTTGGAGGTTTGGGACTTGGTGATTCGGCCTTTTTGAGGTCTTTGGGTTTCATTGCAAGAGCAGGGCAGTAGCGGAGTTGGTACTAGAGTTTCACTGTGTCAGAGGGTGTCTGTCCTACTTGGGGGAGACTCGGAGATGGAGGACATACTGGTATCCCTGCTGTGGTGATGATCGACAAGTGCGTAGAAGAAAAGATGAGATGCCCGCCATCTCTGGCTGCGATGAACCGCCGTGCGACCAGCGCAGACAAGTTCTCGGAGAGTCCTAATTGCATTGCTGGCGGTACTGAATTGGAACTTGGAGGAAGAAGCGACCGAGGCCGGGGTGGGGATATGCGGGGAGTGGCCGATAACACGAAGGCGGTGATGGATGGCACGACGAAAGTTGCGGGTATACACTAGCAACAGTTGGAACTATGCAAGGTGCGAGCTAAAAGCCTAGCCCTGTTTTCTACCTTTTCTATTAAGAGTTTAGATGGAAGCAGTGTGTGATCATGAGCATATCTCATTAAATTCAAGTATTGGTTTGTAGTATTTTCACTCTGATTCATTCCACCCATCATCACCTGAGCCAGCAGGATTGGGTCGGAGCAGGATCAAGACAAACATGAAGTATAAAGAAGGGTCGACGACCCAACAATAAAACAAGTCGAATATGAGAAACCTCAGACATAATATCGAGCACATCGAAACCCAAGGTATCACCCTTATTCAGACAAATTGCTCGTCAGACGCCGCTCGCTGGTATACGGAAACATGAAACAAGAATACAAAAGAAATAACACAAGGAAATGGAGATACAGAGGAGAGGGAGAAGGAAGAGAAGAGAGGAGTAGGAGTATGGTATAATATGAGAACAACTCGATCAAGACATGAGTTCATTCAAAGAAATCTCATCATCTTGCGGCTGGCACATATCCGGCAACAACATTGCCGGCTGACCCATAAGTTGGGACACAGGACCCTCAATCCAAGGGCCGCGCTCCTCTTCGTTAGCACCATGAACGCCCTCGGCACGCTTCATAGTCTCGACATCGAGATCCGTGACATATGCATCACGATGAGTCCCATCGCCAGCCCCACCAGGCAAACGCAGACGAACTTCAAACTCATTGTTGAGCATCATCTCGTCCTTCCACAAGCGGCGCTGACCATCAAACACACACAGCACACGCTTCTTAGTCTTCATGCTGGAGTTCGGGCATCCCCAAGACTGCGGGTAATTACCGCGGTTATTGCGGCGGCGAGTCGCAACCGCACGGCCGCCATTCTTGGATGCTGCCCCCGGAGCCGGATTTCGTGACGGCGTTGCCAGAGCCGATGATGGGTCTTGACGAGGAGCCAGAAGCTCTTGTGGATTTGGGAGCGCCGCGACCGGCGCGCCAGGAGGAGTCGTGGGAATCGTCATCGTCGTGAGAGTCATTATCATCAAGGGCGTCGACGGGGCCAGCCACGTCCAGCAATTGGTGTTTCTCCATCGTCTTTTGCACCTCCTCATCAGCGGCGACTTCGGCCAATCGTTGTTGGTTGATCGCCTCGGAGGGCTCTTCCTGCTGCACCACACGCAGAACACAGTCGTCCAAGTGCTCGTAGAAGTCCTGGGCATTGCTGAAAGTCGCCGAGCAAGTCGAACACTTGCCCGTCGCGTCGCTGCCGTAGTTCATGCCCTTCTGAGTCGAGCCGGTAGGACTGCGCTTGCGGCAGTTTGGAGGCGTTTGCTCCACACCGTGCACCGAGGTAAGGTGGCGCTTGAAGACGTCCGCGCGGTTGAAGCTCTTCTCCGCGGGGGAGCCAGAGCCTGGGCAGAAGCCGCAGACCATAGTGCCCTTGTAATGGGTCAAGGTGTGGCGATTCTTGTCGTATTTGCGAGCGAAGCCCTTGGTGTGGTACTCGCAAGTCGAGATTGGGCACTTCTCCGGCCGTTCAGACTGGTGAGTGAGCATGTGTGCCTTGAGATCTTTGAAGACGCGGCCACAGTCAGGGTGTGGGCAACGGCCCTTCTGGTGGACCTCATCGTCGGCTTCAATGCTGCTCAGTGCGGGGCTGCGCTGGGAGCGGCGGGACTGGATAGAAGAGATGGATGACCGGCGGTCGTAAACCGACACTGGTCGTGAGTGGGTGGTTCCCGGCACCAAAAGTGGCGATCCCCGTTGCGTGTCGAGGTTGTCGCTATAGGGCACGGGAGAGGCGGCGGGAGAGTGGGGAGTAAAGTTCATGGGTGCGGTAGGATAAGCATATGTCGATTGATCGGGATAGGAGATGGTAGGAGTGAAGCCAGGTCCGGATTGGACTGGTTGGATGAGAGAAGGGTCTGGATTTTGCATTAGCATACGACTTTCCGTGGTGGATATGAATATCTGGAATTCTCAATTCCAGATTCCATCTCCCGGCGTTGATTGACCTACCGACAAAGGTGTCTGGGAACTTTTCTTGGTAGAGCCCGTCCATATCGACGTGGCCCCCCATGTGGCTATAATCATTGGCAAACAAATCATTCATGACGGCGGCAGGCAAACCAAGGCCGTGATTCGTATTCATCCAATTATCCTGCGCGACTTGCGCACTCCCCGAGTACGGAGAGCCCAGTGCAGAAGAAGGCGCACTCGCAATGGAGGGGCCCGAGGCAGCCGAGCCGGTGGGAATTTGGTGTTCCGCCGAGTGGGACGCAGGAACTGAAGGAGGTGTCGCGGGCACAGAAGAGAAAGTTGAGGCCTGCTGGAATTCGGACTCGGCGAACAGGGACGGGGTCTCAAAGTATGATTGTGGGACGCGCGAGAAGTCGGTGTGCGTGTGTTGGGGGGGGGTATGGGGGCACGTCCATAGGATACGAGAACATGTCAACCAAGTTAGGGTCCATGGCCATCGGCTGGAAGTATGCAGATTGCTTCGGTCGGGACTCGACGGCGAGCATGTTGGATCGGCGAGAGGTGTTGATGTTTTGAGGGAAGAGCACGAAATCCGAGTCGGCGGGATGTGTCGACATGTATATTATATGTGTGATTTGTTTGCTGTGGGCAGGTCCAAGGCCTCCGAGACTTGCTTAAGGCTCTAGTGAAATGAGATCGAGGTCAGATGGCGTTTCTTTTCAATGCATCTTTTTTTTTTTCCTTCTCGGGGAGACGCTTCCATGTGGGCGAAGCACCCGCATTCCAGGATCTGAGAGAACATACCAGCGATAAGGTTCGGATGCCGTCCGTTCAACCGCAACGTGCGAACCTTCGGAACTTGAAACAGCAGGCAGCGCACCGAAAGGTGAACCCGGGTGATGCTGCAAGGGGATTTTAATCAAGCAGGCAGCGGGTATAGGTCGCATTCAGGTTGCAGGAACCGGCGAGTAGCGAGGGCGAATCCGAATCACGAGGGAAGCAGGAATGAGGTAATGAGGAATTGGAGAATCCGCAAATCCTGGATTGCGAACGCTTCTGGAGGATTCGAAGAGTGGAATGGCCGTGATGCAGGAAGAGGAGAGGTGTTTTGAGGCAGAAACCAGGCGTGTGGCGGGGAGGATTTATATACAACCTGGAGCTTCGGCAGGGCCGAGTGGAAAAGAGTAGGCGTCGGGGCTAGGCCGGGGAAGGGGAGTCTTCACGCGCAAGACAGAAACAAACCCAAGATAACAATCAACACGTTGCAGACCGCACTCGATCATTGAGAGAAGAAGAGTTATAGCCAGTGGGAGCGATCTGTCATGCGGTCAGAAGAGCGGAAGGGGAGGGGGCAGGGCAAGAATATTATAGCGGCGGCATGGTTTGGATGCGCCCTACGCCATTTGGTGTAAAGTGTCGGATTTCTGGTAGTGCAGTGTCTCGTTTGGGGGGAATTCAGAGGGAAAAAGAAAATTAAGGAAAAATCGAGAAATTAAATCCAACGAGAAAGGTGTAGACTAAAAAAAAAATCAGGTCGAAAATAGGGATATGGGACTTCGTCTGTACAGTGAGTAGACAGTCGAATGGAGTGGAATAATAATGGGAATACATCGGCAAAAATAAAAATAAAAATAAAAAAAAATAGACAAGGCTCAGAAAAATTAAAATTCGAGAAAAAAAAGGGAAAAGATGGGATCTAGCAAGGATGGGGACGAGGGCGAGGAAAACACGTCAATCGGATTAAATTAAGAATAATAATAATACTTCACGAATAATATCAATAAATCGGAAGATACTGTCGCTCCTCTCAGCATAAATTACCAGCTGACCATACGGATACTACTCCGCTCTCCAGTCTATCGGGGCTGTGAGAGGAACCCAGACCCAAGCCGCCTCCGCTTAGCGCCCCTGCAGGCCAGCGAGGATAATTTTGGTTCGTGACCACAGGGCTGGGCCTCGGCCGGAGAATCATCATCATAATCATGACTGCAGAATTATGTACATTTACATACTCATGGAGGAAGGAGGATAACCTCCGAGCATGGATAGTGACGGGCATCAACTAGTGGATTTATACTCTGGAGATATTGACGTGTCGGCGTCATAGCATATCAACTCCCGACTGGCAGTACAGTACTATCCTATACGAATGGTTCGTTTTGGTTATCGACTGTAATCTCGTTTCTAGAATCTGCAAGTAGACCGTGTACCATATTTGCTGCGAAAGATGACCATTCTCATCCGAGAGAATCCCTTCTATACAACCACTCCGTACGTCGACTCCGATCTACCTATAAGGTGGGTCAGTCCCTCAGTGTGTTATGCTGGATTTGTCCACTCCAGGCCAGAGCTGGCTCAGCCTCCTTAGGCCCCCCACTGGGCCTGCCTTACCACACGCATGGATTACCCCTTTGAGTTCTGACTTTGGAATATTCTGACAGCGACAACGGGCGTCTCCTTCACCTTAAGGACCTACATACCTGTACAGTACGGAGTCCATTCCTAGATATGGTAATCATCAAGGGTAAAGAACGTATTCCTTGGTTCTGCCCTACGAGATCCTGTACCGTACATATCCGTCCCCACAGGCCTTTTCTCACGCGGGTTGATCCCGGGGAATCCCTCCTTCCAGATCTCGATGCAAGTACAGTAGGTCCTCCGGCGTGTAAATAGACAATTATAAAAAAGAATACATTCGAGGTGTGTTATCCTCACACTCTGACTCGAGCCACCAGTAATGCGATCACCACCCTACACCCGGGAAAGTACATGCATGGTCCATCCCCAATAGTGCGGAGCGGGGGCGCCAGTACGGACACGATAGATCGCACAACCCAGCACGAAATAAATTAATCGATCCATAACTCCAGTACCCAGTTCGTTAGTGAGAAGGATCAGAGATCATAGCTTCAAGAGTCCACAATGATCCAGATTGAATAAATTAAATTGATCTGTTGACTTCCGAGCCATGTCTATCGTTTTCCTCCTGGAAGAAAAAGGGGGTAAAGGAACGACACTCGACTAACTCGTAGTAGTAACTCTTGTAATATGGAGAGGAACCCGCCAAACACAAAGTCGTGCAGGGATCATCTCGCGGGCCCAGCCCAAATGGAGATCGCCCGAGCCAGGGTGTCATATTTGTCAGAATAATCAATAGCATCAGGATAAGTCCGGATAGTGTACGGAGTTAGTACTTCGCACGGGGTCGAGAATGACACTGACGCGCGCTATCACACTTGCACATGGCCCCATGGGAGCTTCATCGGAGTCCAGGTCGAAGGGAAGAAAAAAAAAGCTCCGCTGTCAAACAACGACGATCGATGAGATTGCACGGGAGAGGCGCTCTGTCATTGCCGATAGTGCCAGGATTAAGTACTGTAGTCACATGTAACTAGTTAACTCAGTTAATCGGTTAATACTGGACCTCCGAAGGGGGAAAATATTATTTGCTGTCAATCTTGAATTACCCTCCATTATTATCATGCGCTAGTCTTTTGATTATCCCGCGAAAGTTGAGGCATCGGCAAGTCCGTGTACATGTGCTGGGTGCAAGGTTGGGGCGCTCTGCCTCTCGCCAATGGCGAGCGCTGATTCGATGGCGGCTCAACAGAGCGACTGGTTCTTGCTGCCTTAGCTGGCGGGATCCTAGATACATTTTGTCACATACAACGCATTGTAGATCGCGCTATCTCGCAACGTTACATTACAAAAGGTTAGGACACGAGAAGATGACAGGGAAGAGGACGAGAGGGTGCAAGAGTACAGAGTTAAGGGCAATTGTTCCGTTGTGACAATGCTCACGATTATTCTGTGGATCCCAGGGAACTGGGTCGTGGTGGTCGAGTCCCGAACCCGTTCAGGGGATCCTATCAAATCAAGTGGTCGGATACTTCATATGCTGGGCTGCCAGAAGACGTGGCCGAAGAACATCAAGTCATCAAGAGAATTCCAGGCAAAAGAAACCAAGATGAACATCTCATCGTTCTTTCATTAAGTGTACAATACTCTTTACATAGTCATACAGAGAACATACTCCGTACCTCCCCCCTATGGGGACTGGGGACAGTGGAAGACCAACAAAAACCACCGATCGAGCAAACACCTCATCGACGACGATCCTGGGACCACAGCGGACCACAGGGGCCACTGCTAGCTTCCCCACAAGAACAAGCAATCTCGACAGGCATGGGCTTGAAGGTGCATCTATGCCAGCTCATTGGCCATGTTCAACGTGACTGGCTAATGAAGGAAAATGAGGCCCCAAACCACTGGGTCCAATCGCACGCGCCAGATGGCTTCCGGGCGAACGCGGGCGGGGCGAGGATAGACCACTGAGGATAAGGTCTATCTGGAAGTGGGGTTCGCCAAGGGAATAACTAACTAACGAGTCATGGATGTCAAAAAGACTAACCTGTCTTGAAGCTAGCGGGAGTCGATCATTGCAAAGTCCAGGACTCCAGACGGTGGAGGGAGGGCCGATTTCCCCAATGGGCTCCCCGTTCTTGCTTCAGACCGTGGTTTCCTCACCTCAGAGCCGCATGGGTTTGTGTCTTTAGTTGATTGCCATTTGGCCTGGTTCATGCTGTCTCTTTGGTTGCCTCTTCACCCTGTGAACGCCGAACGCCCCAATCATCCCTGTGGTCGTAACCCGGGTCGGGGGGATTGGGTTAACCCTCTGGTCCCCGGAACCCGATGGGCTGTCACTGTCAGGCTGCACTTTGACTCCACGAAACCAATTCGAAGCTGACGAGTTGGTGGAGGACATTCCATTTGGGTCTGGAAACAAGACTTGTGGTGGGTCTGACGCCCATCAGACGATGAGATAAGGCGAAGTCAAGTTGTCTGAACGAGTGAGTGTGGAAAAAGGCAAAAGGGAGAGAAATGTAACAAAGGGGGGTCCATGGATCATCATCGACCGACATAATCAAGAATAATTAACCAAATTATGTCAAGGAAGCCATGGTATCTTCGGTGTTGCCGTTACGCCGCCCTGGAGAAAGGTCCATTTGGAGTTTGGGGGCCGTTATTTGGTGATGCTGATGCATGGAAACAAGAAAGCATTAAGCAGGTAATCATCATAACCACCATAGTCATCCGGAAGTGACAGCAATGTAATCGTTGGACAAGAGGGCCAAGGCCAATCTAAGAGTGCAACACCGTGTCCCATCTCGGCTGGGCTTCTTGCTGGACTCTGACGCCATGCCGTCGCCATAGCCCTAGCGGGTACGGAGTATATGCCATACAGTTCATGACAACATCCTGAAGCAGTTAGACCGTATCGAACCCGACTGGGTTAGTGGGTTTCTCACCAATTTAGTTAGCGGATATACATATCCAGCTAGCGTCATACCGTAGTCTGTCTTTTAGTCCACCACCCAACATCTCGGAGTGGCCGTCACTCTCGGGTCGGTGAGCAAAGCGCGCCAACGAAGAAACTAGCGCCACAAACCCTGCTCGAGCCACAGGCACCTGCACAATGGGGCCAATCACCCTCGAGACTGAACATTCCTGTGATACACGATTGGTCCAGCGGGTGCCGACAAGCGGGTCCGGCGACTGTTATGAGGCGCAGCAGGCCCTTTTTTCACCGCTTGAAGCCTTGTGGGTTTGCATGAGA